TACTACTCGAGTAATTACTCGAGTAGTACTCGCAACGAGTAGTACTCGGGCAACACTGATAAAACTAGTGCCCTCTTAACAAATGACTTTCTAAACAAATGGCATTTTTAGTACCTACGTTCTAGGTTATAAGAGAAAGTTGGGCACATAATGAGATTTAGTTTAAGGATACTACTACTATTCTCTTTTATATGTTCTTCCTATTTTAAACTACATGTGTGATCACCCACACGCTAGTCGCATCTTCTGCTGCTTATATATAGGGATGTTTAATAGGGAACCTCAATGACACCGTTTGCAACAGAGTTGCAGCTTGGGTCACCCATGTTACCTCCGTTGCCAAACATCAACTTCTTCTTGCCCTTCACAGTAATGATTCTCAAGCTACGCGAGTAAGCTGACCACTGGCCCACATCGACAACCTTCCATCCTTGTGGGTCAGCATTATCACTGTTAATGAAAACCGGTTCCTGAGAGCCACCGCTGGCAATAATCACGCCTGAACCGTCGCTCTTTCCTGGGTTGGCAGTCCAGATGACATAAGGGGAGCCGTAGGGAACGCTGTGGTTGGTATTGTTCCCGACAAGAGCAATGCCTGTCGCCGAGTTGAAGTTGAGGGGATTTGCAGCGGTCTTGTAATACACTGCACACTTTCCTGAACCACAGTACTCGTATGTCATGATGTATTGGTTTGTAGACTCGATGTGCGCGACGGTGGTCATGCCGGGTCGATCATTATATGCAGAATAGGCAACGTCGTTGACTAGGGCAGACCAGGTGTGGAGATCATTGGTGGTAACGTGTACCAATTTTTGGGAATGTGCTGAGTCACGTTGATCAGAGAAGTAGCACACCAGTTGGCCGTTGTACATCATGAGGAAGGGCTCCCAGATCGCTGCATGGCCGCTGGTGATATCCTCGGGGCCATTCCCGAAGGCGATGTGACTGACAAAGTTCCAGGTTTGCGCATTGTCTTGACTGACGTAAAGGTCAATATAGACTCCGCCTGTCAGACTAAATGGGGTGGAAACGCCTGCAGCAAGTATTGTACCAGCGGCATATCCGCCGAACGCTTGAGGCAGAGTGTATAAGAACGGTTGGAAGCGCATACCCCAGCCGTTGACCTTGTCTGTGATAGCCGAGAAGTTGGACCAGGTTGCGCCTCCATCCACTGATTTGTAGATGGGATGGGTGACCAAGGGAGGTTCTGCTGGGTAGTTCTCCCATGTCATGAGGAGAGATTCATCTGGAAGCTGGAGAGAGCGTGCATAGAGAGTCTTCCATTGCACGGCGGTGGCAGCTGGAAAGAACAGGATGTTATCGTTAAAGTCTGTAAATGCAGATGGAGTTGGGTTTGGAGTGACACAGGCCGATGTCGAGAGGATGGATGGCAGTAAAAACAGGCCGCTGATGAGCTGGGTGTAATGCATAGTGTTTGATAGCATATAGATAGAGATGGTCGATTTTGCTTGTGGAAATGAGACTGTAGGATGCGATGATAATAGGAAGAGCTGTCCTAAGAGAGTAGATTGTTGGACTTTAAATACTTATTCCGATGTCGAACGCTTAGTCTGAGGTCGAATTTGAGAAGGTTCGTCAAAAATAAGCAAACACTAGTCTATCCTTCCCCACGGGGAAGCTGATTGAGGGGCGGTGGTTCTGCATGCATAGTGCACGAAATGTTATTCTTGGGGAGTGTCGGTATCTCGTAACTTTGTACCCCGCAAACTAAAGAAAACCCGGGGAATTGTGGGTTTACCAGGTTAGATGTATTGGTCTTGTGGTTGTCTGTTCCTTTCCATGGGGAAGCCGACTTAGGGGCTGCTCCGCATGCACAGTGCACAAAGGGTCCTTCTTGGGGAGCGTTGGATTTGTGGAGTAAATACTCCGCAAATCTGGAGAGATTGGGGAGGTGTGGAGAAACTCGTGTGGCTAAAACATGTAGGGGGGACTAGCCCGTACCCCGAGGTCAGCCACAAGGCATTGTGGGGGGCTTGCGGAATATCGGCAGCGAAGACATCCAATAGCATTTTGCGATAATTCCCAAGCAAGAAACCCTACGGCAAGGTGAGGCGCATTGCGGGGTAGGTGGTACACTGTGGATACGGTATATGTATGGCCGCTGTATATATGGCCCGATAATCCGCACTTCGAATTTGCGTCCTTTCGCCAAGGGTCACTATGCAGCAGGAACTACCGCCCCCACAGGGTCAGATACGCTCTTCAACCAAGAGATCTGTCTCAGTTAGCAGGGCAAGTGCGGCCTATCCGAGAAAAAGAGCAGTGACAGCATGTCAAGTTTGCCGTGCTCGGCGAACCAAGTGCGATCAGAAAAAGCCCTCCTGCTCGTTTTGTACCAGCATCGGAGCGGAGTGCAACTCGGATCCTGGGTCCCTATCCGCCTTTGACCCGGCAAGCATTGAGATCATTGAGCGACTAGATAGTCTGCAACGAAAGCTCGATTCCTTTTCCCAAGTCCCACTTTTGGACTCTGTTGTGCAATTCAACGACGGAAATGGCGGAGATAAAAACGCACACCATAATAACAAACCCCTCGGAAACTTCTTACCCGGAACCCTGGATGCAGTTCTGAAATGGCCAGTTTTCGAGCACTTTACTCTGCCTGTCGTACAAACTCCTAGCCAATGCAGCCCAGCCTCACCATGTTCCTCCACACAAGCACCTTCCATTAGCGATGAGCTCCATCCAGCAGCATGCAATCAGTGGCTAGATGCCTTCTTCCGTCATGATCATTGCAAGAATCCGGTCTTGAATGAGCAGGATACTCGACGCTTAGTTCGCAAAGTCTGCCAGGAAGGCGTGGGCTGGGATGCCGAATCATGTTTGGTACTTCTTGTCTGTGCGAATGGTGCTCTGGCTCGTCCTTTGTCCAGCCCTTCCATCTCTACCGATGAAGTTGCTTCGTCGATTTCTAATGCCTTATTCACGGCATCATTAAAGCGACTTGGAACCGCGATGGGGTCTACGGGTGTTGTGCAGGCGCAATGTCTCTTTTTCGCCGGTGTTTTTCTGATGTCCACTCTACGGCCCTTCGACGCATGGCGCATGTTTCTGCAGTCACTCGCTATCTGTCAGAGTTTCACGCACTGTAATCAACCTGACTCTATTAGTGACGACAGGTCCAGGTCCACTGTAGAGGCTGAGGAAAGCATTTACTGGTCATCATGGAAGTCAGAGCGGGAGTTGAGGTGGGAATTAGGCCTCCCCGACTTTGATGAAATGGGTCTTAACACTCCACCATCCTTCCCGAGCTGTTCTGAAAGTTGCGAAGCCGACCATCTTCGAGCCTGGTGCTTCTATTTATCTGAGATTTCACTTTGGCGATTGGAGACAGCAGCAAAGAACGAAATAAAAAGACTCGTCCTCGAGACACCAGCTCAGGTCTTTGAGGCTCTAGCTGAAAAGGCTGAAGAAAATGTTCAGCAAGTCATTGCCTGGCAAGATTCATTGCCAGGCAGTGTGAGCATTGCGGAACACGAGTTACCAACGGGAGATGACGGTGATATTCTTAGATTCATTCTCAGAGGGCGTACCACATACTTCCATGAGCTGATTTCATGGCCTTTCATCTACGCTGTGGTAAACGATGGAGAAGAGACACTACATATCAGACAATGGGCAGCAAGAGGCTTTGATTTTCATCTCAAAAGACTAAGTATCAACCGTCCAGGATTTTACCACAGACATCATGGTACTTGGCTAATGATACGGTCTTCTGCTCGGAGTGCATGTATCTTGCTTGCGGGCGCCCAGGCTTCATCCACGTCTCAATTATTACCACCCAACTGGCAGGAGGCTGTCGAAGCCACTATTTCGATGCTACAGTTCTGGTGCAACGATAGCGCAGGACTTTCTGTTACTGTTGATCTTTTGAACCGCCTTCTTTTAAACGTTTACGATAAACAATAAAGCCGCGCAGAAGTTTTCTTTAGGAAGATGATCTACGTACATCAAATAAGAAACAATAGTTCTCGACAAGCGGCGACCGAGTTCTTACTATTCTCCTACTGCTACTTGAGCCACATACAGCACGCTCTTTCTACGCCGAACGTGTGACTCAAACCTTCTACTGCAATTATAATGACAGCGGACACGCGGGTCACTAGACACAATACACTCGATGGATCTAAAAAGGCGCTGGAGATCTCTCTTGGAGAGATGAAACCTAAAAGAAGTCTATGGACACTATGTATAAGAGGGCTTGCTTAATGCGAGTGCTTGGGGCCGTATGGGTGTTGTAATAATAATCTTGTGCCTGTTATGTGCAGGTTTTCCTTCTCTGTTCTAAAACAATACCAATGTCACAACCTTATTATTCGTGTATCAACCAACGTTGCTCACCAGTTGAGTCTTTACAACATAGTAATCGCTCGTAGTGCCTTTGAATCGCCTGCAAAAGCCGCAACCTCGATTGTGACTTCCTTACCTGGCAATACGAATTCACCAGCCACCCACCTCTGAAGAGGTCTCACTGACACGTCCATTGTGACGTCTTTAAATTGCCCTGCATCCAAGTCTATCGGAAGAAATCCCAAGAGCACTCGAGACGGGAAGTCAGGCATCTCTGCAAGTCCATAGACTTGAATAACATGCCTTCCGTCGCGCGGTCCGTTATTTGCGACGTTGACATGAATCTGTATTGTATCCATAATGTCGCTAGAGCCCAAAGTGCCTATGCGAAGATCGGTGATGGAGAAGGAGGTGTATGACAGTCCAAAACCCAGAGGAAATCTAGCTTCTACACCGAGCCTGTCGAGCAGGCTCTGTCCATGCCAACGGTCGTATTTGATCTCTGTCGCTTCAATGTCGAAATATGGGAGATGGCTCTCATCCTTGGGAATAGAGAAAGGCAACCTCCCACTAGCATCGGTGTGGCCAATCAAAACATCAGCCAAACCGTGGCCACCTTCTGAACCCGCATACCAACTCATAACAGATGCAGGGACTTGGTCTATCCATTCCTCCATAATAACAGCACCCGCAGCTATTATGGACACAACCGTATATGGATTCACGGCTGTGACAGCCGTGATCAATTCAACATCGTCAGGTCGCAAACGGAGCGACCTGCGATCCCCACCAGCCCCAACTTCAAGTGCAGAGTCCAGCTTGCCACCGCTTGTATCACCCTTTACAATCGCAAGTGTTTCTTTCTCTTCATCTGTTTCTGCCAGAGGAAACAGGTCCAACAGGCAAATATCAGACTGTAGAGAAGGAACAACGTATTCACCCTCATCGGTCGCATTATACCCTACCACACAAATAACAAGATCGACCTTCTCAGCAAGTTCCCTTGCCCGTTCCACCGAATCTGATTCCTCGAGGATAATATCAGCGTGAGGAAATGCGGCCCTTAATCCCTCGACTGGCGTCACTACATGAGGAGCAAAGACTTGAGAAGAACCCTTATCACCGGTATTTGGAACATTTGCTAGTCGGCCGACCACAGCGATTCTCGATATCTTCGTCGCATCGAGTGGCAGCAGAGGCTTACCATCAGCTGTAACTGGTTCATTCTTCAATAGAACGATGGATCGACCTGCTACCTCCCGAGCCAATGCCCTGTGCTCCTCGCAGAACACGATGGAGGATTCTGGCTGACTTGCACTAGTGTTCACTGCAAACTCAAGCTGCTTCCGTAGTATTCTTGAACAGGCCACGTCTACAACCGACCAGTCAAGCTCTCCGGATTCCAGTGCTTCCGTAAGGCCCACGGCCCTCTGTTGTGTGAAAGGGGCCTCAATATCCAGACCATTTTTCAAAGAAAGTGGAGCATCTCGAAGACCGAAAATAAAGTCTGACAGAACGAACCCATCGAATTTATACTCGTGTCGTAGAATATCCGTGAGCAGAAGTCGACTTTGACCAGCCCATTCGCCATTAACTGCGTTGTAGGAGGACATCACAGATGCCGCACCGCCCTCGATGATGCGTTTAAAATGGGGGAGATAGACTTCGTGTAGAATGTCCTCTTCGACTCTCACATCTACTCGAAAGCGAGCATTCTCCATCGAGTTTAGCGCAAAGTGCTTCACACAAGCCATGATATGTTTCTGCACACCTTGTGTAAGGGCAAGACCGAACTCTCCTAACAGTATAGGGTCCTCGCTGTACGTCTCTTGAATTCGACCCCATGCAGGATGCCGCGGCAAATTGACACACACACCTGCAAAATAATTTGCACCCTGTGCTTTTGCTTCTAGTCCGATTGCATCGCCGATACGTCGCTCTAGATTGATGTCCCAAGTTGCACCGCGAGCCATGGGCACTGGGAAGGCGGTCGAAGCGCCCATGACAACTCCACGAGGGCCGTCTGTGAACCGGATGCCGGGGATTTCCAAGCGTGGGATTGCACCCATAACAAAAGGTACCCGGTTGTAACGGTCACGAAGGATTCCTCGTAGACCTTCGTAGAATGGCGCATCACCGTCGAGGAGATGGAGACGCTCGGTTTTGCTCAATTCCGAGAGCAGTCTTTGCGTTGTTTGAGACAAAGGCTCCCCGTTTCTATGGGCTTGAACTGCATGCTGAAATGTGTACGTCGGTGCTGCCGTTTGTCCCAAATGGGCGTCTCTGGGCAAAGTAGAGATTGTAGTTGTCAACATCTTGTTGTCGTCTAAGGGATGCGATCTCAATGGGCTAGGGGAATTGGTTCACGGTGAAGAACGATGGAGCAAGCTGCAAAGCAATGGTAGTAGACAAAGTCAGGATGTAAATCATATTTCAGTCTACTTTCTCAAGTGCAAGGACCATATGATGCCCACAAAAAAAGTACACTTATAGGCAGATGCTAAACACCGAAGTCATTTTTTGAGCATCATATCGCAAAAGTACTTTGATCGGAAGGAAGAGCATTCCTTACATTTCTCCCGACATTCCCCTTGACAGTCTTGATCAGCTGGGGAATATCGGCAGGGGAAGGTCAGCAAGGGAAGGCCAGCACGGGAAGGTTGGTAGGGGAAGGTCGGTAGGGGAAGGTCGGCAACAGAAGACTAATAGTTCTAGAGAGACTGTTAGATCTTGCGTGTGCGCTAAATGAACACCATTTGCTACCAAACTTCGTACATCATTATTGTCCACTTATTACGGCTCCACTAACTTAGAGAGTACGCTAGCCGCGAAGTATCGGCAACAACAGACAAAAAATACGAGATAGTCCTGCTAGCGCAGCACTTCTACAACTTAGCATCCGTCTTGGTGTTGGTCCATGCTTATTTCAAGAACGCCCACCTAATAATGCACCACTATGTAATTCAGCTTGTCGTTATCCTTGCCATATAAGTGCTAGAAAATTGCACTACCGTATTAGACTGGATCCATTATTCTGCCAAGCTAAGGAACGCGAGCCGTTGTGGGGACTGGGGACCCCACAAGATGCTGTGCTGTACTGAAGGTCTCCAGGCGACTAACTCGCCCTCCTGGCATGCTATATAACTCACGGCATCGTCTCGAGACTTTTGTACTCAGTTTCCTCAACATACGCAGGTTGCCAACACGTCTCGTAACATGGCCATCAATCCTAGGACTTACCAAGTAGGCTGTCCTGTGCATCTTACCTTTGCATATGCTAACACTACTAAACAGTTTCTGGTTGGAGTTTTTGCCTCATTCGGCTCGTTCCTCTTTGGGTACACATCTCCATACAAATTTTCAAAATTCGACTTCTAAGCTCGTGCAGATATGATCTCGGTGTCATCGGTGGCGTCGTCGCTGCTAAATCTTTTGAGTCTACCTTTAAAAGTCCAAGCCCAAATGAGACGTACGTCCACATCATATCTAGTTCGTGATGGTAGCTAATTCTATTCAGTGGCGCTATAGTCTCCGTTTTTACCGGCGGTGCCTTCGTTGGTGCTGCTGTTGCCGGACCTTTGGGTGATTGGTTTGGTCGCAGACTCACCATCATGACGGGTGCTATTGTCTTTTGCCTAGGTGGCGGCCTTCAGACGGCTGCTCAGAACCTTGGGTTTTTATACTCTGGAAGACTTATTGCGGGAGTAGGCGTTGGGGTCATGGTTATGATCATTCCACTGTACCAAGCCGAGATTGCTCACCCTTCTATTCGTGGACGTATCACCGGTCTCCAACAGTTTATGTTAGCCATCGGAGCCACTGTCGCTGGTAAGTATCTTTATTCTTAGAATAACTTAACGATGCTGACCTTTCCATAGCTTGGACTACGTATGGCACCAATCTCCACCTTGGCCCTACTGACAACAACCAATGGCGCATTCCTCTTGGAATCCAGATTGTTCCTGCTGGAGTACTGGCCATCCTTATTCTGCTCTTCCCTGAATCTCCTAGATGGCTCATCGATCACGGCAAGTCGGACCAAGGCTTGAAAACTCTAGCTCAGCTGCACGCTAGTGGCAACGTCCAGGACGCCTGGGTCCGATCCGAATACGAGCAGATTGAAGTCGCTATTGCTCACGAGCATGAAAACTCTGCTAAGGGGTATCGTGATTTGTTTACAAACAAGTCGAGCTTCCGACGTCTCGTTCTCGTCACCGCACTCCAAGCATCTGTACAGATGACAGGTGTTTCAGCAATTCAGTACTTCTCTCCTCAAATTTACGCCACCTTGAAAATCCCCACGCAAGATGCCTTGAAGTACCAAGGTGTTAGTAATATTCTATCTACTCTTGCAATTCTTTGCACTATTCTCTTCATAGACCGACTTGGCCGCCGCTGGCCCTTGATCATTGGCAACCTAATTAATTGCCTCTGTTTCATCATCGTCACAGCTGCAATTGCATCTTTTCCAAACGCATCGCCATCGGCTCAACATTCTTTGGGCTGGGCTTTCATTGCGACAAACTGGATGTACCAGATATCGTTCTCGTTTACATGTGGTTCTCTATCGTGGATTATTCCTGCAGAGATCTTCGACACTAAGACCAGGTCTAAGGGTGTCTCCATCGGCGCGATGGTCTCATTCGCCTTCAACACGATGATTGGACAAGTTACCAGCCCGGCTATTGACAGCATTAACTGGCGCTACTTTTTAGTGTTTGTTGTATGCAACTTTACCAATGCCGTCTTCTTCTGGGCGTTTATGCCCGAGACCGCGAAACGCCCACTCGAGGAGATGAATACCCTGTTTAGTGGCTCGTCATGGTTTGTTCCGACAATGCGGAGGGAGGACTTCGAGACCCATGATCTAGAACATAGGCTGGCAGAGATAAAAGAGAAGGAGAAGGCAGTAACTGTTGAGGATTCCGCGGATTTCTAAAGCACTATGATGAATTTAACAACGTATAACTTAGTTATAACATCCGTATTTTATAACACATCAAACTAGCACTACTAATAGTTTAATGTATACCGGTCTATATTCACTAGCTTTAATAATCTAGGCTTTAGTAGGCCTACTCACGCCTAATAAAAGACTACATATGCTCTCATTCCTACCTATCTAGACTAAATAACCTTTAGTTAGAAGGGGAGTCTGCGATGTCGTTTGCTTAGTATTCGGACACTAGTGTTAGGACTCTAAATGAGGGTGTGACAACGGACGCTAAACACTATGTCGTATTCACCTGGACCACCCAATGGAAGGGCGATCCGTGCCGAGTACGCGATTCTTGATTGAGCATGGTCAATAACGTCTCGACGACTTCCAATACGCCTCTTCTTTCGACATGGTTTAATCACAGTTAGCTCCCCAAATCAACTGCAGACACAGATAGGTTATATAGCATGTTGGTCGTCCCTACCTATGTACCTCCTCCCATCTTTGAATTTCCCACCAGGGTTTCACTACTAGAAGTCCGCGCCTCGAATTCCCTCGCTGCGTCTACCTTGCCTCCAGGGCTCGTGGCCATCTTCGCTGGTGCAACCAGCGGCATTGCTGAGGCAACGCTAAAGCAATTTGCAAAGCACATTGTGAGACCGCGCATCTACTATATCGGCGAGTTCGAGGAAGCCAGTGACCGTGTAGCCAAAGATCTGAAGAAGATTAATCCGGAGGATGAGTACATCTTCGTCAAGGCGGACCTCATTACAGTCAAAACGGTGGATGAAGCCTGTAAAAATATTAAGGCTAAGGGGGAGACTCTCAATCTCCTCTTTTTGACTATGGGAGTGGGAGACTCATATCAAGAATATACAACAGCAATAACTCCTCACACCCGCGCCTGCTTTTTTCTGCACCTCCTCCCTCTTCTCCAAAAAACACAATCCTTCCGTCGCGTCGTCACCGTTTTCTATGACACCGAAAAGGACAACATCGCCGTCTCTGATATCCGGGGCCGCAACAACCCCCTCCGCCGCCATGCAGCCACATTCATGACGCTCCCTCTTGCCACAGCTATGGTCCCAGGCGTTTATTCGTCAACTGTTTTTCGGATCGTCTGAGGAGGAAAACCAAACCCAAAGCTACGGGGCTTTTGAGAGTTAAGAGGGTTATTGATCTTTTGCTCTATAAGCCAACGGGCAGCCAGGCGCATGCTATTTGTTTACTGCTACAAGCGCGAGGTATCTTGCTGGCGTGAAGGACGAGATGGCAGGCGTGCCAGTAAGTTCAGATGAAGCGGAGACTGATAGGGATGTGGCAACCGGGGTGTATTCTATCCAATTAAATGCAGAAGCCGAGAGGGCCAAGATGAGAAGGGCTTAGTTGTGGGCAAGGTATAAGAAAGGTGTGTTTCGAAATCAACCGCGACATGGGGGAGTACGATTTCGGTATTCTCCTCCGACAGATCTGGGAGTCTAAGATCTCGCCTACAAACCACATTTTCTACTATATACATTCATGTAGACAATCCAACCTCATTCGTAGTTTAATAGACTGGGTATTCATTCTACAATTCGCATCACTTATAGTCCATGTAATCGAAAAAAAAGTAGTAGGTCTGGGTGAATAATAATTTTTTGCATAATCACTGTGTCAGTATCTAACTTTCCACATTCCGCCAGCTCCACTGTGCTCCATAGACGGCAATCGCAGGTGGATTATCGGAGGCACATTCACGAGAACGATGTTCATATGTAGCTTCTGTGCCAAATAGAAGATCACGTTATTGCCCTGTTCTCTACAGATCTATTCCAAGCTACTAAGCTGGACGTGAAAGTAAATCAGAGTCCCTCCGAGCCCCCAAACGCTTTCAAAAGTAGCATCCTCGCCGACTACCATCCTGTACACGGTTCTGGCATACTCGCCTGCTTTCTTCGAATTTTCCACAGCCTTGTTCATCAAAAATATATTTCGAAGAAGAACAAAAGCTTCCACAAGATAATCCTGGAGCATCCCCCATCGCTCGATTGAAAATGGCGTCTGTGGAGAGTCGGTGCCACTTATGAGAAACCCTAGCCCAGTAAGAATTTTACCGGCAGCTACGATGCAATTTCTCGACTGGTTTTGAGATGCATAAGCTTGTGCCAAAGCCAACTGAGGGTCCCAGACGAGACGACGAGGGACTTTGTCTGCCGGCTGAGAATATGTCTGGTTCAATTCACCAACCAATCGCTCGATCCGTTTCAATGCGCCACTTCCCAATGAAGTTACCTTAAATGCCGTCTCTATGCTCTTTCTCAGCATTTCTCGCTTCCGCAAAACAGGAGGAGCTGTAGATTTGTTATCAGAGCATATGGAGCATGCACATTCAAATTCCCAATTCTCGAATTTTTTTTGGGCGTCTGTCGCATCGCCTTTGATGGGGCAGCGGTACCAGAATGAGAGCTCGGTGTCTTTTTTGATGTCGCAGGTTGCACGGATAATCATCATGTCGCCGATAAATGATCGACGGGTGTTGCTGGTGCAGCTGTGGTTGATGTATGACGATTGGGTCCAAATGCCGGTGGAATGAAAGGCACTATCTGGCTCTTCCTTATGGTCGCGAACTTTTTGTTGCGAGTTGATGCTGGAGAGTGGACAGCCAAAAGAGTTGAAGGCGATGGTTCGCTCCACCTGAAAACTATCAAAGCATGTTAGTAGAGCAAGTTGATTTTAGAGGGGTACTAACGTATCAACTATTGGTGTCTGGTCGACGACTGTCATGTCAACTCCTTTGTAATCCCCATGGTACAGATCCATGAAAGCTGAAGAAACCGAAGGATTATGGTACATCTTCTGAGCAATACTCGTAAGAAGATCAGCTTGTGTTCCCATAAAAGCTGTATTGGTTTCTGTGTTCATCAGGATGCTAATCGTCGATTCGCCTGCTTTTTTGGCATCCGATTCCTCGGGGGCGTAACAGTGAGCAAAGGCTTTCTCGCATAAAAGCAAGTCACCCGCTTTCACATCTTTTGTGACAAATAGTCCTCGGCCCTTGGATGCGGTCTGCCTGACTTCGATAGGCCCAATGTAGGTAGCATGATCCAGGTGAGGAGGCCTGAGCTTTTTGGCCTCTGCCTGAAGAAGTTTGAAGTCGAATTCTCCTGTCTTCTGCTCCTTCAGCCGGCTTTTGGCACGGTCCAGCGACGCACGAGCAAGAACATTGAGTGGATAAAGGCGGCAAAGCATCGCAAGTACGTTGTAGCATTCATCGAAGCGCCCGAGATGGTACAGGGCCTCTCCCGCCCTGAACATCGCTTTCTCAGAAGCATTCTCGCCAAAGTTGGAAAATCCTGTATCGGATAGGGCGGCGTCAAATTGTTTCGTCCGGAGAAAGGCGAGAGATCTGTTGCGCTTGATAGTGTCTGCCTCGTCGGCCGAAGTTGGTTGTGCAAGTGCATCAGAGTAACTACGGGGCCATCAGTATGAAATATGCTTGCTTGATGAATATACTCACATAGCAATAGATTCCCAGAATTTGCCTTCTTTCATTGCCAAGTTCCCCTTCAGCTTCAATTCCTCGGCCGACACCTCAACTTCGATGACACGCGGTTGCCAATCTGATGGGATCCTATCATCGCTGCTCTTGAGCTGAACAATATCAGAGAGATGGTCTGCACGCAACCCATACTCTCCATCGCTCATCATCTTGTAGTAGGGTTCCTTCACAAGAAGTATAATCCCCGTATCCGCGATGTCAGTTGCAGGCCGTGTTTCCTCATTTTCCTGCTGGTACATCTGTAACGACACAACATCCTTGTTTTTGTCTTCGGCCAGCACCATTATGGCCGTCATCCGGTTGGGGGGTGTAATGCATCGTAGCAGTATATACCTGCCTCGGTGATGCGTCTCGAGTAGAAGCTCATCAATCGTGATATGTTTGAGATCGGCCACTGGAGTGGTGCATGGAGGATATGCTGGTGCAATGAATGATGTATGAATAAAATAGCCGGGTTTGTTTTGACCCACGGGCCTCATGGACATCATGAACCTCATGTACGCATATTCGGGGGGCTTTCGATCGTTGGGTCGCTCACCTTGACGTTTTTTGGCTTCCTCCAAAGTCTTCTTGAACTTGTTCAAGAGATCCACATGCTGTGAGCTAACATCATGAGCATCCATCTGAAGCAATAGCTATTGTTTTGCTCTGGTTGTGTGGTGGTTTTGTGTTGACTGATGCTGCGAGTAAGACAGCCAGTTTCCAAAAATGTTGTTGTAATATTTCACCCTGTCATCACGAACGAAACTAGGCTGTCAACCCTTTTTAGGACCTATAATCCTCCTTATTCAAACAGTAGTCCAACAGTTTTCTTTGTTTGTTTGCTAGTGCAATTACTACATTACTACTCTTGCACGTACTAGATGATTCCTCGGTCCCGCCGGGAGCCTACTGCTGATACAGTAGCAGCACATATCACACATATCACCAAACGAGGCTCGCAATCAAATAATCAGGTAATCACAGAACGCTCTCAAAGGAGTCTAAGTACGTTCTTAAAGGCGGCTAAGTGCGTTCTTTGGGACTCATGGAATTAGTTGACCCCAACTGCATACATAGGCCAGAATTTCTACATAAGTTGATCGCCACCCAGCACCATAAGGAACAACACGGTCTACAGACGATCCACCGCCCACTCAACCACACAAAGGTAAATACTTCCAGTTTTTCACGTATCAAGTCATAATTGCTCACCTACATACAGCTTTTCATTCTCACGGTTGCCACCTACAAGTCAAGATGCCTATCTCCGAAGAGAAACAGAAGGTCATCTCAAAAGCCATCGAAGACTGTGGCTTATCGCCCGATCTATTCGAAACATTCAAGAAGATCGCTGAGGATGATGATGGATTCGGCAATGACGCTTTATACCGTTGCATCGTCCAAGCTGGCAAGACTATCAAAGTTTTGAAGGAGACATTCAATGAGACTATCCTGCTATCCTTAGCCAAATTATGCCCATGTTTCGTCAACTCCAGGCCGACAATGACCCCCGCAAGGGCAAGATTGAATCCGATCGTAAGTTTCATGCAAAGCTCTCGATAGAACCTTGTTAACTCAGGTTTGTTCTAGCTTCCACCGTACGATTGTACCTTTCCGCTCCCGTCGCCCTCAGCAAGCCACCAACCATGCCCGCCAACAAGGAACCAGAGCAGGAGAAGTGACAAAGGCCGGTTTGAGAAATGGCTTTCGATGAAGGGGGCTACTATGGACGCAAGGTGGAATGAGATAACAGTAATTGAATGTCAAACTTGATCCTGTGCCCACTTGTGTAATGCTCCATATGCTATTGAAACTCATAAATTGTGATGTTATATTTGGGTACGATCACGGAAAGGCTTCTCATTCAGCCTTCTATCTACCAACGGCCTTCAGCCAACAATTCCCATTTGCCTCCGCTCACTCTCGAGCAACGTCGCATCGAGAATGCACTTTCAGGACGGTTTTTGTTTATACCAAACGGATTCACGGGTGCTAGAGTGATGTACGCGGCAAATCACAGATAGATCCCCCCCTAAAAGCGAACACATTGCGCGGAAGTAGCTGGCAAGCTGTCAGGAAGCGGTGGTGCAGGGAGTTGAAGAGAGGAAAACATGAGGATACAAGTAGGTACGGGACAAACCCATATTTTAAGCTTCCTGCCTCGCAACCCCTCGCCTTTCCGATGGGACACAGCAACAAACAGACAGCTCAAACCCAACAGAGTAGAAGAGTAGAAGAGTAGAAGCCAAGAACTTTTCGCACACATAGCACACATCATGCATCAAAATCATGCATCACGCAAACATCATACAAAATTCACATCAAAACGTGCACGCAAAAAGCACACTCGCATCCAGCATCGTGATAATCATCATCATGAATTCAAGCAAACAGGTCGCCCACGGAATCTCTAGCTTCCAAAGACAAGACAAACGCCACATCCAATCCACACATATGCATCACAGCCACAAAGCCCTCTTCCAAGCCCCAAGAGAAGAAGGTAAAAATCGAAGAAGAAATAGAGAGAAAGAATAGAGAGATCACAACATCACAGAAAACAAAAGCCCGCAGCAAAACGAACACAATAAAGATGAAGACACCGCACAAAGATAATTCGATCGATCCAGTCAACATGCATTAAATCTCCACATCCAGCCGCCCACCCCTTTCCATCCCCCTTCGTCAAAACATAAGATAGCTAGCGCTCTCCCCTTCTCTGTCTCTCGTATCTTGGTTCCTTGTTTCCCGTTTTCCCCAGTTTCGCAAATTTGTGCACTATTAATACAGTTTCCTCCCAACGCACGCGCCGCATATAAACGTATGATATCCTCCACCCAACCCCCTATCCTAGTCTGCAGTCTCCTCAAAGTCGTCCACAGCTTCCTCTTGACTGCCCCCTCACACAGGGCTTGTCCTGGTATCATTACCCTCCTAGTCGCGACGACCAACTTCCTCTCCGTCCCCTCCCCAAAAAAACGTAATAAATAAGCCAAAAACAGAAGACGTAAAACGGTTTGCGAAAAAGCAGAAAAATGCACAATCTAACTTCAGGATCCGTTTCAATCATCGGGCTTCGTCCATCAATTCGTCCGTCGTCGCGCGTTTCATTTCAACACTCAACCCAGCTTCTTGCGTTGCCGAGTTGCGTCATATACCAACCTCCACCATCTTCAAACACACACACCTCATTCTAGGCAACCCCCATCATCCCATCATCCATCATGCGGTCATAAAAGCATCGTCTCATGAGGAAACATCGTATCGTAAAAGCGACACCCCACCACCACCACCACCGCCATCAAGCTGCTGCTGCTGCTGTCTTGTCTCCGCCTCCACCTCCCCCAGATCCAACTCCCCACTCCCCCGGCTCGCATGTCCATTCGTGCGCGCCCTCGCAAATCCAGCTCCCCACTCCGACCCCGGCCCGCGCGGCTGCCGCTCCACAGCCCCGCCTCCCGCAGCCCCACCACGCTGCACATCCTCATACGTTGACAGCCCGTGCGACGAGCGCTGCGACCCGATCGCGCCGGCGGTGGGGATACGTGGTGCCGTGCCGCCGCGCTCATAGCCGAGCGCTAGGTTGGAGAAAGCGGCAGGCAGGTAGTCGTCGCGCGGGGGAAGCTGCGCGTTTTGGTAATCGGCGTAGCGCGCTGCGTTGTGGGAGAGGTTGGCGGGGAACGAGGAGCTCGAGAGAGCAGGCGACGAGGTGCGCGCTTGTAGGTCGCCGAAGGATTTGGCTTCGCGCAGCGAGCGTGGGGCGCCGGTCAGGGTGCCGGGAGAGCTTGGCACATCGAGGAGGGCCGAGGTGGCGTTGCGCAGGGTGTGGTAAAGCGGGTCACGCGACTCGTTGAAGTCCATTGTGGCGGCGCGGGCGAGGCCGCGGCGCGAGGTGTCGTTGTAGAGCAGGCCAGACCCCATGGATAGCGGGTTGCTGCGCTTGTCTTTGAAGATCTGCACGTGGCGCATGTCGCCGGTTCCGGCTGACTCGTGCTCAAGGCCTAGCTTGTGGGCCAGTTCGTGCAGGACGCGGCGGTAGGTCGCGGGCACGGGAGGCTCGACGACGAACATGCGTCTGGTCTCGTCGTCTTTGAAGACAACGAGGCGGCCGTAGTAGTCAAGAGTCGTGGCATCGTTCATGTCGATTTCTGTTGGTGTTAGTAGTGCAATCATAGTAAAGTGGCTTGAGGTTTGCTTACTCGTCTCTTGCTGGCCGCGCATGGACACAGGCGACGGCGAAGTGGCAGGCAGGGCAGAGGACAAAGAGGAGATGGAAGCCGAGTTGTGCACACCCATCTGCATAGGTCGGTGCTGCTCCTCAAGCTGTCCCCTCCTCTCACGCTTCTCGCGCTCGATGCGCTCCCGTTCCTGCAGCGGCAGCATCTTCTTGTACTCGACGCGGAGCTTGCGACCCTGTAGCTCCATGTGGTTCATAGCATCGATGACGGCTGCCGTCTCCTCTGGGCTCGAGAAATTCGCAAATGCAAGTCCGCGGAAAACGCCGTTGTCAAAGTGATAGTTGAAGGCGTACGGCAGGGGCAGGTGCATTTCGGACATCACATCCGTGAGCTGCTCACGCTTGATAGCAAACGGGATATTCTTTATGACAATAGCCGTCGGAATCAGCTCCTCGGAGGCGCTGTCCTCGGTCGATGAACCCTGGCGGTCCTGTCGCTGTGGCTGCGCCAACTGGGATGCGTGGTACATCGACGGCTGGTGTCCGTTCGGCATGCCCTGCATTGGTTGCTGGGTCTGCAAGCTGGGGTACGGCGCATTCTGCTGTTGTGGCTGGTCTAACCAGGTCTTCTGGATGTCAGCGGCGTGCCACGAGCGGCGGTCTCTCGGTGTACTCACTGCTGGCAGGGCTCCCCTCCGCGCCTGTGCCCGGTTCCGCGAGGGCGGGCCCATGGTCGAGCTGAAGGCCGCGGAAGGGTTGTTACTCCAGGTCTGCGCACCATCGTAGGCGTTGAAGGCCGGTGCCTGGTAGAGCGTCTGGGGTTGAGGGAGGCGATCGGGGCGTTGGGCATCGTAGCGCATGGCGGCGTACTCGTTTTGCAGGTATCCCTGGCCCTGCTGCTGTTGTGCGTAGGGGTCAAAGTTGCTCGAGACGGCGCGCTGTCCACCTCCGCCTCCACCGATATTTGGGTATGGGCGGTTCGAGTTTCCTGCGGGAGTCGAGCGGTTTGTTGGGTCGTGATACATTTCGTCGTAATTCAGTTGAGAGGTCATGGCGGGCAACGGCGGCGGATAGATGCAGTTCGCTCGCTCGTCGGTTTCGTTTGTTTGTGCGTCGTGAAAACCTGAACAGAAGAAGAACAAGGAGAAGAAGAAGAGAAGATCGCTGGAGAAGAGAGTCGTGAGCAGGGGATTATATGATTTTCGTGATGCTGGTTCAACAGGGCACGCTTGGCAGCTAGCTCTCTGTAGCTTCGACCCCCACGACAAAACCTTTCCTATTGGCGTCGGTCGTAGTCAGGGCGACACGACGCAGGAGAGAAGTACGGGCGGGTTGGTTGGGTATATAATAAAGACTCTCGAGCGGCAGATGTAGCAAGAGAGAGTCGTCTAATGAGGCCAGCGAGTCGGCGTGGCGGCCGAAAGAAATGGGATGAGGGCGGGGGGGAGAGATTTGAAGCGGCGAGAAAGGGGAGGGAGAGAAGAAGGGGAGAGAGAAGCTCGTGAGGATCTTTTGTCGTGCTAAAGGACTAGCTCTCTGGGCGGGTTGTGGTGTCGGTCAAAAGTTGTTCCGCTCCGGAGTTGACCCTTTTTATTTTTCACCTAGCAACGGAAGGGCGTTAGGGAGGGAAAGTAGGGAAAATAGGGAAAATAGGGTAAATAGCGATGGGATGAAGAAAGACTGTGTAAAAATGTTAATACAATACAAATAAAATGGGATAAATGCAGGTACAGGTAAAGGATGAAACAAAGAAGTGGGAATATACAAGTTTTATTAAGTAATAGTTGGTAGTTGTAAGTAGTTTTAATAGGCAGCAGGGGGAAATTATGTTGCTCGTTCTGTTAGTAATGTTAGTAAGACCTCCCTGGTTGTGCTTGTTAGGGCGTTGCTACTAGTAACACCGAACGACACAGGACGCACGAGGCACCAAATAGAAATGAGAAGGGGCGTCTGTGAGGCTCTAGCTGTGACATATAAAGCGCGACTTGATGCACGGTAGGACGGTAGGACGTATATGAGCTTACGATATAGCATATAGTAGCTAACATTCTGACATATAGTACTTGCATCTGCATCTGCGGAGTAATGCCGCACCGCACACTTATACACTTATACTAGCTAACATAGTTATCGCATAGTTTCGCCCGTAGGTTTATATACTAATTAGTTACTATAGTTATTACTTATCGCCCGTGAATTTATCGTAAGACCTACCTAACTTATATATACAGGAACACCAATCCCATCCTATCCCACACCACCCAACTAATAGACGACCCCGTCCGTTACGCCGCCAGTCTAAAAGTACCAATCCAGTCCAAGTCCCCTAACTAATACACCAACTTTAGCATAACCACGCCCGGTCCCGGGACACCAACACCATAAATCTAGTGCCCGCGAGCTACGGGACATGGCGCAATGGTCTCGGCCCAGCATGATGATGTACTCTCGTACCCCTATCCAGTACAGACCAGACGGACAAAAGCTCATTATATGTAGGAAACACACGCACGCATCAGCATCTCAGTATAATTAATAGGTAAAGCTACTACTAATTCAAGCTACTAATGCTATTTCATTTGTGTTTATTCATTACTCTCTATGCCTGCAATTGCATCGACAACTCCAATTCGTTACCCCCCATGTAAACCCGCGCATTCCCATCCATCCCTATTTTCGCTTCCAACGGTATCACTACCTCCTATAAATGACCCCCCCTTATTCGCGCCTGATCCTCTAATTTTTCCATTCCCCCCCAAAATTCCTGCCAAAAAAGTGCACACACACACACACACTACTGCTTCCGTCTCCTCTTCGGACTCCCCTCATTCGCATCCCCAGTCCCCTCGTCCTTAACCTCCGTCTCCGTCCCCGTCCCCGCCCCTATCCCCGTCGTATCCCCAAAATCCAAACCCCCATCCGCAAACGCATCCCCATATCCCCCCCCAAACACCCCACCACCCACATCCCCCGTCGCCGGATCCCCATAGTACGCCCCGGGATCAAGATACATATCGAGATCCAGATTGCTCCCCTGCGTCGCATCACCAAAATACCCATCCGCCCCCGGCCCGGGGCCACCCCCAAGCCGCGGCGTCAACGGACTAAGCATATTCTCCACCTCCTCAATCCGCCCGTCCTGCTCGCGCTGCATGCGCGCCAGCTCCTCGAGTTCAGAGTCCGTGTAGCCCATCTGCGCGAGGCTCTGTGGTGGTGCGGGAGGCGGCGCGAGAGCATCCATGCCAGGCGCGCTATTACTCGCCATAGCGCGGAGGACGTCCGCACGCTGGGCAGGGGAGAGTGGCGAGGCGCCGTTGGAGTTCTCGTAGTGGTGGAGTGCGTCTGGAAAGGCCATATCGCGGTTCTGTGGTGCGTTGGCGTTGGTGGAGTTGATTAGCTCGATGATGTTGTTTGTAGCGGGGCTAGAGGATTCGGGTTTAAGAGGGGGAGAGTTGGTGGTTGACGACTCGAAGAGTTCTTCGATTGCGCCGGGTCGGGGGGTTGGGCGGTAGTTCCCGGTGGATGCGGTTGATGGGGCGGTGGAGGTACCGTCTGCAGACGGCGGAGGCATGATGAGGCGTTGTTGGCGGCGGATAGGACTCGCGTTGGGCTGACCAGAATTCACATTCCCCAGATCAACGACGGAGCCTTGGTGGTGCTGGTCTTGCGAGTTGGCGAACATCTGCGCGATATTCGGTCCACCCTGGCCATCGAGGCTGCGGTTGTAGACTGTGGCGAGGAAGGTGAGGATGGCATTTATCGACGACTCGTGGCGGTCGTGTAGGGTCTGGAAGGCGACGGCTTGCGAGTATAGATCGTTGTGCTCCTTCCGCAGCCGCGCTATCATGCTCGAGATGTTGCCCTGCTGTTGCTGGATGTCGCGCAGCTGCTTCTGAACGACCGTGAGCGCGACAGTACCGGACTGTCCGTTGTCGGGCGCGGCAGACAGGGCGCGGACAGCGCTGGGGTGTTCGTATCCGCCGCTGAATGTCTCCTCCACGCCGTCGCGGTTATCTTCGTCACTCTCCTCTGCGCCGCCTTCCTCCTGCTTCGTGAGGCCACCCTTGCCCTTCTTCTGCGGGGTCTTGGGCTTATTGATGAGCCAGAGGAGGTTCGGATGGCCGCGCTTGAAGTATGGGTTGTAGTATTCGCTCGGACTCTTGTTCTTTCGCTCGCTCGCCTTCATCGAGTTGTCTGACAGGCCGACGCGCTTGTGGAATCCGTACATGTTCAGTTGTCTCACAAACGATGCGTAGTTGTTATGCTTAAATAGCTCCGGGATCAGGTTCTTCGCAAACTCATCTTCGTCCAACACGACGAATGAGTCGCCCCGCTCCGACCAGCGAATGAGTTCATCGTTCTTGGCATCGTCGACAAAGCTAGAATACCGTCAGCTGTGTACATCTGTGTGGCGTGGAAACTGCTTACCTATTCAACTTCTGCACAAACGGCGGGATCTGTTTCCGCTTCGCTTGTGCCTCCCTCTTCGCCACCTGCGCTCTCTCCTCGAGCCGTTCAATACTATCATTCTCGGCGTGTCCTCCAATCTGCGCATTCGGATCAAACAACTCCTCCGTCAATCCCCATTCATTCGGGTTATCAAACTGTGTCCGCGACGCCGTCGGTACCAACTGCTGGTTCACCGGCCGCCTCGCAAGCTGCGTCGACTGTGCCGGCACAGCCTGCTGAAATGGCGCATTCGAAACCCCATTCGCACCATACTGCGCCATTCCAAAGTTCATATCCGGGAACACCGCGTTGTCAGCCGCGCCTTGGTTCCACCTCATGTACTGCTCGTTCGTAGCCTGCTGCGGCGGCGGGAAGGGTTGGTTCTGCATGGCGAGGTTCGGGACGGGGGACGCACCGGGCGCTGCTCTTTTTCGTGAGTTTGCAGGCGGAGGCATCCACGCGGTCATCCAGGTGGGGGAAGCGGACCGGCGGCAGCGAGGGGGGGCGTCTGTGGCACGGCGTTATCGTGGCGGGGTGAAGTTTGTGTTGGTCCCCGAGGATATATGCAGGATGCCTAGCGAGGGCGACAATGAGTGTGATGTAGCCGGCGGACGGATCGGTTTGCGTTCCAAGGGTATGTGTCCAAAAAGTTGTATCGTCAACCGGTGGGTTGTTCTGGCGGATCGTGGAGGAGCGTGGAGGGTTGCTTTTATCTTTCTGGGTCGTCACCGCTTAAATGTCCACCTGAAATCGGCAGAGTGAAAGGGAATGTCTTCGTCAATGCCAGGCGGTTCAGACGGCGTCTATTGTCCGTATGAGATTTTTTAAGGTAGGCTGTGCGTCATCTGTGTCTCAGTTATTCGTGTCAATGAGACTTGTTCGTGCTGTTCGGGGAGCTGCAGCTGTGTTGCAGGATCGACTTTGTTGGGCGGGCGCAAGGAGATGCGTGGGACAGTGTCTGAAGGCTGGTTATTGAGGCTTTGAGGCGAAAGTCTCAGGTATGATTTTATCTTTCAGGGGATTCCCATTGCCGTTTCGTCTGAGGGATGGGTCGCAATGGTCGTGAACGGTCGTAAGGCTCTGTTGTCGCGCAAATTGGGGTTTGATGCTGTTGATGTCTTGGTTTTTCAACGGATCACCATTGTCGATGATATCAGCTCACGATAGCGATCTATGTCACGTGATATATCGAGATTTCTCAGATATTTCATTCCCAGCATGTCAGATAAATTAGATTTCTTTATGAAAAATGAAAATAATAAAATAATACGTTCATTGATATGAAAATGTTGCTGCCTATAGACAAAGTGTCGTCATTTGTCTGTCCTTTGAAAGGCACCTATTTAAAGAATAAGAGACATTTATTTCATATTTTATTTTTATATTTTTAGCAATATCCATGCATCAGGAAACTGGGGGGTTTCAAATATAAACCCGGCGCTGTATCCACCTCAACTCACCTCAACCCCTCTTGATCAACCACCCCTATTTTCCCCTCATCGAGGAGAGCACAGGCATTGCAGCCTGTGGCCTGTTTCGGTTTATCATTGCATGAGAACTTTGACTTCTGAATTATAGTATTATTTTAAGTCGGCGCGGCGCGTCTAACCTGCCAGCTTTAGGTCCTCCTCTACTTCTTGAAGTATCTCCATCATCTGAGAATTGGGTGACTCTAGGTCATCAAAGATACTAGAGATAGACCCTAGGTAGTCAAAGATACTAGGGCTAGCTAACGGGTTAAAGATAATCTGTATTGCAGAAGGTTAGGTAAAATTTGTAAACTTAGCCCCAGAATTTCCACCTGAGCTAGATTCGCATTTAACTTACATATACAGTATCTTCTCCACCTGACGAGACTTTGATGCTGTAATCAGAACATGTGGATCCAGATCCACATATATGTGTAGTGCTTTTCTGACCGTATAGGTCAATATGATCGCTGCCAAATATTGGTGCACTCCAGGTGCTGTACGTTGTGCCAGACTTTGGGCCTGCGACGTAGCTCATTCCCCAACGACTATCATCAGTTGCACATAGGTCTCCTCCTGACGATGAGGACTTCCCAGACACATGACCTACTGAAGCACACGTTACTCCATAGCCTGTTACTTGGGCAGTTGCATTGCTGCCCTTGTCGTACTACCCATGAATGAATGATTAGCCTCAACCATTGAAAAATTCCAACAGAACTCACCATGCAGTGGACTACTGATGTGGGAACGTCGAATGTCACTTTGAAAGGCTGGAAAGGTGTTGAATCATAATATACACATCCCTTTACATTGGCACCTATGTGGCAGCTCTTAGTTATTGGAAGAGCGGCATAGATCTTCAGCTGTTACTTACCTGCTCCGGCACTTGAGCCAAGGATGAGACATCCTAAAACAAGTGCATATAGCAACATAGTAAAAAGTTGGACGGGTGATCTAAGCGTCCTAACGTTAGCAACAACTATATTGGACCCTTGTTCTACTTGCACTTACAGCGTGTTATAACTTTTTATATCACTCTGAGTTGCACTTTTTCGGAAAGCTTTCAGATTTACAAAGTCGAAAGAAACGAAATTCTTCATCATATATAACTTCAAGCACAGTCCTAAAGTATATCATTTCGACATCATTATGATGTCAACATAATTTCGCGATGTCAGTAAGTTTTTGGGACTTTGGTCGAGAATCGCGTCGTGATAGTGGCCTTACACGTGACCGCCATCCCAATTGCCCTAGCAATACCACGACCAGTCGCGATCACTTAAGACACGGCCAACCCCCCCTACGGTAAAACAGGAATATTCGTAGCCAAATACTCCCTATACATCGGCCTCGGCCTATTCTCCACCCCCAGTAAATCCTCCACCGCACTCGCCCACCTAATCAACCTCCCCTCACTCCACGCCGTATGCTGAAAGCTCAACCCAAACGGCCTCCCCCCCATCTCATCACTATCAACACCAACCGGAATAGTAACTATCGGATACCCCGCCTGCGCAGCAAGCTGCTGCCCCGGACCCGCCCGATCAGCAAGCAGCAGCGCGTCGAGCTGGATCGCGGGTGTGGAGGGGTCAGGTTGGTAGGTCAGCGCGGCGTCTATGCCGTTCTCGCGGGTCTGTGAGCGGATGTACCGCAGGGCGGCTTGGTAGGTTTCATCTTTGACGTCTTTTTTGTCGATGAGTTTTTCGAGAAGGTCTTGCCCGCTTGGGAAGCCGGGGTCGTCGCCGGGAGATGCGCCGTCGTGGTGCGCGATGTTGTAGGCGACTACGTCTTCGAGGCTGCGGATGGTGGTGTTTGTGAGTTCTGCGAGGTATGCGCGAAGGCCGTGGTAGAATTCTACGCCGCAGACGAGGTATTCAGACTGGTCATCTGGTCCGGAGTTCCTGAGAAGTAGTTAGTACTCGCCGTCGTATTGTAGTTGATAGGCAAGACTAACCAATTCCATCCTTTCTCATCAATCATCGCTTCCCTAGTTATTCGTGAGCAAATCCAACACCATAGAACCGCGGCCTACTAACCAACAAGGAAAGTCGACTTCAACAATCGTAGCCCCTGCATCTCTGATCATCTGAAATACTTCCTCAAAACGTGGCCGGATAGCCTCATCAACATTCTCCCAAACCCTCTTCATAGGAAGCCCAAACACAGCTCCCTTCAACGACTCCTTCGACGCAAGACATTTCTCATAATCGACGACATGATCCGCCGCCTCAGCCGTATACCGATCCCTCTCATCCACCCCAACAATCGCCTGCAACCCCACCACAGCATCCCTAACACACCTCCCAAACGGCCCCACCGAATCCAAACTCTCACTACACGGAATCACACCCGCGCGCGACGTCAACCCAACCGTCGGCTTGATCCCCACAAGCCCCGCATAGTTCGCCGGCGAGATAATCGACGTGTCCGTCTCCGTTCCATACGCTAGCACCACAATCCCCGCCGCGACAGCGACAGCTGATCCGCTCGAACTGCCCCATGCGCTCATGGAGAGGTTGTAGGGGTTACGGACCTGGCCGCCGCGCGCGGAGTAGCCCATGGACTCCTCGCTGCCGCGGATGGAGGCCCACTCGGACATGCCGGCGTGGCCGAGGATGATGGCACCGGAAGCGCGGAGGAGGTGCACAATGTGTGCGTCGCGGGGGACGATGGAGCCGATGAGGGCGCGGCAGCCGGCGGTGGTTTGCATTTTGTCTGCGGTCGCCATGTTCTAGGTGCTGTTAGTGGGGAAGAGGGAAAGGGAGGGCGGGGGAGGCGGACATCTTTGACAAGGACGGGAATTCCATGGAGGGGACCACGGAGGCTGCCCTGCTTGCTCTCAGCGTCAAGAGCGGTGGCTATAGCGGCGGCATCTGGGTTCACCTCGATGACGGAGCCGAGGTAGGAGTTTGTCTGCGAGGATAGTTAGATAAGTTACTGAGAGTGGGATTTTGTTTCTGAAAAGCTTTGACCTGTTTAATCCGGCTTAGAGTCCATTCTGTCAGTTCCAAGGAAGAGAAACTGCCAGAGCTGAGATGGCGTTGGATATCCGCGACGGTGATCTCCTCCATGTCAACGCCATTGAGGGGCTTCAACGCGAATATAGTTTTGGCGTCTTCCATGGTGCAGGATTCAGAGATGGATCAGGTATTAGTTGGACGAGGCGAGCAGTGAGTTCATAATAAGTAATAAGTAATAAAAGTTACTTTCTATATGGAAGTTGAATATAGGTAGTGATCTATGAACGTGACAAGAGGAAGGGAATATCTCTCTCGGCGCCTGGCTGTATTACACCCACAGTACTGCATGGCCTATAATGTCTTGCACAGCATGAAAATAGTCGCTGTTGCCTAGTATAATAATGCAGTAGGTTTCACGGAGGAAGGAGAGACACAAGAGTGAGTTCCGGTGTCGGGCATCGCATTTCTCTATCAGGTGATGGGGGGAAGGAGGGGGGAAAGTAGGGGAAAGTAGGGAAAGTAGGGAAAGTTCGAGTACGAGCACTGTAAGTCAGTCGGGTAAACAAACGGACCGCACAATCCCACCCATATCACGTGACCATGGGGAAACACCGGTCCATGGCCAGGGCAACAACAACGACAACTCATCGTCTTCCAACTGCCCAGCGGCGACAGAAGTCAACATCTGTCAACTCATAATGTTCATACCGACATACATGAGATCAAGGGCTTCAAGAGCATCAATCTCTGACGGTGATAAGCCTATGGCGCCAATTACTATGGCTCTGGCTGTCTTCCCCATGTGTGCGCTGAGGTGAGTCCCCGCAAGCCAAGCAGTCAGCCGCGAGGAGATGATGCTCTCCCTTCTCCCATTTTCCTGTTTCTGATCTACTAGAGAGAAGAAGAATAGAGAGCGAAATATATAATGTCTCCTCCTATCTCTTATATCTTTGATAGTATCTCATCCTCTTCCCCTTTTCTTTCCCCACGTCATTCTTTTCTCCTACATCATCCCCTCATCCAAAACTGCGCGAAATGTTTTACTCGCCTACCGTATCACCTTCCTCTCTCCTTCCGCAAGCAACAAGCAAAGAAACGCGCTTGAGCAACTTCCCTTTCCCTTCCCCCAATCACCAAAACAACAAAGTTCCCATCAACAATCCACCGACCCAACATCAACCAACCTTCACCAACAATCAACTTTCGTCGTCATCAACAAACCATCGACAACAACAACGTCGCCATCAACAACGGATCAATACCGCTTTATTTGCACTTCGTTTTTTCAACCACAATAAACTACAATGGCTGGCGGCAAGGGAAAATCTGGTGGCAAGTCCTCGGGAGGCAAGACCGGTGTCGATGGATCCAAGAAGCAGCAGAGCCACTCTAGCAAGGCTGGTCTTCAGGTTAGTACATGATTTTATGGGTGGTCGCGTTGTTTTATTTCGTTTTCCTGCTCTGGATCGGCCGAGAGAGCTGTTGTCGCATACCCCGCCAGTCGCGTCATGACTACCTCGACACTCGATCTCGAGCTCACGACAACACAACCATCGTTAGAGTCGCCAAAGCCGAAGACACATGCACACAGCTATATCAAAGGCAACCGTGGCGCGTCAGAATCGAACTGTGATGTTGGACATACATGCGGATACGTTACATTGCACAACTAGGCAGCACCGCGCAGCTCACACGCCGTACCCATGAATCAGAACAACATCGCATCTGCGCCACTTCATCGATTTTGTTTTGCGCACCTGGCGGATCCCCATGCTGACACCTTTCCAGTTCCCCTGCGGTCGTGTCAAGCGTTTCCTCAAGAACAACACCCAGAACAAGATGCGCGTCGGCGCCAAGGCCGCCGTCTACGTGACCGCCGTTCTCGAGTACCTCACAGCCGAAGTCCTCGAGCTGGCAGGAGTAAGTCACACATTCACCCATTTTACCCTATCCAATGACTAACACCTCTCACAGAACGCCGCCAAGGATCTCAAGGTCAAGCGCATCACACCCCGCCACCTGCAACTCGCCATCCGTGGTGATGAGGAGCTCGACACCCTGATCCGCGCGACCATCGCCTTCGGAGGTGTACTGCCACACATCAACCGCGCGCTGCTGCTCAAGGTCGAGCAGAAGAAGAAGAACAAGGCCATCGAGGCCTAGACGCGCCCCAACTGCGCGTCTCGTTTTTTTCTCTTCTCACTCACGCCCTGAGGGTTATTACGGTTTTTGATGGTGTACGGGGATATTATCGCGCTTTTTCTTGTGTTTTTGAGTCTTTTATGGTCGCTTTTTTTTGTGACTTCTTCGTGTGCGCGAGGATGGGATAAGGGGGGTATTGGACCGAGAGGATATTGGAGAGTTGGCTGTTGCGCCGTAGAGGGGATGATGCGGGGGGGTTGCTCATTGCTCGATGCTATGGCTTGCGTGGCTGGATGGATGGAAATCGTGGGTTAGGGATGGATGGATGGATGGGGCTATGGCTCTTGTAACGGTAGTCAGTACGAATGAATAGCAAAATTTCTATGATGCGGGTATGCACTACGAACCTGTGTGAGGCTATAATCTGCGGAATATAGTTCTATTGCCTCGAGAAGAGCCTTACTACCTCTACTACTACGGAACACATCTGCGCCATTATATATTATCATGCACCACGCATCTATCACCTCACTACGAGTGCTCTCCTTCGTCCGCAATGTAGATATCGGAAAAGTCAGCAGGGTCTAAGACCGCCTCCCCCTTGCCAAAGGAATACACCGCCCACCGTTGAAGGGGGGGGGTTGCGAATTATCACCTACGTTTTTGGTACCAGCCTAATTCTAGCTCCTCTTGATTGAGTGCTGTTTTCCACTTAATATCACCCTTTTTATCTGAGTCAACCGCTGCTTCACTGGCTTTCGGCATTGTGTCTAGAGTGTGAGGAGGAGCGGTTACGTGGATGTGCCACCCGCTTACAACCAAGAGAACACAAACTGCATAGTATATAGCCTACGGCCCCTAGCAAAGTTAATATGTATCTCATCTACCGCATGAAGGTAGAACGATTACCCCCTATATATGGCAAGAACGATTACCAAGCAAGCCTCCATAGCAACTTCCTTGGATTGCCCAAGTTATAGATATGGAAGGAACGATTGCCAAGCAAGCCTCCATCGCAGCTTCCTTGGGATTTTCAGGTTATAGATCTGGAAAGAACGATTGCCAAGCAATCCTCAGTCGCAGCTTCCTCGGGGCTTTCAGGCCTTATTATATATGGAAAGAACGACTACCAAGCAAGCCTCAGTCGCAGCTTCCTCGGAATGTCCACGTTATGGAAGGAACGACTACCAAGCGAAGAAATAGACAAATCACATTTGTTGAAGAGATCCAGCGATCCATTGATATATCAGTTGGTTGACGGCTTTGGTCAAGCTTTGGTGAATCATATGCTAAATGCCCAACTGCGAATTTGAGAGGCCCAAAGTTGCATCTTGGCGATTGAACGCTAGCCTTGTCGGGCAAGGCGCGTCTATGTGACTCGCCCCGCATAACAAGCTTTCACGAAGGAACGAACTCACCTCCTCCTTTGCTGGTGGTCACTTATCCTCTTCTTTTGTCCTCTGTATTCTCGATTATTTTGTTGTCGAAAACTATGAATTGCAACCAACTAAGTTTATCGCATTGCGAGTGAGTTAGACATGGTAGGACAAGAATTAAATGCTGTTGTAGAGGAAAAGGTGAAGAGAGCGAGAAAGGGAGTGAGTAAAAGCAAGACCGGGTGCTTTACTTGTAGGTAAGTTTGAACAGGGGTTCTTGTTTCTTTCAATTAGTGGGTGCGTGCGATGCTTAGTTAAATGGAGGCTGTTTGAAAAGGGGCAATTCGCGAGGCTTCATCTAAATATATATGGAGGGGGATACTAATCTTAGGTAGCCCCTTTATGTCTTCTGCATGAGCTCTAGATTTGGGATTTGTATTACAGCGTTTCAATCAAGATTTTTTTTTGTCATCTTCCATTCTCATGACCTCGGATATGCTCATATCTCCCTTTCTTCACTTCTTGCTTGGTGTACCTTGATCTGATACTAACAATTATAGGGTACGACATATAAAATGCGATGAAACCAGACCTAGTTGCATCCGTTGTACGGAAACTGGCAGACAATGTGACTATCTAAACCCGGCTTTGGCTGTTCCCCCGCCACCTAAGCCAGCCAAGAAGCTTTTGAGTCTTTCCAATCAACAAACATCACCAAGCACTTCATCAAATTCAGATTCAGCTAAGACGGTTGTAATGCCGCCACGGCTCCGGTTATATCCTCGAATTCTTCCTCAACTCCATCCGGAGGAAATTCAAAACTTTGACTATTTCCAAAACGTTTGTGCAAAAGACTTTGCGGGGTATTTTCAAGGCTCCCTTTGGGAAAAGTTGGTTCTTAGGACTGCTTATGAAGAACCTTGTATAAGGCATGCGGTTGTTGCTTTGGGATCTCTACATCGAGCGCAGATGTACCCAGCTGACATTCGGAACAACATCTCTGCGCCTGACTCCTCCATGAGGTATTACCGCAAAGCCATTTTGACGCTTAATCAAAGACTCGAAAGTTGCAGTATGAGCTGGGAATTGGCAATTCTTTCAAGCCTGATTTTCCTAGCCCATGAGCTTTTACTCGGCCATGATGTCGTGGCCTTTATGCATCTCAAAAGCGGATTCAGGATGCTTAAAGCAATCCGAGATCGCTTCACTCAATATTCAGCTGATGGAAAGATTGTAGCGACCAATCCATCTGCTTGCGCCCTTTCCGGAAATCTACATGATCTTGTCAACGCCTTCGCAAGACTTGACGTTCAAGCAGCTACGTTCGAGAGAGCATACAAACCCAATAATTTCAGGACAGCAACCTTGCCAGACCGATTTACGAGCGTACTCCAGGCCAGAGATGCGCTGAATTCAATACTTGCAGCGATGTATTCCCTTCTTCAACAGAACCGCGAATTAATCAAAAAGACACTCCCATATATACCCTTGCCGGCTAAGACTGCGATCGAAGTGGAGCAAATTAAAATGCCCTTGAACCGCTGGTCTGACCTGTTTTCTCTCTTTAGCAAGCAGAATCAAGTCTCACCAAAACAACAAATGTCCATTGACATCCTTGTCATACAGCATATGGCAGCCTGGATCCATATTTCGACGTTTTTCAATCACGACCAACTGTCATACGATTTTTATTACTCTAGCTTTGAGCAGATCGTAGATCTTGCACAGAAAGTTAGTAGCATAGATGATGATAACAAAATTTCTAGGTCACGTTTCAGTCTTGACGTCGGTTTGATCCAGCCACTTTTATACGTCGCAACACACTGTCGTGATCCCTCTTTGCGGCGCCAAGCAATTAAAATCATGGACGGACTAGGCAGAGAGGGCTTATATGAAGGGCCGTCTAGCGCAGCGGTTGCAAAGTGGGTGGTCAAGATGGAAGAGGACGGTATGGAGCATGGGTTTGTAAGGGAGGGGAAGAGATTCCATGGTGAGCTTGCGACCGTTTTTGACAACATCAAGAGGACATTTCAAGTCACGGGAACTAGAAGAAACTGTGATGGCGTTTGGGAACACGTTAATGGACATGCTACGTGGGAGGTTCATAGTATATGACTTTGTGATAAATTTAGGCAGCAGCTGGATGGGATTTTAAACGCCCATTTATGTTCTATAAAAAACATGCCGTCGCCCCTTGCATCTGTGACAAAGCATCAGCATGAGATATCAGACATCCCAGACCTCAGACAACTGATGTCTCGCATTGCCACCTTGAATATCCGTGGAAGGAGACTTAGCATCTAATACCACACACAGGATGCGCACCCACTCGTCGGTTCGGTTTGCCCAGCTAAATTTTTTATTAGCGGATGCATCGGTTTGTAAAACCCGAGACACTTACCCATGCAGTGTCGCACGCTGAATGAGAATATCGCCTGCTTTACATAGAGTCTCCACAAACCTTCCCTTTCCTGTCTCTGGGTTAAAAGCCTCGTCTGGTGTCAAATACACCACCTCACCCGTCTGAAAGACCATATAGTCTACTGAAGTCGTCCGGTGCTAACACATATTAGCGAGCTGAGCAGTGGCTTGCATTGAAGATCGGGAAGAATCGTCATATACATACTATTGAGGTAGAATATCCAGGCGCAATATCTAGATAATAGATGTTTGCCCCACCAGGCAATACAATCCCGGCCCCAGGCACCTCTTCCAGTTCAAGTTTCCCGCTGCGAAAAAGTTTAGCTTAAATCGACGGGAGAAACTGGCTAGGTGTGCTGATAGTGTGAGACTTACTGTCCAACGGTTGAGGCGGGAATGGATTTGTGATTGAAGATGCTGATTTTGGCATAATTTCCATCTAGAATTGGAGCGCTTGATAAATCATCTGCTGTTACTTCAACAGCTGGCTCGGATTTAGTGACAGTCGAGAGCGTGGTGGGAAGTGGTAAATTCGAAGCTAGAATTCTACGGACGACAGGAAGACGATTTTCGGGTATCGACATGTTGGATAAGATATTAAACGTTTTGTGAGGCTTAAGTTTTATTGGTGTAACAATGGATAAACTGGAACGACTGAAAGGACACTTAAATGAGTTGGCACCCATAACTTTATATGCTATCCAGTACCGTCGCCATACTATCGCTTCGTCCCCCTCTTCAGGCTGGTTGATTATCAAGCCTCGACGCAGCAGACTCTCCACGTAGATATGCAATTGAATTCCCATAAGCGGTACCATCGGATTTCTAAGCAATTATAAGCAATAGTCCTTGCTGAAATACACGAAGGAGCCAATTGCGATTGCTCTCCTAATTACCCTAGTGTTTGTTTGTGGGACACTTGCGAGACTATGGCGTCTGATAATTGAAGGCGTAGGAGACATCCCTGTCAAGTGAGACGCCCTGTAATAATGGGCTCCACCATGTTTGTAGGCTGTAGCTTACAAATGCTAGGCCAGTCAGGGGAGCAACTGTAATTGGCTCCTTCGTGTAAGATCAATGTACTTCGGTTATTAGATTAATGCTTAAATAATACGCTAGTCAAAGGGGCAATCATTATTGGCTCCATCGTGTTCTTGACATTCTGAGGAAGCTAACTCTCACACGGAAGCAAGTTTGTCAAGTCTCGCATAGCTCCTCGTAAATCAATTACATATTGCTCCAAGCAGGAAATATCAAGATCACAGCTAAGTGTCTGTAACAAGTTCAACACTGTTGTCATTACCTTTGTCGCCCTCGCCCTCGCCGCCGCCACAACCCCACTTGCCCGTCGCCGCTGCATTAGCAGCCTGTCGAACCAAAGCTGCCTGCTGAATAAGAACTAGCCGCCGAACCGTTTGCTGTGTGAGAACCCACCTGCCGAGGCAGAATTTCCTGATGAGCTCGAACCTACGAGAAACCTGACGCAAAAGCCTGGCGCAACTTTCGGAGTCGACCAACCATTCTGTTTTTTTAAGCGCTCTTGGGCCGGTTCGTCGCAGATCTGCCCAGTACCTGCACAGGTTAAGCAAGTACGAGTAAAAATTTATATACCCTGTATTATCCCAGTAGAGATCTATGTACCCTGCTATTTATTAAAGAGGTTATTCTACCGTCCTCCACCTTCCCATGTGACTGTACCTCGCTGCCGTTACCATCGCCGGGCCCCTCACCATAGCCCCATTGCTACTCATGAGAAGAAGTAATAGTCCAAGAGCCGGAATATGGAAGCTGGAGGGTGACATGGTATCTTGACATGGAAGCTACTGGGCTTCCCCTCTGTGGACCAGGTGTTGGAGGCGCAGCACCCAGAAACGCTGAGTAGCAAGGTCGATCTAGCGTTGACGCAGAAGGAAGTCGAAACATTAAAACCTATTTTGCCCAGGTTTTGAGATGGCGGGCTGACAAGAATGTTGCTCTCACAATCTTACTATGGCGGCTAGGGAAGGTAAAACCTCCGATTACTATCCTTACCATTTTAGGACGATATCTCAGCGTGCTTGCCCAGCTGCCTGCCCCCGGCTCAACAGTACGCAATTCCATCCGGCTACATCGAGTTAATGCGTGAACAATCAGACCCTAGTCTATCAGGTCGGTCGATAAATATATGACGCACCCGGGGAAGAATTCGAAGGTTGATGTACTGGGGAAATATGTTGTTGAGCCCTTGGTATGTACCACGGCGACAGTTGGGACCGGATTGAATCCGGGGATTATGAGGCTTTGGAACGTCGTGGATGCCATTACTGCCGGATACTCGATTGCGATATAAGTTAGAACAGAGGCAAGGTTCGTAACAGGAAGGATACTGTGAAGAGTTCATCTATTTATAATCACAATTTTATTTTGTGCCACAGACCCCAAGAATATATTAATGAATGCAATAGCCATTGTTAGTGACCAATCTATGAAGACCAGCAGCTTCATCTGTGCATACCAGATGCTCGCTCTCTCCCCATGAAATTTTTCCGGTGGCACAATGCACTGACTGTAAGTGATAATTATGTCCTTGGCTATTATTTACAAACCAGTTAGCACTTCAAGTTCCAAAATGCGGCGTTTCTTGAACTTAGGCTAATGGGGTTCGGAGGATTGTCGCCGGGATTATATGCCCGCCATCATTAGTCCGATGTATGGCTTAAACCCGTCTGCAACCGACCAAGAGACTGTCATGTTTAATTATCTAGGAATTATTTGGTATATAACTATCATGTTGGGTATCTCCTTGAATGAACTTGATAGATGATAAGATATAACAGCGTATTTCAACCAGATAAGCCGGTTAGAATTTAATTACTAGGAGAAAACTACAAAGCAATGAGCCTCAGATTGGAAAACCATTATAGAAATAAACGATGGGTGGATAGGGCATGCGACGTTACCTCGAATGAAGATTCCATTGTTAGATTTAATCCCTTGATAGCTAGAAGGCAGAGTCAGATCTCAGCATTCCAGCAGCATATGACACACTTGCTAGCGATAAAGCATAGATTCCAAGGCTAGATATGCATGGGGAGCATTTTCCACCAACACCGCAATGCCCTACAAGGACGCTAATTGCACGAAAGCGACAGGGAGATGCGGGACCGATGACAGCCCCTCATTTCCCCGCAATGCTAATAGTATCGGACAGCGGGTCGGTCAACCACGCGCCGAGCCAATGGGCCCAATCCTCAAATCAAGGTTGACGATTAGAGCTATCAACCCCACACTATATGCACTTCTCAGTATCTAGCTACCGGTTAATTATAATAGCGTGTGGGGTTGATGTACGGCCTTTAGCCGGAAATAAATGACATCGTCTAGTTCTAAGCTATGCTTTTGAGATGGGATGAGTTGGTACGGAGTGGCGTTATAACTCCAGTATTCAAGAGCTGATCTCGGTCTGAATTAACACGATCAGACGCTTGAAGCCGAATCAGTGAGTTTAGGCCAGCTTTAAAGTAGAGCTGGAGTTAATCGTTGCCATTGAGCTCGCTTTCTACGAAGCGTATCCATAGATATAAATAGTAATCATATCCCCCCAATCTTCAAACTCGGGATATTATCATCCTTTCAAAGTTTACCCTGCCATTCAATTCATCATGTCAAAAGGGACAACAGGAATAGCTAGACATGATCTCAACGTCAACGACGTTGCCGCTACATCCGAGGTGTCTCGTCTGCTCGCTGAAGACACAAGACCTTGGTACCAGAAAAAGAATCTAAGAACTCTTTATGCATTCTTGGTTCCGGCCGCATTAGGCGTTGAAATAACAACAGGCATGAGACTGCCTTCGAACTGGCAGATATTTCCAAAACTGACTCTGTCGTTCTAGGCTTCGATGGAAGTGTCCTTAACGGCCTCCAAGCCGTCGATAAGTGGCAATCGCATTTTGGTCACCCTACGAGCGCCACCTTGGGTCTCATCTCCGCCTCCATGGCGATCGGCTCTGTTGCTGCTGTGCCTTTTATTCCATACCTTAATGATCGTTGGGGCAGACGATTCAATGTAATTCTTGGTTCTGCTATTGTTGCCGTCGGAGTGGTCATCCAGAGTGCAGCTATCAACATCGGAATGCTTATTGCTTCACGTACCATTATGGGCTTTGGCTTGACTGTTTGTCTATCAGGTGCTGCGCAGCTTCTAACAGAGCTGTGTTACCCCAAAGAACGCGCAAGAATTATCGGCATGTTCCAAGTATCTTGGTATATTGGCTCTATATTTGCTGCTGGTCTGACCCTAGGCACTTACGCCTGGCCATCAGATTGGAGCTGGCGTCTTCCTACAATCTTCCAGATTGTGCCATCCCTTCTTCAACTGGTTTTCATCTGGTAGGCATCCAACTTTGGATCTGGGAATCAAGTATATTCTTTACTAACACCCAATATAGGTTCATTCCGGAATCACCTCATTGGCTCATATCTCGGGACAGACATGACGAAGCATTAGCTATTTTAATCAAATATCACGGCGAGGGTGATGCGAACTCAGCATTCGTCGCAGCAGAGTTCCTCCAGATTACAGAAACTCTACGTCTTGAGAAGGAAGCGTCATCTCGACCATGGCGCGAGTTGTTCACCACCAAGGCCAACATTCGTCGCGTGTTGGTTGCTTTCTGTGTAGGACTCTTCTCACAATGGGCAGGAAATGGCCTTGTCAGCTACTACTTAGCCAAAGTACTGGCTACCATTGGAATCACCAACCGTCTTAAGCAACAGCAGATCAACCTTTCGCTGAGTTGTTGGAATTTGTTCACCGGTGCCACAGCTGCCATAGTTGGCACCAACTATTTCCCTCGCCGTACGCAATTGCTCGTCGGATTTGGCTCCATGTGTGTCCTCTTCTCCTGCTGGACTGCTGCGTCGGCCACATTTGCAAAGGACAACACCAATAACTCTGCCGCTACTGGTGTTGTGGCACTGATTTTTATATATTACGCCTTCTACAACTTGATGATGCCTCTGCAGTATCTATACGTATCCGAAGTCTTTCCGTTTATTCATCGCTCTAAAGGTATTGCTATTATGCAATTGGCGAACAAAGGCGGAACTGGCTTCAATCAGTTTGTGAACCCAATCGGCCTCGACGCACTCCAGTGGAAGTATTATCTTGTTTATGTCGTCCTTCTCGCCTTTGAAACATTCACGATCTGGCTCATCTACCCTGAAACAAAGGGAGTGTCTTTGGAGGAGGTTGCTGTGGTAATGGAGGGTGATAAAGCGAATGTCGGGAGGTTTGAGAAGGAAAAGAAGGGCGCATCAGCTTATGATGATGAATATAGGCTATAATAGACCCTGAAGACTCGTAGCACAATCCGAGTGCTTCATATATTTCAATATATTTCTCTTTATTATTTGGTACTTCAACTTATGCAAGCAATAATGGGTGACTTGTGTTGAAAATACGAGCGTTTCCAAAGTCAGTTGCAGTCCAACCCCCCATCACGAATCAAGGACCAAGAACGCCAGCTTGGAAACGAAGTCAGCTCAAAGCAATGCGACAGTCAGGGACACCAGGAAGGATAATAACTTACCAATTACAACAGCCTGCCAACCCCTCATACGATCAATCTCCTTCTTCAACATCACCAACACCGTCACCACAACCACCGCCTCGGAGATGCCACTACCGCCTTTGTCCACCCCGTCGCCAGATGACCACTCCCCCTCAAGCGACAACTCCAACCTTCCCCCGTTCCCAGCATTCGACTTCTTCGTCCCCGGTGTACGTGTCTCTTCGCCCCTCACAAGCCTCGCAACCTGCCTTCGCTCATCCCCCACCACTCGCTCGAGAATAAGCAGGTTATCGCATCCCTCTCCCCTTGCCTCCGCAACCCTCTTCCGCTCCTTCCGCCCGCCATACCGCCACTCAAACCTTTGGCCCCCAAACCCAAATGCCAGAGTCCGGCTCGTCCACCGTGTCTCCATTGTGAACTCTGACCGCCCCGTCGCGTCGTCTAGGATCTCCACTACCGGATCTGCAGACGGGCCTAGTCGGTATCGCGTCGTCGCGATGGGGGTGCGCGTCTCATCGTCGGCGCGAACAAGATCGCAGTGCCCCTTTGTGCGCAGGGGGCGGATGGAGATGTAGACTGGGACTTCGCAGCGACCAGTCGCGCCAACAGTGAAGATGGGTGTCTCAAGCGTCTTTGGGGGGGTGGGAAGGGACACCATGCTGTGACCTGATGTTTGGATTTGGAGACATGATGTGGGGGTAAAGGGGCCAGAGGTGTGGGTGATTGTAGTGGAAGAGGCGTGGGAGAGGAGGGAGGCGGAAGTGGAGGCCGCGGTTGAGGGGGCGAGGGAGGCCGTATCGAAGGGGTTCTTGGATGAGGGGGCAATGGAGGCCGCATCGAATGGATTTTGGGGATCAATGGCGGAGTAAGAGGAAAGGCGGCGAAGGCCGTTGTTGCTTTTCTTCGCGTCCATTGTGCACAGATTTCTGATAGCTCTATGGGATACGCTTATGATAGAAAAATGTGCCCGGTGATAATAGGAAATCAGAGATTGGATAGATTTGCAAATGAGTTATCGAAGAGACGAAAGAAAGCCCCAAGAGGAACCACTCACTCTATATAGACACATCTCAGAACTCAGCCTCCATCCACACAACGCCGTAAATGGCAAGTTATCCCTCCCTGACTTGAGATCTGCGAAATCCATCCATGATTGCTCTTGGCGCGATTGCCTAATATGGAGCTGAATGCGACAACGCGACGCTAGTCTCCATCAAGTAAGTCACCTGATTTATAATTTTTTGTTGCTGTGCCGACAAGTTTGTGGTGAGAGAATTCCTACTTGCCAGAGCTTCAGGTAGAAATTATGATAATATGTTACGTTCAAGGAGAGCAAAACTTGGTAGAGTAATAACATACTACCGACAAAAACCCCTCCATGGCCCTCTATTTCATTTAGCTTCAGTGTTAATGGCCTAGAAGCTGCACAGCTATGCGTGTTGTCTATTCTCGACAATGAACCTATTTGAGAAAAGTCGCGCTCTGAAAGTTGCAGGAGTATGTCTGCTACTTGGCGGTATACGGTTTCTAGGTCGTTGTCGTCGATGTCGGACCTCAAAATTGCGCCGTGCTCAGGTTCAGGACGCCCCTCAAGAATCTTCCCGAGGGACTCGCCTTCAATAAACTCCATAATAATGAATGTTCCTAATCCCAGAGGATTATCATCTGACGTTCCCCATGCAATGACGAGCGGAATTGGGATGCTAGTCTCTAGCTTGATAAATTGCATAGTTGCAACTTCACGTCGGGTCTTTTCATCTCCATTCATAACCTTCCCAGGTACAGCAAACCGCACTATCCATTTTACATAATCTTCAAACTGCACTTTGCAGCTCCAATTAAAGGAGCCGCATAGATCGCCGACGACTTCGCAAGGTAGGCCATTTCGGAAAGTAGACAGCCACGTAGATAGGGAGCCATCTCGAACCTTATTAAATTTTCCCAACCATGCGAGTGAATCAGCACGGTGGGAACTCTCAGCGCGATCATCCCAATCCATATCGGTGATGTCGATGCCGGTGGTTGGGACGGGATGAGTGAGTAGAACTAAACTCGGCGGTGGCGCCATAACAGAGTTCACGATCGTCTATGCTGTCACCACCTCGTCTCTACCAGGGCTCATCAAACCCGTCTCATCCGTTCGCTGTTGGTCTTCACGGTTGCGCCGAATCCACCGACGACGCGCTATAAACCGACCCGTCTCGACAACTCCGCCGAAAATGAAGAAGACGATGCGAAATCCTCTACAGTCGTGTGTATTAGCATTATCCGCTCAAAGAGGGGAGACCAGGTCTTACGATATTGTAGCTAGCAGCGCAATTGCGGCTTGGCGGTCTACATCTGTTGGGCCTCCGAACTCGGCGACTTTATCTGCGGCCTTCTGATCGGAGCGGACAATGACGACCACACTACCAACAGAGAACCCGAGGGCTACTGCGTCCATAAAAGCTGTTGACCTGGGCAAAAGGCCGCCGATCTTGTCCCTCGTGTGCCGTAGCTGGCCGACCTGTTCCCAATCGATGAATGCTGCGATAATAGACTGCGGCGTGTTAGCAAGCGTGGTATTAAATGCCCAAGCAGGTGCAGACGTACCCCCAAGCTCCCAAGGACACCACCGCCCATGTCGCCATTCTTGTATTGCGCGACACAGTAGCGGATCAGGATGGCAAAAGTCGCTAAGCTAACCAAGACAGAAATGAGCCGTAGAAACAATATGAGATTGCCGAAGTTGCGGCGGCGGCTGCGGATGAGGGTGGGGGTGGCTGGCTGTGTCTCGGGGATTAAGGGATCCATGGCAGCTTGATGTCTAAGGTGAGCAGCCCGCGTGTGAAAGCATAGAGATAGGGGAGTAGGAGGCAACTTTCTAAGCCTAATGTAAAAGATTGTGAGGCTGATGATGGTCGTTGTACTTGTGAGGAGCGAGGCTGATAGAACAGTCAATGCACCCCATGATCCCTGTCCTCAGCCTCAACACACATTGAATCCACAATATCCGTTGTTGTATCTTGTCCAGGACAAGAAAAAAGGCTTGGATCTCTCACCGAAGCGTAAGGCTGGATTATAGCCGCACCTGCTTACGGCCAATGAGCGGCTGCAAGACGAGGCCCCTTTATATCCAGATTAGGACCCTCCGCGTTCCGGAGATATTAGCTCAAGAAAGCGGGTCTCGGTGTCGTCGAGAACTAAGGATGCTTATTGGCCTAAGTGGAGATTAGTGCCACTCCGGAATGGACCGTCCCATTTGACAGCGCCGTGGGAAATCTAAAAATAATACGCTAATATTATTGGATAAAAATACCCTGGTACTCTTAATGCGCCCCCCCATGGAGTACTATTGATGTGATAAATGCGACAATTCAGTCCAATTTCCTTTATAGCTATAATGATAAGAAGTCTTATCATGAAGCCTAGTTCTCAACATGTCTTGACATATACCAGAGTATTAGCTTGTAGATTACTTGCGCGGATCGCAGCCATGCTCTTCTGTATGCCATCGCAGCAATAGATGGTCTCGGAAACAAGTCGGTAAAGTTGTATGATATCCATGCAATTTCGAACAATTAGTAGCCCTATATCTAATAATTTGGAGCAAATCATAAAACCCAGGATATGCAGGCTATCAGGCACTGCTCATAATAATGCAGCTACCCACGCACCCACCTTGGAGTCCATATTCGCCAGACATAGGTGTCCAGCTCGACATCCATTTCCTTCAAGCACCTCGCACTTATATGCACCATCACCATTCAAACTCCACCTCCAACTGGCCCGTTCTACGTCCTATTCGGTCTCCTGCTTGATATCTTGCTTGACTTCCTGCGTGGTATCCTGCTTGGTATCCTGCTCGACCTCCTTGTTGATCTTCCGCTTGGTATTCTGCTTCACCTTCCTTCCTACCGGCTCCAAACCGCCCCCCTTCTTTCCATTTGGTTCGTCACCAGGCGGATATCCCACGATCCGCAGCTTATCCACATACATCATCTCCACATAAACTCCCGTCCGGAGCTTCACCGTGCAGTCGCGCACAACCCACCACCATTTGTTCTCAAAGTTGCGATAGTACTGGAGTCGGCCCTGTGTGTACAGAATCAGCATGGATAGCAATAATGTTATTATGTGGAAACATCTTCCACGTGGCTATGCACTTTAGAAAAATAAAAGGGAATTGTACCTTCATGTTCACAACCTCCCTCACATGCTCCGCAAATGCCTTCTTGACACTCGGCACAAAGTTCTCGAGAATTTTTGCGCCAAGATGTGGCTCAATGCGGCCAGCACAGATGAGATCGTCGATGGTGTCGCAGAGGGTTTTGCAGATGCTGGAGTGCGTGTTAGTTTGTGCTTGCGAAAAATCGAGTAGAATCCATACCTGGTGTGAAAGTAGGCTGATGACTCTACGTCTGAAGAAGCCATTGGGTCTGGTTGATTTGGAAGATGAATGATCTCAGTGAGGGAGGCAATGCGACTTGGTAGACCTGGAGGTGTGCCTGCCAAACGATGAGATTTGGGTGGCTTGGAAGCAGGTGAGCTCAGTTGAGACGGTAGAGGTTCTGGCTGGGATACGTAAACGCCACTTCCATCAGTGATATCGCATAATTGGTGAAGTGTTCGTGATATATGAAGAGTTCGCGGAGTGTGGGGAGTTCGTGGTATGCGAAGATTTCTAGGTATGTGAAAACTTCGTGACAGAGAATTCTTCCTGAAAAGTGAAAGCTCCGTGATATACGAAGCACCGCGGTTGATGTAGATGGAATGGGCATAATATTGTCGTCCGACGGACTGAATGGGGTTGTGGTTGGTAGAGATTGAAGAAGGAATTGTACATCCCACTGTGTATGGATTATAAAGCTTCCATTTGTGGATATTTTCGAATATATTGTTCTGTTTTGAAGTATAAATGAAGTGGGATGTTGTCATTTGGACTATGTTTCTCGTGGCAGGAGCGATGGGCTCTTTCTGCTCTTGCCATAACTTCATATCCGGCTGGATTTAGAGCAGGAACGGTAACAACCCATCGCTCCTGCCGCAACTTGTATGTTCCTTATCTTGTTAAACGTGGTGTATGATGGTGCCTCACATTCACTTATGCAATAGTTCGTGGCCGAGAACTATCGAAAGCCCAGCACAGCAATTCACCGCAGCGGCTTGAAATAACACTCGTGGGCGAAAATATATCCATTGACAATCTCCGTATTATCATATACGTATATCTATTAAATCCCCATCACTTCGCCCCCCTTCCCGCCAACCCCGCTGCCCTGGACATCTTTTCATTCTTCGCCACATCCCACGCCCTACTTCCCCCGCCACTCCTCGCATCTCTCTGCGCCTTCTTTTCCTCCTTCAGCGTCCTCGCCTTCTCCCTAGGATCAATCACCACCAACTCCTCCTCCGCCTTTTTCCGATAGCTCAGATCCTTCCCTAGCTTATCCGCCTGGAACGACAGAGCATGCGACATCCACGCCCCGTCATCGTCATCCTCCGCATCTGCGCCCTCCGTTTGCGCAGCCCACGACTTACAAGACTGGCACTCAGCGATAAAGTGCAAATCGCAGAGCGCAGCCTCCTCGTCTCCATCGCCCTCGTCTTCTTTGCTCTCCACACCCACCAGGGGCGTAGACGTCTCGACCTCCTTCTCCGGTCCTGCGCTATCAAGCTTCGCCTGAAACGCCTTCAGAATATCCAGAGCTTGCTGGTCGGATGCCGCGCCACCTCCGCCGGGCTTGCGCTTCCGCCCTCGGATCGAAGTCGAAGGGATCATAGACTCGAGAGCGGACTTCTTAGGAGCAGCCACGGGTGCGGCGGTGACGGTACGTTTCATCGAAGCTTTGAGCTCCGCAATCTGCGCGTTGGTGCGATCGAGGAGAGAAGATACCTTCTGCACTGGCTCTGGGGAGGAGGAGGGCTCGCGGGTGACGGGGTTGGAGGGTCGTGAGGGCAGCGATTTCGGGGCTGGCGATGGCTCGGGTGACGATTCGACAGATATGGGCTTCTTGATTATTTTTTGGGCTTTCTTTTCCGCCTTCTTCTCTAGTTTAGGTTCCGAGCTCGTCGAGGCTGCCGTGGGTTCAGCATCCATGACGATTCGGGTGTCAAATTTGGTCTTCTTCAGCACGGGCGCCTCGTCTCCTTCCTCTTCGTCGGCACCAAAACTGAGGAGCTGTTTTGTTGGCTTTCTCTTTTTAGGCTTTGGTGCTGGTTTTTCTGATATTGTTGGGGCAGCTGTGCGTGATCTCGCAACCATGTCCTTGAACGGGTTCTCCAGCACCTCAACGCTTGTCAGCGTCACAGGGTAAATAGGCCTATTATCCTCCACCTCTGCCTCCCCAATCTTCGCCAAGTTGTATATGGTATCCCCCACAACCCTTCCAAAAAGAGTGTTCTTTCCCTGCAGCTCGGGGGTGTTCTCCAACGTCAAGAAGAACTGACTCCCATTCGTATCGGGTCCCTCGTTGGCCATCCCCAGTAAACCTCTCCTGTTATACTTCAGCCGACTGTGAAACTCGTCCTTGAAGCCGGCGCCGTGAGCCCCAGCATTCTTGCCCTTGCGCTCCTCCATCGGCCAGATCCCATTCCCCTCAGGCGGTCGCGGTTCGCCGAACGCCCCTCCATCGTATATCGATTCCCCGCCCGATCCTGTACCGGTCGGGTCACCACCTTGTAGAATGAACCCCGGCACTAGGCGGTGGAAGATTGTGTTGTTGTAGTACCCATCGAGGCAGTGTTGCAGGAAGTTGCGGCATGTGAGGGGGACCTGTTGGGCCCAGAGCTCCAGGGAGATGTCGCCGTTCGTGGTGTGCAGGATGCATGAGGCCGTGGGTTGCGGCTCGAGGTTATATAGAGAGGACATCGCGAACGGCTATCGGCGCTTCGTACTTGTCGCGCCAGATGGTTGAAGGCTGCAATTGTCCTGTTCTTGCTCGGGGACTGAAGGTTGTCGTCAAAAAACAAGCTTGTAGCCTCATCTGCGAGGCTGTATGAATATATCACGTGACATATATATCATAACCACAACCACATCACTTCCTGTTTATCATTTTTTGATAATAACTGAACCGTTTTAAATTTGCTATATTATTATTCAGACAACAATTCTGGAGCTCTGATATTTTATGGCAAATCATTTCACTGATCAGACCGGGTTAACTCCTTAGTTCGGTCTGCCTGATGACTCTCACCGGCGAGGAGGGGCTGAGCATCACCAAACCGAACCAAGCCTCAACGTTGAGTCAAGGCAAACTATATAAAGAGGCGAATCAAGAATACCTCCCAAATAGAATAATAATCTACAAGAGAAATATCATTTTATATGAGCGCCAATATGCCTGAACAAGTGAAACCAAACGTTCCCTACCGCGAAATCCGCGCACAGTACGACGACGATACAATCACAGTCTACCAAGCCTACTCCGCATCAATCGCCAAAGCAGCAGTAAAAGAGCAGAAACTCTCTGCCTCGCCAGACTTCTCCCTCCAGCGCATGACCTGGATCAAGCCGAGCTGGGCGTGGATGATGTACCGCTCAGGCTACGCAACCAAAGACGCACGACAATCGCACATCCTGGCGCTCAAGATGAAGCATAAGAATTTCCAGGAACTCTTGAATCTCGCCGTAGTTTGTGGGGGCGGAGCGCTGAGTGAGGAGGATAGGGCGAGGGCGGTGCGCGTGCAGTGGGATCCGGAACGGGACCCGGCATTGGGACAACTGCCGTATCGGAGTATTCAGATTGGAATCTCGAGGGATATTAGTAAGAAGTGGTCTGAGGAGTGGATTGAGAGTATTGAGGATGTGACGGAAATGGCGACTAAGCTGAAGGAGGCGGTTGATGGCGAAAGGGAACTGGACGTTGGAGAACTCGTCAACAGGGGGCTTGTTCCCATAGAGAGGCCATATACTATTCCACAGGAGCTGAGAGAGATATTGCGGATGGATTGTGACTAGTTTAGGCTTGAGGATAGAAATAAGGTTTATACTATCATATTTTAAGTTTGACTAGGTGCCCCGCGTGCCTGGCCGCGGTGTGGGGTCGACAACTTTGATAAAATATATATCGGATTTCTTTAAGAACCTCGGTTCATTTTCACGCTAGTATATACTATCAAAGAGCTAAATTTTGCGTTCCTTGCCAGTCGCTACAAAGCTATAGTTTCTTTAATCTCCGTGGCAAGAGGATCGTTCCTGCTTTGTAAAATCTGACTCACAGTGTTAGTCTAGAAATACTAAAGAGGCTAAAATAGCACTGGTGTCATAGGTAAGCATGCTAGTATTAACGGAACTGCCCAAGGTCTCATTTCCTTCCTACAACTCTATTACTTGTTTCTATGATTTTAAGCACTATCATTGACAGGCCCTTCTCTAGCCACAGACGGCGCCATGAGCGCCTCTCAGAACCCGACAACCAGCTCGAGCCCGTCCACAGCCCAGGACTCTGATAATCCAGGCTTAACAGCTGACGAACTTCCAACCCAACCTAAATCTCAGAGCCCAACCAAGCGTCCACCGAGGAACTTGGCCGCTTAACTCACTCCAGACAAAGGGTTTCCAGATACCGACTTCTTCAACAGCTTCGCCGAAGATGGTTCACGCCGCTCTCAACGGGCTAGGAAGCCGATAGCGAGGATGGACTCCGAACAGGTACCTTCCCCACATCAACCACCGAAGACGAAACTACGAGCGAGAAAAAACCAGCCCAAACGGCCGCGCATGACGGCACCCAGCCCATCCGCGGCCGAGGCAAGCTACACCGACACTGGCCCTGACAAAGCGCCAAAAGAGGCCGAAGCCGGATCCTCACCGGCAAGCATATTGGAAACCGACACGGGGAAAGCCGCCGAAGCCTACCTCTCTGACAGTGGGAACATTGACACACCTGGTTTTCAAACTACACCCTATGACTGCTGCAACGATGTGTGACTCGAATGTGTCAGCCTAACCATGTCGGCCGTCAATTTACTCAAGTCCCCCGACGACCGCAACACTTGGTACATTGGCCCCTATGGAATGTTTGAAATTGGACCACTGCGCTTTCCGCGGAGCCGGAAGAGCGTGACGTACGTGCATGGACGGGCGTCCGGGGAGACGTGGGCTACACGTGCGGATGCTGAGGCGGCGGGGTCGAGTTGGACTCGGAGACGGAAGATGAGGATGGTGAGGCTGTACAGGCGGAGTTCGGCGTAGAGATGGGACATGGAGATGTTGTGGCGGCAGCATCAGCGTTGTATCTGATGATAGAACCCGAGGATGAAGAGACTGTGATGAGGATGGCGACGAGGACGGAGAGGAGCTGGAAGACTTGGAGGATTTAATTAAAGAGTGGCGCGATTTTTGTTGGTACGCAAAGAAAAATGGCTGGGTGCCGTGGCTGGACGCCTTTGCAAGGCCGGCGCATATTGACAGGAAGAAATTGAACGAGCGTTCACGGCGGAGGGCGGCTGCGTTAAATGCCAGACATGAGGCAAGAATTGCTGCTAATCGGGGGATGAGCCGGTTGTAAGCTGTATAATGGAACGGTTCTTGGGGATGGCGAGCTGTATTTTTTTTATTTTTTACTAAACCCTATGGAGTTCATATTGTATTTAATTCTACTTTTTGTGCCGAGTCTTTGCTCCCTGGCTTGGCAAATGTAGCTGCAACGATCATGGGGAAGACAGCTGTGGCTTCACAATATACCTAGTTTTGGTCAGCATGTAGTCTTTTTAAGCATCGAGCATATCATACCTTTACACTTGCAGCATCCACCTTGATCTTCCCCCAGCTAACTGCCTCATCTGGCCGCGCTCCCGCATCACTTCCATCAAACTCTTGCGCCGTGTTGATATATACGGCGCTCTCAGCGCCATTGCGCATTAGACATGCATTCGCAATATGGTGCTTTACAACACCACCGCCCAAAATCACCATGCCCGCCCTCTTTGCGCGCACTGCAATGGTGTTTATGCGGCGAATATCCTCCACTATATCGATGCGTAGTTGCGCTGGCGAGGACTTGAAGGTGTGGAAATACAGCATATCACCCAGGCTGCCATCGGTGAGTGCCGGGCAAAACACAGGGATGTTGTTCTTGTAGGCCCAGTAGTAAACGCTTTCCTCGTTATTGATCTCCTTTCCTAGGCGGTGGATGACCTTCGATGGCGTCCAGTGGAATTCTGCTTCGGTCCCCTTGGCAGCTTCTTGTTCCGACAACATGGCGTCGAGGATCGGTACGACCCAGTCTTCGAAGGCACAGTAGTTGGCATTGGGAACCAGCAGGTTTCCAATTCTATTCAGGCCCTTGGCTCGCAGCTCGGCTCCGGGGGTCGAAAATGCACCCATGTAAGTGCTTCCGAGACACTTGATAAAATCCTCCTCGATGCCGCCAGCCGTTGTAACTATTGCCGAGACATGGTTGTGTTGTACGAGGTATCGGAGTGTGCCTCGGAGGCCGGAGGAGATGAGGTTCGAGGTGTATCCGAGGAATATTGTCGTTTTGTCAGACGTCTCGGGATCGCGCCATTCTCTCTAGCGGATGATTAGAGAGGTAACGACGAGAGATCAGAATTACTTACCATGTCATTAATAATTTTGACTGCTTCGCCGATAGAGCTTGCCTGGAAACCCATGTTGGTCATTCCTGCGATGAGGTCCTCCACAGTAATTTTGCTGTCAGCGAAGGCGTTGAAGTCTAATTCCTCAACCTTCTTGGAGCCGGCCGGCATCTCCTCAGATTTCACGAGAACTGCCGCGGCCACCGACTCAGGCACTGCCCCTCCTCCATTGGTCGCCATAGCGTCAGCGACGGAAGTCTGAATGAATATAGGAATATATAATTCAAATATCTCCTCCCATGCGGCAGGATGCTGAAGATGTAGTAGCGAACGGTATCCTAGAGGCCCAGGGGGTGAGAAGCTTCGAAATAGTGCCGAATTACCCCACGTTGCCCCTCTAAAAGTGACGAAACTTTAAAATAATAAACGTTGAAGAAAAGGTCTGACAATTCAAGGAGAAGAGGGCAATATTAGACCTTCGGCAGGTATACATAAATCAGATAATTTCAGATCTAAGGATATCTCTCTGGTATCTGTGCTCCTTCCTCGTTGACTAGTAGTGACTGATGTCGAATATCGAATATTGGCCGATATAAATCTTTATCGCGCTTAATCGGCGAACGGAGTCACAACGATACCCGCAGGCGCTAGCGGCCGCCTGTTGCGGCTACCATGCAACCACCAGCGACCACAACATGCAAGTTCTGCATGGATTCCTTGCGCTAACCAGATACGATCTAGTCTACAGCCGTTCGAGATCAAACGCTGGACGATGTATACAAGTCCATCTTCAATTGCATTTACTACCATCAACAACGACCTCTGCTCTTGTGACGCCCATCAACAACCATCGCGGCGCCTCTAATATTCTTTATCGACTTGTCTTATTTGTAACTTCAAGAGCTTCGAGGCGTTTGGCTGTCTATATTACACTTAACACAACCCCCGAGTACCGTTCAGGTACCGAAAGCCAAGTCACTTCACCCCAGCTTCAACTGCCGCGGTCTGGTTGCCCTGGTCTCAAACACATCCGGGCCATCGCCCCTAAATATGAATGTAGGTGCATCACTATGTATGTGTATGCGCCAGACTCTGACGACGTTCGACTTAGGACTCGATATGCGCAGCCTGATTCGGCTGGCGACTCTCGGCGATCTCCTCGCGACAGATCACCAGCTCGCCACAGCGACCAGCGCGATGGAGGACAATTCAATGGACCAGCCCGTGGAGTAGAAAACAACTACCGCCCCGGTCTCGACAGTCGAAGCAATAGCAACTTCTCGCCCCGCGACAACTATCGCGATTCGAGTCGTGGCTCTATGAGAGACTTCCCGAGTCGAGAACCCCCTCGAGGCCCAAAGGCACTTGGCGACAATATCCCTAGCGGACCACGCGTCAACAGCTTCTCTGGTGACTTCAGAGGCCGTGGACGAGGACGCGGACGTGGGTGGCGAGACGATAGCCGCGATAGAGGCCCACGCGACATCGATCGCGACTTCCGCGACAGACGAGACGATAGAGGGCCGCCACCGCCATTTCGTGATGAAAGGAGTCACGACAGGGAATGGGAGGACCGGGATAGACTTGATCGAGATAGGCGCGACAGCTTCCGAGGCGGTCGCGCTTCGAAGATTCGCCCCAGCTCTCCTCGAGGGAGACCACGGTCACCTGTCCGGAATGATTCCCGTGATGCGACAAGGGGTCGCGGGCGTGGTCGCGACGACTGGGAACCTCGTGCTGGAAGAGGGCGCGGCATGTACTTTGATGGCCGTGGCGAGCCTCGGGGACGTCGCAGCCGTTCACCGGAGCGTGGCGACCGACCTCGCCAGGACCGTCCGGCGGACTCTTGGGACAAAACATACCCACAGAGGCCCACTTCTTCAGTCTCAGTATCGCAAACACGAGAGAATCCTTCGCCTCCTCCGCAGGCACCCGAGGTGCCGGCTTTTGGATCAGTTATCAGTGGCACGGGCGGCGGGCAAACGGCGGTGGGATCAGCTCCAGTCGCAATACCAACTGGCCCACGAAGTGAGAGACCCCCTGCCTCGCATGGCGGGCGCCAAGAATACCCAGGGAGCATACAGTGGACTAACCCAAAATTTGTAGCTGCACCTTCAAAGCCTGATGCAGCGACCACATCGCCCGTTGATAGGAAGGCGGAGGAGCAGCAAAAGTTTGCATCTTCAGAACCACCAAAGGATGTATCAAATGATGTTGTTGAAAAGCGCGAGCCAGAAGCTCCCACAGGTGACGATTCAACTATGATGGAGGCGGGCGAAGTGGACGAATCACCCAAAGTGGAAGAGGTAACAACGCTGACATGGAGACCACCAACAAACTACGTAACTCCAGAAGACGAGGCATCTGACTCCGATATTGACGATGATTATTTCGAGGACGAGATTTCGAAAGTGAAGAGCCAGCTTAGCCAGGGCGTTGCCAAGAACACCGTCGAAATCTTCGAATCAGTTTCCATTCCATTCAATAACATGTCACAACTACGGTCACCAGTTCCTCCACCCGCTCCCCCAGAGCCATCGCCATCTATTGAAGCAAAGGAGAATGTTCCGGTAAAGACGACGGATGCGCCGACCCCTATGGCATTAGACGATGTTCCTGTTATCAGCGCAGATGTTGAGGTGCCCGCCGCTATCTTGCCGCCAGTCGCGAAAAAGTCTCCCGAGGTTTCCACCCCGTTATTCGAGCTGGAAAACCTTGCTTTGGATGTTAAGCCGGTAACTCAACCAGAAGAAATCGAACCAGTCGAAGACAGCATCATGACTGAGCCAATGCTGGAAGTAGTCAGAAAGAGAATGGCGACGCCCCCCATCGCAGATTTACCATTCGCAGTCACTACCCCCTGGCAACAAGAAACAGGTTTCTTGAAAGGGATCGAATCGGATCCTGATGTGATGGATTTCCTAGTTGCAAGCCTCACCATGAAAGCCGACATGCGCGACAGGGAGATCGAAGAGAATTCGCAGATATACAAGCAAAAGTATAAGGATTGGATCGACTTTCACAGATCTGATAATCCGCTTGCAGTTCGGTGCCGGGAAAGGTGGGAAGCCAACAGAGCTGCAGAAGTAAGCCGTGCTGCCAGCGCTCAGCCGGCTGAAAGCAGAACCGAGGGCCGACGGGCTGTGAGCAGATTTGCTACGGAACGTGATATCGAGAGGCTGCTGAGACAGTCGGAGATTGAGGCGACTGAGCAACGCAAGCGCCAGGATCGTGCTGCTAAGGCAAAGGCCGCCAGCGAGAAGGAAGCCGGTATTCCCGATATGCTAAGTATAGAGGAACGAGAAGCCACCCGCTATGGTGACTATACAAATCTGGTCGCTTCTGACCGCGCATTGGCTATGTTCGAAGTCCTGCCCCCTATTGCCGATTTCACAGAGTGGGAAAGAGAAACCTTCGAGAAAACCATGTTAGATTACCCAAAACAATGGGGCAAGATCGCAGAAGCGTTGCCGGGACGGAATTACAAGCATTGCATTCAGTACTATTATCTTGTCAAGCATGAGCTGAAGCTCAAAGAAAAGCTGAAGAAGCAAATCAGGGGCAAAGGCAGGAAGCGCAAGCCTAAGACGAGTGTGCACACGGTTGCCCTTGGGCGAGAGGAGGTCGAAGAAGAACCCACTGAGGGGACAACTGACCGTCGCCGGCCAAGAAGAGCAGCCGCGCCTATCTTTGGTGGTGCCGAAACTGCCCCAAGCGAGTCCGATACTACTCCAGCACCAACACCTGCGAGGCGCGGTGCTGCGACTCCAAAAGAGGGCGAGCCTACGACTACTGGAAAACGCAAGGGGAAGGCGTCTGGTACCCGCGAAAAGGCCACGAAGCAGCCAAAGAATAACCAACTGCTGGCCGCTGCTCCTAATGCCGCCCCAAAGAACCAGGAGACGAAGGTTCCACATGCTATGCCAATAATTAAGGAGTGGCAGCAGCCAATTGTTCCGCCTCCCGAGCCCGTCCGATTCACTAGCCAAATTGCTCCGTGGGATGGACCGGCACCAATACTCCCTCCCTATGTCCCGCCAAGTGTCGTGGCCGAGAAACCAACAGCACCAATTCCTTCTGGGCACGATGTTGTCCCCCAGGGCTACCCTGTCCCGGAGCACGTTGGAGCGTTACCGCCAGGATCAGCATACAACCCAGACCCCCAGAATCAGCGGAATACAGCTGCGCCAACATCAAGTTATTGGAGTGTTCCTGAACAGAACGACTTTCCAATGCTCATTGAATACTATGGGACTGATTGGCACGGGATTGCAAAGTGGATGGCTTCCAAGACCCATATTATGGTATGTACCGCAGCCTCTTATAACACCAGTTGATTTGAATTTAAAGGTAGCATGTTGCTAACAATCGACAATAGGTTAAGAATTATTATCAACGTCAGATTGACTCCGGGAGATCCGATTTGGAGGAGATGGCTCGGGTTGCTGATGACAAACGAGCTAGAGGAGAAAATCTAGGTCCCCCACCTGCCCAGACTAACCATCCCATCAAAAGAAAATACGATGGCCCTTCTGGATCGCCTCAGCGCCCCCTTGGCCTCACTTCCATGGATGATATGGACGAGATGTATCTTGGTGGACAGTTACCTCCGCAGACATCTACGGGCATGCTATTCACAGGAGGAATGCCCCCAAACCGATACGATGGATTTACGAATCCGATTGGCAGGCCAAGCAGTTCCATTAGCACATTTGAACAAGACGAGAAACCCCCAACTTCGCATGCCTTGCCTGGGCAGCATGCACCGTCGCCACAACCAGGAGGCCCACGATATGCCCCTCTGGCTCAAGCAGGCTCTATTTCTCAGGCGTCAAATGCTCCTTCTCGGTCGGTCACTGCTCCTAGTAAGCACCTACCACAAGCACAGCAAATTGTGCAGCAAATGCAGCAGCAACGCCCGCCACGAGGACCGACGCTTGGTTATTTCAATAGCGACACCAATAGACCTATTGTACGAGCATCATCTATTTCAAATCCGTCTCCTCAGCCAATTCCTGCTCCCGACCAAGCTAGAACCACATCGCGATCCCACCTGGTTGCACAAGAAGCCCAGGCCGAAAGGCAGCAAGCTCTGCGCTTGGAAGAGGAGCAACGCCTGCAGACCCGCCAGCAACAGTACAGGATGAAGCAAGAAACCGATGTGCCGGGTACGACTCAGTTCGAACAGTACCCCCAACAAATACCACAGCACCAGCAACGTGGCCCTCCGATGCATGCACGCACCGAAGCAATGTCACCTGTTCGCGCTGAGGATAGTAGACGTGCAAATATTGGCCAATACCCTCCACGAAACTTTCAGCCATCACGAAATGCACTTGGTGATTTGAAAGCTAGCACAGGACCATCGACTCCAACTTCGTTAGCATCGCCAGGGTCCTCTCGAGGTGCCCCAATTGCACCACCAACCCATCAACATTCCCCCCCAGTTCACCAGCAGCCTCCATCAGCACCTCCGCCACAGCCACAGCCTGTTGCGGCTATTCGTCAACAAGAGACTGTCCGGAAGACATCCAGCATTATGTCATTACTTAACGATGAACCAAGCGAACCAGTAGCTTCAAAACATGCTCCCGAACCGCAGTCGGCAATGAAACCCTCCCCGTCACCTGCTCCGCATCAGCCGATGTATCAACCGCGCCAAGCAGCGCCACCACCGACGCAGCACCTTCGACGAGAGTCATCATTGACTGATATTCGCGGAAAGGCACCACCCCAGTCGACACGCCCTCCTAGCACGGCACAACCACCAGCTATCAGGCACAATGACATGGCATACTCTCCTATCATCTCAAATCAGAATCAGCCACAGTCAAGGCAACATGTTGGCTCTCCGTTAGATTCAACTGCGCCTGATCGCGGCGAGTATTATGCCCATCAGCAATACATGATGCAACAGCAACAGCAACAGCAGCACCAGCAGCCTCCAACCAGCTCGCCGCAGACGCCAATTCCCTACCAACCTCAACAATCCCAACAGCCTCCCCAGCAATCTCAACCACCTCAGCACCCAAGCCATCGTCAAATGGCGTTTGGTACATCTAGCCACCGTTCTGCGTCTCCCAGTGTGGGATACTCTCATACCTCCCATCACGGATCTAGACACGGTAGTTTTGATGCCCGACAGCAACAAGGGCCTCCTCCGACGTCAACGCAGGGCCCGCAACAACCGGGTTATGGCACTGCCCAACATCCAGGACCAGCTATGTCACCTCCATACCAGCAACAGGCACCCCAGCAACACTCGCTTCAGCCCCCGCGCTATATCAGCCAACCTCCTTCGTCGTCTCAAGCCCGAGCCTCTCCCCTCGGACAGCACAGCGCGCAAGCCCAGCAGATGCCGCCACAAGCTGCTCAGCACGCATATGGCCAACTGCCGCCTCATCGTGCTCAACAACCTAGCCCCGCACCAGCTGCGCAAAGGTCGTATACCCCCGTTTCGTATGACCGACACCCGGGACCGTATGCACCGCCGCCTCCGCAACAGCCACAGCCGGATAGGTTGACTCTCCAACAGCAGAGGCAGGAAGAGGAGGCGATGCTTAGACGACAGCCGATGAGGGATGGGTATGGTGGGCCTGGTCCTGTGATTGATCGGAGGGCCGAAGAGGCGTACCAGCGGGACTTGGAGGAGAGGAGGTTGATGGAGGGGAGAAGGGTGATGGAAGAGAGGAGAGAAATGGATGAGAGAAGACATCAGGATGAGAGAAGACAGTTGGGTGACCATAGACAGTTGGATGAGCGGATGCTAGAAGAGAGGAGGATGATGGACGAGAGGAGACAGATGGAACAACAGAGACGACATATGGATGACCGGGATTTCAGGCGGCAATAATTGTAAATAGTATCATTAATAAGATAAGTGCACGACTAACGTGTATATGAAAAGCGTATTATGTGCCAACCGCGATCCCACATTTATTTTACTAGATTCCATTAATTGTGACCATCTCGTACCTTTCTTAGAACAAGTTGTCATTATGCGCGCGGCTCTTGCCTTTCATACTCGTCTCGGATAAATAGCGGGTCCAGCCGCCGACAGATGACGACGAGCACACCCCGCCAACCTGGGTCCAACCTCCACCTCGACACTCACGCATGCGCATCAACAAACCACCACGATGCCGGTAAGCAATATCCCATTGAAACTCTTCAATCCCATCACACTACGCATCTCTGCCTTTCCCTCTTTACCCCAATCCCCCAGGTTCCCCCCTCCCCCCATACGCCCGCCCTGCTGACACCCGCCTCACCACAGGCCTACAACTCCATCTTCAACTCCGAGCCCTCCCCCCGCCTAATCGGCAACTTCCCCCTCCTCCCTCTCCGCACGCGCACCCGCGGCCCGGCATTCGCTCTCCCCGCCGATCCATCCCTCGCGGCCTCCGAGTCGCCAGAGCCAGATAGCGAGTCCTACGATGCGCTGGACGAGGTGCTCGGCCTGTTCCGCGCCAACACGTTCTTTCGAAACTTCGAGATCCAGGGATATGCGGATCGTCTGCTTGTGTATGGGATTTTGTGGGTGAGCGAGTGTTTGGGGAAGATTAGGCCGGCGATGAGTGCTAGGTATGTTAGTTTCTGTTTGGGGTTGGGTTGGGGAGGGGCGGGAGCGGAGTGTGATCGTGTGCTCGTGGGAGCCTAGATTGGATCAATTGCTAATTGTTATCGTCGTTTAGGGAAGCACAGAAGGAAGTTCAGAACGTCGCGCTCGATACCAACTTCTCTATCCCAGGCGACCCAGGCTTTCCGTTGAACCAGGTATGCTTTCGTCCCTGTCACTTCGCTCTGTTACAATATACCACAGAACTAATAAAACACAGATGTTTGAAGCACCTGCCTCCCGCCAAGATGCCGAAGTCCTGAAACAATACCTGATGCAAGTCCGCCAGGAGCTGGCACAGAGGCTACTGGCAAGGATCTATGAGGATGGTTCCGATAGGCCAAGTAAGTGGTGGCTGAGCTTTACGAAGAGGAAGTTTATGGGGAAGAGCCTGTGAGGCGCGATAGGGCGGAGAAAGAACACAGTGCTAGGCGAACGACGAAGAGGGCGGGTTAAAGGTGCAACTGGCGGTTGAGACTGATTTGAGGCGTCAAAAGCAAATTAAATTTCGTGACCGGAACACGATTGTGTTGATAGATCGATGCAATTGTTCTCAGTAGGAGAGCTATTATATATCTACATCCTGTCCCATGACTACATCGTCTATGTTCTGCTCTATAACATCTGGCGTCTGCACTGCAGGAGTCGGTACGGAGCTCACGTCTCCCGACTTCCCCCCTTCCGTCTTCCTTCTCTTGTAATTCCCGCGCGCCTCCACTTTGCCCTCTACAGGAATTACCCGCGTACCTGTAAATAAATACCCCTCCGCTCCACCTCTACTCGTCATAAGCGGATGCGTCCTCCCCGGAAGAACCTGCCACTCTCTCACTCTCGAAGTCTGCACACCGACTCCGAGCAGCAACGTCGGGTTGAGCGGGAAATCCTCGTTACCAGCCCAGTTCGTCAAGTCGCCCTCCGCGGGCGGCGCAGCCACGAAAGCCGCGCGACGGCTCGTGCTATAACAGTCCGCAAGACGGGTCAGCGGCTCGACATTAGGCGAGTATATGGTAACGGGAGCACCGCCGCGAAGGAGCGGAATGAGGTGCGGGAGGATGGTGAGAGGATCCATGTAAGCTGCGATTGCGAGCCCGTCGAAGGAGCCGGCGCGTGTGGAGTCCACGATGGCGGAGACGCGGGCGAGGCGCCGGCGCTTCTTGTAGTACTGACCGCGCTTGCCGGATTTGAGGGTGGATAGCTCGGCGGGGGTGAGAGAGGGTAGTGGTGTGCTGTAGGTGGTGTCGGCGTTGGGATCGAGGAGCTGCAGCCAGGAGATGGTGTGGAGGTGGGTGGTGAGAGGGTGCGAGGCTGATGGGGTGTCAGGGTTGTGGTCAAAGTATTTGAGGAGGGACATATTGGGTTGGGCGTTGGCGTGGATGAGGGTTATGGTATTTGAACCAGCGGGTGGACGAGAGAGGTAGTCGTGCGGGGAGGATTCGTCGTCTTCATCTGCGTCTTTGGAAGTGGTGGCTGTAGCGGGTGCGGGTGGGTCTGCTGACGGCGGTGATGCATGGAGTATCCCCATCCTCTCAGCCATAGAGGCGACAAGGAGACCGCCTATTTCGTCGACTACGAGCCAGCGGCCCTGGCCAGGAACAGTGGGTGATAGGGCCGGCGTTGGTAGTCCGTATGGGTCGCCTGAGAAGTGGACATTTGCCCAGCATCCCACTAACGCCAGGACTTCGTTGCGTATCTCCAATATCCTTGCAGCATCCTTTTGGTCCACCAGCCAATGCGTCAGCATCGGCACGTCGAGCGGGAGTACAGTGAATTGGCGCAAGTATTTCTTGGTCTTCAGAAGCTTGTACTTGGCTAAACTGAAAGCGGTCTTCTCGTCGAGCGCTGTGTGCGACAGCATGAGTTTCGCAATGAGGTCTTTGCCAGCATCCGTACCGTCGCGCTTGAGGATCTCAATCTCCTCCATGGTCATCGTTTGTCGCGCTGCGTCGTCAATGGTCTCGCGATTGGAGCGCATGACAACCTCCCCCGTCTCATTGACCAGCTCAAACTGCACGCCATCGCCACCCAGTGTTATAGAGTCCGACGTGGGGTTTTGTGCTGCCTCCTCTTCAGCGATTGTGTCAGCGTGTATTTCCGATGCTGGGACAACGCGCAGTGACGGCGGCGAGCCTTCTTTGCGGTCTTGGATTTCGTAGGTTAGGTGGTAAGGACGGCCGAGGATGAGGTTGCTCTGGAAAGCACCGTATTTTCCTAGGGGGATAGTGCTACTTGGAATCAGCTTCTAGACGGCGACACAGTGAGGTTGGCGTGCGATGCGCTCACTCCTATCGAAGACAAACTCACGTATTTGGGGTCACTTGGACAACTTTGAGGGTATCGGAGGGCAGCCGTAAGCAAACCCATGCGTCTGGTTGAACATAAGAGTACATTTCACATATACTCGGAACTTCAACGAGTATATAAAAATGTCCTAATATGTGTAGTTGAGCATACAATATTATATGCTTGGTTGGCTTGGAAGGCTGGAAGGCTTGATTTCTTCCCCGCCAAAAAGAAAATTGTCAGCCTCACGTCGTTTGGGTGCTAGTGTACAGCAAGGCTGGATAACTCTAAATTATGGCCTTTAGATTAAGGCTACGATTCTGTCGACGTTTTATCCGTGCCGCCCAAAAACTATTTCAAGTGGACGGGCTGTATCGGTTAGTACTAGAAAAAATAATTAAATCAATAGAAATTATTGTTTTTGCTGTATTTTTGCTGTAGTTTTAAGTAATCAGCTTAGACAATATAGCACTGAGTGACTAAGAGCGTTTATTTTACTTATAATTACTGTAAGCCCTGTTCGTAGCCTTGGGGGGTGAAATATGGCCGTGCGTGAGGCTGTGGGTTCACCGTTCAGACGACGACATTTCAAGCCACTCCCTCCTCCCCATCATACCAATCCCATTGACTTAGATCGCGACAAGCTCACGTTTTCATATTCAAGCATCAACGACTGCTTGTCACGGCCAAGAGTGAGGCCAAGAACAGCTTATATTGATTGATTAAGAGGCCTCTCCTGGTATCGAGTGGTCAGATCGAGGGGCTGGCACTAACTGATTGGTTTGTTTACATCAATTTCATCCGCCCGCCAGCCTTGCAGTGCCAATGTTTGTCATGCAAGGGAGCAGCACCCCTAATGAGCCATGGACTGCATAGATGCAGCGAACGCATGGTCCGAGGCTGCAAGGAGACCGACGTTTTTAAGAAGGAACTTGGATAAATCCACTCGTGACATGGGATCACTTGTTTCACGTCAGGACTCGCCCCAGAACCCCAAACGGCAGGCGAGTCAGGAGAACCCAAGAGCGTCGAAGCGGCAGCGAATAGGAATTGATGGCTTGGACTTGACCAAGATGCTGGAGGAGAGCAAGCTTTCTCGGAAGGATCGCTCTGCTCCCGAAAGTCTTGAAGAGCCACACTCACTCGCCATTACTTTCAGCGGCATCTCGGACAAGTATGGAGACAAGCATGAATCTCTTATTCCTCGTCGTTTAGATGGTGTCCCGGTAAAGACCCGCTGTTCTGTGCAGATATGCTATCCCACGAGCGAGTGCCAGAATGGGACTTTGACAGATATCCACGAAGAACTTCTCCGCATCTCTCAAGAAGGCGAGATACGCACGGCCTGGAACCCAGCAACAGGACACCCAGAAACTGAGATTAACTTACCTCGATCGTTCGTTGTCCCTATTAGGGAGCTCTATGTACCCAAACCCCCCACTGAAAAGCCGAAGGGGCCCTCAGTCGAGTCGCCGAGCGAGATATCAGATTCGGAAGATGATTCTGATGAGCTTGTCGACCAAGGAGAATATGGCCTGGCGGAGAAGTACTTTTGTCATGTCAGTTTTTCAACTGTTCGCACAGCACCATGGCCTCCACTGGGACTTGACAGCGAGATTTCTCGAGTTAGCCCTATTGGCAAGCAGCTGAGGCATGGTCTTTCTAACAAAAGAGATCTCAAAATGGTCACAAAGACGGAGTTGCTACCTTTGGAGCCCCTATCTATGAAACTGCCTCTGGAAATCAAACTCGGACCTGATCGTCAAACGACACAATACCAGCTCGCGCTTGATGCCAAATGGGAGACGCCAGAGGTTACTCAACCAGAGAACAAGGAACTGCAAGCGGCCTCGAAGCCAAATTTTGTGTGGAAAATTGAACCTGGTGACGAACCGCCTTTTTATGTGCCCTCGGAGACGAACATGGACGACTATACTTGTGGTATTTGCCTCGCCAGACTTATTTCAGTCAAAGCTCTCCAGCTCCATCTCCGTGCAAGTCACACCCAATTTAAATTCACACTCACTAAATCAACATGTGACAAGCAAGACTTTGTCATCACAGTTTCATCAACAATATTGCCGGAGATCGACACTGAGGTCCGCAGTAATTCACCGGTCAGCGTTGGTTCACCAGTTAGTAACGCTACATCAGTTGACACAGATGCGCAAGTCAACGAGGCACCAACAACATTACCTCAGGTCAATACTCGTATTCACAGCAATTCACCAGTCGGTGTCGGTTCATCGATCAATAATGCTCCATCAGTTGACCCAGATGCACAAGTCAACAAAGCACCAGAAGTGGCAATCATGAGGAGTATCTTTGACTTTGAAGACGACCTTTCATCCCCAGAAAGCATCGAAACAAATCCCCTCCCGACACCAGAGCCGTCTTGCGTGCAAAATCCATCCAAGCCAGAGCAACTACCTGCACGAGACCCATCTACATCAGCTTCCGTCTCCGAGCCTCAGTCGAAGACAAGTTCACCGAATACAACGCCAGATGCCGTATCTGATTTTGATGAGTCCATTGAGCCTCGAAAACGGACTCGAGCTCCGAACTCCCGCCGTGTCATTGTTGACGATGATGACGAGGATGGAATGCCCAAGCTTGTTGTCCCAAAAACTGCGAAGCCACTATATGATATCGCAACGAAAAGGGTGCTGAAACCTGGAGAACCACTGCCACCCTCGACAGTCTCTCAGGACTGGCGGATCAGAAAACAAGCGGAATTGATTAACAATATCAGTGACATGACCCCTGCAGAGAAGGAGTTCATAAATCGCTGGGACCCTTTCATATTTGGCCAGAAATTAACGTCAAAGATATTCATGCCTACGATTCTCAAGGAGTTTATCAATGTTAACCGTGAGTGGCTCGACGAGGAACAATGTCGCAAGAAAGAACTACTGAAACATCTTGCTACGCTCAAAATGAGTGGCAGGATCCAAGAGGAATGTCTATGGGAATGCCTAGAGATGTTTCAGACCGAGTGCATCTCTCCTCGAAAAGCAAGGCAGGCTAGCAAATTATCTGCAATAGCGCGAGAAGAGCGGACATTGATAGATCTTTGGGATAAGTACGTGAGAGATAGCAAACAAAAATCTCTTGAAAAGTTCGTCAGTGTCTCTGAAACTTTACGAAGCGGCCGCAGTGCGCACGTATCGGACGGCGAATCCGTCGCTATGCTTCGACTTTTTCTTGGCTACTACGGCCGTACTTCGAGACGAGATATACCAGCCCTAGACAGCGTTTTCTATAACTCAAATCTCCCACTTCCGACTACTGAGGCCGAGTCCGAATATGTCCGATTTTTCAGCGGCTTTGAAAAGGACTTCAAGGCTTCAGATGAGACAAAATCCCTGGAGGAACTAATGTTATCCTTCTTGGGAGATAATACCGCGTGGTTCTTTGAGGAATTTCAGCGCTTCCAGTGGGCCAAGAAACACCTCCAGGAGCTACAATGGACTAAGAAGATCACCCTGAAGATTCGCGAAAACCTTCTCACCTACCTGGAGACCATGGAGAGCGCCTACATTTCAGATGAGGACATGCCAGATGCGGATGTTTCTGATAGCCTGTCGTCAAAAACCCAAACGGATCCTCATAATAATGGGAAGGGAAAAGAAGCCACCGCACCAGGAAGAACCGCATCCGCACCATTCGTGATCACTCCCGACCCCCTCAACTCGCCCCGACCACGCAATGTTCGAGCTTTTGGCGAGTGTGAGTGTGGCGGCTACGCAAGGCCCGGTGAATCGGTGATGTGCTCCGCTGAAGTAAGTACCCAATTTTTTGCTGCCTCCAATTGTTGCCGCCTTACTTCTCATTTGTCCACTACTGACATACCGCCAGCACTGTATTGCAAGAGCCTTCCACCGCCGCTGTGTCCCGAACCCGCCACCACGGGGTAAAGTGTGGTACTGCCGTGATTGTGCTGCCGCGGGGTTGGGACAGAACGTCGAAACTCAGCTGGATCGAATGGATCTTTCTGCTTGATTGCAATGACGACGGGTTCGCTTTTTGCTTTTGTATCTTCCATTGGGGGAGCGTGGCGCTACTCGCATCCGGAAGAGATTTTATGTATTATAGGCGTTTGAGGGGAAGTGATTTTATGATACCAAGGTAGATAGCTATACGAGTCATGAGAAGGTAATAGGCTGTATTTTTGTTGCTTTCATCTATATGGCTGGGATAGGAAATGACATGGTGTGGTTATTTGCTCACGTAATATTGTCTGCCTAAACGTAATTGGGAATTGATACCTATATTTGAGGCTAATGGAATCTCTCTCTTTGCTTCATTTTGTTGGTGTCTATCTCGTTGAAAAACTGTAATAGTTTCAGGTTATTAAGAGTCTGCGTTTTATTTGCTGTTCCTATAAATAACTTATACAGCAATAATGTTCGTAGATTGTTCCAGTCCTCCCAGTAGCTGTCATACACAGTCTCTTCATTAGCTCTTCATTAGACTTCAAGTGGCACAATGGCCTCAAAGTCCGGATCGCTACCACCCGCAATGCAGCGGCAGCAGAATCAGCACAACTAATGCACCAAGCCGAGGCATAACGAAGCACTTCCATAAGTCCTCAATCCCTACCCTTCCCCATCTACTCAATAATCCACTCCTCAACCTCAATCCCCACACTCCTCCCCACCCCCCTCACAACCTCCCACCCAACATTAACCTTCCACTTACACCCCCCCTCCAACGGATCCGCAACCCTACTCGTCTTCCCCAGCAACCTCAAACTCGCCAGTCCCGCAACAGCAGCCAAAACATCCGCACCCCCCGCCTCCGCCCTCCCCGCCCCATTCGCCTCCTCCCTCAGCGCCCAGAAAATCGCAAGACACCGTTCCATAACGAACGCCTGCGGCCCGAGCAGCTTGCGGTTTAGCTTCCGCCGCGCCGCGGTCCCGGGACGCGGTTTTGTGGCGTTACCGCCGAGGTTCTTGCGCCGCTTCTTGGTGGGGCCGGAGGACTTGGCGAAGAGGAGGGTGTCGAGGCGCGCGGGGGTGTAGGAGGCGAGGTAGGCGGCTATTAGGAGGATGCGGGAGGTATATGGGAGGGGGGGTGTGGTGAGGGCGTGTTTGGGTGCGAGGGATGCGGCGGTTGGTTTGCTTATTGTGGGAGTGGGGAGTTGGGGTTGTGAGGGGGTGGTAGATGGTGGGAGGGCGAGGGATGTGTTGACAATGGAGGGGATGAGGACGGATTCGTCGCGGAAGAGGGGGCGTTGGGATGTGAGAAGGCGCTGGAACTCTCGCGGGCCGTAGACACCAGCTCGTATTGGAGCGGTGAAGCGCGGCCAGAGGGTGAGCGCAATGCGACGGAAGGAGAGGATGTCGCGTCCAGCGTACTTGGCGAAGGTATCCCAGACTGCAGAAAGGAAGCGGGAGTAGAGATCTGCTGTCTCTTTGGCCGTAGGACGAGGAATTGCGTTGTCCTCTCCGCCCTCGATGGCCACATTATCGTCACCGTCGGATGCGGACGTCGCTTCTAAAGGCGAGGAAGGATATATCGACGGCACAGACCGCGAAACGATAGCCACAGCCTCCGCCTTCGTATAGCTCGGGAAATGCACATGCGGCGCCCCCGGATTATGCAAAAAATGCGGTCTCGGCGACGTAACCACAAAAACCGTCGTCAGATTCGGAATCTTCTTCACATTAGCTCACAACACCCCCTCAACTCCCCCCGGAAAAGGAAAACTCACAACCTCCCCCAACCTCGCCAGCGCAGGCACCAACGTCGGCGGCGCATCCCTCTGCTTATCCACCCCATCAAACACCAGCACGAACCGCCCCTCACGACCCTCTAGCATCTTCCCAAGCAACACAGCCAACTGCGCGAGGTTCTCGCATCGCCCCGCGCCTTCCTCCCAATCCACCGCCGCAGCAACAGCACACACCGTCCGCTCCAGTAAATGTCGTCCAGTGATACACTCCTTACTCCTCACGATCGCGTACCTCAGCGCGCCCTCCTCCCCCGCCGCATCACCCGTCGACAATGCATCCAGTACACCTGAGATAACGGCACTCTTCCCTGTCGCAGCGAGGCCGTAGACGACTATATTCCGAGGGGACGCACAGAGTGGCTACATTCATTGATCAGCTCTCGTGCCCGCAGTTATACAACACGAGAAGGAGAGAGGGGGGGACTCACACCAACCAGCGCCCCCAGCGCAGCGACTTGCTTCGACCTCTCCGGCATCTCCTTCGCTAACCTCCCCAGCGCCTCGCGCGGTAGCGCAAAGGTCGACATCTTTTCCAACTCCGCTATTATAAATACAATCGCACTCCGCTGTGCCTGCCTGCCTGTCTGCCTGCCCTGTATTGTAATCGGTATCGTTGGTGCTTTCGCTCGTTGTTGATTTAAGCCTGGTCTATCTGGTCTGGCCTCGTCGCTACTGTACACGCGTGAAGGCGAGGCTGAGGAAATTCCACAGCCGTGGACGCGGGTGGTAGTGACGCGCCAAGAGCTCAGGGGATGGCGGGTGTGCACGTGATGTGGTGATGAGGAGCGCGTCCGTCTGTCTGGGGTTTATAGGGAGGGATTAATGACGAGGGAATTTGGGTATTAATACGCAGGAAGAATAGGTAGATGGTAGAATATGCGGCTATACTAGGTATCTTGGGTTGTCAAATGTGGACAGTCACAACACGGCCTGGAGATACAACTCTGAGGAACGAACACTATAGCAAGGAGTCGAAGTAATTAATTCAATAGCCATTTGCTTCTATGCTCGCTCTACAGCACGCAAAGCTCAAGGCACGTATTATTTCATGCTCTACACCCCCACCGTGCTAGACATGCAATTCACCCCGTCCTCCTCCTCAGTTCACATATTACCCACTACCATCTCATCCTCACCCCCCATCCTCACCCCCCATTCACCACCAACCACAACCCACCACCAACTCCATCCGCCGCCAAAAGTCAACCAACCCCTCCATCTTCGCCGTCGAAATCGTCCTCTGTTCGGGGTATATCGGGTATCGTTAAAATATAAACTTTCACCACCATAAAAAAAAACGCCATCCGTCCATCATCTTTATTTATCCCCCCCCACTCCGCCCTCCGATTCGCCCCTGTCCCCCCCATTTTTCTCACCAACGCCATCCATAAACAAGTTTCGCCCCCGCAGCTGCCCTAGCTCCCCTTCCCCCTACCCCTCCACCTCCTAAAAGTCAACCTGCATCTCCCACTCCAACCTATGCTTCTTAACATACTCCCTCAGCATCCTCGCCGCCTCCACCTTCACCGTCTTAACCGGCAACGCCTGCCCCCCTGGCGCACGCACAAACGCCATCCCCCCCCCCTCGCGCACAGCCTCCGGCTCCCTAGACTTGAGCTCCTCGCACGCCATGCGGTACTGGAGCCATAACTCCTGGCTCCGGCGGATATTCTCGCTCATCGCGTCGCGGAACCTCAGGTAGTCGGGGGAATTACTCGGTGTCTCCTTGGCGAAGCGCAGGTTATGCACTGCGAGTAAGGCGTTCGACGCTACCCCGCCGATCAGGAGGATCACGATGTCGAGATGCAGGTGCGCCTTTCCGAGGTCGTGGTTCGCCTGCAGTAGTGGGAACAGCGAGAGCCAGTTGTCGCCTGTGTTGGGTCGTCCCATCTTGCGGTACATGGCGTCGAAGGCGTCGAAGGCGACGAGGTATGCGAGTAGTGATTCCGCCCCGGCGAGGGTCGCCAGTTGGTTTTCCTTGGAGTGGATGTACACGTCGCGCTTGCGCTTGAGCGTCTTTCCCATCTCGGAGTACTTCGCGTTCGCAGCACGGCAACGGTCCACCTCTATGGATTTGTCGCCGCCGTTCTGCCTCGGTTTCTCCGTGCTAGCGGGCGTAGATGCCGCGCCCGTCTTCGGTGTGAGAGTGTTGTCATCCGCCGAGTCAACGCGGCGCATCGCAACGCTCTTCATGGCGTCACCCTTCTTCGGTGTGACCTTACTCGCGCTCGGAAGCTTCTTTCCAGAAGTCGGAGGCTGGCCTGGGGATTTAAATGGCGGGAGTAATTGGCCAGTGGCAGCTTTATCAGAGTCGATTTTCGCAGGGACCTTCGCTCGCTTTATCGATCGCTCGGGTTGCTCATCGGGTACGGGGCGCGGCCGTTTGCTCTCGGCAGCCCTCGCCTTTGATACGGCCGGCTTCTCGGGAACTATGCCGTCGGCCAATTCAAGTACGGCTCTGTTTGGTATTGGCTTCGTTTTGAGGATGCGCTGTATGTCTTTCGTCATGCTCTTCTTGTACTTCAGCTTGACGATTTGCCGTGGCGGCTCATAGGTGATCTCAGGAGGAGAAGAGTCAGAAGCTTTAGATGCACGTCGCTTCTCTGCCGCACTAAGTTTGGGTGCCTTTCTCGCCACGCCGGGAGTATCAGGGTTGCGACTCTTCTCATGGCGAGCTTGGACAGTATCGAGTTTCCTTGTTGGTTGTTTGTTCTTCGCCAGTAATTCTTCGACGTTCGGTGGTAGTTCCCTCGGCAGCAGCTCCGGCAAACGGAAAGGCGATGTCTTCTCACTCTGTTCCTTTCTCTTCGCTGTTGAAGATTCCGCCTTCGTAGTTGAAGGGCTATCGCGGCCATTCTTGCCTGGCTTCTCCGCTCCATGTCCCGAACTAAAACTAACCGGGGTCGGACTCGTAAGGTATTCCGGCAGCGGCGACAGAAGCCTAGGCATCTCAGGAACTCTCGTGGCCGACGGCGCATCCTTCGCCTTGCTCCCAGACGCAGGCCCACGCTCCGAGGCCTTCTTATCATCCGCCCTCTTTGTCGGAGTATTATCAACGCTCGTCGGCTGTGACTGCTTCGCATTCGAGGGTTTCGACTTCGGCGCCGTCCCAAAGAGTCTGGACAGGGGATCCGAAGTATTCCTCTGGTGTCCCTTCACAGTTCCACTCTGCGTATGTTTTGCCTCAATCTTCAGGCGCTTCTCCGGCTGCGACTGCTCGGGCTTTTCGAGCGGCCTCTTGGGCGCATGATTCGACACTGCCGGTTTCGGAGGGAGAGGATGTGATATTTCTTGCTTCATTGTTGTAGGTTTAGGAGTTGTGTTTTGTTGCTCTCTTGCCTTCGGTGGACGCGCATGGCGATCATTATCCTTGGCTTGGGGAGCTGAGGGCTTCGATTGAGGCACGCGCGAGTCGCTTGGCCTAGGCGCATCTTCGTTCTTGACCGCACCAGAGTGCCTGCCATCTGCGGAACTAGAAATACTAATTAGCATACAAATGCGACAAACATATCAAAGCCCAGATCACATACCGTGTAGCTCCATTCTGCGCAGCCTTCGCCGGTTCCGCCTTAGTAACAACCTTCACATTCTCCTTCTCCCTACTCGACTCGCCAGCAGTCTGCTGCGAGTCACCCGCCGGTTTCGGCACGCGCTTCCCACTCCTATAATCAGCGAGCGAGATCCTACTCCTCGGCTTCGCACCGCCCCTCTCGCCCTGCTGCGGCGTAGCCGTGCCACTGCGCGACCGCGACACATTATACGGCGAGCGCGAGTTCATCTCCTCCTCCCAGCCGCCGCGCGGGCGAGCAACGCCGCGATTGTCGCCAGTGACGAGCGTCATGTACTGCAGCTCGTCGAACTCGAAGGCTTCGAAGGGGGAGTTGCGGTGGGTCTCCCATGGGCGCGAGCCGCGGTATGGATCGGTGGTTGGGACGGAGAGGAGGTGCGGTATCGGTGGGAGGAATTTGGTCTTGAGCTTGTCGATCGCGCTGTTGATAGCTTCTATCGTGGGGGAGATGTTGGAGTCGCCGTTGGGGTTCTTGGCGTCGTCCATGTTTGTGTTGGGGAGCTCATGCAGCTTCGTGGTTGGTGTTGGTGTGGTGGTGGTGGTCAACTGCGGTGGTGGCTGGAGGAGTGTTGAGCTTTGCAATTGATCCATGGTGCAATTGAAGGCGTCCTGGAGACTGCGCGATCTCTGCAACAGGATGTGGCGCGCGAGGAAAGTGCGTGTGCGTCTTTAGATATGTATGAGTCGGTGGTATGAGGGTGTGTGTGGATGTGGATGGCTGTGTAAAGTCCTATTGTCGCCAATTGCCCGCGTCGGCAAGTGTTGAAGATAGGCCGTGGCGGCGACAATAGGCCCAGTTGGTATTGTCGTCAGGCGCTCAACCCATCGACAATACGTCGCCGCGCCTCATGCGCTTTTTGAGCAAGCGCGGGGATTCGGGGTAGATGTGAAGAGGATGATCAATGGCGGGTGGTAGTAGCTAGCGGCAGGAGCAGCAGCAGAGTTTCGATATGTAGGACTACAATATGTAGATGAAAGGGCAAGAGGCAAACTGACAGTATGCGGCCGTGTATTATGCGTGTGCGTATGTGTATGTGTATGCGCCGAATGAGGAGAAAGTGAGGCTGAAGAGGATATATCGGTATCGGTATCCGGGGTATAAGTGAGTGAGTTGAAGAGGCGGAAGGGAAGGGAAGGGAAGGTTGGCAGGGCAGAAAGTACCGTAGTTTAGACACTTTAGACGGGGAGGTACTTGTGTTCTTTGTTCTTTGTTGTACTGCAGAAGTGGGAGGACAGAGGTAGAGGGGAAGTATATTCTAGCTGTGAGTAGCAGCTGAAAGTGACATCAGAAGATACGATTCACCACACCAAAAATCAGCGTCCAGGCCGTGGCAGCCTCACCACTCCCTCCCACCGAGTACAAGCAACCAAAGTACCCCCAGTGCATACTGTCACGCTAGTCCCAAACCAGGGTGTTCCGTGCCGTCAGCCGCCATCCGTCAGGAACATACATGGAGGAGAGAAAGATGCCATCGGCGTGAAGATCTGCCGCTGAGATCGCTGCCGAGTTATCATATTATCATATTATCATATATGTATGCTTATTTATATACGGATGAGATGTTGGCTATGATGGGATTGGGTTGAAGAGGGCGAGGAAGATATGAATTTCAGTATACAACCTATAAACTATAAACTATAAACCGTGCACAGAAATTTGGAGTCAACACATACACTAGTCCCCGCACGCAAGTTTATTTATCAAGCTGAAGTATACATCAATCTATATTCTCAATATATATGTGATCGATACAGAACACATCACAATGTGAACCATATATAAAGATAAAGTACCCTATCCCCCCAGCACGCCGTCACCCCTTCAAATATAGTTTACACAGACCAGACAGGCAGGCAGTCCCCTCGTCCATCCCTCCCCTCCTCCCCTGCCCTACTCCTGCCCCTGCTCCACTCATACCCTCTATGTACGTACAGTACAGTACAGTACAGTGCAGCACGCCCAGATCCAGATCCAAAGAACGCCGTCTATAAATCCCTCCCATGCTCATCATATAAACCATAATCCATGCCCATCCTCACGAGGCCTTCACGTCCTGCCTCGGCCAACGGTCCTCCGGCCTCGTCACAGGCGGAATCCACGGCGGCCCCGCTCCCCCAGGCCGCCCTCTCACGCTCTCGCTATCGCTGCGTAGCCGGTTCCCTTCCGGTGGGCCGTTATACCCGTTCACATACGGATTACTCGCGCTCGACACCGACTGCGGCTCTACCGCTGCGGCGGCCTCGACATCCCCGCTCAGCTCACGGATCGGCAGTAGTGCCTCCTCCTTGATATCCAGTAGTCGCGCTTTGCGGTCAGCTTTGTTGCTGTGTCCGGTGCGGTCGTACAGGTAGAGTCCGAAGAAGGTGAGCGCGATGCCGAAGCCTTGGATGGGGGTTGTAGCGTTCTGGAACCAGATAATGGCGATGACGACGACGAAGACACGCTTGATTAGCGAGGCGACGGAGTAGGTCACCGGCGAGACCATGGACAGCAGCACGAAGGCAATAATGTTCTGTCCGAAGTGGAAGGTGCCGTTGAAGATGAACTCGAGCGTGAGACGACCGTGGTCCAAAGCGGCCGGCGACGACGTATTTTCCAGGTCGAGCGACCCGTCGTGCAGGAAGTCAGAGATGAGGGAGAATCCCTCGGAGAACAGCCATAGCGGGGCTGTGAGGAGAAACGCCAATCCTGACGAGTAGCATAGTAGGTTTAGTTTATCCAGCCGCCGCGACTGCTGGTGTTGGCCGTCTGCTTCGGCCTTGGCGGCCTCGTTGAAGAGGCGTTTCGAAAATATGTTCTGTGTGACAAATATTATAGCCGCTAAAAAAGCGTAGAGGATGCCGATGAAGTTGCCCTTGAACGAGGCAGAGCACGCGAGCATCACACCGAGGGTGAGCGGGATGAGAGAGAGGTATGTGGTAAGGGGGTAGCGGATATCGAAGACGATGCGGTATGCAAACACGGTAAATAGGGGTGAGAGGCCCTTGATAGTATGTACGAGCGAGACGGGGATTCGTTGTGTCGCTGAGGAGGAGAGGAGATGTCCGCCGATTTGGAAGAATGCGAGCGGCAATGTGGTGACGATGACGTCGCGAGTCGGGGGTCTGATGCCAAACCGGAGAGCGGGGATGGCATTCTTCATGGCGGGGAAGCTCTCGGCCAGCGCCGAGAAAAGGAGACAATATGACGAGACGAATCCGAATTGTATGAGTGTGAGGGTCGCGGGTTTCGGGAAGGCCATCAAGATGGTTTTTGAGGAGGTGTTCGTCAGGGCAGAGGAGAGGTACCAAACTATGCAGAGTGTCTACGATTATCAGCATACAGCAAAGTCCGGGGATGGCAATTGGAAGCCTACAATGAGCTTTGGTGACACCGGCGCCTTCAGAGCGCCCGCAATCTCGTGCGCATTTGCAGTAACGCTGCCCTTCCTCGAGCGAATGGTTCTGAACGCGTCCGTCAAGCTCTTCTGTCTGCCGTGTACTCTCCCCGTAGGATGATATGCGGCCTTGCCGGTCCAGCTCGGCGGTATGGGCTCTCTGCGTGTCTGCCACCGTTCGAAGGGCGATGGTGTTACCCCATTGAGCGCCCCATTCGCTCTGGGCGGCTCAGGGATTTGGTCGTCCTGCTCCCCGAGAAACGATGGGTCCATGTCGGGGAACTTCTCCATCGACATACGCGCCTCAGCAACGGGTTTCGGTGCGGTGGCGTGGCTCAAGGACCTCTCTCGCCGTAATTGTAGTGGAGGGGATGTTGAGTGCGGCATTGCGACAGTCGGGGGGGGGGGAGGGGGGGAATTGAAGCGAGCTGAGAAAGCTGGGAGGGTCGGAGAAAGCTTAGGATGGCATTATCGTCAATAGTTCATTCTTCGAGCGCTGATATTATTGGCAGCGACAGTGTTAATTGAAGAAGAAGACGGGGTATGTAGACGGTAGTAGACGTTGTGAGAGGTGGGAGAAGCTGAAGAGTTGAGGATATAATGGAGGATATCCACGCAAACGGACAAATATCCAGTTAGCTGCAGTTATACGACCACGGACCATTCAGAGCCCGAGTTTAGAAGCTGAGTACGAGGTACCAAGGAGTACATGCATCCAAGTAGACAATTAACGAAATTGCTTGGCGAAATGTCTTGGCGCTTGGCAACGATTTGTGCAATGATCAATGATGGAATGTTTGACTTGGCACGCTAGAACGAACTAGGAGAGTTAGAGGCGCTAGGATGGTTGGGGGTTAGCGTTGCGGCAGCCGCGTGAATATCGAATTGTCGAATATCTCCAGGCTGAACTTATCGCGACAGAGGGCAGAAAGACAGCTATATACCCGACAGAATAGCATCTACTGCACCACCACACGCCTGTATATCAACGCATTGTTACTCGAACAGGGCATTGAAGGATACAGTAGCATACAGCAGACAATTTACTGCACAAAAAACACACCAGCACCCCCCTCACACGACACCCCCGGGCGCGATGCCCTCAGCGACCAAGATGGCGCCGAAGATGACCAAGAACCAGATGAGGAGGGCGAAGAAGAAGGAGCAGAAGAAGACGGAGGTGAGCATTGATAGTATGTGCGCATTGACGACAGTAGCTAACACAGCCAAGGACACAGCAGTCAAGGTCGAGCCAACACCAGAACCAGAGGCATCATCCGCGCCACCAGTGAAGTCAGAAGAACAACCAACACCAGTCAAGGCAGACGACGAAGACATCTCACAGATTGAAATCTCAGCACTCGACATCTCCGAAGATGACCCGAACTACGAGATGTTCAAGGCTATCATCGACCGCTTCCAGGTGAACAAGGAGGGAGAGGACGCCGACGAGAAGGCCAATGGAGACAAGGGCGAGATCTTCTACTCTGACGACGAGGATATTCCAGACGAGGAGGAAGAGGCTGAGCCGAAAATGTCAAAGAAGGCGCGCAAGGCGCAAAACAAGCTGTCCGTCGCAGAGCTGAAGGCGCTTGTCAACAAGCCTGAACTGGTCGACTGGACAGACACCTCAGCCCCAGACCCTCGACTACTCGTCCACATCAAATCATACCGCAACGTTGTCCCAGTTCCCACACATTGGTCGCTGAAGCGCGAGTACCTCTCCTCGAAGCGTGGTGTTGAGAAGCCGCCGTTCGCCCTCCCCAAATTCATCCAAGAGACGGGCATTGCCGAGATGCGCGACGCCGTTCTGGAGAAGGCAGCCGACGCCTCTCTCAAGTCTAAGCAGCGCGAGCGCGTCCAGCCGAAAATGGGAAAGCTCGATATCGACTACCAAAAACTATACGAGGCCTTCTTCCGCCACCAGACGAAGCCAGAATTGACGCGGTACGGCGAGGTGTACTACGAGGGCAAGGAGTACGAGACGAACCTTAGGCATCTGCGCCCTGGAGAGTTATCGGAGGAGCTGAAAGAGGCACTCAATATCCCACCAGGAGCACCACCGCCATGGCTCATCAACCAACAGCGCTTCGGTCCTCCACCATCCTACCCATCCCTAAAAATCCCCGGCTTGAACGCACCACCCCCACCCGGTGGAGCCTGGGGTTTCCATCCCGGTGGATACGGCAAGCCTCCCGTCGACGAGTTCAATCGCCCCCTATACGGCGGCGACATCTTCGGCGTGCTCCAGCCGCAAGTCAACAACCAAGCCGGTGAACCCATCGAGCGCACACTCTGGGGCGAACTCCAAGCACCAGAAGAAGAAGAGGAAGAGGAAGAGTCCGAAGAAGAAGAAGAAGAGGAGGAGGAAGAAGACACTACCGGCCTCGAAACCCCAGGCGGTCTCGTCACCCCCGGCGGCATGGCCTCCGCCGTCCCCTCCGAGTACCCCAGCGAGATCGACGCAGGCGGCGCCTTCGACCTGCGCAAATCCCGCAAGGGCACCGAGACAGAGGAGTACACCGGCCCACGCACCGCATACACCGTCATCCCCGAGCGCGCCATCCGCGCCGAGGGTTTCTTCGGCGGCGAGCGCGCCTACGACGTCTCCTCAATCAATCGCCCGCCTCCTAACGTGCCTGTCCTCGGAGAAGAAGACCAGCGCAAGCGCAAGAAGCCGGGAGATGTGGAGATGGCTATTGATCCTGAGGCGCTGGAGGCGGGGCCGGACGAGCTGCGGAGGAGGTATGAGAGTGCGAGGCGCGAGCAGGATGTCGCGGGCGTGCAAGGGAGTGGGAAGTGGGGGACTGAGGAGGATTTGAGTGAGATGATTGAGAAGGAGAGTCGGAAGAGGCAGAAGAGGGATGAGGAGAGGAGGAGCGCGAGGTAGTTGGGACAGGGTGTTGGGATAGTGTACCATTATGGTTGGAGATATTTAATAGCATCAATGGATGGGGCGTGGATCGTCCGCCGAATCTCGCAGTTTTTGTCTACTCTGTGCGAATTTACAACGCTGCTGAAGGGTGTCCTAATGGTATGCCCCTTACTGGCCCAAATCAGTCCACACAGCAAACTCACCCTCTCTCATTTTGAGAATTGATACTCGTTACATTTTGCAAGAGACAACAAACAAGAGCCATATATTAACATTTAACAGGGTCACTAACCCGCACAAAATATAAAAAGCCACTTCAAAGGGTCCATCCCACCTCGCGTCGCCAAAACTACGTAAAACCGACGCCATCACCACCCCTTCCCCCCCAACATCACGCCACCTCCCAATCCCCCTAAATCCCCCAAAATCTCCCCTCCTCATCTAACATCCTCTCTCCTCCCATCTCATCCCAAAAATACTCCCCAAAAAATCAGCATAACCGCCAACATCCAAAACCATAATACAATCCTCCCTCACACAATGACCACCCCTCTCCACCCCCACGCAGTCTGGAACCCCGCCTTCCGCCCCAACACCAACACCAACGCCACTACCTCCCTTCCCCCCCCCCTCCCCCTCTCCACCGCCACCCCGACCCACCCCTCCAACACACACCTCCACAACGTAACCCCCTTCACCATCGCCGCCGCCGCCGCCTCCTCCAAGCTCAACAGACACAGACACGGACCTGAAATCAATTCCGCTAGGGAACGACGATGCTAGGGATCTAGAAGCCGGGATGGGGGGGGTGGTGGTGAGGCGGGGGGGAATAAAAAAGAGGGTTGAGGGGTGGTGGACGGGGGTTGCGTGTTTGGTGTTGATGTTTTTTACGGTTAGTTTGGGGGGGTGCTTTGCTTTTGGGGGGTAGAAGGGGGAAATGGGGGAAGAAGGGGGGGAGGGGAGGGCGGAAGATATCGATGTCTAAATGGCGTGGTTGGGGGTTGGGGGTATATATATGGTATTTGTGGTGGGGTTGAAAATAGCGGGTTTCTCATATGGATCGCAGATAGAATAATTGGAAAGGGGGTAATATTTCTTAAAGCAAATAATTTCACAATCTGACGACACAAAACCATCGAAATAGCCACCACATCTTTTTTGTGTGAGTCGAGTACGAATTAATTTATACTCCTACTTAATCTACCCCCCATTATGCATATTCAATCATCCTCCCAAACGAAAGAAGCGTCCTTTATTACCGCTTACTCGCCAAAAACAACAAAAGCTCGAATAACCATGCCTCTCCAGAAGCTTAACGCCGCGTTTCCCATTTTCATATCCTCGTCACTACTTTGTTCACCACCTTCTCTGGCATCATTTCAACCGCCCGCGTCAACTACCCTCCTTCACATAACAACACACTCCTTGTCCTTCCCTCTCCCCCGCCCATCCTGATTCTGCCTTCGATTACCCCTCCCCCCAACAGGTTGAGCCGGTGCCATCCTCGGAGCCGGTACCTGTGCCCGCGCCAACCTCATCCTCTCCGCCTGTCTCTCAGCCGCCGGCAGGTCTCGCAGCCTCCGTCCAACCTCCGGACTGATATTAGGATGCGAGGGATGTTGAGGAGGCGGATTAAACGCCGGTTGCCTCGCCGCGATATCATAGCTCGGCAATATTTCGTCGGGCGATAAAGGTGGGTTGGAAGTCTGCAGGGGCGGAGATTCAAGCGGAAATTCGGCCGGGGCTTGGGGTAGTGATGAACCGCCAGCGTTTCCACCACGCGGTCCGCTGCTGCTAGCGCCATCAGAACGTGTGACGGGGATGTCGTTGCTGCTAGTGTTGCGGGCCTGGGATGATGCACCCTGCTGCTGCTGGGTGCTCCCGCTCTGTCGTCTCCTACGGGCTACCTCTTCTTCGTGGCGCTCGTTTTCTTCTTCTTGTAGTTGGATCGCTAGTGCGAGGTCGTGGTCCTCTTGTTCGACTGAGGAGGATGCCACGCGCTGATGTCTACCAAATGGAGCCCCACTGGAATCGGTCGAAGGTTCTGAGCTCTCGATGCGGCTATCCCAATCGCTTGCTGCCTGTCGCGAGTCTGTGTCACCACCAACAGGTCTGAAATCTCCAGAGTAAAACGCGCAGTTCTCCCCATTGATGTCAGGCAGCGACTCCCACACAATCTCATCATGGCCAGCCAACCCCATATCCGTAACGAGGTGCATTAGCTCATCATTCTGGGGGTTCTTATACAACGTGCTAAAGTGATCATTTCGGAATAGGATAGCAACAGACCCAGGTGCGAGCGCCCTGCGAATAATCTCTAGCCCGGATTTTGTGAGTTGCGTACCGGAGGAGGATAAGAAGGATTTTATAGTCATAATGTCGTCGAGTGTCGTTTGCTCCTCCAAAGTAAGGCCGTCGCCAATGAACTTCATCTCCAGCTCTTCCTCGCGGAACATGATATTCTGTGCGTCCTCGTACGTGCGCGCCGAGCGTGCGAGAGCTGCCTCAGCATCAGATCCGCGCTCAGGCAGCCAGCCGTGCATGAGCGGGATCAGGAAAGTACCGTATAGCATTATCTCGCGCGTCTGCTCAAAGGTTCCCGGAATCAGATCTTCGCGCTCCGAGGGATGTATGTGGGACATTGAGCGTCTTGGGTCGTTCGCCAAGTTTGTGGCGCCTAGCGCGAAGAAACGGGGGTTAACGTTCATCCCGGTATGAAGGGTAATGAGGAAAGTATAAAGATCTCCTAGATCAGGAAGCTCTTCTGTTCCATCCCCACGTAGTCCTGCCATAAGATTATCAATAATGGCATTGAGCAGCAGCTCGAGGCTAATCTGCTCCCGCGTCTGGAGCGTCTGAATCAACGATGAAGCCTGACCTGGGGGCGTAGATATCGTAATTGCATTCACGAGAGCTAACAGTGGGCACGGTCCATTCGCATTCTGCATTAGTACCGGTGTAACTCGCGGGTTCCTCGCCGCTCTTCTATCCAACCAGGTGATATTCCTGATCGCGTATGTCCCCTTGCTCTTTTCCTCACTATCCCCGGGGTCTTGGCGCGACGAGGGTGCATTGGCTTCGCCTCCACTGTTTTCATCGTGGCTCGTTGTTGCCTCTTCGGAACCTTCAATATTTCGCGGTGGCAGGTTCGGCGGCCGAGGAGGAATGGGTCTCTGTGACGAGGTCTCTTGTCCTGCAGCATCAATAACGCCACTCTGCTGCTCCCCTGCTCCCGTAGGCTCCGATCCGCCATCCTCGCGCACCGGCTCTTTTTGTGGCACGGCAGGGGCAAGTGCAACTTCCCGCCTAGATGATTCCCCTGGAGCTTCCTCCGTCACCACCCGCTCACCAGTTGGAGCGGGGAACAAATCCTCCTGGTCATCATCCCAGTTCGAGGACTCGTTTGTTTCATCCACTTTGACGGGTGGAGGTGTCCTTGCCGGCGGTGGCGCCGACGACCAGGCATCATTGCCAGAATCTTCCTTGCCAAATGACGGTGGTACTGGTTGCGCATTTGGATGCGATTTTTCTTCCGCAATCGACTTTTGCTCAACTGGGCCTTCCCAAGGATTCGTATCCTGGTCCGCAATGTTGAGGTTTTGGAATTGATCAGTCACATTGGGATCTATGAGAAGTTAGTATATAGTCATAATCCCAAAGCACACTCTGGTCGAGCTCCAAGGCATCTCACCTTGACGTTGGCTGGGTGCCAAAGGACCACTGGCATCTGGCGCATTGGCTTTCGGCACATTGGCGCCTGGCGCACTGGAGCCAGGCCCACCCTTCCCCTCCTCACCAGCCCACGGATTTACCTCCGCCGTCGGCCCCGAAGCTGGCGGATTCCCCGTATTCTGAGCTCTCGCAAACGGGTTCGTTGACCCTGGTCCTCCCTGCGGCCCAGCTCGTAGCGATTCCGGTATCTCATTACCCCCGTGGCCTCCTCCTTGCTCCCTCCTCTCACTCCCAGCTCCCTCACCACTTCCCTGTGTAGGTTGTGTCTGTGGCGCCCCAGCGCCATTACCGCCCCCACCCGTCGGCACGCCCTCATTAGGCTCCTGCTTGCGACTCGCCATGTCGCCGCTGTGTTGTCGATTGAGCCAGATCCGAGCTTCAGAACCACCTTAGGCCCTCTGCGTCGCTCAATCCCTCTCCACAGCCGGTACCCCTCGCAGCAGCGAGCGCCCTGGACCCTGAGGTCGCGATAGCCTCGTCGCAGCCTTCCCGTTAGCGATCGTCCTTTCCAGAGCAATCTGTCGCGCCGCAAGCCATATACCACTCCAGCGTACTCCAAAACTCAAAAGATCGTATATAAAAGCTGTAGCTACGAAGCAATTGTACGCTGAATGGCGGTGGGTTTGTTAAGTGAACTCGTGGACACAGTTTCAGCGGGCAGAGAGAGACGTAGAGGGGAGGGACATAACGGGTTCAGCCACAGGCAGCTGTGACCCTGGATGGACGCTGATGTGGCGTTGCCGCGAGGGCGCTGACGTAGGCGGGGCAGGGGACTGTGGCGCTAGTAGGGAGGTGTCAGGCAGTCACTTGTGGCTCACCAGAAATCTGAAGTCTGAAGAGGGACGGAGGCCACCATATTCAACACGAAGATGTAATTTGATATATAGTATCACAGCAAAAGGGTTATAAGTATACGCGTCGTCAACTGAACAATATATCACGTTGTCGTCATCAAATGTATTTTGCGCTTCTAGAGTCCATTATTATACTGCAACCTGCCTTCCCTTCCGTTACTCCCCAAGCTCAATCAGTAATGTGCAAACCTTCAAGACCATGGCAGTCCATATAGTAAGCTAAACGCCATGTCCCGCTCAAATCACCTAAAATTACATCCATAACCCCAATCTGAGCCGCATTAATACCATGATCCAGGCACAATTCCTATCAGTAACCTCCCCTAAAACGCAGCGCCCCCAACCCCCTCCCCAGCCAACATCCGAACATGCCTCTCGCTCAACTCCGCCTTGAGACCCATACTCGCTGACTCCCTCGCCAGACGATCCCATTGCGCCAGCCCCTTCCGCAACTTCTCCTCTTTCGCATTCAAATCTTCACGCATGCGCTCGAGATCTTCATCGGTCTTCCGGATACGCGCCTCAAGCTCCTTCGGTACGGGCGAGTAAGTAGGGTCAATCTTTCCACCGGGGATGACGGGAGGAAGGTTCGCGATGGCCGGGTGGACGCGTGGAACAGACGGTGTGAAGGTCTTGGTGTTGTGACCGTGGAAGGGGGCTGAGGAGATGGAAGAGGAGCGGGATGGGGGTGCAGTCTTCCAGTCGCTGCCTGAAGAGCTTGCTCTTGGGCCCGTAGGAATGGCTGGGGTCGCAGATGGTGTTGTGGCGGGCAACGTCGGGGATTGCACAGAGGGTGGCCTGTTGTTGTGAACACCCCCCCATCCTGGCTCTGGGCGGCGATCACTGAAGGAGCCTCTGCCGCCTCTTGGGAGAAAACCTCCACGCGCAGGAGGGGGATTGAAGTTGCGAGGTCCGGATGGTGGTGCCACCGCCGCCGTACCCTCGGGACGACTAGGCGCAGGCATCGATAACGGTGTAGATTGTCCAGATGCAGACGGCGACCGAATTGGAGCGCTGAAGTTGCGGTTGGCGCTTGGACCAGTAGGCGCTCTGAAGGGTTGTGCAAGTCGAACTGGTGATCTACCCTGTACCGCTGGAGATCTCACCATCGGAGACGCTGCGCGTGCTGGCGACCGTTCGCGTGGCGTGGATCGCGTTGAATCCCGGCGTGGAGACCTGTCTCGTGGAAAGGGCGAGCGCATACTCTGAAGGTCATCCACAGGTGGCGCTGGGCGGTAGCTAGGTCTTGGTGATGGGCGACGTGTGCTGTGTTCAGAGTTTCTCCCTGAAGATCTATCTCCAGAAGGAGATGGCGATCGTGGTCGTCTCCAAGTGAGCGACGTTTGGGCAGCTGCGACGCGGTCGTCACGGCGCGGTGGGCTACGAGACCTTGGACGCCATCCACCCCCCCTGGGTCCTGCTGGTGGAGATCTTCTTGAGATAGGTGATCGAGCTCGTAATGGGCCACGGTTGTCAAAAGGAGACCGTGACCTGCGTCTAGAATGATTGTAACCCATTGTCAGATATTGTTCCAGTGTTGTGTAATGTTTAGGGTTGTTAAGATGGAAGAGAAAAGGAAAAGGTGTGGTGGGAGCAAACAAAGAATTAACAAAGAGGTCTCGTGACGCGAATTTACAGCTAAACAACTAGTATAGAACACGATTGGGGATTGTATTGTAAGGGGAAAAAACCACAACATGGTAAAACTCACCTAATATCCCGCTCGTCCAAATCCGATCTCCTTGGCGGTGATCTAGGGCGTCTATCATCACCCCGTCTTGGTGAAAATCGCCTCACTGGACTTCTAGGTCTCCCAGGACTTCGCGGTCGCATAGGACTCCTTGCTCTGGCAGGACTCCTGGCCCTAATTGGACTCCTTGGCCTCACTGGGCTCCTCGGCCTCACTGGGCTCCTCATCCGCTGTGGGCTCCTGGGTCGGACTGGGCTCCTCGGACGCTGCGGACTTCTCGCCCTCTCTCTATCTCTCCAATTCTGCACATCTCGTGGGGGGGTTCTATCCCTCGAGCGATACGCAACCGGTGACCTCGACCGCCGTCTCAGCGGCGACCTATCTCTGCCACCGGGAATATACGCATCCGATGCCTGTGGGCTCCTCGGCCTCTCGCGCCGTGGCGAGCGATCCCGGTCTCTATTATCGAATCGCGAGGTGTCGGATCGCGGGGAGCGCGGACGCACAGAAGGGCGGTACGACTCCCCAGCGCCCATCTTCGTTACCTCGCCATCGCCACGAGGGGCGTATCTGCGGGGGACTGTTAGTGATTGTGCTGGGCGGTAGCGGTCGGTAGACACTCTGGCAGGCACTCCTGGGGCTTGGCGTCGGCTCAGCACTTGCTGTCGACGGGGTGGCAGGAGGACTATCAGGTCGCTGCCCACTCGGGGTTCTGGGCGGCTCGGGAGATTTGGCATCGTTGGAGAGGCTGGTATATTGAGGAAGCTTGGTTTCGCTGGGTTTGGCATCATCTCTCCTTTGCCAGGCACGGTATTGGTTTCGGGTATGATATGAGAAAGCTGGGAGACTGAGTTTATCGTGGTATTTTCGGGTTGGGTCTGGATGGGGAGGCCGGGTTGTGGGACCTGTGTGCCAGCTTGCGGAAGTGAGGTCTGAGTGGTTCCATGTTCACTATCACCACATCCTTTATCGCCATCCACAGCCGTATAGTCGCCTGAGGTAGGTATATCAGGTAACTGCGGCTTTCCAGCAATATATATTCGCGAGGGCGGTGTGACAGAGCTTCCAGGGTGTCGCTTTGATGCGCCTCCTCCAGCCTTCAACCCCATATCGTTCGCAATGCGCTCCGAGAAACTGCGAGTTCTGAATGCCTTGACTGGTCGCTGGACTCTGGCAACTTCGAAGACTTCACCATCTTCACCGCCTCCAACTTCTCCATCGTCGTATTCGTCGCAGTCGTCGTCGTAGTTGAGGATGATGTCCATGTCGAAACACTGAAGAAGGGGGCAAACAATGAGATGTAGGAAGGACAAACCTTCTATCACGACCACGATCGCGGTCCATCTTGTCTTCCGTCCCTATACTAACTATACAAATAATCCTACAAGTGGCGGCAGTAGCGACTGAGATGGCTGATATAAACACGGAAGCATCGTTCCTTCCCCAAACCACCACCAAATTATTATCCGTTCAATCGTAGGCCGCCACGCTAGGGTGGTGCCAAGACAAGGCTGAGATATAGTTGGCAGCCTCGCCCATGCCACCGACTCTGTGCTAGCGTGTCAATTTATGTCGATCATGCACTTTATCACTTATAATGAATGATAAAATGAAAGGTTTATAAGTAATAAGTATAAGTATTTTACTTGACAGCTTAAGATAATGAAGTAGCGGCTAATTTACCTACTATTTTTATAAGACCTCTAACTAGCTACTAAGTGATATGTGCATGATTATAGATATTATGATTTTATTAGGTTTATTTAATATATATTTTTGATAATAAGATATTCATTGACTATTTCGCATATCCACACTACACGGAACGTCAAAATATACTCGTATGGACCATTAAATCGCACTGTATATACCTAGAATAATGATCAATATTGTCATTAGCAAGGTTTCCACGAGCAACCGGACTAGAGATTCTTAAAACCGCAATCACGTGATCTAGCCACTCTAAATGCAACGTCTTCCGAGCCATCAAGTGCTCACACGAGACTCGGAACCCTTTTCTCGATATAAAAGAGCTCTGGCAAGTTGTAAATTGGCACTGATTGTTATGTGCATGACCCGAAAGATTTGGAGAGCGAGGCTTCCTTGTGAGGCTGAGAGAACTGCTGTCTCGAATGTGGGCGCCTAGCTGTCATCCGTCGATGTGAGTGGACGCAAAACTTGCATGGCTTTGCGGAGATTCAACCCTGCATGAGGATGCATGGGCCAACGAAAGACATGGGCTATAAATCATGGCTCGTTCCCCGCGCAGGGCACCCGCAAGGCTCTGAGTAGAGACATGACACTACTTATAATAGCCACGACGAAGTTTCGGATTTGACGAGCCCGGCTATGTTGATGACAGTATTGCCCACCATCGATTTGACGACCGCTTCTGTTGTTACTGTGTTCTGCGGCGAGAGTCGTGCTACCAAATACTAGCGGAATTCATACGACCAAATGCTATTCGCAATAGCCCCCTTCGATGGACAGAAGAATGCCTATACAGTCGGCGGCTGAAGAGTACTTTCAACACAATCATAGGCTCGTGCAAAGACATCGCAACGGACAGCTGTTTGCGGGCCCCATCGATTCTCAGTATGACTACCTAACGACCTACTTGAAAGAATGGGTCTCGAGCCCACTTCAGTCACTTATTATGGTCCATTACCCGATTCTAGCAGAGGAGTCCCTAAAAGGCCTCTGTGTGGATCTAGTGGGGAAGTTTAAAGAATGCAACATTCCTGTTATTTGGTTGATGCGTGGGCCTGAGACCCCACCGAAGGAGCCCATAACGACACACCTTCTAAGGTCTTTAACAATGCAAGTAATGCAGCTTCCTGGATTTCTAGGGCAACCGGAGGCCATTGATCTAATGAACGAGAGCGAGAGCTACTGGTATCTGTATTTGGGCGCTGTTCTTGCACAGTTCGAGAATATCTTTATTGTTATCGACTCCACTGTGCTGAGTTCTGGACCACTGATTAGTGGCAACCCCTGGATTACAACGCTTTTAATTATCTGCGAAAATCACCGTCAGAGGTTTAGTGAATATAGATATCCACCTGAAGTAGGTGTAAAAGTAGCTCTAGCGATTCGTGGTCGTGGCGAACGTGGGCTAGGGCCACCTGGACCGCAATGGGAAGACCACTGGTCATATGTCGATATCGCCCGGGAAGAGGAAAGCTCGGAACAGCGAACTGTTCGTCGGACCGGAAACTGGCTACTGGCAGAAGTTATCGAAGCGTATAACGATAGAATTACGGGGAGGTCTAGTAGGAACAGCACGGGACAACCGTCGGTCCCACCATCCCGAAATACCGTTGCGGAACCAGTCAAAGTATTCCCTGGGTCATCATTTGGGCCCCCTACTAGAACTGGTGCGCCCAATTCTCAACCTAGAGCCGTCAAGTCTCCATTTGTTGGAATTTACCCCAGCGAAACAGTGGAGCAGCGGGACGAACTTGAATGGCTAAACCAGGAGTGGCGGAGGAAGGTTTGGGCGAGCCACGACGAAGAAGAAAGATATGCCAGAGAGAACCAGAGAGAAAGAGAAAGATACCGCAGGGAGCGCAATAGGGACTCCCTTACACGGTATAAACAATACGAGGAACATTACTTCAGCGGGCGCGAGAGGGAGCGCCCGGCGTCCCGGCAAGAAAATGAAGAAGCGGAACGATATCTTAGGAGGCGCGACATGGAACTCCTTGCACAACGGCCAGTCGACAGGGCAGAGATGCAGATTGCGGAAGGTCCCTCGTCGACTCTGCGCCACCATTCTAGCGCATATAGCCTACAGACCCAGCCCAACTCTAATAGCATTATGTTTCCGATTAGTACTCAGCCAGGCCCTAGTACGACCAGTTCAAACCTATCACCGTACAATTTTAGTGCAGATAACCTCGGGAGACTAAGTCTGCAGGATCTCCGGCAGTCTTCCGATGTCCGACCTATCGCCACTCAAGTGCCCCGTTCTCAATTTCCTACTGCATTCTCACAGCAATCTCAAGAACAGCCCGCAGGATCTCAGCAAACCTCATCAACAACGAAACTCATATCACACAAAGCAGATGTGTTAGTTTCAAACTTTGAGCTGTTCGATAACCAAAAGCCGTCAGGAGATGCGTGAGTTCTCCTACCTCAACCCTGCCTTGACACTTTCCTAATGTAATGCAAGCGCCGACAAAGCCGACAAAGCCGATGTGTGGTTTAAGTATCTTAGAGATAGGGTTCACCCAGCCATGCCACCCATTCCAAAGAAGGAAGACAGGATCGGAATCGCAGTTTTAGATACAGGCATCTACATGAAGGACGATTTCATTGACCTGAAAGAGAATCGCACGCGAGTAACCTACCAGTCATTCGTGACTGGAGATACAAGCCCAAAAGAGCCCAGCGACCTTGTTGGCCATGGCACTCATGCTGCTGGGTTGCTGCTTTGTGTGGCACCAAATGCGGAAATCTATGTGGCAAAGATCTCAGACACAGACGGGATTCACGTCCCCCAAGAAATTGCCAACGTAAGTATCCTCTGTTTAGTTGATTGGTTAAATTTTAATCGGTCTACAGGCAATACGACATGCAGTAGATATTTGGCACGTCCACATTATTAGCATGTCTTTTGGCTTCGACGAGTTAACGCTAGAGCGCGACTGTATTAGATCTGCAATACTTCACGCTCACTATAAAGGAACAGTGCTGTTTGCAGCGGCGCGCAACAATGGTGGTCTCAAGCAGATCGCATACCCAGCTAGCGAGACTGAGGTTATATGCATCAATTCCACTGATGGCGAAGGGAATCCCTCATCCTTCAACCCTTCATCTAAAAATGACAAGAACTTTGGCACTGTCGGCGAAGCCGTGTTATCCTCGTGGCCGCATAGCGGTAAAAAACGTATGACTGGCACCTCGTTTGCAACTCCCATCGCAGCTGGGATAGCAGCATTTACTATGGATTTTATGGAGCAGAAGAAGAAGGGTTGGTCGGAACACGACCAATATGTCGCAGCAAGGATTAAGAGAAATAGAGGCATTATTGCAGTTTTTGACAAACATCTCTCAGATCTAAGGGTTGATTTTCGATTCCTCTGCCCATGGCTGTTTTTTGATAAAGATGAAACCGGGCTTGATAGGGCAATATTAAAAACTCTTAGAAGATACGCTTAATGCACAATTTCGGTTCTAAATGAGTTTTTATAGTTTAAAAATCTAAAAACATCGTCCTAGAAAATAATAAGGTTATGGCCTAGCCTGATTCGTTGACAGGGGAGTACGTGGAAAGGGTGGCTCATCTCGTGCATTGAGCAAGCGGCTAGGCCTCCATCTCTGTATCTCCTCCCCATTCAATCGAAAGTTCAAGTCCACACCTCGCAACCCATATCTAACCTCTATTTTACGACCTCATCTTTAACATTTACGTGTACATATCTGTATTTAGTATGGCGAGCGCTAAGAAAACATACTTCCTCGTCCCAAAATGGGACTTCCCACCAGAAGCCTTACGCCTTGGAAACCTCATCGCCGACCCCGCAGAGCCTCACCGTCCCCTCAATGCTACCCCGCCGCTCCGGACACCCCCCACTACCTCACCAGATGAGCAGGCCACAAGCCCACCACTCATCGGAATCGACAGCCCGATCTATGAAACGACCAAAACTTCCTACACCAAAATCGCCTCAGTAACCAAAAAGAAATCCCTCTCCCTCATCGCCCAGATCAGCCTCATCACTGGAATCGGCGGCAACACTTCCCTCTCCTCGGCTAGAAACGAAGACCTCTCATACAGCTTCCGCAGCATGCACTCTGAATGGTTCGTCCCGTCCAGTAGCTTCATCTCCGCTGCTGTCGCGCAGCCAAAAGTCGCTGGGTTCATTTCTATGCTGTCATCGAGGCGGCCGATTTACATGATTACGGGACTCAAGCATATTACTGGAGTCGTCGCATCAAGCCACTCGGGGAAAGAGCGGAGCGGAGGCGGCGGCGTGAGCGCCGATGCCACGGCGTTAGGCGTGCCGCTATCCGTGGGCATTAATGCAGAGAGAGGGGTGGGGACGGGAGAGACCGTCGAGTGGGAGTGTGAGGGGCCTATTGTGTTTGTGTATCAGCTTGAAAAGTTGACAAGGAGGAACGATGAGTGGAATGGGAAGGAGTATAGTACTAAGGGGGCTTTTATGGGTGTTGAAGAGGCGGCGAAGGAGGATGAGTGGGTGGTGGAGGGCGATAATGGGATTTTGGAGGGCTTGGATGAGGAGGATTTAGAGATTAGGGGTGGTGGATGGGATGATTTAGAAGAAGAGGAGTGCGTGTTGGTTGTTCCTAGGGTGTGAATATATCGTTGTTTAGATGTGAATAAGCAACGAGCTTTGGGATGGTCTGGCTCTCGCACGCCATCGTCTCCACCACGTACGTTTACCCCCACCACGAACTCAACTGTAGCACTGTGTATCCCTCACCCACTGTTTATCCACTCCAACTAGCCTTAAAAGATGGATTACGTGCTTAAATCCGCGGGGGTATGGAGGGGTAACTTTCTTGATCTTATCTCAAGATATGTAGAGTACACTCCCTTTCATATATTTTTTCTTATTTACGATTTTGTTGTTCCTTTCAGTTCTGTTATCCCACATCAGACTTGCATTTACAGTACTTCCTCTGACGACTTTTTGCATTACGAGCGTCGCATTAGACTTATATTTGAGAATTTATTAAGTGATGCTGGTTGCAAAAAGAGGGTTTGGCCTTGAGACCTCAGCCGCCATGTCTACCACGACTTCGACAACCACCACATCTACTTCTCCCTCCACAAAGCGCCATCATCACGAGCATGATGACGTGGTGGATACACCGCGAAAGAGGAGACAGACAATTCAAAAGGAGGCAAATGTGGAAAGTTTCCAGGTTACGCACCAGGAAGTCCTGCTCCTCCATGGTGTGAAGCAGCCATATACACATACTACCAAGTATGAGATCCCACAAATAAAAACCGACACAGAGATGTTGGTGAAAGTTAATGTCATTGGACTGAACCCGATTGACTGGAAAGCATCGTAAGTGCTTTTTCCCACGCAGAAATACAGTTCAACTGCTAATATCACGCAGGGACTTTGGTTGGGGACTCCCAGCCTTACCATGTATCTCTGGGCGCGACCTGGCCGGCACAGTTGTCAAGACGCCAAAGCGAGAATCCCGCTTTAAAGTGGGAGACAAGGTCATCGCCGTCTCAACCGACTACCGCGATAACCGCAAGTCCGCATACCAAGAATACGCCATCGCCTCCGAACACAACGTCTGCCGTCTTCCCCCCTCAATCTCCGCCCTAGATGCTGCGCCTGTAGGAGTCGCCTATGTGGCCGCGGCACTCATGTTGGGTGTGTGCATCGGGCTCGATTTCTCACACGTAAATGGACCAGATCTATATACCATTTCGAGGAAGCTGGACCCCGAAAGCGTGCCAAAGGATATCAAAGACGAGGTCTTCAACAGCAACATAACGCCTGCCTTGCGGCCGAAGAAAGGAGACTGGCTAGCTATCTGGGGTGGTAGTAGCGCGACTGGGTGCATCGCACTGCAATTAGCCAAACTCGCTGGGCTGCGCGTCGTGTGCATCCTCGACGTCGCGCGGAACGGGGCACGCATGCTGAAACTGGGCGCGGATCTTCTCATCGATCGCTTGGATACGGAACGTGCGGTTGAGATTGTACGAAGCGTCACGGGGGGTCAACTTACTTGGGGAATCGATACACGTGGGAAGGAGAGCGCGGGACTGCTCGCGAGGGCGATGGCCTCACCTTCTGACGCCAAAGCAGAGGGTGATAATGACAAGGGCAAGGCATTGGGACACCTCGTCGCCCTCACGGGCCGTCCGTCCTCACCAACCCCAGGCATCCAGTACCACACGCTCCCTATCAAACTATTCCACGAGGCAGCGCCTGTGGGCGAGGCACTAATGGTGTGGCTGGAAAGACTATTTGAAGAAGGGAAGCTCCATCCGCCGCCAATTGAGGTTGCCACAGGCGGGTTGCAAGGGGTGAATGGTGCGCTGGACCGGCTGAGAGAGGGGGCGGCTGGGGGAGAGAGGATTGTTGTGCCATTAACTTGAGTGGGGTAGATGAATTCATGACACGAAAATGGAGTCCCGCATTAGATTTGGGGCATATACGACTTGGCATACTTAGCATATTCATAAAATATAGACGGTACATAACCATGATGAGCCGTGAAGAAACCTATTTTCGATAGTTGTTTACTTGGGTGATACTGTTCCGACTTGATAGCTGCAGTAGGGTTCCACCGATATCGGAATATAGTTAATGCGACCCAAGACCCCGCTACCCGCTAATCAGGAGCCTCCAGCTTTCCACGGGTCCGTGCCTTACCTGCCTTAGGCCTGCATTTGCCCTTTAAGGGACGGCCTTAGCGGCCTTAGCGGCCTTTGGCTCATTGTGGGGTCGAATGGCAACATCGACGGCGAATGCCTCTTAATATCAAGCAAATCCCTTTAACGCGATATCAAGCAAACACCGAGAGGATTGATCTGCCGGTGCCGGAATCAAGAAATCTCTGCGTGGGGGATGATGATTGTATCACAGAGTGTTACGACGACTTGCCGTTACGTTTAGGATAAGAAAACTTGGAAGCTAGCTGGCCAAGTAAGTGATGCATGTGCGGTTGTTATCACATGGGAGAATGGGCTGTCGACGGCATTCGTAGCCGGTACTAATCGAGGTGGGAGTCATTCTATTCCTCAAAATAACTAAGTTATGTTTTTTCATGAAATATCATATGAGAATTATACAATAGAGGTAGGTCTGAATTCTATTCATCAAGTGTCATATGATAATCACAAACAAATCCCGTTCATCAAATGTTATATGAGAACCACAAACAGCCTTCATTTCTATTATCTCCATGACGTTTAAATATCTGCCCCCTTTACACCACCGTTCTCCGCCTCTCCACTCGTAGAGCTAGTCTCCGAGCCCCCCCTTTCGCTCTTCCCCCCCGAGTTCCCCTTCCTCAGCTTCCCCTCCCGCACCGCTGTCCAAATTAAGCCCAACTGCTGCCGTCCGTCAACTATCGGGTAAAAGCCCGCTACGAGCAGCGTGCCCCACACCCAGATGATAGCCACAACCACCCAGGCCGTGAAGAAGGATTTGCTGAAAATGTACTTCGAAGCGTACATGGGAAGCGGCCACAACACCCAGTGCCCCAGGAAGGTAGCTGCAGAGAAGAGTGCAGCGATGTACGCCCAGCGGCGCATGACTGCTTGGGAAACTGGCTCGTCTAGTTTTTCAACTTCGGTAGATGAGGATGAGGATGTGTTGGTGGTGGATGGGGTAGCTGCGAACGCGAGCTTTTCCTTCTTGAAATCCTCCCAGTCGTAGTTCTGTGGTTTGAAGACGGTAATGATGAGGGTGTAGGGTAGCGGACTGAACGCAGACGCGACAGTGCCATAGACACAGGGAAGAGCGAAACCAGTCGTTTCGATCGTGACGGCGCCGTAGAGTGCGTATGCGCTTCCGAGCCACACACCAATTCCAGTAAGCATTCCCAGGATCGGAGATACGATGACAGCAGCGCGGGACTGGTGCTTCCAGAGGAGCGTAAACACGGTGGGGAAGATACCGGGACAGGTGATCACACCGAGCATATACAGAGTCCATCCTAGATTCACACCGACATAGAACAGCAGCGTACTGAATGCCGCGGCAACGACTCCGAAAAACACAACGCCATAGTGGCTCCAGCGGATGACATCTGCATCTGTAGCCTGCGGCCGGAAATATGTGCGATAGATGTCGAAGCTGATAATCGAGCTCACGGCAATGACCTGCGCAGACAGCGTAGATGTGACGGCCATGAACGTCGCGAGGAGAATTGCAGCTGCGCCGCCTTTGCCTGCAATCGCCATTGCGGCGTATGGCAGGACGAGGCCATTTCCGACCTCAGTGGATGTCATACGGCGCGGGTATGTTGGGAAGGCGGGGTTGTTCTCAAGGCCGAGAGCGACGCTTGACATCAGTGTGCCTAGGCACCAGGGAATTGCGAAGTACATGATGCCGCCGAGGACATAACCTGGTACTGTTGCTTTGGGGGATGCAGCGAAGGCTTTGACGAAGAATGAGGTGTCCATGATAACCAAGCCAAAGTTGGCGCATAGATGCAAGATACCAAACAGCAAACCATCCTTCGAAGTCATGGTGAGATATGTGCTTCCATGGTTTCCTGTTGGGGGATGGCGCAGCGCAGCGGAGACGACAAGATCGTAGAGCCCTCCTATTGAACCGATCTCGGGAATAGTGAAGGCCTTAACGGTAAAGAAGCAAATGATGATCAGGATGGCAAAGGTATGAATATAGTCGGTAAGGAATGTAGCTTTGATGCCACCCACGAAGGTGTACAGGACGACGCCGACGGGGACAAGGAAGGTCGCAGCGATGGTGTGTATTCCTGTCAAGGCGTTGATCGCAGCAGAAGCACCGAGAAGCATATTGGCGACTGCAAATAGATTGTTCAGGAGACAGAGAAACATGAAGACAATATGAGCAACGGTTCCTGTATCGTGTTAGTATATTCCTCTCTACATATGTTTTTAAAGGGGAGAAAGATAAGACGCACCATAACGTATCCTCACAATCTCCAACAGAGTATGCGCCTCTGGAATCCTCATCTTGCATACCATTCCCAGCAAGGCAAAGAATACAATCATTGGACTACATCCAGCGGCAAACCAGAAAGGCCCTGAAATCCCATAAGAGTATCCTACCAAGCTGGACCCAAGTATAGCAGTACTCCAAAGCCAGGATGAGATAACAGCAGAAGCCGTTAATCCTGTGCCCACGCTGCGATTTGCGGTAATGAACATCTCAGTCTTAGTATTGTCTTCATTGACAGTCTTTTTGAGGAGTTTGGTGACGAAGATCATGCCAATGGCGAAGACCAGGCCGATGACAACGACGACGACATATCCGACCGCCTGGGAGAGAGGAGGAGGGACTTGAAAATAAACATCTTCACCAACGGAGGCTGGAGCTGAGGAAACCATCTTGGAGGGAGTGTTGGAATACTTCAGATGCTGGTTTCTCACATCTGAGGGACACGGAAATTCTTATATTGCATAGTAGGAAAATATGATACTTGGATTAATGATGTGATTATCTCGCACACGTGCTGAATTGACCCCGCCCGTTCCAAAATGAACCTAGCCAACTCCTTACTTCAGGAGAGGATTATCACCCTGTCTGACGCGGACAAAAATAATTCAATAAAATCGTTCTGTCCTGATATCACGCAATTGCGATTGTCCAGGAACTCGGTACATGCCATCCATGCACGGGCTGTCGATTCTAAAAATCGGAGCAGCACGGAAGTGGAGACACCACCACGCTTATGGAGAGCACATCACCTCGCGACAAATGATGCAATATGACCATCAACTATATCGGAGCTCTACTGAACTATGGAAAAACAGGGGTGACCCCGACAATTAGTATGATGCGGGGAGAGGGAGCTCATCGCAAGTGGGGGTAGGGATTGACCTAAAGATCTTGCAACTTTTAATATAGCGTGGCCGAGCGCCCTGATTCATGACATGAGTGAAGGAGGAGTATAAGAACAAATATACCCCATTATAGACGATCTTCTAAAGTCAAAAAAGTCAATCATACCCATCAAATCAGCTCTCTTTCGCGCAAAACAAATTGTGGAAAAGATGACTACAACGAACGGGACGTCAAAGGCGGAGGGTGCTCAACCCCCAGCGGGCAAGAAGCTTCTTATTCTCAATGCCTTCGTAATGATGTGTAAGATACTCTACTCATCTTGATCCGCGCATGAATGAAGCTGAACATATATCCCCAATTGCAGGCAGTGGACATCAATCCCCAGGATTATGGCGTCACCCGAAAGATCAATCGCACCGATTCAATGAGCTCGAATACTGGCAAGACCTCGCAAAGCTGCTCGAGAAAGGTAAATTCCACGGCATGTTCATTGCGGATGTCCTTGGGGGATACGATGTGTATAAGGGCCCTCAAAACCTCGAGCCAGTGAAGGTATCGGGCGCACAATGGCCAATCAATGAGCCATTGCAGGTTGTGCCGGCCATGGCGGGTGTCACGAAGAATCTTGGGTTCGGAGTCACCATCGCGACAACATACGAGCAGCCATACCATCTAGCAAGGCGGATATCGACAGCAGATCACCTTACAAAAGGCCGTTTAGCGTGGAACATTGTGACGGGCTATCTCGATTCCGCAGCGAGGAACCTGGGACATACATCACAGCCAAACCATGCCGACCGTTATGCCGCAGCGGATGAATACATCGAGGTCATATACAAACTCTTAGAGTCGTCATGGAGAGACGATGCCGTGGTCCTTGATGCGAAGCGAGGAGTATACACAGAACCCAGCCGTGTCCGGAAGATTGACCACGTTGGCAAGTTTTATAACGTCCCAGGACCGCATATCTGCCAGCCCAGCCCACAGAGAACCCCAGTATTATGCCAGGCAGGCACCTCAAAGTCCGGGCAAGCATTTGCCTCGAAGAATGCCGAGGTGGTTTTTGTTGCCGGCCACAGCCCGTCGGTCATCAAGAAGAACGTGGCTGCAATTAGAGAGCAAGCGGCGGAAAATGGGAGAGATCCTCAGAACGTCAAGTTCTTGACTATGCTATGCCCAATTCTTGGGAGGACGCAAGAAGAAGCCGAGGCTAAGTACGAAGAATACACGAACCTCGCATCTGTGGATGGCGCACTTGCGCTTTTCGGAGGGTGGACAGGAATCGACCTTGACACATATGATGACGACCAAGAGCTCCGTCATGTCGAGAGCAATGCAATTAGATCCGCCGTTGAAGGATGGTCAAAGTCATTACCAGGAGTTGCGAAATGGACGAAGCATACTGTGGCAAAGCACATCGGGGTTGGTGGCTTGGGAGCAACTGTCGTGGGAACACCAGAAAAGGTAGCAGACGAGCTTGAACGCTGGGTCGCTGAGGCCGATGTTGATGGCTTCAATATTGTAAGTTCTCACCGCATCTATTTATCTTCATGCCTTTTTATGCTCGTTGAATTTTGGCCGGGGTAGAGATTCTAACTTTGGCAGGCATATTCCATAACACCCGGCAGCTTTGAAGATGTTATCGAGCTGCTGCTTCCGGAATTAAAAAAGCGTGGTATCTTCCATGAAGATTATGAGGTTGATGGTGGCACATACCGCGAGAATCTCTACAAGAGGCCAGGCCAGTCTGGTCTGCTGCCCGATCACCCAGCGGCACACTATAGATGGCGTGTCCCCGAGGAAGATTCCCAAGCGAATAACAAGCGTAAGCGTGAAGATAATGATACGAAGCCATAGTCAACAAATGAAATGAAGATCTTAGCCTTTCCCACAAAAAAACATTGGTGAATATTAATGCGCAGTCTGAAGCAGAGGCTGATAGACTGACCGCTAGACCTGTCTAGGTCTTCATATCTTACTTTATATGTGGCCATTCGATATATACCAACCCCCAACCCCTATTATCCATAAACATATCAGCCGTATCCCTCTCTCCCGTTATCACCAAGTACCCCTCAAACTAGTCCTCTAAAATTACAGTTATATAGTTGGCAGTCTCCTCCATTTGATGCAAGTGGACGGAATATTCGTGTCCGTCAGTTGTGCCGAAATGCAACCCCGCATGATAATGTATGAGCTAACGAAACAGGCAGGTTTTAAACTCTATTAGCCGCGATGAGTTTAACAGAAACGTAGATTTGCCAAGAATTGCAGCTGCAACTTTCAGCAGTGATCCGACGTATATTTAATCAGTGTTAGATCCGTAGGAGTTAGAAGGCGAATGTTAGATTGCAAGAAAACTACAACCACCAATGCAACTTAACCAATTAAGTTTATATATATTTTGACTTCCTTTTGGCCGATTGATCTTATTGCATCCTGGCTATCATAAACAGGGGATATAATGCTTAACATAAATAAGAACTTATCTCCTAACTCAACATCTTTGAGAATGGTGCATTGCTGTCAAATTAGAACGAAGAAGCATTATCACCAAGTACGCTTTTACAATGCTATTTTATAAGCCTCTGAATATATGCTCTGGGCTTTTGCTACTTTGTAGTAATGTGGATGCCCAACAGGCATCGAATGCAAAGTTGCCGGATCCATTCCACTTCGTCGATGGTAGTGCCGTCACATCTAAGAGCCAGTGGGATACCCGTCGAGAGGAAATCAACCAGCTCTATCAAAATGACGAAGCCGGAACCTTTCCACCAAAGCCATCGACCTTCTCTGCAACTTTCGCGTCAAACATTCTCACTATCACTTGCTCTGAAGGAGGCAAACCAATTAGTTTCACAGCATCAATCAAATATCCATCATCAGGACAAGTTCCTTACCCCGCTATCATTGGCTATGGCGGGGGTTCCATCCCAGCACCTGCAGGAGTTGCAATGATCAACTACAACAACCTTGACCTAGCTGCTGATGCCACCACTCGCGGTGGCGGAAAATTTTACACTCTCTACGGCACAAGCACCACTGCAGGCGCCGAGGCTGCATGGGCATGGGGCGCCAGCCGAATCCTCGACGCCCTCGAGATAACCCCAGGCGCACGTATCAACCCAGAGCGAGTCGGAATAACAGGCTGCTCCCGCTACGGCAAAGGAGCCTTCATGGCCGGCGCCCTCGAGCCACGCTATGCCCTCACTATCCCACAGGAATCCGGCGTCTCGGGCTCTGGCTGTTGGCGCCTCGCCGCAGACCTGAATAAGAATGGGCAGAGCGTCGAGGCGGCCGGGAATCTCGCCATGCCCAACACCAACTGGCTTTGCCCGGCCTTCGACACGTTTGCCAAGGCTATCAATACTCTGCCCTTCGACCACCACATGATTGCTGGTATGATTGCACCTCGCGGCCTCTACGTTATTGACAATCTGGACTACGTGTGGCTCGGCCCGGAGAGCAATTTCGGCTGTATGACCGCTGCGCAGGAAATCTACAAGAGCTTAGGTGCCACATCCTCTATGGGTTATTCGGCGATTGGAGGGCACGCACACTGCGCCTTCGACTCACGCCAGCAGTCGGAGCTTACTGCCTTCGTGAACCGATTCTTGCTCGACAAGGACGTGGATACCACGGTAATTAACAATGGTGGGGGGTTCACGTTTGATAAGTCGAAATGGATTAACTGGACTACTCCGACATTGACGTGATTTTGCCTCTGGGTTTGTAGAACGAGATTCATAGCCTTGCTATGTATGACTGGTCGAGACAGCTTTGTTGATATCCATACCATTAGTACTTATTTATAATGCTTCACACCCAAGCAAGACTTTCCTCCGCCGCCCCTGCACAACTGTTTTACTAGTAAATACAATGCCAATCCCATATTTCGACCCCGCCCATATCAAAACCCATTCCTCATTGACAACGTCACATCATAACCTTTACCAGCATACCTGCCACCATAAAAACTAGATGGCCTGCCACTATAACCACCGGGTCTACCACCCAACGCCGCAAGTCAAAATAATACAACCCCACCACCCATAACCCCCACTGTAAATAATACACCGCTGACTACTCACCATGCGTACCCATCCCCCGCACCACCCTCATTCGTCCCATCCCAATCTTCATCCCCTTCCGGCTCGCTGTCCAGGAAATCCTCCTCTCGAAACTGCTTCTCCGTCGGCCTCAGATTATCAATCTTGAAGTCAACAACCTCGCACATGCCTTGAACCACCTCCCGCTTCGGTTTCTCTTTCTCTTTCTCTTTCTCCTTACCGCCGTCGCCGCCCCTCCTTCGGTGCACCAGCGGCGCGTCATCTGAATCGGACGCATCACTCGTGAGAGATGGGAGACGCGACGAGGGACTCAGCGCTTTGGGTCCGTGGAAGCCGGCGGTGCTGCGGAGGGCGGCGAGCTCGCGCGCGGCATGGCGAGATTTAGGACTTAGTGCAGGTGATTGCCCTGGAGGTGGCGTGACTTCAGGTTCAGAGGAGGATTCTCTGTAGCTCAGCCGTTCAAGGACTCGGCGGCGTTTTGGAGGAGGATTGGCCGAGCGTAGAGTTCGCCTCTTGGGTTCTTCATCCTCGTCAAATATTGTCGTCAACCTGGGTTTTCGGGTTAATCGAGACATGGGAAGGTCATCGTCGCTTAAATCTATGACTTGGGGTCCGGGTTTTGGTGGTTCTGCCAATTGCTTCTTATGTGCTGCATACGCGCCCATTGACCTGAGATGTGGATTCGGCGGTGTTGGCTTCCGTTTGAAAACACGTTCAAATGCCTTCTGCCACCTGTCGCGGAACCCTCCGCGGTCTCGCCAGCTGATGGTATCCAATATAGCCTTGATCACCAGCGTACGAAGGTGAGGAAGCGTCCCGGCACTATCAAGCAAGCTGCGGAAAAAGACCTCGGCGGCATCGACATCCCATTTACGTAGTTGGATCAGTTCAAGCGTCTGGAGCGTCGTTGGCCATGTAGGCACCTCGTCCTCGCGCAGTAACTGGTCGAAGAATGGCTCCGAATCTTTGAAGGTCGCGTGGAGATTGTAGTATGTGAGGTTCATTTGCAAGCTGACGAGGTTCGGACATGCGCTTCCTAATATGGTAAGAAACGATATGCTCAGTGACTGGTTGTGATTGAGAGTCAGAGTCCGAAGCTGTCTCCCATGCGTCACCAGAAATTCGGCCAGATCATCCGATGATAGCTCGCTGCAGGCAATAATGTCCAGATGTTTTAGGTTGTTTGGAAGGCCAAGAAGTAGCTCGTGATTGAGCAGAGAGCTTGCTTCAAAAATGACATGTTCTAGGTTGGGAAGATGTGAAATTGCTTCGGCGAGTAGCTTCACGTGCTCTGGCGCCACGAATTCTGCAGTGATCTTCTTTGGGCGAACTGGAGCTTGGTAGTTGATGAATGCGACCTTGCGCAATCCCTTGAAACAAGGCGTCTGGTGCAGCTCTATGATTCTTCTCAAATCGTTCTCCGGGTTGGGGTGTTTGCTGACCATCCGCGAGCTCCAACGCCAGCTTTGAAGGCGAGTCGGAACGCCATCTACGTTCTTGGACAATGCCTCAAAGAGTTGGGGTGGATAGCTCCATTTTATCGTCTCATCCAACTCCCGATATGGAGTGAAGTCTTTTTGATGGTATAATTCAAGGTCGACAAGACGCGGGGCGTGGAAAACAAGCCCATACAGGTCCAGAACCCCAGACCCAGTCAGCGTATAAGCTGCTGTTTGAAGAACCTCGACTTGTAGTTTCTCGACTTTCGAACGATAATTGTACACCATATTTGATTGGTCGGATTTCAACAAGTCGCAGAGGGTGTGAGCTCGATCCATCGGTGTCAAACAAGGCGAGCGATACAGGATGGTAAGGGCGGGCTCTGAGAACGAACGACATAACTTAGAGGTCTGAAATAGCCATTGCCAATTAGCCGTCTGGTTGAAAGTGCGTTCATCTACAAGCGGATAAGACGCATAGTAGAAGATCTGAAGAAGTATTTGGTATGGTAGCGTCTGCCATGGTGGCATGACGCCGGCGCTGTATCGATCGACGTCAACCACGGGCTTCGGCATTGGTATAGTCTTCTTTATGGTCGAGGTTCGGGAGGCAGGCTGTAGACGACGCTTCCTGGGAGAGTGTTCGTACAATATTTGTTCGTCCGAGTCTGACCCGTCCCGCGCTGCCCGTTGACGGCGGGGTCTCGCAGATGCCGCATTTGACGAGGTTTTGGCACGCTTTGGCGCCCGAGAAGGTTCGTAGTCAGCTTTTTCATCTACCTCATCGGCGCTGTCCGATGAAGATTCGCGATAGCTAATGCGGTGTCCAGCGTGCCTCGAGGAGCTTGTCGATGCGGCGGATCGAGGCTGCCGCCTAGCCCTCTGCGCCATGGCGAGTTGCGTCTGCCCTCTGGGCTTGGGCTTGGGTTTGGGTTTGGGCAAAATGGAGTGGATATCTTTGATTCAAGCCTCAAGCCTCGATCATCTTGGAAACGTGGAGATTAGCGAACTACCATGCGAAGTGGCAAAGTTATTCGGGTGGTGGTGATGGGCGATAAATGTCTAGAGAATGCGTCACGGAGATTTGGGGCGCAAGTGCGATAAGATAAGATCGTTGATCTTATCTTATCGCCTTGGTCTGTTCGTCGTGGTAATCGAAACCACGACGAATAACAGTGACTGTCACCTGACAATCCTCATATACATGACGCCGTAGGGAGTCATAGACGACGGACTGCATCACAATTCGGACAAATCCCAGAAAGAGGCAAGATGGGCCACCTTATCACCGTTGCGACATGTGTATGCTCCTCTCCCTGTTTCCCCTCGTTGAAGGTCTCAGCTCACAACTATATGTAGAGTTTGAACCAGTGGGCTCTCGACTTTCAGGGCAACCTGCAAAGAATTATCGAAAGCATCAAGAAGGCGAAGCTGGCTGGGAGCAAGCTCAGAGTGGGCCCGGAGTTGGAAATCTGCGGATATGGGTGCTTAGGTATGTGTTATTCTTCTGCATATGCACCCTGGATAGGAAACCAATTAACGGCTGCCGCTTAGATCACTTCCTCGAGGATGACACGATATTGCATTCATGGGAATGCCTGTCGGAGATCATTGAGCACCCTGACTGCCAAAATATTCTCTTGGATGTTGGTATGCCGGTGAAGCACAAGGTATTCGCATTCAATCCTCTAATGATGCCCTACGCTTTCTTGGGTTCCTAGTAGGGCAAGGCTCTCATTTCGAAATTACTAACTATCCGGTTCTCTAGTCTGTTAGATACAATTGCCGGATTATCATTTACAATAAGAAAATTGTATGCAACTTCTCCCTGCTTTGAAACAGTGACAAGACTCGTACTGACTCTGTTTGCCTCAGCTGCTCATTCGGCCGAAGTTGTCGTTGGCTAATGATGGAAACTACTATGAGATGAGATACGTATGTTGCGTTTCCTGCCCCCAGTTTTATATGAGACCGACGGACACAAATACCCGAGGAAAACCATGCTGACTCCATATTCTAGTTTACGCCGTGGAAGGGGGTTCGAGTCGTGGAGGACCATTACTTGCCTCGCTCTATCACCAAGATGTAAAATTCCCTTCCATTTCTGATGAATCTACGCTGACTATATGTTCGTTTAGAATGGGCCAGAAGACGGCGCCAATCGGGGTAGGGGATCTAACAGTAGACATGAAATGGCATGAGATTGGCTAACCTGTGTAGGACGCTCTTATTTCTACTTTAGATTCTGCTCTAGGATGCGAGACATGTGAAGAGCTGGTAGGTATCCACATATGTCCATCCTGCAGGGCGTGATGTTGATTTTTCTGTAGTTTACGCCCCAAGCGCCTCATATTGCCATGGGATTAGATGGATGCGAAATCTATACCAACTCCTCCGGAAGCCATCACGAATTACGCAAGCTTCACACGAGGGTTGAGCTAATCGTCTCAGCAACTTTGAAAAGTGGTGGCATATATCTGTATGCCAACCAACAAGGATGTATGCTCTGCACACTTCTATATCCTATTCCATTTAACGCTGACACATAATCACAGGTGACGGAGACAGGTTGTACTGTAAGTACGCCCGAATTATGAGTTGATCTATACTCATAATATTTAGATGATGGCTGCGCCCTTATTGTTGTCAATGGGAAGGTCCTTGCTCAAGGCAGCCAATTCTCCCTGAACGACGTGGAAGTTATCACTGCTACTATTGACTTGGAGGAGGTTAGATCGTACCGCGAACATAAAAGCCGAGCCATGCAAACTCGAGACCAACCAAAGTATGAACGTATCGAAGTGGAGAGTAAGCTATTTCTATTTCCCATGGGCGATATAGTAGAGGTGCTAACGTAGCATTTAGTGTCCCTGTCTAGTGAAGTCGATGAGATTGACCTTTTGCTGCACCCATCACCTGCTCGAGCCGTTGTGTACAATACTCCCGAAGAAGAAATCGCATATGGCCCCGCGTGTTACCTGGTAAGTCTTTGCCACTACCTGATCTGATACCTTGACTGAATTGAGACACCTTTAGTTCGATTATCTCCGTAGATCGTAAGTCCACCCAGGATTCTAGATTGCCCATTTACTGACTATTGGCATTGTAGAAAACAAGCCGGGTTTTTTTTGCCGCTTAGTGGTGGAATCGACTCCTGTGCGACTGCTGTTATCGGTATGTGATATTTGAATTCGTTTCATCCAGCGGTCAAACCATCTAAAAAGTACAAAGCTAACTACTATGGTGCAGTCCATTCTATGACACGTTTGATACTCAGAGCAATTCAGCTGCAAGAGAACCCCCAGGTTCTTATTGATCTTCACCGCATCTGTGGTGAAAGCGAAGGGAGCACCTGGGAACCCAAGAGTCCACAGGAAATCGCCAATCGGATTTTTTGTGTATGAATCCCAGAGCTGACACTCTCCACCATCACTTTTCACAGCAGCTGCAGCAGCTAATATACCGCAGACCGCCTATATGGGCATGGAGAAGAACAGTTCCCCAGAGACTCGCAAGAGAGCTGCAGATCTGGCAGCAATTATCGGTGCGAATCACTTGGACTTCGAGTGCGTCCCCTATTCCTAGACCCCGTTTCTGGCAACAAATTTGTGGTATGCTAATTTGAGTCCTACAGCATTGATCCCGTGTTTGACGCACAAGTTAAGCTTCTCACCTCGACCACTGGATTTGAGCCAAAGTTTAAGATGTATGGCGGCACAAAAGTGTCAAATCTTGCCTTGCAGTATGTCGTCCACTCTATGTTCTCGACCTCAATCGAAAATAAGAAATTCCTTACTATTACATATATCTAACTCACTTCCCAGAAATATACAGGCTCGCCTGAGAATGGTACGCGAATGCTCCCCTCGCCGGTCATCCAAGAACTTCACTCTGACACTGGGATTATAGGTCAACGCATACACTCTGGCTCAACTTCTTCCCCAGATCAACGGCCGCCGTGAAGGAGCTCCTGGAAGTTTGTTGGTGCTGGGAAGCGCTAACGTGGACGAACAAATTCGTGGGTATTATACGTAAGCATACCATCTTGTCCGGAGCTTTATAACCAAACGATGCTAACAACAGCTTCAAAGGAAATACGATTGCTCATCAGCAGAGTAAGCTATCCTCCAATCCTGTTTAACCTATAGTTTCTCTAACTGAAGTGTGCTTCAGCATCAATCCCATCGGCGGCATATCCAAAACGGATCTGAAAAGCTTCATTCATTGGGCTTCCCAGAAAGACAACTTTGGAATTGGCCTCCTCCAGCAATTCTTGGATGCGCCGCCCACAGCTGAGCTTGAACCTTTGACCGAGGACTATGTCCAGGTACGTGACCACATGACCATTATTGCAGTTTGTAACGTAGGGTTGATACTGACAATGCGCTTTAGGAGGATGAGGCAGATATGGCAAGGATTTTCACGTCACTCTGAACGAGGTGTATTCTAACGATAAACAGGGCATGACTTACAATGAATTGAGCGTGTACGGCCGCATGCGAAAGATTGAGTATGCCATTACCCCACTCTTTGACACTTCATGACAGCTAACACTGTGAAGCAAACTCGGAGTCTATGGCATGTGGGAGAAGCTGCTTCACGTTTGGGGTGACAAGCTTTCCCCTCAGCAGATATACGAGAAAGTGCGGTTCTTTTCGTGGAATTATGCGGTACGTACAAACCATTCCAATTGCCGTTTTGAATGAGCAGGAACTAACTTGGCCGTCCACAGATCAACCGCCACAAGATGACAACCGTGACACCAGCGTATCATATGGAGGCCTATGGAGTTGATGATAACCGGTTTGATATGAGTACGTGTTGTCTTGAGATATATCCCAGGAGAAATAACCCCGAACCCCTCTCGGAAGAAGTAATTGCTAACTCTCTCCTCTCGGACAGGACCGTTCTTGTACCCTTCCTTTGAGTGGGCTTACAGGAAGATTGAGCGCAGTATCAAGCAGATGGGCGCAGCAGGTACGAGGGCTGCTGCGACTGAGGACAAGGACAATTGATACGGTAACATATAAGTTGTAGTCATGTTCTTGGACAATGGCGTGGAAGAGTTTATTGTGAATATCTAAAGACAGACTTCCCCAGGATATAGCTTTATAGACCATTAATGCTCATCGGCGCCATTATGAAAATAGACCAGCTTATAACAATATCCCAGCTCGCACGCATGCTGTAATCAGTAGTTGATGTGAACTTCGACAACGTTAACTTCTGCGGGAATCAGTGTCGATGTCCTTGTTTTCTTTGGGAATTTCCATACAGAAGCTTACACCAGCACGCCTCTCCATAATTTCTAACTGTAACCCCGCATTTGCTGGTAGCTGTCGACCGGGGGGGGGATAAAAGTTCTAGCGAACTCAAGGCACTTAGTCAGCTTGGATTCGTGATAGAGATGTAGACAAACAACCCCAGACTTCGGAGCCTAATGCACTTCTCCTGTCTGCCATTTTAGATACACAACAAGATGAAGCTGAAACTACAATCCCTGTTGCTCCGCGTGAAGTCGCACCACGACCCGCCTCTGTCGCGGCAAGAATCGATAGAAGATCGAAGCAGAACTATACGAAAGAATGTTTCAAGCTCAACTTTGGCCTCAGTGGAGACTAGTTCATTCAAGGTAGCTAAAACAGCTTTTATGAATTCTCATTCTAGTTTGAACTTCATGCATAATATCTAACTCATATTATCTCACTCGGCTTTGTGTTTTATAGCTAATGTAATCGAAATAGGGCCTAGATGGACTCCCTCAGGCCATTATACTCCATATTATTACTCATTTATCAATAATTGACATATTCTCACTCAAAATGGCTGGGAGCAACTCTATCCTTACAGCTATCCACAAACCCCCACGTCTTTCACTCGTGAATTACCTCGAAGAGATTGAGTTATTTCGGCGTCAGGATATGCCAGACAAGACGCTACTGGATATCGCGGCGCTTATGGGCTACGATGCTCTTGTAACCGTGCTGTTAAAACGAAAACCACTGCCATCGATCGACTCGATGTTATCTGCCATGGTCCACGCGTCTGCCCACGGTAACAACTCTGTCGTCAAGTTTTTTATAGGGTCAAAAACGAAAATTCTAGATCCTCAGTTTACTTTCCGGCATAAAAGCCCCATCGCAGAAGCCGCCAAAAATGGCAATAGGTCTACCGTGAAGCTGTTACTTGCGTTGGGTGTCAGCCTTGAAAAGTCACAGTGGTGCTCGGAGAGAATTGCTCTGATTGAAGCGGCGGAGCATGGATATGAAGACATAGTCAAACTACTTCTCACACAGAGACTAACAGACTCTGAATCTTGGGAGTATAACTCCGTTGCTCTGCGTCTCGCTGCAAAAGCAGGTTACTATGGCATTGTCGAGGAGCTTCTGGAAAATATAGGGAAAAATGATCTCGACCACGTAGCAGTGAAAAGACGTGCAGTATCCATCATAGATTCACAGGACGAAGAGGGACGAACGACATTACATCATGGCGTTATGAATGGGCACGCAAAAATCGTCTCCCTTTTACTCAATTCCGGGGCCAACCTCGAAGTGCAGAGTGCCAGGGAGCATTTCGCACCTTCAAGCACTATATACAATGCGCCGGTATGGAGTTATAGCGAAAACTGGACAGCACTTCACTTTGCAGCAGCATATGGCAAAGCTGACATTGCCATGATATTGCTTCAACATGGGGCAAATATTGACGCCGTGGACTCGCATGGCCAAACTTCCCTGCACCTTGCATCGACGAAAGGAACAGTAGAAACAGTCCGTGTTCTCTTAGACTACTATCCCAAGCTGGAGGCAATAGATAATGTTGGTGCAAGAGCTTCACACAAAGCTGCCGCAAGTGGCCACTTAGACATTGTTCGTCTCCTTATCGATCAAGATTGCAGAATCAATGCTATCACTTCACGTTTTGAGACCCTTTTGCACCTAGCGGTCAAAAATCAGCACACAGAGGTAGCTGCTTTCTTGATCGCCCATGGCCTCGATATAGATGCCGAAGACTCCAGCAGAAGGACCCCCTTACACCTGTCAGCGTTGAACGGTGACTTACCTACTACCGAACTGCTTCTATCGTCGAACGCTTATTTGCAAACTAAAGACATTGGAGGCAAAACACCGCTTCATTATGCGGCTCGGTACTCATCGAGGGTATATGATTTGTTATTGAGCCACGGAGCCAACCCCGACACAAAAGACCGACAGGGTGACACCCCTCAGTACGTGCTTGACCATGGTCCATATATGTAGTTATCCATCGTCTATTGCCGCCTCTCTCACTACGAATTCTTGTCGACCTCCTGTGTTGGAGAGCCGACAAGCCAAGTGTCGTCACACATACCGCACTACGAACAACTCGAATCCCCGCCTACTTCCAACAAGCTTTAACAGACGACTTGGAAATTGTCAGCGTGGCAATGGTTTTACATTGTCGTTGTAATTATCAGCCTTGGGGAAGAGCTGTGGTAGAGATGCCACTATTGTCTCCGAGTTGTCTCCATTGCAGATGACTAAGCGTAACCTACCAAGCCGAGGCCCGATCCAGATATCCATTGTTGCCCCTCATTCGACATGACTTGTACCAGTAAAGATCACATTGAATTCTAAAGAAAATAAATCTTCAAAATGCCAGTCTGCACTGTTCTTCTTCTCTCTCTCGCAGTGCCAATACCCCAATTCCTCTCCGCCGTTTCATCGTCCTCCACCACCCCACTAACGATAGGAAGGGTCGTGCGCTGGATCATCCTGCCAAATTCGACTTCCACAGATAAACTACTCGCACAAAATATACATTGGGACCTGCTTCTCACCCTCCCTAATTCCGATCCTCTTCCTTCGGATCTGCAGAGATTGGTTCAGCACCAATGGATTGTCCATGCCGGAGTGTATGCACCCTGACCCCTGCGTCGAACCCTGAGAACCGCTTTGCGACTCATATTATGCCACTGAATAGGATTGCAGACTAATCAAACCCCACAGTCCCTCTCGCCTTCTCCAAAACTTTGAGGCCAAGAATGCCCAATTACTCAGCCCCAAAGCAGGCGACGTGCCAGAGTTAACTGGCTCGTTAACCAAGCCGCGCACTGCAAGTTCCTCCCAGAACCTCGAGCTGAGCCCTGAGCTAAACGACTGGATTTTCAAATTCGGAAATCAGGAAGGGAAAGGTGCTGTATCAATGCTCAATCTACTCGCTTTCGAGGAGGGAAAGAAGGAGGAGTATCTGAAGTACGGCGCTGAATTCGCGAAGTCGGTAGGCTCGCGGAGGGGCGGGACTGCAAAGATCGTCGGGACTGTGGTGCGTCAGGACGGTGACGGTGGAGAGGGATGGGATGAGGTCGCTCTGGCACACTATCCGAGCATTTGGCATTTTGCGGATATGCTGGCCAGCGAGGATTACCAGATTGTTAACCAGAAGTATAGGGTGGGGAGCTTGAGAGATACGTTTATTTTGTGCACCACTGAGATTGGGATTGAGACGGAAGCAGATAAGAATCATGCGAAACTGTAGTTTGGCATCGTAGAAGGACTTCCCAGTTCTCCGAGAACCTCCTCCTACATACAGTGTAAACAACGAGGATAGTTCAAATTTAGCACCAAGAGTGTAAAATCATAAAATGTCCAGTAATAAAACAAATAAAATTAGCCCATACGTCGAAGACATCATAATATTTCATTAGATCACTAAACTCCATTGTAAACCAAGATGACCACCACAACACGTAGATAACAAACCTACCCATACCAGTGCAGTGTTTTATTCACTTTCCAGTCTCGGACTTCTGACTGCTCAGCTTATTCATACCCCACGACGCAGATGGGCTTGGTGGCCCGGACATGGCACCAGCCGTAGAGTTGTTTCTAGTATGGGCTACTTTCTCGGCAATTTTCTGGTTCCATTCTTCTTCGTGTACCAATCTCATCTTTATAACTTCTTCCCTTTCCGATATCCCCGCCTGAACTATATCTGAATCCTGCGGAAGGCCAAGACTGTCATGTATGAGTGTAACTTCTGCATTTAGAACTTGCTGCTGGTCTTTGCCAGGCCAACTACCAGGGGGTGCCAGACCCACTTTCTGACCCTGAATCCGCTTCGTAGCAGTGATGATTGGAAACAGGGTAAAAACTCCAGCTGCATTTCGCCTCATTGGACCTACTACTTGACTGCTATTGTCAACATAAAAGGGGGCATAATCAAGGGTTGCGATCTTCCAGTCATGTTTGTTTCCTTGATTAAGTTTTGGATTGACAGTGAATGTCCGTTCGTCGGCTTGAGCAGAAGTCCAGACTGAGATTGCTTGTTTAGTGATCTGTAGAAGGTCGGCTTTGAACTGAAGCAAATCTAACGGGTCTAGTAACGGGCCAAGAACAGATAGAACGAGCTCCATAAGTTTGTCTTCCCTGCTCTGGATGGCATGTGCCACGCTCAATGGTTGGGACGGACTGTGTTGTGTCTGTGTATGAGCATTGGATATGGATTTAAGTGCACGCATCGTGACTGCTCTCCAGACATCTGCTGAACGACTAGTACCAACTGCGGCTCCTACATCCTGAAGAAGCTTAGACAATTTCGAATCATCCGTCGTTATATCGGAAGAAAATGGCTGCCAAACTGTACCATGTACAGCGTCTGCAATTACCCGCTGGGAATGGGCAATTCTAAGCTGCCTCGAAGTTTCGGTATTTGAGAAAGGGACATCGGAAAATGTTACGTCAGCGACAGGAATTTCACTAGGCAAAGTTGCAACCTCCTTTACATTTGTTAGTTAGAACTACAGAACGATAAAGATCAAAATACCTCTTTATTTAAGTCTCTAGATAGATATCGGACGGCGATATTCTGTATTGCGCCTGAGATATTAAGGAATTCGCTTTGGCTATTCCATTGTGAGTTGCTATTGCCTTGCAAAGTGTCAGTTTGGGTTTAACTTACTAGTATTCGAGAGGTTCGCTGCTCAACGAAAATTCTTCCTGTAGATTCTTCAACTCTCCCTCAAGTCCTTCTATGTCCTGCTTGTACACTTCCTTTAGCCTTTTCTCATCTTCATATTTCTGAACCTCTTTTTTCGACTGAAATCGCAGCTTGTCAATCTGCGCCTTGAGTTTACCAATCGTCTCAAGGTCCTTTTCAGTTTTTGTTTTCAAATTTCCGAGTTCTTCCTCTTGGTCTTTCTTCCGCTTTTCTATGTCATTTTCTAGAGCTTTCCTTTGGGCACTGAACTTCTTATCTTGTTCTTCCTCTCGCCGCGATATCGTTTTGGTAACTTCGTCTTTCAATTTCGACTCTTGTTCCTTCAACCCCTCAGCTGCTGCTTTCTTTTGCCGTTCAAATTCTACTTTCTCTTGTTCTAGCCTCCTCCCTTCTGCTAAATTGGCCTCGATATCATCTGCGGCAGCTTTTTCTTTATAAGCAGCTCTCTCATCTAGGACATCCAAGGCAGTCCGTAGATTTGCAATTATTATGTCTTTGTTCTCGACTTCCTTCCTTAGGCTCTCATATTTCTCTCGAAACTCCGGAATCTGAGTAATATCGTCTGCATGTTGGATACACGACGCAGTTATAGCTCCAATGGCCTTCTGAATATTTGACAACTGCTCAGACGCCCCGCGAAGCTCTTGAGCTAGAGGGCTTAGGTCTGTCTCCGGCTGGGAAACTGAAGGAGCATTGCTTGACTCGCGGTTGGTGCTGTTATTAGACTGGCTACCGCTTTGTCCGTTGGTCCTCGGTAGCTCATTGTCCGTGGTTGATGTGGTTCGCTTTCCACGTTGTTTATTTTGCGAAGGAGACTATGATAAATGATAATTAGATAAAATTCTCAACAGACTTCAGATTTTTGAATTTCATACCATTCTTGCAATTGTGTCGTCTTGTTGGCTGTGAGTTCTACCAATTCCGATAGAGTTGGTCAGATTCCGTTTTAGACTACCAATTCTAGACGTCAATGGGGCGTTTCTGCGGGTTTTTTCTGTTCTAAGCGCCCTGGCTGGATCTTGACTCCGTGACATAAGGCGATAACTGATAGCTAAGAAGTTACGAGCTTGTTTGGTAATTGCAAGCGCGCATTCTCAGCAAGTAAATTTCAAGAGAATAAAGCTTCACAAGCAATGGCTCATTTGACGTTTTAGTTTGATGACAGAACAGAACCATCTGATATAGAACGAGGCTGTATGTGATCTCTTCGTGGAAGTGGGCCCTAATAAAGCCTTGGCTACCCCCATTCAATTTTCATCCATAATAAATCAAGGCTTGCAGGTTTTAGAACGTGCCTTTATGTCACTGGTTGAGCCATAATCTCTGAGTAATTCGATGTCGTATTGCATTGCAGCGGCGACATAAGACGGCTCAGTTGCCAACTGTTGCATCTTCGCCGATGAAAAGCACCCCGAACAGTGAGAATGTTGGACCAAAAAGATATTCGAGGGTGTACCATTAGGGAAATCTATTGGATTCTCGTCGCACCATCACTGAGAGGTTCGGTGTGGGGGCGCGTCTGCCTAGACGCGCAAGTCTGATGGTTCAATAGCTATGGGGACGCATGCCAACCATGCAGTTGGGATTTAGTCCTACGTGTCACCGCATCAATGGCAAGGCTCGAATGATCTAAGCATTAGGGCAGCAAAATGTATCCAGTAGAGCAGTCTGCTGCAAGAGTCGCATGTTCGGATGTCCAGAACAGGCGGCGTGCTCATGCATGTGAATGCGGGTATCCCGGCGGCCCGCATTCTACCAATTGATGTGGTGCGGAACGACCCTTATTCGTCGAAGATACACCCCAAACTGTGTAGCCCTGTCTGAACATTACCGAGGAGATGTTGTTAGTTCATCTGTACGAACCCCCTCATTTTCATATCCCATTCGCTAATATCTGCATGCGTCCGCCACAACTATCGTAGCTACATATTATATATCTGTAGCACATGCAGTTATATCCTAATGAAGCCAAGGACCGTATACAGCACATTGCTTCTCACCGAGCCTCGTCTGTCTCCTTCAGCTACCAACATATGAAAGCTTCCATCCCAGTCTCATCTGGATGCACACAGGCATGACACAATAATCCTAAGGGACAATGAAACACAAATACAATAGTTTAAAGCCAATGAGGGAATTGCCGATGCTGTAACTGTAGAACTAAGCAGATGGACATGCACTGTCTTATATGTTTCTACATGATTGCAATTAATACGTTCTAACAAGTCAAATATATTTCTGCGACGAAAAGTCTGGGGTATTTCGCGAGATTAGTCTAGAGTGCCTATATGGATGAAGTGCCTCGCTCTGTTCGAGTTCAAGCTGCCGACTAACAATTACTAGCCACGGCACGCAAGTAGTATAGGCCAGAGCAAAGCACCTAATAGAGGACCGTGATTGTATACTGTGTTATAACCAACTGCTCCTCCATGATTCCACGCGCAGCTTTTTGGCTCCATGCAGATTTTCACTGTTAGATTGTCGTGCAAAGTGACCCTCCGTAGACAATGCCACCTTACTAGTAAAGCTTTCCAACCTAGAAACTCCAGGAAGTAAAACAATCCCCCAAGAGCCTCTTATCAATACTAGGCACCTTCTAGTACCATTGATAAACATACTCCCAGCATCAGCATCAGCACCACCTCGACTCCTACCCCACCCTCGTAATAGAATCCCCAGCAAACTTAATTGTCCCATTCTCCCTCCCAACGACTGTGCTCCTCCCACTTGACGGAGCCGTATCATCCCTGGAAGCAGGGATCACAGTCCCGCGATTTAGTACGGCATCCTGTGGCGCAGAGATCTCGCCCGAGTGGGTCCGCTCTCTACGGTTACGGTTTCGGCGACGGAGCTGGAAGGAGCGCGGCTCCTCGATATCTTCGATCTCGGACTCGCGCGTGGAGTCGAGGGCTTGGGAGATGGTACGGGGGAGGTAAAAGCCTAGCTTTCCAAGCGGGATGCTGATTCCGTGGACGACCTAAAGGTCTTAATGAGGATGATAAGGGGTAGGAGGGTTGAGGGAAACTTACGATGCTGCAAATTACAAGGAACCAGACGACGACATTTAACGTTTCTGCAAGCGATTCGGCGTCTGGTCTCTCGGCATCGCCAGTAGATAGCTCACGTAGAAATTCCCGTCCGATGTAGAGGTAAAATATGGCCGAGACGCCGATGGGTCCGAAGAAGCCGACGAACACTGCCTGTCGCTTCTCATCAATCTGATGGATGAATTTGTGCATGGCGAAGACGATTGGGAGGCGTCTGAAAGCCAAGATCAATAATCCAAGGAAGACTAGGCGGTAGAGGGGAATGACGTTATTGTTCAGGAACAACTCCCAGGGGCATGTGGCCCCGTACCACAGGAATACCGACAAGTTGAGAAGCATGTCGATTGTAGGCTGCAGCGAGTCATCCAGAGTCTCTAGACGGAACCAATCGTCCCACGTGAAAGCATTTCCAGCAATAAAGCACGCAAGGACGTCGTCACTCCCAATCATTCCGCAAGTGCCGAGAATGAACAGAGCAAGCGCGATGGCAAAGACAAGGAAGCTTTCGCGGTCGACAAACCTCCGCTCCTCTGCCCAGTGAAGCAGCTGGTTTGCAGTCCAGCCGACAACAGCGCCGTATACGACACTAAGAATGATCGTGTAGGCCCAGGTCTCGTAAAACCATAGTCCCATCGCCTTTCCTGCACCACCTGTCTGGCCGAGGCCGCCCTCACCAGTATATTTGATTAGATATAGGGCGAGAAATAAGAACGGGTACCCAAGTCCATCATTCGCTCCAGACTCGGCGATAATAATCTTCTGCAGCTCCTTCGGCACATTCTTGTCCGCAAACTTGCCCTTGACGATGGAATTCGACAACACGGGGTCGGTCGGCGTGACACAGGCGCCCACCGCCAATGCGTGCAGAAATGGCAAGTTGGGCACCATGGCCCATATCAGCAGACTACTGCACATCCACATAGTAGCCATAATAGGCCCGAGCAAAAGCGAGAGCGGTTTCCATTCTCGCTTCAGATACCGGCTGGGGAGCTGGACGCCAGCGAGGACGAGTTGGACGCCAAGGACGAGGCGTGAGAAGGCGAGCGTAATCTGCTCGAGGGCAATTTTATCGCCATTGGCGTATTCTAGTGGCCTAACGAAGTTGGTGGCAGGGGGAGAGAAGACAACTCCTGCGAGAAGGGATATCACTGAAACGGGGGGTCGTTAGTGGGGGTGCTGTGCTGCGTGACATCATTCGCTGGGCTGGCTTACAGGCTTCGGAGAGATAGAATTTCTCCTTGAACAGGTACGAGACAAGCCCGAAGAGCGTGATGAAGCCGCCAAGAACGGAGCATACAACATTGAAGTTTGTAACGGCGAGTGTAGGCATGCCGGAGCGAGATGTGCGGGGGGAACGAAGCTTATCGTGTTTCTGATCAGCGCAACCCCGAGGAATTGGCAGAGAGCAGCAAAAGGTGAAATATATGTCAAAACATAGGGCAATAATAAAGGAAGATAAATTTTATCTATGAGGGTTATTTCTTTGGTCAAGGGAGAATGATTTGCTGTGTGAAGTTGAGACGAAAAAGAAACTCGATTGGCGGCTGAGGCATCAAAAATCTTAGCGCCAAGGCTCTAAGGGACCATCGTCATTGTTTATTGTTGCTTGTTTGGGCAGGAACACGTGGGGGAAGGGAAGGAGCTCCCCACATGTGCCCAGGAAACCGTTCAACCCCCAACTTTCTTCATAATTATCTCCTACTCCAAGTCTAATAGAATAGATTTATGGGTTTCTTAGTACCGGCGGCATTATAGACTATTATATTGGAAATTAGATGAAAGCCGTTTCGAGGAGGCTGTATCAAGCGCTATTAGCGCTTATTGTCGCGGAAAAGGCCCGACAATTACTCCGCCGATCAACCTTGCCGCGCTGACAGAAGGCCCGATAGCCCTTAACGTACCTTACCAAGGCCTAAACTGACCCATCCAAGACCCTCCAAACACCTTCATAATCATATATACCACAAATAATGGCGAATAATTTCCCCTAGACCCCTACGGTACACGCTACTGCACCCATTCAACTGGGTTGACGCCGGTAGTGCGGCGGTAGTCAGTGCCACCCCCGCATAATGATGTTCATACTCTATTTCACTCTATTTCGCACATGTGGAAGTGGTGGAAGTGCATGTTCCCCCTCATCCCCTCCCCCTGGTTTCCCCAATTTCCAAGCTTTCTCCATCTTCCTCTCATACTTTCTCATACTCTAGCATAGAATAGACTCCTCCAACTCGGCCCGCTGACGAAGCGCGCTGTTAGAACCCTCAAATTGACCCGCAGTTGTAGTTTGTTTGTCGTGTTTCACGATTCGCGTTCAGGTGGTGAACGGCGCTTAGGGTCATCATCCAAGGAGACTTCGTCCGTGTTACGTCGACTACAAATACAACTGTTGCTGTCACAATCATGGCTCTCACCAGCAACTGCGCAGATTTCATACCTCGATAATCATGTTTTTCAACCGCCCTGCTCTTGTAGCCCGATCCCTCGCCGTCGCTGCGGCGTTCTTCAACAGCGCGGATGCAAAGACAGCTGCAGAATGGCGCGAGGCGTCGATCTACCAGGTCCTAACAGATCGATTCGCGACTACAGATGGCACATCGCCACACTGTGATATCAGCAACTACTGCGGCGGCACGTGGAAGGGGATAGAGAATAAGCTCGATTACATCCAGGGCATGGGCTTTGATGCTGTTTGGATTTCTCCTGTGTAAGAACCCCTGGGGACTCCGACCCTGACGAACCATTTACTAACACGGCGTAGTATTCATAATATTGAGGACAGTACCCAGTGGGGCCAAGCGTACCATGGGTGTGAGTGGTCTTTCTCTTATAGCCATTCTATGAATCTTTTCTGACTAGCATACCAGACTGGGGCAACGACCCATCCTCTCTCAACCCCCACTTCGGGACTCCAGCCGATCTGAAGAGCCTTTCCGACGCTCTGCACGGCCGCGGCATGTCCCTCATGATAGACGTCGTCATCAACCATTTGGCTGCGAACCAGGCTTCTGGCTCGGTGGACTATTCCGTCTTCCCAGCGCCATTCAACACCGCGTCCGCCTTCCACAACCCATGCAGCATCGACTACAATAATCAAGGCTCAATTGAAAATTGTTGGCTCGTAACTGACACTCCCTCGCTCCCTGACGTCAATTCTGAGAACGGAGATGTCTACACAGCCATGGTGAACAGCGTCGCAGACATTGTCAAAACCTACGGCATTGACGGCATCCGTCTCGACACCGCCAAACACGTCCCGAAACCTTACCTTACTCAATTCCAGGAGGCAGTCGGCGTCTACGTGACAGGGGAGGTGCTCGATGGGAACCCCGATTTCGTGGCGGGGTACGAAGGCCCTATATCTAGCGTACTCAACTACCCGCTGTGGTACGCCCTCATCGACTCGTTCATGGGTGCAGACTTCAGCCGCCTAGCTAGCATGATGGGCACAGTGGTCTCTACCTTCAAAGACGTCAACGCTATGGCAAATTTCCTCGATAACCATGACCAGCCGCGTTTTGCCAGCCGTCAGGGCAACGACGTGGTGAGAGATAGAAATGCGGCCACGTACTTGATGTTTGCATCTGGTATCCCGGTGGTGTACTATGGATTTGAGCACCGCTTTGGTGGTGCAGCCGACCCGAATAATCGCGAGGCTCTGTGGGGGAGTGGATATAACACCGATGCGGCGTTGTATAAGCATATCGCGCAGCTACATCAGATTAGAGACATTGCTTCGAATCTTGCGGGCAAGGCGGAGTATTTCGCATGGGGCGCTGAGGTTCTTGGGACGTCGAGTCAGTATCTGGCAATGAAGAGGGGCCCGATCGTGGTTGTTGTGTCGAATGTTGGGGCAGCGGGTACAATCAACGGATTCAGCGTCCCATCGTCTCAGTTCGATTCTGGGGATACAATTGTCGACCTCTTTACCTGCACAACGGTAACCGCAGGTACCGGAGGTGCATTCCAGAGCGCGGCAAACAATGGCGAATCCAGAGTATGGATACGCACCCAGGACAAGGGCAGCTTTTGCCCTTAAGGGAACAGACTTCTTGGCAAAGGGTAGAGGAAATCGGAGCCCCCTCCGTTACTGGCATACGACTTTTACGCACAATAACTTTAACTACGTGTATATATGTATTATCTTCACAATATCCCCGGGTCACATAGCTGAATAGTATATAATATGCTCAGGTAGCATGAAATATCATCAATCGCTAAAGAACAGTCTTGCTATATATAAGTGCGCGCATGGAGGATACAGAAAATAAATAGATTGACGCTATATAGATTGACGCTATGGAGATATTACAACAGGTAACGGAAACTCGTGATCGTACGGTCGGTCTGGTTAGATAACTCATCCGCGAGTTCCTGATCGGAATCAATTGTGGTTTCAGAACCGTAGAGCTTATCTCTCCGCTTGTTCTCGAAGTGGTAGTAGAGATACAACAAAATAAGGAAGAAAATGCTGAACGAATATCCCGCGAGCGCAGACGCGAGTCCCGTCTACTATTGTTAGCAATCGAAAGGACCGAGGGAGGGGGATGACGAACCTTGTACACTGGTGCTTCGCTGGCGAGAAAGAACTGCGGGCCGACGATGTTTCCAACGCAGTAGCCTACAAACAGCATAGAGCTCACTATACTCCTCTTCGTGAACCCGGCCACGTTGGATGTGACCAGACTGAGGGAGATGGGAATATTCATCGCAAAAACGACTGTGAACACAAGGCCTGTCATGCGCCCGGCTTGGCTATCGAGGCAATACACGAGCACCATCCCGACCATAGAAACTGCCGTGTTAAAGATCATTAGCAACACGCGCGCGTTGCGAAGATATGATGCGAGAAACGAAGTGATCACTAGGAAGACGATTTCAACGCCTCCCATAGGTAGGCCTAGAAGGATCGACTTGAGGGAGCTGAAGCCCATTCCTTTGATAATGAGGGGTTGGAACTGGATCGATTGTATTAGTTCTATGTTCTGTGCTGCGTTGCATTGAGGGGTAGTCTTACAGTTGTCAAAGCACCGTTGGGGAGGTTGACACAGAATGTGTACAGTACCAGCAACCAAGTTTGGGGGTCGCGGAGGGCTTCCCAAAGCTGTGGCCACCGGAATTTACCATTATCCATGATACCAGTCTTGTTTTTCAGCGTTCGGGCCAATGCAATGAGGCGCTCCTCGGGCTTCAAGAACCAGGCGGTCGAGACTGAGTCTGGCAGGACGAAGAACATGAATACACCGTATGCGACAGTAACCGCCCCTTCAATCAGGAATAGCAGCTTCCAGTGTGGGATAGCTGGATTCGGGATGTTGAGAACGCCATATGAGACCAGTCCACCCAGGATCAGTGCAACACAGTTGCCAATGAACCAGCCAGCCTGGCGAACAGGCTGCTCCTTGCGCAAGTAAAACATGCCGGTAATCAGGGAGAAGCCTGGAGCGACAGCTGCTTCTGCAACGCCGAGGAAAAAGCGCTGTATCATCAGGCCAGTGAACGATTTGCAGCCCGCTGTGGTCATCAATATGCCACCCCATAAGACAACCGCCATGGATAGATATCTCCCGATCGGCAAGCGAACAACGAAGTAGGCGCTAGGGAAGCTCCACGCCATGTATCCGAAATAGAAAATTCCAGAGCACCATGCAAGATCGGAACCTTTTAGGTGCTGCTCGCCGGGGTTGGTATGTTAGCCTGGTTCATCGAAGCTTGTTATCTCGAGTTTTCGGAGGAACTCACAATTCCTGTTTTCGGGTCAAGGATACCAAGCAATGTCGAGGCAGCCAGGGCTCCTTTGTCGAGGAATTGGAGCATATAACAAAATCCCATGATAGGTAATAAGCTGCGCTCAGTTAATGGGGGTCGGTGCGGAAGGGGGTGATCAAGGAGCACGCACAACAAATCAATCTTCCGCAGTACTTTGCGACTCTGCTCGTCTGTCATCTCGACATTGGTGACATCTTCAATCTCGGTCTGGAACGGCCCAGCACTCTTGGACACCGAGCCTCTCCTTGAGGCAGAAATCGGTTGCCCATTGGGGCCCACATGTGCGTCGGTATTCTTCTCTGCCATAATGTCAAATTGTTGTAGGATGTTTTCTGTGGCAGAGTATCACAGAAGCTGAAGACTGTGACGTTGGGATATCCGGTTGTCGGAATCCCTTTATAATCGCCCAGCTCTGGCTTCCAAGACTCCCCTTATCTTGTACGACTATTTCATGGCGCACGCTTTCCCCACACGGGGCCTTATTTCCCCAGATTCTAGGTGGAGTACCAAGTAACTGATTGGTTTTGGATCCATAACGGCGGACGAATTCCGAGATATGGAAATATGGGGAAGATAATAAAAACAACTCTGGCTGACATTACCTGGATATGAGGGGGTTGAGGTGATTGATAGCCAACTAAACGACGGCCCAAAACTTTTAGCGTTAGCCGCGTCCACTTCCCGTTTTAGAGCGTGTATTGGGAGGCGATGTCGGAAAATAAACCAGCCAATTAGCGCCAGGGCTAACCTCGTCGGCAATATAGGAACCAATCATCTTTGTATCGCTCTAAAAGCTTGAAAATCTCGGCCCGCCATGTCGGCAGATTGGCCTCAATCCACAAACAAAATAACTTCAAATGTGGCGATTAGCAGTGATAATGTATGGAGAGCTTATCTCGACAATATCCCTCCACTATCTCGTCGGCAAAACAGTGCGGAACCCACTTTCTGCTTGGTGATATGGAGTCAATGGCCACCCCCGCCCTCGGGAGTGGTGCCGGCAATTTCAATGAAATGCGTATAAGAAGAGAGGCTGAATGCTCACAACTTTTATACTTTACCATAATCATATTCGTGACATCAATATACACAGATTGTTAAACTATCCAAGAATTTCCCGTCAGATTTCTAATAATAAAACAATCATGGGTGGCGATTCTAGTGCTTTGGCGGGCGATATCAAAGTTGAAGTCGACGCAGCAATCGATAGTTTGAACCAGAGACTGCGGGAAGTTAACAGAAAGGTATGACGTTTGAGGCTGTATCTCCTATCTCTTAGCTTATCTCCATTCTAACCTCTTCTAGATTTGGGAGAACCCTGAGCTTGGTGAGCAAGAGTTCATGGCCCACGACACCTTGTGTTCCTTCTTAGAAGAACAAGGCTATGCAGTTACGCGCTCGGCCTATGGCAGACCCACCGCGTTTGAGGTCCTCTCCGGGTCGGGAGGTCGTCTCGTCAACTTCAATGCCGAGTATGACTGCCTCCCAGGAATTGGTCATGCATGCGGCCACAATCTTATCGCCACTAGCTCTGTGGCAGCTTTCTTAGGCCTATCCATGTCGCTGAAGAAGCTGGGTGTTCCGGGTAGAGTACAGCTGCTTGGAACCCCTGACGAGGAGGGCTCAGGTGCGAAGATTAAACTGCTGGAGGCAGGAGCTTACAAAGGTGTTGATGCCTCGATGATGGCGTATGTACTTCCTGCCTCTCACTTGAAACTTTCTTTCCTTTTGGATTAGCTTGATACTGACTTATTGCCGTGCAGTCATCCCATCTCAGGAGAAATGAGTGGCAGTGGAGACGCAGTTAATGATGGCGTGGCTGGCGTCCGCATGATTGCCCGCCAATTCCTCAGTGCTGAATACCGTGGGAAGAATGCCCACGCTGGCGGCAACCCGTGGAAGGGAGTTAACGCCCTTGACTCTGCAGTTGCCGCATATAATAATATCTCGCTCCTCCGCCAGCAGACGGCGCCAGATGATCGTATCCACAATGTCCTACTCGAGTCTGAGAAGACGGTGAATGTCATCCCAGCTTATGCCAAAGCAGCGTACCAGGCGCGAAGCCCGCGTTTGGCGAGTCTAAAGGTGTTAACGGCAAGGGTGGTTAATTGCATCAATGCTGCTGCATTAGCAACCGGCACTGATGTCAAGATTACATAGTATGATGCCCTACATCCAGACATTGCGCATTCTGTGATCGGAGCTAACATTTGGCATTATAGCGGGGCTTTGTACGCCGATGTCGTCTTGAACGAAACCATTTGTGGTCTGTACACCGACCACACTGCAAGATATGGGCAACAGGTCACGAAGATCTCGCCAATCATCGTGACAGGCTCGACAGATCAAGGTGTGTATTCCATAATGTGCGAGAGTTGAAGCCAAATATATAATATACTAATCACGGTCTCTCAATCATAGGCAATGTTAGTCAAGCTATGCCCTCGCTCCATACTATGTTCTGCATTCCCTCGGAAGATGGTGTTGGCCCACACAACGCTGGTTTCGCCAAGGCTGCGGGGACTGATGTCGCTCATGATAAGGCGATCATAGTTGGGAAAACTATGGCGCTGGTTGGGTTTGATATCCTTACGAAAGATGATGTCTACAAAAACGTGAAAGCCGATTGGGAGAAGGCAATGGCTGCTTAATGCCTGCCGCCACGTTGTCCAGCTACCATATTCGGTATTTATATTCCTCATAAGCTGTTATTATTTTAGCCTTTTGTACAGAATACGGATGTCCTGCGCCGCGACTAGTATAGACTCAAATTTGAATAAATAGGTACAACAGGTAAAACTGCTACCTAATCGCACTACGCACGTCCCAGTTCCCAACAATATAGGTCACGTTTATAGTGTTAATGGCTAGTCTAAAGCTTGCCGCGTTAGAACTCATTTCTTTAGCGCGTCTCGAGCCAACGGAGCATCTTCTTTTGAAACAATTTGTAGAGGGCGCTGTCGATCCAGAGCGAGCTGCACAGTACCTCCTTTCAAACATAAACAAGAGCTCCCACCAAGAAGTGGAAACCAGCCTGCGGTGCTTCAAGAAGGACTGGAGGGACTTGGTGATGACATGTGAGCCCAATGCGATCGCTTGCTTTCTGGACTAACGTCGTGTAGTAAGGGCCCTTGACCCAATCCCCGTGTGCCTTGACGAGTTGGTTCGCCGTAGAGATGGGCCTTACTGCTCCACTAGCAGCATAGATCCGCCTAAGAAAGGCATCGTGTCAATGTCAGAAACCGCGTATATTATTCCTCCGTCTATGTTTCAAAGCGTCGATTTAGCTAAAGATGTAAGATGCCCGACACCTAACTACTACCTCTCTGTATCTCACCTGTTTAATTAGGGACGCATGCGTACAATACTAGATGCCTTCTTATCGCCCTTACACATAGCAAGATTACGAACTCTTCTCCAAAGTCACGGCGCTGACGATAGAACCATCCTTCAGAATCTATGGCTGCTCTCACCAACTATTCACAGAGCGTTTCGAGGCGGGCACGTTAACGTTGAGGCACGTGGGCTAACATCGAAGAACCCTGAGACTGAGTTGCAAGAAATAGATAGCGAGCCCGAAGTGAGTCTTGATATGTTAGTATTTGAAAGGACACTGCTAAATACATCATTTGCAGTTTGTAATGCGCACATTATACCCTGAAGAGCCCTCTAATCTCGTTCTTGGGAATGGGACATACTTTCAGAGCTCGAGGCAGAACTTCAAATGTTTAGCCGTCGAATCGGAAGGTCTCAACCCACCAAGTAGATTCCTTTTTGCTATTCACAATAGGTTCTCTGCTGCTCTACACCTGTTTTATATAGGGGACAAAGTTGCCCGAGGCTGGCCCCAACATCGATCAGGTTAGAATCCCATAACCCTAACATGGTAGTCCAAACTAACCACTTCAAGTTGGTGTTGGCCTTCGAGGCAAAGGCGTACATCGGTTCAACGAACTCGCCCGAAGAATGTTCTATCGTGGATGGCTCTATGTACCGCAGTGGGCGCGCATGCGGTGCTATTATGTCCTTGTAGGGGCTGGGCGCTGGCTCTATGGAGTTAGCTCCTGTCCAGCGAGTGCCTTTTGGGTTGGTTATTAAAGACTGTCTACGATCGTATGAGAACGAAGTCAATGCCCTTCGGCTCGTCGGGCACCATACATCTGTTCCGGCACCGCGGATAGTTGACACTGGAGTGTACGGTAACAAGAAATATCTAGTTATGTCACGTCTACCTGGTCAGATGCTCGGTGATGTGCTCCATCTCATGTCATACGCGGAACGAGATCGCTTTGCCGACAAACTAGGGGAGTGTGTCGCACAGATTCGACAAATTCCCAATTTTACGCCACACCATCTCTGCGATACTCTTGGTGGTCCGTTAAGTGATCATCGGATACCCGACACATGTGGTGGACCATACAACACTGAGGAGGACTTTAATGATCATCTCACAAGTCATTTGAACTGCACTTCAGCTGCTTTCTTTAACGGGCAAACCCCTCCCCAAAACCACACTATATATTTTACGCACTCCGACTTCCACTGGACTAACCTATTAGTTGATCGGGGGCAACTTAGTGGTATTGTTGATTGGGAAATCGCTGGGCACAAGCCGGAGTACTGGGAGTACACTAAGGCTGTGTGGACAAGTTTGGGGGACCCCATCTTGCAAGCCTTGTTCCACCGCGCATTTAAGAAATTTGGTAATTACGAGGCTGAACTTGCAGCGGAGAGGAAGTTGTGGAGATATACCCCCTTTGGCGTTTAAATTAGTGGCTGGCTTATTTATAGTTCTTTGCAATAACCGCTATTGGTGGTGGACAAAATATAACAATCTAGTGCTTCCGTAGAAAGCGCCTCCACCTCGCATGCTCAACTCTTGAGGATATTCGGGCCGCACAAGCGCTGTCTTACGGCCCGTCATCCTTTGGTAACCACGGTGGACAAGGCAAACAACGATGGCGTGCAACCATCATTACCCAACATCCCGATGACAGGCTACTTGGAGCTAAATTGACATGGGAGTGGACAGTGTACATACAAATTGCGCCCTTAAGAACTTTCCCCGCTATACTATCTATCGATCACTATATGGCAGTGGAGTCAGCCTAGTTATCGGTAGTGCCTAGTTATCGGTAGTGTCTCACGCGCGCTTGTAGATGAGAATAGAGCTTCATACTCTTCGATACTGAAAGCCTCTCCTCAGGCGATCGAACAAACTCTAGATAGCTAGCTCTAGATTTTGGCCATATCCTAACTAGGCTATACTCCTATTGACGGAGGTCTATTCTCCGCGATTCTCCGTGAATTATTGTTGCCAGGACGCCAATTCTCATGGCATATGGCTCAGAATGGTTTAGTATTGTTTGACCACGTGGAAATTAGATTGTGTCTCCACTGTAATTGGTGGTTTCCGCACTAACCCCGCACTTCCAAGCGCAGCCCCCACGGGCCTAGGCGCGTGGCGGCGGCTTTCACGATTGCATTGAGAGGGGGTGTCGGATATTCGAATGAACTGTCGTTCGGTCTCCTAAGCTCTTTCCCTTGTTAAGTTATGAAGTATGAGGTTGGTGTTTCATTCCCCATAAATAAGTATGTTGCTCTTTATTGTAATAGTTATTTATGATTTATAAAAAATAATGTAGAAGAATTGAGTGGAAAATTAAGATATTTAAGTTTTTCTTTGGAACTAGAAAAATCTACAACAACTTAAATCGTTTTCTTTATCCCAATAAATATGAGGCTTAGCTTCCCATAGCCAAGAATGTGAGTATATACTGAATCAAGTAACTCAAGAGAAGTTGTACAATCCTTACATAGAAGGTCAGCCCCAATGTCCTGTCCCGCTCCTCACCAGACCCCAAGATGTACGACTTAATATTACTGCACGGCCAGCTACGCCATCGAGAACCATGTAACTGCCAGTTGGAAGAACGGAAAGATATTCCGGTGTTGTGCTTGGCAGAGCAGGCGTAGGGCTTGGTGACAGGAACAAATAATATCGGGTGACGAACCTCGATATGGCTGTGCTCGCGGGCCTCCGCCCTCCGTGCCCTTGGCCAGGATAACAGAGGCACGAATAGGATACAAGGACGAAATTATCGCGCTATATTAATAACAGGCATGCTCATCCTCGATGTAGATAAGAAGGGAGACTCTTTCCTTCTTTGGAGACTGCAATCGTAACAATCTACAGTCAGACACTCAAGCTGCAACTTACCTCTTGACTGTGATAGAGCTGTACTTGCCATTTTGGTACTCGCAAGATGGCCAACCTTCCGGAGAAGAACCAAGATGGCAAACTTGCTCACGAAGAAGAGGATCCCACTTTGGAAAAGCACAATGTCGTCGAGACAAGAGTCGTCATGGGAGATGAAGCCTTCCAGCAGGCAATGCTGAAGGAGCCACCCATTCCTTGGAACGCTATAGCAATTCAGCTCTACCTTATCTCTCTTATTGGATTCTGCTGCTCAACTTCCAATGGGTACGACAGTTCGCTTTTTGGCAACTTGCTCAACAACAAAGCCTTTAAGGATTTTTTTCACGTTAAGAACGTGGGTATCTGGGCTGGGATTGTGACATCTATGAATCAAATCGGCGGTATTGCCGCCCTACCTTTCGTTGGCCCGGCCATCGACACCTTTGGTAGAAGAATTGGCATGATTATTGGCGGTGTTACCAGTCAGTATTGCCCCCACCTCGTCGAGACAGCTTCCGAGAGGTGAAGATGGAATGTCACTAACTGTGTCCAAGTCACACTCGGTGTTATTCTCCAAGGAACCTGCGTTTCAAATCGTAGCATCGGCCAATTCATGGGCGGACGGTTTTTTATGGGCATGGGCATCACTCTCATTGCCTCAGCAGGGCCTTGTTACGTGATCGAAGTGTCTCATCCAGCTTATCGTGGTGTTGTGACCGGACTCTACAATGTATTTTGGTGAGTATCTCTTGCAGTGTCGCCTCTGAACAGACACTGATTCAACAGGCCGGTTGGTGCGATCGTGGCAAGCGGTGCAAGCCGCGGGAGCCATGACATGCCCTCGCCCATCACATGGACCCTCCCTGTTTGGCTTCAAATGCTATTTCCTGGCATAGTCGTTGTAGGTGCCCTGTTCATCCCGGAATCACCTCGCTGGCTGTATACGAATGGTAAAATGGACCAAGCAAGGGCGTTCCTAGTAAAGTACCACGGAAATGGGAACCCCAACAGCGAGTGGGTTACGCTTCAAATGAACGAATATGAGCAATATTTGGAGCTAGAAGGTGCGGATAAGCGCTGGTGGGATTACCGTGCATTGTTCAAGGACAGAGCTTCCCGATATCGCCTTATGACCAACTGTCTTACGGCTCTCTTTGGCCAATGGGCCGGCAACGGTACGTTTTAGCACATTTTCCACACAGAGAAATCGAATGGTGATAATACTAACATGATCTACTAGGTGTTGTTTCATACTTTCTAAGTGCCGTCCTCGACACGGCTGGCATTAAAGACTCAGTCACACAGGGAAATCTCTTCGTTGCCATGAACGCCGTCCAGATCATAATATCAGGCATTGGAAGCTTGTTCGTTGACAAAATTGGACGTCGCCCTATGCTCTTCTGGGTCAACGTGGGCTGCTGTATTTGCTGGATCGGCGTTTCTGCCGCCGCCGGAATTCAAGATAAGACTGGATCGAAGGCATCCAGTGTCGCCACGGTCGCGATGATTTACATTTTCCAGGCCGTATATTCCTTTGGCTGGACCCCGCTGCAAGCTCTGTATCCTGTTGAAGTCCTGTCATTTGAGATGCGCGCAAAGGGAATGGCATTTTCGAGCTTATTCGTCAATTTTGGTAAGCCCAGCATTGTTTCCTCTAGTGGCGATGGTTCGAGTGGCGGTGCTAATTGGACACAGGGACTCTTGTCAACCAATTCGGGTTTCCTGTGGCCTTGGAGAAAATTAAGTGGAAGACTTATCTTGTCTTCATGGTGTGGTGTGCAGTCCAGGCTGGCATTATATGGGTGCTTATGCCAGAGACAAAGAACCGAACCGTAAGTAAATGCCTTGGGATGCGTTTCGTAATAGCGAGGAGTACTGATAGAACATACAGCTCGAGGAACTTGATGATATCTTCCGCGCCAAGGACCCCCGCAAAGCATCAACGGAGAAGAAGAAGCTCGAGTTGGATGCGAATGCAAACATTCTTGCTGTTGGCCGTGATAACGAAGTGGATTAGGCGTCGACTTGACATGCCTATGTCCGGTTCCTGCACTCATTTAATACAAGTTGTGGTATCTCTGCTTCGTTTTGAGGATTTGGATTGTCGTTGCTGTGAAGCTTGTAATGACAGTGAGGGTATTTGGCCGCAGGGAGGCATCTTGAAGATATCTCCAGTTCCCCGTCATCACTAGCTTTGCTACAGGCATCCAGTCTTTCCTTTAATACTATTATGCTATTATCTTAGATAAATAGCAACTCTTCCACCTCCATTTGGAGATTCAGAGAATGTTGTGAGTCCATGTGTCAATTGTGAAATCTCAATTGTGTTGTGCGAAGAGTATACGGATAACTTGAGTTGCCTCGCGCAAGTCAGCGTCTGACCGCCCGAATGGCCAGGGTTGATAGCAGGGATTAACACTTGACAAGAGATTCGCTTTGAGAGTTATTCGATGAACATGAGCGAGTAATGGGTCCCAAGACATAAACGAATACATATTGGTATGGAAGACTAGCTGAAATGGCGGTATTTTTCATTTTAGTATATGAAAAACCAGATTGGTAAACCAGCTTTTGTATGTCTCATACGAAACATGTCTAGCTCTCAAACGGCTTCAATCGCGGAAGGGGTCAAGACACTGTGGCATTTATCGCATCATAGTTAAAGATCCTGTAATAAGTCACAAGGCATAAAGATGCGACTAGCTACACCATCGACGTACTCTGCTTGGGACTAGTGGTGGTACTCAAACTTCTATCGGAGATTTATGTACTGTAACCCCTCAAGAGACTGCAACTGCTGATCCACAAAGACGAGAAAAATGACCATTTGTATTACTTCATATTCGTTTGCGTGACATCATTATACTATATACTGCCCATGTTCTGTTTTAGCTATACTCACTGCCTATGCCCCCATATCTCCCATTGGTATTTTCTCACCACCTGCGGTGTCCTTTTTCACTTTTACGCTCAGCCACTCTACAGTCAGCGCGGGTAAAAGAGCCAAGACAGATGCCACCGTGACGACAAAGAAAGTGGCAACTAGAGCATCATTAAACGCCTTGAGAACACCATCCACCTGCGCTGGTGGCACGATCCTCCTTAAATCCGTTGCTCCAACATCAACGATTGCTTTGATGTCCACGCCTGGAATAGCCGACAAGGTGTGTACAAGCCGGTTCTGAAAGATGCTTTGTGCAATTGGGACAAAGACTGAACCCGACAGCTGCTGTGCAAACATCATTAGAGCCGAACCGATCGCGATATCCTTTCGTGATAATACTCTCTGCGCTGCTACACTGGGCTGCTGCATGCAAATCCCGCAGCCGAGACCAAATATGATCTGGTATCCGATCCACTGGCTAGGGGGGGTATTCACATGGAAGGTGGTAAGTAGTCCAGCACCAGCTGCCATGATGGGTGGACCAGCAAGCATGAACGGAGCATAGTATCCGAAGCGCGACACGGAACCGCCTCCTACTATCGCCCCAAATGAGGTTGCGAAGAGGAGGGGGATGGTGTCAATGCCGGATTGGACGGCGCTGACGCCCTTGACAGACTGAAAGTAAATGGCGAGGTAGAGAACGCACACAATCAGGCTCGCGCCAACGCAAAGAGAAAAGCAGAACCCAGAGGCCACGGAGCGCTTCTTGATGATTCGCGGAGGTACTGTAGCGCCGTCCTGGAGCCAGATTTGAACGCAAACGAATGCTATAATCAGGAGCACACCAACGACGAAGAGGGCGATGATCCTGCCATCATTCCACGGGTACTGATTTCCACCCCATTGCAGGGCAAGTAGGATACAGGAAATTCCAGGGATGAAACAGATCGTGCCCACTGGATCAAGCTGCCATAACTTCTTCTTCAAACTTGTTTCCGCCGCAGCGGGTGCGGGCAACTTCAGGACAACTGCCAAAACAGCCATGGCGACGCCACCAATTGCTATGAATGGTAAGCTTTTGCTTTGCTATAGTTACTACACACGGGGGAACGAACGAAGATTCACATAGAAACACCAACGCCAACTGATTCCGTCGGTCAAGGCGCCACCAAGCAATGGTCCGATAATAGATGCCACAGCGAAAACACCCCCAAAAAGCCCCATCGCCATCGGACGCTTCTGGAGTGGGAGCACGTGCTGCACGCCAACGACACACCCAGTGAAGATGCCAGCTGCTCCAAGCCCGGCAATAGCACGTCCAACGATCAATGTCTTTGAGCTGAGTGCAACACCACAAATTAGGTTCCCGGTTTCAAACAGGCCCATGGCGCCTAGCAAGAGCCATTTGGGCGAGTAGAAGGTGTAGATCTTGCCAAAGAGAAGGATGGGGGCAGATCCTGCGAGCATGAAGGAGCTGGCATACCAGCCGACGTCACTGAGCGAGCGGAATTCGTCTGTAATCTTGGGTATGGCAGTGGCGATGATCATTCTGTCCTGGAAAGAGTTATCACCTGAGAACAGCAGCTGAGAACGGCGGCGAGACTTACCAGCGCGACGAGAAACATAGATACCAGGAGAGAGGCCATTATGAGAATAACCTGGCCCGTTGGAGGGTACACTCTATCTCTATCTTCGGCGAATGCGACGTCCGCTGGGTTAGGTAGAGGTAAAGGGTCACGACTGTTCCCAGTATATAGTTCAATGCGGTCAGACCCAGAGATACTGTCGCGCGCTGTATAGCTTGCGCCAGATGTGGTGTTCTCGGGACCTTTGCCCATTCCTTCACGCGTTTCGAAGCTTACGCCAGCCATGAAGTTCTCAGGGAATTTCTCCATCCTTTCACGCGTTTCATAGCTCGGACCCGCCACAAAGTTCTCTGGGGATTTATCTACCCTTTCATGCGTCTCGTGGCTTGCACCAGTCATGGCGGTTTCCGAGGTTTTATCCATTCTTATGGTAGTTATTGCAGGCCGATCATACAAAGGGATTGTTGGCATGAGAAACGGCGTGAGAAAATGTATGAAGAAACAGAAGGCGCGCCCCAGAGTAAACAGATCAAGTCGCATCAATTGACTGCTGTAATACAATCCGCGACGCGAACATAATGAAAGAGGGGAAGATAACTGTTTTTGTATACGTGTATAATATGTGTATATGTCAGTTATCGACGATCGTGTAGCAACCTACAACGCCTGTGAGACATCAAACTGACTCTGAGGTCCGTGGAGCCAATTAGCATCGCGCTGTCGTCCCGAATGTGAACCAACAACAACAATCATCCACTCAGAATTTATTTGACCGACTGAGCTGTCAGATATCAAAGTCTAGAGTCATTAATTGATCAAAGCGCCACGGCTTAAGACATATATTTTACAACTGGACGCGAGGGCTGTGACCACCAGTATTTGGTCTAATGACACAGCGACGGCGTAATCTTATATTGTACGGCATTGTGCACTGGGCCCTGTGGTATGGTGTTTTTGCGTGCATTTCCCGTGTCTGTCACATTCCCCAGACCATTCCTCCCTGCGGAAGTGAAAGAGTCGCACAGAAATGTAGTCTCACATCGCCCTCCTGAAGTATGCCGATCGCCATATCAAATATCCCGTGTCTTTACATCGGGGAATTGCTTGATTTCTGCCATTGTCGTGGCTTGCAGCCGTTCAATGCGTGGCTTCATACAAAGTCCACCACTCTACTCCAAGCTCCCTCCTCGCCCGCGCGCCTAAACTCCACGCCTTCGCCAAAGTATCCAGCACCCTGCCACGCGACCATTGTCGGCCCATCATATGGTCCCTGCTTGGCAGCTCCATCGCGGCCATCGATCCACCGATACTCCCACATCTTCGCTGGTCTGGCCCCACTCGGTTCTTCAGTATCTTCCGATGACGGCTCAACCCACGCGTCCCCTGTCTCTCGACCGTACTGTCGAATGAGCATCTCGCGTTCCTGTTCGTAGATGTCTGTTTGACCACGTGTAAGAAGTTGGTCTGCGGCTCCCGTGATGGCGTTTATAGAATCCCTGATCTTTACTTGAGCAGGGTCTTCAGCAGGCTTCTCCGCGTCGACGTCCATTCCATCATCGCCCTGCTTCTGCTTCTTGAGCTTCCACTTGGGAATCTTCTTGACCTTCGTTTGGCCCTTTCCTAACCTAGCCAGCGCCTCCAACACTGACTCGCCCTTCTCTAGCTGTAAAATAAGCGTCCGTAGTATGTCGGAGGTGAGCATAGCATCGTCGTCTAGTCGCTGCTGCCGCCTCTCTGCCTCGCGTTTCTCGTGCGCCTCGGCAGCCCGCTTCATATCCTTCTTGCTCACTCCCTCCAGCCACGTATCATGAGCCGCGTCTGGGTCCCCAGCTTTCCTCACGTAGTTCCCAGCCGCATCGAAGCGACCCTCCTCTTGTTCTGCTTTCATATTAAATGCGTCTACCCTGGGAGCGTTCCTCTTGAGGCCACCCGCACCCACCTCCTCGTCCACGCCCTCTTCTTCGGCAGCCAGAGCCGCATCGTCCTCGTCGTCGCTGCTCTCCCGGTCATCCATCGCATGTGTTGATAGCTTTCCTTTTGGGTCCAAAGCGAAATTGCCGGATATATGACCTCCACTCTTGCTCGCGTCCACCTGGCCCTCAATCTCGTCCTCCTCCAAGAACCGCACGCCCTTGGATTTCCTCACGTTATCCCCCCCCTCCGCACCTTCCTCGCCGGCTTCATCCTCCTCTCCGCCGAACATGTCATCATCCTCGTCATCCTCGTCCTTTGTATGTGCGCCTGCTCTCGAGCTTCCGTTTTTTTCGTAGCTGTCTAGCTGTTCGAATAGATTGACGTCGCCACCTTTGCCCCTCCCGCGCTCCTCCGCACGCGCATCGAAGCCCTCGTTTTCTGAGTCGCTGTCGTAGCCATCGATGTTAACAGCATTGCGCTTCGTATGCGCGCCTCCACCAAGAACATCAGCGTCCAACACGGCATCGTCCTCGGGCGCATCAGGTGCTAATGCGGAGGGGTTGCGCAGATCGAATTTAGGCTTCTTTGGGGAAGGGCCGTCGGCGGTCTGTGGCTGCTGGAAGCGAGTGTATTCTTCGCCAGCGCGCTTTGGGCGCGCAGCATTAAATCGACTGGAGGACATTGGGATATACTGGTAGGTCGAGGTTGAGGCACTGGAGATTGTGCTGTGGTCGTGGCCTTCGCTGTGTTGGGGTTTTGACTTTCGCCTCCTCCGAGCTACTACCTTGGAGCCGAAAGCTTAAATTCTTTAGGCCCAAAAGTTGCGAAACGTCATCCCGCTGTACCTCTGTAGCCTACGACACATCAAGTCACCCATTGCTTGCCATTATCTTCTCTGGGATTCACCATCACGCCGTCTTTGAATCCACATTCTCTTATATTCACTTTCGGGACACGTACAGCTTATATAATACTGAATCTACTCTCTACGACCTTCTACGATGGTAAGCTTCTTCAGTCACCCCACCCCGCAGCTCCGATTCTTCGCCGCTGGAGTCGACTGACATCCACAGTTCAACCCCGACTTCTTCGACGCCAACGACCCGGCGCAGATGTACAACATGCTCCAGTCCGGAGCTATGCGTGGAGCGCCCGCGCGGCGCTTCGATGAGTACTATCGCTGCTATCCTACCGTCATGATGTCCGGGCCAAATCGCGACTACCTGAACTACGGAGGGAAGATAATTATGCCACCATCGGCACTGGACAAACTCACGAGGTTGCATATTACATATCCGATGCTGTTCGAGCTCATCAACAAGCCGAAGAAGGCACAAACACATGCCGGAGTGCTGGAGTTCGTGGCGGAGGAGGGGAAAGTGTATCTACCACAATGGGTGAGCATCCCACCCCCACTACCATCTCCCCAGTCGCCTTACTGACCCCAATAGATGATGAACACGCTACACCTCGAAGTCGGAGACCTAATCCAGATCAAATCCACAAACCTCGCAGACGCCAAGCTCGTCAAGTTACAACCGCAATCCCCCACCTTCCTCGACATCAGCGACCCCAAAGCCGTCCTCGAGAACGCCTTCCGAAACTTCTCCACCCTCACCAAGGGCGACATCTTCAGCTTCCACTACAACGACACTGTCTACGACGTCGCCGTCCTAGAAGTCAAGCCCGAGAGCGACAAGATGGGCGTCAGCATGATCGAAACAGACGTCGAAGTCGACTTTGCCGCACCAGTCGGCTACGTCGAGCCCGAGCGGACAAAGGGCAGCGGCACCAGCACACCCCGCAGCACCAAGGGTGGCGTACCCGCCGGTGGCCTCCTCCACAACCAAGGCACAATGGCGCAGTCCATAAACTACGACGCCATCTCACCCAACTCCACCGCCGCCACATCAGGCGCCAAAGCGGTGTCCTCCAACTTCCTCCTCGGCGGACAGAAGCTGAATGCGAAGAAGGGTGGCAAAGCACCGACACCAAAACCATCAACACCAGTCGCGGGCGCATCGACGAACGCCCCCGAGGCCGCAGCCGCGATCGCGAGGTCGAGTGGCCCCCAACCTCTCCGCCTGCCGCCTAATAAGCTCTTCTTCGGATACGACATCAAGCCGCTAAAGACAGAGGAGGATCGCGAAAAGGAGAACGCAGACGCCATGCAACCCGCGTTCGCAGGGCAGGGACAAACGCTCCGCGGAGGCGTGAAGCGGAAGGGCGACAACACAGAGGAGGCGAGCAAGGAGGAGGCACCCAAGAAACCGGAGCCGAGCGTGGGGCGGAGGCTGGACGGGAGGAAACCTTAGGATTGAGTCCCCGGTGGGTGGGATTTGGAGATTTTCAAGTGGCGGGATTTGCTTTTGCGGGATAGGGATAGGGGTCAGGGATTGAGGTGTTGGGATGGGGAGGGATTGACGGACGGGCATATGGCTGGTTTGGGAGTGATGATTGGGTTGTCTTTTTTAGTTGGGCAGGAAATACCAATCTTGTTATACATCATCCTTGGCTTGGTTGGTTGGTCTCGTCGAGGCTATTATCGTCATCTTGCTTGCTTGCTTGCTTGCTTGGTTTTAGCGAAGGAGTGTGTGTATGCTGGCGTATTATGCTAGTCAGCTCAACCAGGTAGTTGGAGCATCAAATCTCCGGCTTTTCGGAAACTATCATCATCATCAGTCTAGTAATATATCGAACTATGTCACAAGCTTGTTATAGATCCATAACATTCGCCTACTCTCGCCTACCCTCGCCAACTTTGACAAATCTAAACCCGAAATTACTCAACTCCCCACCCTCACCTCACTCAGCCCAGTTAGTCGTCGAGTCGTCCCCCCTTCAAGCCTCAAGATCTCCAATCCCACCAAACCACCCTAGCCCCCCTACCCCCCACCCCACCCCGGAACAACCTTCCGCCCGCCGCGCCTGAGACCTTCGCCTCAACCCCTGCAACTTTACAACATGCACGCACCACCACCACCCATCCCAACTCCACCCATACATCCACCCACCCACAAAAACCATCCACCACAACATCCACACAACCCGCCCCGCCCCAACCGCCCGGCCCCTTCCCCGCTCCCCGACCCTGCTGCATCGGGAGGACACACCGCACTGAACGGATGCGCGCAGGTGTGGTGGTACACATATATGGGAGGTGATGGAGGGGGTTATGGTGGGCGGGACGGTGCGGCGGTGGCGGTGGTTTTGTGCGACGGGTAGGTGTGGGATTGGGAGAGCGGTGTGGCAGTGGAGGTGGTGGTGGTAGTGGGATGGGATGGGATGGTGGTGAGGCGGATTTTATAGAAAAATGAATGCAAGATAATACTTTGGGTTTGTATGATACGATTAATCACAGGAGCTTGAGAGTGAAAGTGGACGTAGGTTTGATGTACTGTATCTCCATTGAACGCGCGTGCTGATCTATACCATCCCATCCTCCTCTGGCCGTGTATACCGATCTGTTTCTCATCCACCATCATCATCATTTAGTAGTATATCTATTTCCCAGGCCTGGTATATTAACTCCCCCCATCCATCCATCCATAAACACCACCCTGAGTGTATGGCCATTCATTATACCTCATATCTCCAATCGTAAAAACGTAGAAAGCAAAAAAGAGACAGAAACGAAAAGGGAGAACAGACACTAGTTGTAAAAATCAAATATAAACTCCATTCTCAGCTTTTTTTCTTCGTCTGGCAGTAACTCCTAGCCACTTCTCAGAGAGCAACCATCACTGGGAAGTGGGTGAAAATCGAGGGTCCGTAATAACGAAAGGCATCATGCCAAACCGTGAAATGAAACCGATCAGACGTAAAGACTAGACCTAGACCTCGTTAGTTCTCATCATTCTCATACACTCAAACGTAGTGGAGACGAAAAAACAACTTACTCCTCATCCAAGTCCACAAACTCCTCCTCGCCGCTCAGAGACTCCATCTTGAACTGAGCCGCAGTCTGGCCTCCGAACGCAATGCCATTGATCTCCTTGAAGCCGCCATTCTCCTGATCCTCCTTGACTACGTCGCGCTTCCTCTTCTTGCTCGGCGTGGCAAAGTCCTCAGCCTCCTCGTCATCGACATTGTTGTCCAACTGCTTGGGCTTGCGCGAGGCGGGGGTTTTGGGCGTCTTTGGGGTTCTGGGCGTGCTGGGGACGCTGCCATTGGCGCCGGTGTTGGAGGCTTTGCGGAGCTTTTGGAAGTGCTGGCTGGGAGGTGTTAGTTGGTTGTAATGTGGATTGCGGGATAATAAATTCGGGGACTATGTGCAGGGTAAAAAGGTTTAGACGTAGTGAGGCTGATAACTGTGGGGACTTTGCGTGGAGAGAGGTGGGAAGAGAGCTGCGTGGGGCTGGAGAGATCAAACGCGAAGAGAGAACAGTGATAAATCAGACAGTTTCCATAAAACAGAACTGCTGGGGAGAAAACACGAAGAGGGGACAGCGATAAATCAGAGAGTTTCCATAAAACAGAACTGCTGATTTTAATTTGCATAAAAGAAAGGTAGGCTGCTGATGAAGATAGTGCTATGGTAAAAGTCGGTCTCAGATCGAACTACAGCGCTGATAGACGTGCAGTTATAGTGAAACCACATATAAAAGTGGTGAAATTATGCTGAAGACAGATGAAGGAACGACAAAATAACATACCGACAGCCTTCATGAGAGAAGGAGTAGTTCTCGTTCTTGGTGGCCATCTTGGCAGCGATAACGCGCCAGTCCAGACCCTGGAGCTTGTTCTCGTCGATGATGGCGAGCAGGAGGTCGCGGTCAGCTTCAGGAGTCCATGGAGAAGGCATGGTGATGATGATTGTGAATTAGTTTGCAGTGGTTGTTTGTGAGTGAGAGTAATGCAGCGAGGCAAATTGCAGGTGCTTTGAGGTTTGAGGGAGTAGATGTAGGTGGAAGGTTGCAGTTGTGGTTGTGGTTGATGGAGGGGCTGGTTGTAGGGTGTGAGGCGGGGTGATAAAGAAGAACGCGGAGGCTGGTAAAGTGCGAAGGGAGGACGGTGGCAGTGGCAGGCAGTATCTGGGACGAACGAAAGATACTTGGTAAAGTGCGTGCAGATGTGAAGGGACGCGTCGCGGGGGGATGGAGGAGGGGAGGATGGCAAGGGATAGATGACGAGCAAAGAGCGGTAGGAGATGCCTTGTATGGGGAGAATACATCAACTTACTCGATATACTTACTACACTACAGGTCTAGTTTCTACTAAGTTGCAGCAGAGTGTCTCACCAGTCGCTATCAAGCAGATGCAAAAGTGATATTAACAAGGAAGCTATCTCCTGAAAAGCCTCTGACCGCCGGCCACTGAGCCAATGGCGGTGAGGACATGTTTGGGGGATGATGGGATGCTTCTCTCGCGGGGCGTCGTTGAGCGCCCTGGTCGGCGTCAACAATGCGCCAGTGGTGAGTCAGTGTGGCTGATCGACGAGGATGCCTGTAGGATGCCTGTAGGCTCCTTCTAGGTGGTTGCAGGGCTGCTTCCAGGTGGTTGAAAGGTGAGAGGTGCAAAGATGGGCGCAAGATATGATATGAGGGGATTGGACAATGGACGAAGAGGATGGGTGGACGACGACGGCCCTTATGCAGGCACTGATACACTGACTAATGCAGGAAGATGCAGGAGGATTGTATCTGTAGTACAGTCTTCCCCCGCATGGTTGTCGGTATGTGGCATAGTCTGGATAGTATGCATACTATCCAGACTATTCGCATGTCGATTCCCGTAGATTTGCCCCCAGTTTGTACAGGAACATGGTCTTTCCGTGGTGATGGTTCGTGGTGGTTCGCTGTGGTTCGTGATGATGTTGTACGTGCCCCGCTGCTGCCTGATGTCTACCTGATTTGTTTTGGTTTCTTCCCTGCAAGACCGTAACAAGAGGCGCATATGATCCATGCATTTGGGTTCTATTCTCCGAAATAATAGCAGGGCGAGAACGAACTAGGTAATACCTGCATAGTGTGTCCAGTAATGTATGGTATCTGATAGTAGTGTGATAGTATTTTCCCGGCATTTCCTGCGCCGACCCGGCGAGCTGGGTTGTTACTCCTCTCTGTCCAGGGGGAACGTCGTCCCAGCCACCGGGAACGGGGCGGGATATCCGGCTGAACTATATTACACCGCACTATAGCACTATAGCACCCTTGTTTACAGTAACAGTACTATAATACCTCGTATGTAAAATGCCTGTAAGATGCCTGTAAAATGCGGCCATCACTTTGTTTCGCCAAGCTGGGGACGCCATGAAATGTGATAGCTATGTGATAGCTATGAGACAGCTATCTTTGCGCATTAAATTCGGGAGATTAACTAGATAATCAAGGCTGCATAACACATTCCCACACAACATATTATATAGCCATCGTAAATATAGCTCGCCCGGAGAAATACAGCCTCACCTCAGTCGGAGAAGAGAGGAGAAAGGGAGAAAAGGGGGAAACAAAATCATGGGGCTGGGGAGAAAACATCTCCAAGCGATAGGCGAAGGGACATGCACGTATGGATGGAGTACTTGTCTAACCCCGGCAGTCCCTGCCACTAGCCATGTAACTACCACTACCAGCGGCACTAACACACACCCATGTCGCTTAGCGCGCTTGTCAATCTGCGCAATCAATCCCCATCCATCTCTCCCATCCATGTACTCTCCCTCCACCTCCTCCCACCTCGCTCCTTCCATCTCCATGCTCCATATCCATGCCTCATATCCATACCTCATATCCATGCCCCATATCCATATCCATATCTCATATCCATACCTCATATCCCTCCCCCCATCTCCCTCTCTACCAAACGAACACCTATCACCGCCACCATCAATCGCCGAAACCATCTCCACTCCCTTACCACTTACATTCAAACCCCCACCATTCCTCGCTATGGACATATCCCTCACTCCCTCCCTCCATCCTCACCTCCCCTCCCCCTTTCCTCCTCCTCCACCCTGCCAAACCCCGTCCTTTCACCCCACGCCAAACCCTTCTGCAACCATCCGATGCTCCTCACCCCCCATTCGCTAATCTTCATTCATGCATCGCTCCGCTCCCTAGCCCCTCTGCTTCGATCCCGGGACGTCCCCGCGGGACCCCTTCCCTCTCTTCCCTCCACCAAACCCCCTGGCGAACCCTGCCGATCTCCGCCCGCCCCATGCCGCCCAGCTAGACATGCCATCGTGAACGAGAGACAGATCCCCCACCCGATCCCCCCACCATGCTTGCCCTGCGCCGTGCCAGCAAACCCGACCCACGCTCTCCCTTTCACCATCTTTCACATATCAACAGCAGCCTCCTCCCATCCTGTCGTGACCCTCCCCCACTCATGGACATTCTCACTTTGCTGAACTTTCTTCCTCAAAATCTGCACCACCTGAACATCCCGCCCACCGCCGCAGAACTTACACCGCATACGCTCGATCGACACTTTACGCTACAAACCAACCCCACCACCCCTTGCGTCCAACCCCAAATCCATCACCCTGGCATCCCTACGACGTTCCACCATGCCGAGTGAGGCACAGATGGCGAAGTTCATGTACTACATCGTCAAGCAGCTCGATGTGCGGAGTGTAAGTTTTTCCCCTCACCCCACTCCAAAAAAAAGACAGACACTAACACATCACCAGGTCGACTGGAACCTCGTCGCGAGCGACATGGAAATCACCAACGGCCACGCGGCCCGCATGCGCTTCGCCCGCTTCAAGAACCAGATGGAAGGCACAGTCCCCAAAGCCCGCGCGCCCCGCGACAAATCCCGCGCCCCAAAAGCCAAGCGCGTCAAGACCAAGGACGAGAAGAAGGAGGAGGACGGCGGCGAGAAGGCCTTGCTGAAATTGAAACTTGAAGAGGGTGCCGCCGCCGATTCGGCTCCTGCCTCAGGGGAGCCCGCGGAACAAGCTCTGGCCAGGTCGCCGGCAGTCAAGCCAGAGCCAGCGGACGACGTCGTGCTCGGGGATGCGGATGCGCCAGGTGAGGCGGTCAACGAGAGCGAACTCCCAAAACAAACCACGCACATGTCTCACACACCCTCTCACTCGCCGCCGAACTCGACCAACCCGACGCCATCACATTCCCTCGCAACTCCCACGCACCTCCACGGATCGCCCTACCACCACCTCTTACCAGAGCCACGTCGGTCCTCTGTCAACTACTCGCCCGCCTCCAGCTACACCTTCTCCCCGCACGAGATAATGTCCTCCCAGGGCAGCATGTTCATGCAGTCCATGGAGGGTGTGGGGTCGCAGGATATGGGGATGGCGCCGACAGCCGCATTTTATGATCCATTCCTGTATGTGTTGCCTCAGTCACATCAGCAGCAGCAGCAGCAGACGCTGGTGGATGCGCAGGGGAGACTGGTGAAGGGCGAGCTTCAGTGGGATACGTCGTTTTGTTGATGGGTGTACTGAGCGAGATGAATAATGAATCGGCGGGCGGGATTAATAAAATCCTGACGTTAGCAACGTCAGATGGGATGGGTGGGTAATATGGGTTCGTGGTGGAGTTTTTGCATCGGGTGACGAAGGTGGTCATTTTCATGTGAGCTTGTAGGTTTTTTGTGTGTGTTTTGAGTTTTTTTGTAATCACGGATACCATAGCATAGATCGTTTTGGATTTGGAAATAATGATGGGAATTAGATTAGATGGATGGAAGGGAGCTAGAGTCGCTGATAACATCGTCCCGGTGAGGTTGGCAATTGTTTGTGGCAAGAGACAGACGACATAAATCACATCGCTGAATTTGTTCAATTGCACGCCGAAGGTTGGTTTGTAGATGCTTAACTTTGGTTTCAAGTTCCGTGATTTGGGGATCGCGAGTCATTGTTGTGATGATTTGAAAAGGCTTCTACGAAGGTCGAGGTTCGTTGACAGAAGTAGACAAACATTATCTTTCGAGCTAATTCTAATTAGTATGACTTTATTTCATGAAATAAAGTCATACCAATTAGAATTAGCTCTAAAATAACAGGGGCAGAGGTAGCTGGGCAACGAATAATGCTCCTCGGTCACACTTGTTAGTTGAGGACCAACGACGGCATGATGTAGGTTTCAGCCAGAATTAATCTTGTCGCCTTAGTAGGGCAGTTCTACTGTCTGGAGAAAGCTCTCTGAAGAAACCCTGTCTGAATAAGAAAGTAATCAATGTAATATTTGTCTTACGAGATGTGCTCAAACAAGCAATGTGCTCCAGGATTTGGAAATTGGATATGTTGCTGCTCTTATTTCTCGGGGGTTGATATGAAAATAGTAATCCGCACTTCGAGATGTGTTCTCATTTTAGCTCAGATAGTGAAAGAAATGAAGACCAAACCCACAAGGTGGTTTATAAAACAGAATGCTAGATGACGACAATTCTTTTCTGCTTCCATTTCGTAAAATTTGCCTTTGCAGGATAAATAAGCATTAAGAAATTTAGAGTTATATTACTGGTGAATTTAAAATATAATTTAGAAAACTGTTGTCTTCGGGCCCGAATAGTCCTCAAAATAACACAGAACAAACAACACAGCACCGGAAGACTCGAAAGGCTTCTCCAGAATATATCGGATACTGATCTGGAAAGAACTGCCATTGTCTACCAATCAACCGTCTTCTTTCGATTTCTATAATATCAACCATACAAACACAGACCGAGTGCTCTGGACTTCCCGAGTCCAAACCATACAAATTGCAGGAGAAGCTGCAGGAGAAACATCTATTTTCTGACCGCCCTTCTACCGCAACTCTTCGCTTCGAGGCCTATAAATTCTACCTTCCACCCACAACCGTTTTCAAACATTCCATCCACAATACACCTCACAAACATCAATCCACTTGCTCCTGCTTTGGCCTTTTGTCATTGCAAGGCCTTTATAATTTGCAAATCAAACCATTCAATACAAAAAGTAAGTTGCATTCCCATATTCTCACTTCGAGCAATGAGCCTCAGCCAGTCTGGTTCATATGAACCACACTTGGTTGAATTCCACCTCTGAGTTATACTTGGACTTTCTTCAAAGACAGGCTAGTGATTACTTCTACATCTATCAAAGATATCTGCTTGAGCATATACAAGTGGAACATCAAGTTGGCGGCCATCACTTCACAACTGCAACAATCATAGTCTCACATTTTCACCTCGAACCTTGCTCACCAAACAACCTACTCTACAAAACATATCATTTCACATTCCAGACTGCTAACTATTTCAAAAGTCTCATCATCCACCACAATTAAAACCAGCTCAACAGTCAGCTTCGATCTTTGCATCCAACCATCAAGATGTCTGGACAACCACCATCCTCTCCGGCCCAGCCTGGCGCCACTCGCGTCCCAACTCCACTGGAGTGCAACTTCCTCGTGGCCATTGTCAAGAACAGTGATGGAGTCACCAACGTAAGCTTTCTTCCATACAGTCATCGGCTTTGTTTTGATTTCTCTGTCACTCCTCGGGACACTCTATTGTGAATTATCATAAATTCACCCACACCAACAACGGCCCGAAAACTCCTCATTTTCCTGGCATTATCTCTCCTCTTCTTGAAATCACAAACACAATTTTTCAGTCTTCCTAACAACCCCACAGATCGACTGGGACGCCGTGGCCAGCGAGGCCGGCTACAACAACGCCGCCACAGCCCGTGTCCGCTTCGGCCAGGTCAAGAAAGCCCTCGGCTGGACAGTCCGCGTCGTCGGCTCCAAGGGCAGCCCAATCAAAAGCCCCACCAAGGTCGAGAAGAAGCCTGCCAAGCCCAGGGCGGCCCGCAAGCCAAAGGCCTTGACGAAGAAGCAGCAGGAGGCCTTGGCTGCGGCTGTGGATGATGACTCCAATGACAATGAGCAGGAGGATGCTGATGTCTACAAGGAGGAGGATGATGCCAATGGCCACAAGAAGGAGTTTGGCAATGGCTACAAGCAGGAGCATGACGAGGTTGTCAAGACCGAAGACGTCGATGAGGATGCCGATACGGCGGTCGAGGAGGAGGAGTACGCCTCCGCTGACGACTATGCCTGAAGGCTTGCGGGAATCTGATTTACTATCCAGAGCCTGGGAGAACAGTTGATGCTTCACACCCATCTGATTGTTTTCGCCGCGACGCTGGGGTTTCGGTGCATTTGATTGCAATTTCTGCATATTTTGTAAGTTTTCTATTTCCACATCTCCTGGACTGGATTCTATCGAGCATACACTAACGCGGAAACCACTGCAGATTTCCAGGTTTACACATTCACGGTGAATCTGAAGGCGGGTCCGGAAACCTGCATATATCACAACAACATCGTACTGGGTGGATGGGCGCATTGCGAATGTTTCTTTTCGATCTGATTATATACTCTGCGGTATGACATGGATAGGATGGGGTGAGAAGGGATGGGCGCATGGCAGTCTTTAAGATAGGAATGAAACCGCGTTTTTCGATAACTGCAGTGATGCCTTCACCTGTGACGAGACCAAAATCCGTATTTAGTATTTTGCCTCATTTGAAACACCGCAGATTTTGTGTGAGGAGGGCCGGAATGCTTGAAACGAAAGAATGCTCTTGGTGTAGAACTCGGCATTATATAAAATGAGAGTGACGAACTCATCGAGTCTTGTATTTACAAAGCAAGGCACTGGAAGACTCGAATAGTTTGTAAATGGCCATGAATGGGGTTTCCTCTGGTGCATGTTCCTGGAGAAAGAAATTGTCAAAACATGTTTTTATATCACAATTACGACTTGTCAACGGTCTCTGTGGCCACCCCGCACTGCCCCAGCCTACTATTTCTATTTCCGCTGACTTTGGATACCGAAGGTGAGCACTGGGACGTCTGAATAATCATGCTGTCTGTGATAATACTGCGGCTGTGGTTTAGTCTCTGGCCTTGCACAAGGCAACGAAAGTAGATGGTTGGCGGTCAGAAACATTGTCTCGAAAGAATGCAGAGTTGCAGGGGACTGAGTCAACCTGCCCCTCGTATATAGAGCAATAAGTGACTGTGGAATACCCTTATTTATAATTTTAAAGGGGAGATGGGATAGCACAGTGTCAAATGGAACGAACTAGCCACATCAAGTGCGGAATTTGGGATCTGTAGTGAAGTGGCACATGAAGCATGGTTTGTAAAAGAAAGGTGAGTGGACACCAGTGGCCAGGTTGGAAACATATGAGAATGATATGGATCTTCTCTTTGGGCGAATCAAAGAGAATGGTCTTAATAACAGGAAAGTAAAAGTGAACCTTTGATTATCTAAGGAAGACGTAAATGAACCGGAATATTCCTATACAAATCTATGAAAGACTGAAGCCGCTCGAAGCACTGAGTGCAGCCGCAAAATCCCCGGTTGCCTCGGAGCCTCCAGATATAAATACCCAGGTTGGCTTCTTACTGACCTTAATTCTTTCATCACCAACAACACCAAGCAAAAACACAACAATCAGTGGCTCCACCACACTTGCTCTTGTTCAATCACTCCGAAAAGGAAACATAAGCTCCAGGTATGTGCAAGACCCAAAAGAAGCTGGTGGCAACCATTCGATTTGGACCTCGACTCACTTGCTTTCTTCAACCTCACCTGAAACTATACTAAAACAGCCACAGCTTGACTTCACCATTCCTCAGAAACAGGAACATCGCCAAGATGCCATCCAAGGTACGCAACATCATGAACGAAACCCCCAACGGCAATGACTGACCTGAACCAGAAGCTTGACACTGTTGCTGAAGGTGTTGCTGACACCGCCGGTTCCGGCATGCGCGCCGATGATGTCCTGTTCTTGATCGATTGCCTCCATAACAATACGGGTGGCCAAGTCCAGGTAAGCAGCCTTGAAACTCCTTTATCTAAACACCGAGCTTGTCATATCGAGTGCTGTGTTGAGACTGAACACTCACCACACCTATCATATACTAACATTTCACTCAGATCGATTGCAGCGCGGTTGCCAAGAAGCGCAACATGGCCAACCCCAGGTCCGTTGCAAACCGCATCGCTATCATGAAGAAGAAGTACGGCTTGCCCCTCGCCGCCAGCACAGCCAAAGTTGCTGCTAAAACCAGCGATGTCGTCGACGGCAACAACGATCTCGCCATTGGCACCCAAGCTTCCCCTGTCAAGCGTACCGCCAAGAAGAACGCAGCTCGCAAAGCCCAATACAAGATTGCCAAGCGTGAGGAAACCCGCGCCCAGAGTCTTTCCGACAACAATGTCGACAAGGACCATCAGTCGGCCATGGACACCGATGAAATGGAGAAGGTGGTCTTTGGGAACCCCGATGATGATGAGGAGAATGATGACCACCAAGATGGCATGGAAGCTATGGTCAACGGCAACCACGACATTGTCTGATCTTTTCAATCGCCTCTTGGCCAGCGGCCTGGGCATTAACTTCCAACTTTCGAGTTAAGAGGCGGTTTCTATTTCTTTTGACGCAACATCACCCCCCCCCTCGCAAGGGCTGGACATATGGGAGACGAGCAGTTGCACTAGGCGGAGTTATATCAGATGGATATTCGATGCCTAATATTTTCCCTTCATAAATGGGATTTAATGAGATAAGATTTGATCTTCCAATCGTCTTGGTGCAATGATTGAACATAATTGTACTTGTGTTTCAAGAAGAGTCTTCAAAATAAGCCAAGGCCATGTAGGTTTGTGTAGATATGGAAAGGCTATGCTGGTCTCTGGCCTGATGGCGAACGCCAGTGAATGCCGGACATGTTTGGGATTCATTATCCGACCAAATGCAGTTTGCCAACCCAACCCGACCATAAATCTTACATAATGAATCATTTGAAGCCCCGAAGTAATAGCGGTGGCAGCTCAGTTCGTAATGGTGGTATACCTTCACTTTATAGTAATACCAAAAATGTTCAACATGGAAGGATAGATTGAAGCATCAACTCCGGGCCTTCTCAAAGTAGACGTGTGACGTTTCTACTGTGCGCCATGGTAACGACTTCATAATGCACCATTCCATATGCTGCATAATGACCTTTAATACACATCCAATGCACATGTCCGAAAGGAACTGGGTGAACGTTATGCCGCCGTCACGCTTGCCAGTTGAATGTTTGCCGGAATTATTGCATACAGTGCATCCGAGCTCGCACGAACCTCTTTTTGACTGATTGAGCATATTTCCAAAGCGTAATCGTAGGTGCAGTAGTTCACATATATTCACATTGGAGTTTGTTATTCCCGACGTTGTTGTAAGCTGATATATACAACAGTGGCATCTCAGACTTTGCTGCAAACTCCGTGTTCGTTTCCTGGCATTTGACCAAGTCGGTGCAGGTCCTGCTTTCATACTTAAAACCAAATATATCCGCCAAGCTCAGGCCAACTCTTCAGTGTGGAGCAACATATATTTTGGACTTCAAGCATCCACAAGCACTTTCTTCCTTCACATCAACACACCTGCTTCGGTCGTCAAATACTTTCTTCTGTCGCATCCATATACCTGCTTCTAACAACACTTGCTCGACAACACTTTCCAGAGCTCAGTTGCAAGTCATCCACGGATATCATCAAAATGCCACCAGCTACAAATGAAGAGCAGTTCCGCTTCCTCATCTCCTGTATCCGTTGGTCAAACAATGGCAAGGTATTAAACTCATTTGATTTTACTGGCAGCTCATTGCTGACTATTTCCACAGGTTGATTTCACAGAAGTTGCCAAAGAGTGCCAGGTGGTGAGCAAAGGTGCAGCGTAAGTCAATCTCCATTCCCAGTCTTCCGGCCATATTTGATGGTGACCTTGATAATTTTTACTTACGACCGGATGCAGCGCAAAGCGATATGAGCGTATGATGCGCGCTCATGGGATACACCCCAACGGAGGTCCCGGAAGGGCTCCAACTGCTCGCCAACCAAAGACAGAGCGCAATGCAGGACCATCCCCTACCAAGAAAGCAAAGGGAAAGGCCGCTGCGTTTGATGAGAGCATGAACGTTGACGACGACGAGGAGCCGGCGGGCAGCGACAACTTCAAGGCGGAGAACAGTCAGGATGAGGAGCTTCTCGTCATCAAGTCCGAGCAGTTCTACGAAGTCCCAGACCTCCAAGATGATTGAGGGGTTGGAAAGGTGATCGGCTGCCGAGTTGTGGCTCACAAAATTTCCCATCCATGCAAATGTTTCTATGATTTCATGGTTTGAGTTGAGGGGTGGGAAAGTTGACCGGGTGCCGAGTTGTGGCTCACAAAATTTCCCACCCAAAGCAAGTTTTTCTCTGATTTGATGGTTTGAGGCGGAACATACTTTTGCACATGAGGGGATGATATGTGTCTTTGTGAACTGCAGATAGTGACAGTTACAGATATTAATCAGACACTTCTGCTCTGTTTCCACAAAGTAAATATTCGTGGGGACTTAAAAGTGATAATTGCCATTCGTAGTTGCCGTGGATACCCACAAAGATATGCAGACTCTATTCTTGACCACGACCAACTTAGTCGCAGCTCAATTTTTGGGGCAGGGTGCGAGAAATTCCAACGCGAGAGTCTTTTGAGGTGCGAGAGTGTTTGTAAAGACAATAATGAATAATAGCGCCTCACTTTCTCAATTGCGTTCGCGAAGACTGGGACCACGAGGCGTCGTCTCAGTTAAGCGGCGACCCATCTGTAAACATTGTCTGCTTTCTTCAATGCTGCCACAATAGCAATTACACAGCAATTGCAACTGGTATCTAGAGTCCCTCTAGCGCTGCTCAATTAGGTACGTAGATCGAGTTCTTGTCATCACCAATCTTGCTGTCACTTCCTCTGTATTCTTGCTCTTGGTCTTGCTTCAGGCTCTGGGGCTGGCCTCGATCTGGTGTCCACTTCATCACTCTTCACCTTGCCTGCAACCACCAGTTCATTTAGCTTGCCCCTCTTCCTTCACATCCATTTCACCTTCACTCATAGCTGATCATAAAGGCCACTATTCGTATATGCTCTTCGCTAGATAAACATTCCACATCTAGGTGAGGTCCTGGGAGCTCCATTCGACATTGAGATTCCAATTCACCTGGCTTTCTTGACGACGTCGTGGATAACATAGCTAACTCTGATACCAGCTTTCAAGCTTATTGCCCTAGACCCCAACCAACAAGTCGTTTTATCGAGTACCGTAAACTCGAATCAATTGCCATGGCTCCAGTAAAAAAACCCAAGGTCGGGACCAAATCCGCCACTGGTTCCGAAGCAAAGAATACGATTGCTCGCCGCAGGAACTCAGCTGCGAAGGTGGCTGTTGGACGCCCTACTTCCAGATCGCCCCAAAAACGCCCCGCCAAAAGCAACGAAGATGATGGCGTTGGGGACGATGAACCTCCTTATGAGCCAAGCGATGATGAGATTGATGGCGATAGCACTGAAGGAAACTTTCATTCCAGTCCAGTTACTAAGGCCACAAAAGGTAAGAAGGGTCCAGTGAAGTCTGCCAAAAAGATGATCTATAAGAAACACCTTCGAAGAGACGCAACAAAATTTACGACTAGCCAGGCTATGGTCGATGCGGAGGAGGAGTTCGATCCTCGTGCTGCTGCGTATCGGGGGAAGGCGACCCAGAGTGGCGGAAACGGACGTAAGAAAGGTCGGAGGCTCATTCGCTGGACCGGTAAGACTCCCGCCCGAACCATGCAAGTGTATCCGAAGCTAACAAACCTCGCATTAGCCCAAACGGACCAGTTGTTGTTGCTTTGTCTCCACCATGAACTGGCCCGGAACAAGGAAGAACTTCCCTATGAGGCTATTGCTCAACGCATGTTCCCCGAAAAAAATGCCACAGGTGGCGCTATCAAGGAGCGATTCGCGAAGCTTCGCATCGAGTGCTTGAATAGGGGTTCGTGGGTGCCACCTATTCTTGGCAAGACCCCACAGAACACTCGACCAGACGTCCGAGGCGTTGTTCGTCTCGCACCAGGAATTGACAAGGGCCGATTCGTTCTTTGGAAAGAGGATGCATCCAAACTCATCGACCCCAAGGATATCAACAAGGGCCACGTCGATGCTCAAAAGAAGGGTCTTCAATACTCCGAACGTGTGTGGATCAGCCCGGGGGCAGAGAAGGAGTACCTGAAATCAACGCATGCCCATAAAGCGTTGAATCTTTCTCCCATTTCTGGTCCAGTTCCAATGGATGATGATGAGTTGCTCTCGGACGAGGATGAGGAGGAAGAGATGGAGGCAGTATCAGATGATGGTGCTGTCGTACCCTGCACGCCGAAAAAGCGCAAGGCTACTGTTATCAACGACTCTTCAAAGAAAAAGCCCAGACCAGTTGCTCGTCCAAGCCCAAAGAAGATTGCTGCCAAGGGGCGGGCGACGCAGGCCGATGAAAGCGAATATGAGGGCACCACAGCTGGCGCAGGTAGCAACAGGCTTTCACCAAAGAAGGAGCCTGGTGCTGGTCGATACAGGAGCCCTAGGGGTAGACCCAAGAGCTATGATATGACACCGCCTGACGAAGATTCGGATTCCGGCGCTACCAAAACGGCCGAGTCGAGTGATGAGAGCGAGGATGACGAGAGTCCCACCAACAACCGACTGATGATGATGGCATTTGAAAAAGACGAGGAGGTTAGACCCCTCAGGTCCATCGTTATTGTCCGTGGGTTTACTCCTGGTGCTCTCAGCAAGTTTCCGCCTGGCATCCAGGGCCCTGGGGACGATGACTATGCGGACGATGAGGTAGCTGAGGGTCCTGGCATCCAGGGCCCTGGGGACAATGATTATGCCGACGACCAGGTCGCTGAGGGTCCCACCGCCTCATACAATGGAAGCGAATCTGTAATCGATGCAGATGATGATAAAGCCGCTCTCCATTTTGAAGACAACCCAGATATTGAATTTGATGATAGCATACACGGAGTCGGACAAGATGGCTCGATGGACGAGCAAAATTTCAACCTCCAGGATCTTCTTGCTGCCATGAACCGGAACACGGACAACAACGGACAATTGATCAATAAAGATCTCTGGGAGATCCATGTGGAGCAAATGAATGCACTCAAGGGGGCCGGGATGCAAAATCCACCTCCTGCGCAGTCACGCCACCAGACTCAGATCCCTCAATATATACAGCACCAAACACAAAACCAGCTCACTCCTAATGGATTTGGCTCTTTCCCGGGCAACTTTGGAGGCCCTCAAGTCAGCTTTGGTGGTTCTAAAATCCGCTTTGGCGACATTGATTTTCAACCAATGCACTCAGATGGAATTCAGGGAAAGGCCGCTTATTACAACACCAAGAACTTCATTGAAAACGGCATGATCGATACAGCTCAATATGAAAAGATGAAAGGAATGGAATCCAACTCAAGTGGCCATATCAAACCAGACCCTGTTCCAGCAGGATTTTCGGGGTTTGACGCCACCATACCGCCAGTGCGAGACGATGAGTTCTTCTCACCTGACTACGTAGGAGGTGGTGAAGCCTCCTTAGATGGCGGCTTTGGGCCCTTGGGTCCATTGGAAGGTTACTTTTAGTACCAAGGCTGACTGCAACCTTACACGTAGTGAGTAGCATCCAGACAATTGGGGGCCAAACAACTCATCAGTGTGAGGTTCTTTACAACTCTGTTCTTTGAAGTTTCATCTCATGCCAAACAGAGCGCATGCTGATCTCATTATGGTCGCAAGGCGAAGCGGCAAGGAAACACGGACACTCGCATATATACCCATCAATTGCTTCACGAAGAAATGACACTTGTTTTTTATTTCCCCCAGCGACTCGCACGATGACGACGGCGAGAGAATTCGGTTTGTGAGCATGGATTGGGGGTATTCAGCAGCTCCTAGGGCTTTACTGAGATCACTACAATCACAGTTCACCTGCAGACTCAAGCGCCGCCTTGAAAGAGTTCTTGATTTTTTGATTGATGCGGCATTGTCAAACACGGGAGGCTCAGAGCAATGGTGGTAGGCCTCGGTGCAATGAGGATGATCTGAACTCGCAGTGGTTTAGGTAGACAGCCCACCCAAATCAAGACATATGATAAAAATGAGACGTGCAAACTATTACCTGACATGACACTATCATAAATCTCCTATAATGGCAGAGTGTGAATCTCTCATGGAAGGATGAACCCTTCACCAGGAGTGATACGGCAATGGAGAGCAAATCATGAGCACGACAGTAATCTGAATGTCTATGGTTGACTTCAACGTCTAATCCTAGCTTTGATGCAGTAGAAAATAGCAGCACACGCAGATTCTATTCTTCCTTGTCGCCACCGACGTGGTTGGATTGTTGCATGATGGCTGGAACCACAGAATAAGTAAAATGAGGAAGTTGAGGAAGTTGAGGAAGTTGACGAGAGTATAGCTGTATATACACAAACACCTACTATGGTCTCTCTGGTTCACCGTACCGACGGCAGTCGCTCTCCTGACAATCCCTGAAGTTCTGGGTGTCTCCTTCTATAGCTGCCACGCTATTCCCATAACACACTAGCGCCATTCTCGGTTCACGACGGAAGAAGCGACTGGAAACTTTCTCCAGATTCCCGAGTTTCTTCATAAACAACGGGATCGTCTTCTGCTCATCTTCCCTCCAAAGTCGAATCTTTAATATCCTTCAATTGTAATAATAGCGCCCTTGTGTCCCTTTTTCTTCATCCTCATCTCATAATGCAACGCGCATTAACACAAAGGGCTCGGGCTTCGGTCCTCTCGGCATCAGCTGTGTCGAAACTGCGTCCAGCTGCCAGTGTCAACACCCAGCAGCTTCGATTTGCACACAAGGTATGTCACGAAGCTATGGATCCCATGCGGACAAGTCTAATTCCATCCTAGGAGCTCAAGTTTGGTGTCGATGCCCGCGCATCCCTTTTGACCGGTGTTGAGACTTTGGCCAAGGCGGTTGCTACCACCCTCGGACCGAAGGGTCGCAATGTCCTGATCGAGTCGAGCTACGGATCTCCAAAGATTACCAAGGGTATGATATCTAACGGCCAAACATATCCCGAGCAGCTGCTAACGACAGGTAGATGGTGTCACCGTTGCCAGGGCCATCACCCTCCAGGACAAGTTCGAAAACCTCGGCGCCCGCCTGCTCCAAGACGTCGCGTCGAAGACCAACGAGACTGCTGGTGACGGAACCACATCTGCCACCGTTCTCGCAAGGGCAATCTTTTCCGAGACCGTCAAGAACGTTGCTGCTGGATGCAACCCAATGGATCTCCGTAGGGGAACACAAGCCGCCGTCGAGGCCGTCGTCGAGTACCTCCAGGCAAACAAGCGCGATGTCACCACTAGCGCCGAGATCGCACAGGTTGCTACTATCTCCGCCAACGGTGACCAGCACATTGGTGCCCTCATCGCCAGCGCAATGGAGAAGGTTGGCAAGGAGGGTGTCATCACCGTCAAGGAGGGCAAGACCATGGAGGACGAGCTGTCCGTTACCGAGGGTATGCGCTTCGACCGCGGTTTCGTCTCCCCATACTTCATCACCGACACCAAGGCCCAGAAGGTCGAGTTCGAGAAGCCATTGATCCTGCTCTCCGAGAAGAAGATCTCGGCCGTCCAGGACATCATCCCAGCCCTTGAGGCCTCCACCCAACTCCGCAGGCCCCTTGTCATCATCGCTGAGGACATTGACGGTGAGGCTCTCGCCGTCTGCATCCTCAACAAGCTCCGTGGCCAACTCCAGGTTGCCGCTGTCAAGGCCCCTGGTTTCGGAGACAACCGCAAGTCCATCCTCGGCGATATCGGTATCCTCACCAACTCCACCGTCTTCACCGATGAGCTTGACATCAAGCTCGAGAAGGCGACGGCTGACATGCTCGGCTCCACCGGTTCCATCACCATCACCAAGGAGGACACCATCATCCTCAACGGCGATGGCAGCAAGGATTCCATCAGCCAGCGCTGCGAGCAGATCCGCGGTGTCATTAACGACCCAACCACCACGGACTACGAGAAGGAGAAGCTGCAGGAACGCCTCGCCAAGCTCTCTGGCGGTGTTGCCGTCATCAAGGTCGGTGGTTCGTCTGAGGTCGAGGTCGGCGAGAAGAAGGACCGTTACGTCGACGCTCTGAATGCCACCCGCGCGGCTGTCGAGCTGGGCATCCTGCCAGGTGGCGGAACTGCGCTGCTCAAGGCTGCGGCCAACGCGCTCGGCAACGTCAAGCCCGCCAACTTCGACCAGCAGCTTGGTGTCTCGATCATTAAGAACGCCATCACCAAGCCAGCTCGCACCATTGTCGAGAACGCTGGTCTCGAGGGATCCGTCATCGTCGGCAAGCTCATGGATGAGTTCAAGGGCGAGTTCAACAAGGGCTTCAACTCCGCGACTGGGGAGTACGTCGATATGATTGAGGCTGGTATCTTGGATCCTTTCAAGGTTGTCCGCACTGGTCTGGTTGACGCCTCGGGAGTCGCATCTCTGCTCGGTACGACTGAGGTCGCCATCGTCGAGGGCGAGGACAAGTCTGGCGGCCCACCAATGGGCGGCATGGGTGGCGGCATGGGAGGCATGGGCGGCATGGGGTAAGTGACTCTGTCAATGTGATTAAAACTAAACTAACACATCTCTAGCGGAATGATGTAAGAGAAGGGCGGCAAGCAAACGAGAAAGAACCTGGGTCCGAACCCGTTGTAAAATACTATGTGTCATATTAGCGTTCGGGGATGTTTTGGTGTATAAAAGCAAGAGGGTGACTTTTGAAGCGCTTTGATCGACTCCACTCAACTAATCGATGGATGGGAAGACGGCGGGGCTTTGAAGGGGGTCGTGGATGGGGATGGGACGATGTGCGATGTGCATGTTGTATACTATGCGACGATAGGGAGAACCACCTTGTAAAGAAGAATAAAAACACTGTAACACTTCTAATATTTAGCATATCTCACTCACTTCACGAATGTCTCGTCCTGTGGCTTGTATTGTCATGTGACTTGTCCTGCATGTCTCATCTGAAACCTTCTCTGTGGAATCTAGAGGCTGATGCCTAATCTAGGCAGCTGAATTTGTGTACTGTGTTCGTAGACTACCTTCCAACAGTTTATCGAACAATATTCTCAATTCCTGACCTTAAAATTGGCTGCCTGCCCAGTTTTCCATCATGTTGTTATTTCGTGGCTGACGGGTAAGCGAGTTGGAGTCACGTGCATCACCCCACCAACATGTCGCAAGTAGTGTGTCGTTGACAACAACCCGCATCCCCCTCAATCCCTCACACAAACTTGCACATATCACGCTCGACGTTGGTTTTTATATCTCTTTACCTGCGGAACTGTAACGACGTCCTGCCTTCCTATTAATCCACCACACGATTACCCTTCTCTGTACGTCTCCCTCCCATATCAGAAATCCCTCACAATGCTATCGTCGTCATCACTCTCTTCCCCCCCTCCGAACGGATGCCTTGCACAGCACCAAGCTCCATGCTGACCCGGATTTATGTGACAGCCTCCCCAACCTTTGTTGTGCGTCCAATATAGAACAAAATGGTATGAGCTCCTTCGCGCAAGCAGCATGATCATAGATATGCTAATCTTCATCGCCATAGTCTCAATCAGGGTCAGTATAGTTCAGTTCCCCGCTTGTCACCGCCCCGCATTAGGCCGATTGGGTGTTCGACATTCAACAACAACAACAACAACACTTGCTACAACGGGATATGGGCCAGTGGCAGGTATAGCCTGGGAATCATCGCTGACATGACGTTTATGCAGTGTCCAAGTTTCGCAAGAATGCGTCAGCAAGTTCAACGAACTCAAGCTCGGCAAAACCATCAAATACATCATCTACAAGCTCTCTGATGACAACAAGGAGATCGTGGTCGAGGATACCTCTGAAGACGCTGACTGGGATGGCTTCCGCGAGAAGCTTATCAACGCCAAGTCCAAGACCAAGAGCGGTGCGCTGACCAAGGGCCCACGATACGCCGTGTACGACTTTGCCTACGACCTGTCGTCTGGCGAGGGTTCGAGAAGCAAGATTACCTTCATTGCATGGTCTCCTGATGATGCTGGAATCCAGGTAAGAGTTGAATGGCGTCTTGGATATGGTAACAGTGCTGACACCGACGCAGCCCAAGATGGTTTACGCCTCCTCCAAGGACGCCCTCAAGCGCTCCCTCAACGGCATCGCGGCCGAGTTCCAAGCCAACGATGAGGACGACATCGAGTACGCCAGCGTGCTCAACAAAGTCTCCAAGGGTCTCGCGTAAACTACACGACCAAGACAGGAAGAACATGAATCTGAGCCACGTGAGAATGGACAGGGTGGGAGGACTTGTCGCTAGTTAGATAGCTGTATGTTGCCCGCGCGCTCGATACCAGGAGCAGTTCGGATGGTAGATGTCAGACGACAGGTCGGCAGAGCAGAGGATGCAATTTCAACATGGTGTATATGACTTGATCTTAGTAGTCATACGTATTCTTTGAACACTTGATCTAGACGATGTTTTTTTATGCCTATGATGCACCACCCCTCGCCTCCCAAGCCTCTCGAAACAGCGCGGCTGCCCTTTCTCCCTCTCCAGCGTCTTTTACCCTCTGTGCCAGGAAACCCCTCAAGTCCGCCCAGAAAGCCTCCGTCCCAAATACCTCCCTTCCACTCTCCCCAACCGCCGCACTAGGCAACTGCTCTTCCGATTTTCCACGCGTCCCTGTTCCCACACTTGCCGCGCCTCCAATAACCATAATCCCGAACTCAATCTCGGTATCCTCCTCGCCAACCAGCTCCTCCACGACCTTGGCGTCGCCAACAGGCTTCCGCCGGTGCAAAATTTTGATTTTATCTACCGGTATATTTGCCTGCGCGGATACTTCGGCTTTCAGGTCAAGCACTGAGAGAAGGGGTGACTGCTGCTTGAGGGCGACTTCGATTGGAGGGTTGCGCGCAGAGCGTAAGGTGATTGTTAATGTGCGCTGGGTACCTGGGGCGAGCTTCCTGCGTTTGGGGAGGGTCTTGGGGAGTTTCGGGAGGATGTACTGCAGTTATTAGCAGGATGAGGTGAGTGTGGGGTTTGGGGACGTACAGCGCCGCGGGGTGGGTAGGACTTGGGGTCTTCAGCATGTGTTGGCGAGATCTTGGAGGGGCGGTTTGAGAGGGTCGTGAGGAACGATTCGGCGAAAGAAAGTTCGCTCATGTTTGCGGTTTCGGAGACAATGGTATATGGCGAGAGAATTCGAGATTCCAGAAGAAATAAGAAAATATAAGGGTTGAGAAGGGTCGAGGCGTAAGGTATGTGTGGGGGGGAAGCTTGGTGGCATTGTATTGATGAAGCTCCATGGTACGGCAGCCTCGGCGATGAGGCGCCGACGCTAGCGACTTATCGGGCGGACAAAATTCTGTTCGCCAAAAAATATTCTGAGGGACGAGATGATAACAAGGGAATTTCGCAATAACCTGCGAATTCTTAACTTCAAAACCCCACCCTCACAACAGCACCGAAGGTGCAATTAACCGTCACCATGGGGCCCTCCAGACGTATGCAGAAGCAGGGAATGCCCGACAAGTTGGACGAGGCGCATTTCACGAATCTGAAGAGGAAGGCTGGATTGAGCGTTACGGAGGCTCGCGATGAGAGCAAGCGGGTTAAGGTTTCTGGGAAGAAGGAGCAGGATCACAATATGACTAAGAAGGGAAGCCACTCCGATAAGCCGGCAAGGAAGACGAAGAAGACAACACAGGTGAAGAAGGGAAAGCCCGTTGTCAAGGCCATTTCGAAACCGGCACCCAAGGCGAAGAAGGGCCCAATGCCACTTCCGGGCAGCGATGATGATTTGGAGGGCGCTGATAGCGACGAATCGGATCTGTTGAATGACGAGTTCGATGACCTGAGCGGGGATGAGGCCGAGCTAGCCAATGCAGATGAGTTCATGGACTCGGGGTCAGAGGTCTACGACTCGGAGGAGGACCACAAGACGAGGGCAATGTTCTCGGAAGACGAGGATGAAAGCGATGCAGAGGAGAAGTTGACGGCGGCTAATATTGCGGGGTTGTCTCGGAAGTTGGACGAGCAGATGGCAGCAGAGGCAGCCGATGCGCAACAGGAATTGGAGGACGCCGCGATGCAGACAAACCTGGCCGGTGACAGACCCAAGGTCTTTTCGGACGATGAAGAGAGCGGAGACGAGGCCGCGGTGAAGAGCAAGGCTCTGCTTGCCCCAGATCTTCAATTGTTACGTTCGCGCATCAACGACACTGTTCGCGTTCTCGACGACTTTGCGAACCTATCCGAAGAAGGCCGATCGAGAGCAGAGTACACTGCGCAGTTACTGAAGGATGTTTGCGCATACTACGGCTACTCCGAGTTCCTGGCCGAGAAATTGTTCAACCTCTTCCCGCCCAAAGAGGCCTTTGCCTTCTTCGAGGCCAACGAGACGGCACGCCCGGTGGTCATCCGCACAAACAGCCTACGCACTCACCGCAGAGACCTCGCGCAAGCCCTGATCAACCGTGGAGTAACCCTCGAGCCTGTTGGAAAGTGGTCCAAGGTCGGCCTCCAAGTCTTCGAGTCTGCTGTGCCGCTCGGTGCCACACCCGAATACCTTGCTGGTCACTACATCCTCCAAGCTGCCTCCTCCTTCCTTCCTGTCATGGCACTCGCACCGCAAGAGCATGAGCGCATCCTCGATATGGCATCCGCTCCCGGTGGTAAGACGACTTATATCGCTGCCCTGATGAAGAACACTGGCTGCATCTTCGCCAACGATTCCAACAAAGCTCGTGCCAAAGGTCTCATTGGTAACATCCACCGCCTGGGTGTCAAGAATACGATTGTGTGCAACTACGACGCACGCGAATTCCCCAAGGTGATGGGCGGCTTTGACAGGGTCCTGCTCGATGCTCCCTGCTCCGGTACTGGTGTCATTGCCAAGGATCCGTCCGTCAAGACGAACAAGACCGAGCGCGATTTCCTGATGCTACCGCATCTCCAGAAGCAGCTCCTGCTCGCAGCAATCGACTCGGTGGACCATGCGTCCAAGACTGGAGGATTCATTGTGTACTCCACTTGTTCGGTGACTGTGGAGGAGAACGAGTCGGTGGTGCAGTACGCTTTGTCGAAGCGACCTAATGTGAGGCTCGTGGAGACTGGTCTGACGTTTGGCAAGGAGGGCTTTACGGCCTATATGGGCAAGAACTTTGACGCGAAGATGAAGATGACACGGAGATACTACCCGCACGCGTACAACGTGGACGGTTTCTTTGTCGCGAAGTTCAAGAAGTTCGCTCTCACTCCTGGCAAGGGGCTAGGCAATGCGGCACCTTCCAAGGAGCAGGCGGCCAAGAACGACGAGCTGGATGTTGACAAGCGTCCGATTGAGCTGATGGGCGATGAGGATAAGATGGAGTGGGATGATGAGGCGGATAAGGTTTTCATTGACAAGGCACAACGGGCACGCATGCGCCGGAAGGGCATTGATCCTAATGGGGCGGCCAAGAACGCAGAGCCTGTGGTGAGGGAGGAGAAGAAGAAGGTGAACAAGAGCAAGGAGAATGCGAAGAAGAATCTTGCCAAGAAGGCAGAGCTGGAGAAGAAGAAGACCGATGTGGAGATGGCCGATGCGTAGTGTGTCTCGATATGAGTGGAGTTCTAAGACTTGCATAATAGGAGTTTTGCTAGGATAGCCGGAATACTATTTCGAGAAATTGTTGATTGTTCTGTTCGCTGATGGAATTTGTGAATTCCTATGCTGATGTGCGCAAATGGGGATATAACTTCCAGGCTCCCCGTACTGCGTACATCCCTTGCTACGAAGCCATGTTTCCTCATAATTTGACACCGATGACGCCAACCCGCCTGAACGATATCCAAACGCCCCCCTAACTACACTCAAGCGTCAATAGTGGCATCAAATCTATCCCTGCTTCTCCCATCCCCTTTCTCTCCCTAATAAGCCTCTCCATCACATCACTTGTCCACTTACTCTCGAAATGCATCCCACCCAACTCAGTAAGTCTCTCCAAAATCCAGTCCCGATGGATCCCATCTTCTGTCTCGATGCCTGCCATAAACATCCCCCACACTTTCATCGCAAGTGTGCTCTTATCGCGGTTATAGTCCGTATATGCAATCTGCATGATGCTAGACACGGCCGTGCGATGAATTTTGGTAGGAGTTTGCTGTTTGCGAAGCGTTATACGGTGGAAGAGCACATCGGCCCAATAGACGCAGGCTGCAGAGCGGATCGTGGCGTAGACGCGTCGGTATTGACCTGCACCTGATAGCCGGGAAGTGAGGATGAGATCTTGGTATCGCTGTGAGAGATAAGCATATATTTGTGGACTGTGGCGATAATATCCTTACCTCGCCGAGTTCTATGAGCTCTTCGAACAAGCTCTCGGGAGTCTCCACACCATCCTTACCCGCATGTCTCGCAATGGCAAGCTGCCATATGCGCGACCGCATCAGCAGGCCATGGTGCAGAAACTCAAGTGGGCGATAGTTCTCCACGTCGTCCAGGATCGCATCTTCCGGGTATTCCTCGCCCCAGCAGTGGCGGCCTGAGATACGTGCTCTGCGGTATAGGCGTTCTAGTTTGGCGGAGGGGAGAGAGGACTGGGATATTTGGGAGAGGAGACTTTGAGATGAGAGGCCTTGGCCGCCGATGGCGTCGATATATCTACGCCAGTTAGAGCTGTATTATTGTTGGTGTGGGCACTTACGAGATCCATAATAGCAGCAGCGATGATAGTAGTGACAAATGCGAATCTCCCCCATTCTCTTCATCGTCTACTGTCGCCACCGTTCCGGATCCCTCCGAGTCCATTACTGACTTCTCATACGACGCATATAATGATCTTGCACCGTCCAGATGCAGACGGAGATGATGGCGCGAATAGCCGAACCTGACCTCATAGTCGACCATGAACAGTAAAGCTGCCAGGAGTCGCTCCAGTCTCTGTTTCGGGTCATCGGTATGCTCCTTGCCAAGAGCAGTCGATAGTTCTCGCACCGCCACGTTATAGTGATGTAGGCCAATATCTTCCGAGTCATCGCCGCCCTTCTTCAGGCGGTGCATTTCGCTGCCTGACGTGGCGAGGATCATGCGCATCACGATCGCGTCATTGGCAGCAGTGTATCGGTAGATGTAGGACAAGTTCGACCAGCGCCACGGCTTCAGGTATGCCGTTACCATCGTGCAGCTGGGAAAGTACTCGAAGCATCGTCGGTCGCGCGGTGAGAGGAGGAGAGAGTTTGCGCAGGGGATATGTTCGACGCTCAGGCTCGGCGAAATCGAAGGGGCGAAGTTTCGCATTGACGGAGTTGAGGAAGAATTGTCATCATGTAGCCAATTCAAGACCTGATTATTCGCAGAGACCTGAACCGTCGATGGTTCAGAGTCCGATCGCGATAGTGCATCATCTTGCGGTATGTCTTCCTTCGACTCTATCAGCCGAATGGACCTCTGCGCTTTGTCTCCCTTGGCTTTCGAGACAGTCCTTGGTTTCCGTGTCCGCGCCGTCCATTCACAGTCAAGTTCGAGAGATGTACAGCGTCGGCATTTCGGCCGCTGCTCGTCGCATTTGAGTTTCCTCTTCAAGCAAGTTCCGCATCCTTTGCAACGGTTAGATCGGAAGTCGCACGAGTTCGGGGACGTACCTGTCTTTGAGCGGGGAGCATTTCTCCCAAGCAAGGACCCTGTTGCGATCTGCACCATTAGCTGTGATTATGGACATGTAGCGAAACGGTATACGATTCGAAGATGAATAGATTGAGGTGAGAGATTGTTAATGCCATTGCTATCGCGATGTTGTGGTTTCTAGTGTGGAGTTCTAAATGCGGGGAACGATGCGGGGTGGAACTCCACATACTATCCGATCCGTTATTACCACGTCCTACTGTTATCTTTTATAACATACCTTCTATACTACCTACCTTACTCCTACTATAGTGCTATTATATCATCTACTATTACTCTTATAACTTTACCTCTACTATTTATAATTATTATAAGTATAATTACTTATAATCTAAGGTATTATACATCTAAGAAAGGGATAATCTAAAAACTAGATAATATAATTTATATGTAAGTTGTCTATATAAATAAGTTGCCTACTAAAACACTAATAAATTAACTATTACTATAACTACTACTATTAGTGTTTAGTATAGATTATAGATAACCTAACCCAATCTAGATTATAATCTAGATCTATTCTATTTATTATAATCTCAGTCGCGAGGTATGCCACGGGGGGTTTGGCGCCCTCCAAATTAGGCAACGCGCGTGCACTACACAGGCCTGCCGCCGCTTTCGAGTTCTATAAAAGGGCCACTCCCTCCCTCCGACTCTGTGCCTCTCTACCGTCGCTCCTCTCTCCTAGCATTCACGCGCCTGCTGCGCTCATCGTGCGACGCTTGGCCCCCTCCACCCCCTCCCAACTGCATGGCCCCGCCTAACGGATCGCCCTACTCAGCCTCGCCGCAGCTGAAAACCCGCAGTGTCACATGAACGGTTCGCAGAGCCACAACCTTGATTTACGCCCTCTAATGACTGCGCCTTCCATGTCACCGAGCTCTTCGCGATGGCAACGAGCCCTTTAAGTATCGACGTCCTGACCGTCGGATCGGTCAAGATGCGAGAACGAGCTGAGCTGGGTTCCGCTCGACCTGCCTAATCGACCACCCTAGGGACGCAAACATCATCACCTATCCCTCCGGCCACTCCGTCTACAACAATGACACTACACAGAGCACAGCCGCCATAGTATCGCAAATCCCTCTCCGCGCCGCCGACGCCTCCTTCGTCCTCGACCAGCTACGCAACACAACCGCCATGGTCTCGCTCCTCCCCCACCGTGGACCCCGCCCATTCCGCACCGACCGCGTCGCAATGCTAGGACACTCTCTAGGCGGCGTCTCCGCCGTCATCGCTGCCTCTCAAGACCCCCGCCTCCGCGGCGCTATTAATTGGGATGGCACGTTTCTCGAAATCCCGTCACCACTGCCACAGCCGGTGCTACTCATGAGCCACGGCATGGCTGATGCCAGCTGGCCGGCGGCGTGGCTGCTGCTAAAGGGGCCAAAGCTGTGGGTTGACGTCGCAAATACAACGCACGAGACTTTCTCGGACGTGCCTACGCTGTTGCAGGCGGCTGGGCCGGACAAGGCGGCGTTAGCGGTTCTGCTGGGCACGATTGACTTGGGCGAGATGGTGAGAATTTTGGTGGTGTATACGACTGCGTGGATGGAGGGGGTGTTTAGAGGTGAGGTAGGGGGGCTGCTGCTAGAAGGGCAGGAGCCGGGTAGGTTTCTAGAGGTCTTAATTGTGATGAAAGGGAACTTTTAAAATGATGAGAGACGTCGGGCGAGTTGGGTATGACTTGCAATCTTTAATGACCTGTGGGTGAGTTAGTTCAATGGCATAACGTCGCTCTCTTAGGGATGAAAAGAGCAAATAATCAGTGAATACGCGAAGTAATATGCTTTGCATACTAGTAAACAGCAATCAATCTAAATGTAGATATTACTTTGTTTTTGCTGCTACGATTTCGGAAACCGCGGTTGTTTCAGGGGATTACCATTTTCTAGGACGATACTTTACACTCTCACCATGATGACCAGCCCGACACAGATACTGACCTATTCTTCATATGCACGTAAAATATTACAACTAGCTTAGTGTATACCTTAAAAAATACACTAATCGAAGAACTCCCATACCGTCCGTTCCCACGCTAGATCATTGTTTAAAATCATTTCTGAATTACTCTGCGAAGAGACAAAGTCTAGAAACGACACGGAATTGGATGCGTTAATACGGGGGCAGCAGCATTGAGTACTCAGCAGCATCATAGTATCGCATGACGTAGAGCGTTTTGTAAGTTTTCAGCGGATTATATTTTTTCCTAACAAAGTATAACGACACCTCGGCATCTACTAGATATGTGCGGGTTGTCGGCAATAGTCTTCGCCACAGTCCAACTTCTCGAACCGCTGCCAAGACATAAATTTAGGTTATAGAGAGACCTCAAATAATTCAAAGCAAGTGGTACTTATGAACTATGAGTGAAACACAAGCTCTACGGGCCAAACGGGTTCGCCGTGCAAAAGTGTGTCACTTGCCATCATCTAGAAAACAACGGTATTGACCCCATTTAGGCTTGCAATACCTGCCGGCGAAAGAAGACAAAATGTGATGGGAAACAGCCCATCTGTTCTCCATGCAGTACCTTCAACTTCTCTTGCACCTTTCAGGATGTCGTTAAACACCCTAGTCGCTCGAGCCGGTAGGTTATTATTACCTTAGTTCTCACGTTTGTACTTGTCAGCATTTAACAGGTTTATTTGTAGAGCTTATGTTGAGGAGCTAGAGAAAAGAGTCGAGGAAATGGAGCAGCAATTACAACGACAGCAGGGCTCCCAGATGGGTTTGAAGAGCACGCTCCCTAGCTCTGCCCCAGGATCCCCAAATATCCCGGACCGCTCCGAATCCAGTGAATCAGGAGACGTAGAAAATCAAAATACCCATGAATCGGTCGGATTTACCAAAGACGACCACGATGGTCCCGATAGTGAGGGCAGCAGAATTGATCAAGCCTCATATATCATTCATGCCCAAGACGGGAATATGCGGTATTTTGGTGAGTCTGGTTGCAAGGACCACATTGGTATAGAAGTGGAAGGCTGATTATTTATTTAGGATCTTCGTCTGGACTTCCTGTCGGCTCTCTTCAGGGAGCGAATTGGCTAAAAAGTCAAACAGGGACAGCGGCATTACATACTACTACCCACAGATGTGCGGGTCGATGGCAGTTGAATAGTTGGCTTCCCCGCACTCTTCAGGACAGTTTTAAACGGCGAATCTCCCAGCCTTTGCCCTGCAAGAGCTTAGCAGTGGAACTAGTTCGCGAATTTTTTGAAACCTTCAATAAGGCTATCCCTCTATTTAACGAAACTTCGTTTATGAGATTATTCAAGAGGCAATTTTCATGGAATCCCGAAGAGAGCCCTTCCTGGTGGGTATCATTTAACATCGTCCTAGCTTTTGCATACAGAGAAAGGGCACAAGAATCTTCTGTCGGAAGTGAGGACTGGGAGAGGTCTTTAGGACACGTCAAGAATGCTTTAAACGTCGTTGTAGAACTCTTTATGCGAAATGGAGATCTACTTGCAGTTCAAGGATTACTGGGGTTAGCAATCTATTTTCAGGGCACACCGAATCCACAGGCACTGTTTATGTTTGCGGCTGCTGCCATGCGCTTATCACACTCCATTGGATTGCATAGGAGTAGCATCCTCGGGTTATCCGAATCTCAAATAGAAGACAGGAGGAGAACATACTGGATAGCATTCATCTTGGACGCAGATATTTCACTCCGCGTGGGTCGTCCATTGGTCCAAGACATCAATGACTACGATACACCCTTCCCAGCTAAACATCCACAAGATGGGAACGGCGTCTTTAGTGTCGATGATACTCAGATCCACTACTTCCGTTTGCTCGCCCAGTTCGCTCTCATACAGCGACGAGTTTATCAACATCTTTATGCTGTGGCTGTTCATAAACAAGCTAGAGACAGCGCCCTCAAAGAAGTAAAGGCTTGTGAAGAGGCGCTTCTTAGATGGAAGGCCTCAATTCCAGCGAAGCTTCAACCCCAGAACACATTCTCTGCTAAACCACATTATTTTCTGCAGCACATCTTGCGGCTACACTATGCATACCACTGCTGTTACTCGAACCTTCATCAGGTGTGCATGTTTACTAGGCAACCCGTAGGGTCAACATCTATACGGGGCATCCCAACTGTAGAGAATAAAATCGCTCAAACTCTCGCTGGGTCCCTTGAATCAGCGCGATCCGCAATAAGATTGCTCAAACATGTTCGGGGGTTTGGATCTTCCTATCGGTGGTGAGTTTCTAAATCTTCTCAACCCGTTTACTTCTAACGTCTTTACAAAGGGATATCCTTTACTTCGTAGCTGCAGCATCAGTGACTCTAGCATCGAGGATATTAGTATACCCTAGTAATCCACGTGCCGAAGAGGACCTTTCCTTGATTCACGAAACGAACGACTTTATTTCCAAGATTTCATCCGACGAGCCTGGCACATTCGCTGATTATGTGCTTGGTATATCCTCTGATTTGGAAGACGCTGCAAGGAAAACCCTAGACCAGCTACACCAAGGCTACCGACAGCAGCAAGAAGGCGGCGCGCATAGTAACAGCACTAATATTTTTGCGGATGAAAACAGAGACAAGCACTCTGGGAGTGGTATGGACCCAACTACGTCTACCACCTTATTAGACAGAGTCTCGACCATAACTCCACAAAACACAGACCACACGAGCAATTCTATGGATACACCTATACAGGGTGGTAGTCTACCAACGATTGATCTGCCGTCCGATTTGATGATGAACTGGCAGTGGTCGATTCCCCCATTCTGGAATTTGCAGGACATAATGACCAGCACGCCGCCCTCCCCAGTCCCGGATGTTATCAGTGGCCAAGAGCCGAAGGACGCCATCTTCGAATTTTAAATAATAACATTTAAAAAGCTCTATCAATCATCATATTCAAAAAAATTTAGGTGCACGACTTTCTTTCCTGCCAAATTTTTGAGCGTGTACGGCTAGCTACCTATCAAATTTACAGCCAGCTAATATTACGGTCATGATAGCAGTATGGCACAGCAGGACTAGTCCACTTCGGAGTGGCCTTGCCATCACCAAGCCTAGCAACAGGTTTTAGCACTTTCTGGTTCCCCCACGGCCCTTGCTCGTCGAACCCTGTCATCAACGGCGAGTCCTCATTCAGATAGTCTGGAAGCCTTCTTTTCCACCCATCAATAACCTGGATCATAATCTCCGAGACAAATTGATCGGGGGTAGATGGGACAAACCCGAACCATTCTGCTGTCTGACGAACAGTCTCAGGCGGGTACAAGCCAATCTCTTCTTCCAGCGCGATGGTATCCGCAGCAACTAGGGACGTCGTAACATGATATGATCCTCCTTTAAGTGCGCGCTCCTTGACTGCAATCATAGCTGCTAGGGCACCAACAAGGCCTGTAATCATGTCAGATACTGGGAGAGGAGGGAGCACACTTTTCCCTTCTTCATGACTAAGTGATCTTCCCATGACATAGGAAGAGCCTGATGCGGCATCGCCAATCTGTTGCCAGCCAGGGCGTTCTGCAAATGTTCCATCGGGGCCGTAGCAGTTCTCATCCACGTATATGATTCCCTTGCTTCTCTTAGCTGCTAGTTCTAGCATCGCGTGGAGTCCGAGGCCCTGTCTCTCTAGCGATCCAGCGCGGAACCCCTGGATGAATATGTCGGCTTCCGCGAGCAGCTCTTGGATACGCGTCATATCCTCTTGTTTTGTGATGTCGAGATCGATGGTCCGTTTTCCAGCGTTGAGGGTGAGTTGCAAAACCTATAATGTGAGTGTCAGCCACCCATGTTTTTTTTTGTATTCTAGGTGAAATTCAAAACTTACGTTGAGATCCGCCAGTCTGCTACAGTTCACTCTGATAACGTCCGCCCCATACGAAGCTAACGTAACACCAATTGTAGGGCCCGCGATGATACGCACCATCTCCAAGACTTTAATTCCCACTAAGGGTCTTCTATCAGAGCCAGCAGCCTTTAGCAACGGCACTTGTGGTGTAGGATTGGCGTACGACTCCTGTGTGACGTTGACCAAAGGGTGTTTAGCTAATCGCTTCCCGAACTCTGTTTTTCTCCACCCCTCTGGGGAATAGCAGATACTTCCGCATAGGCCATGGCGTAGATTATGCATTTCCAGCTCATCGGGGCTCCACTGGCAAACATGCTTTTGGATATAATCATAGTACTCCTTTGCCGAGCTAAAGGTGACCGAAGAGTCGATTCCCATAGACTCAAGCGTCTTGTTCGCATCTAGCGAGCCATGGAGTTGATACCAGACCCGTGGATCTTTCGTCTGGTAAATTGCCGTCGTCCTACCCGCAATACCTTTTCCAAACCCTTGCTCAAAATCCAGGTTAAAGAGGGTGGCCAGCTTTTGCGAGCGCGCAAGTGTCGAAATGTCGGAGCCGTTAATGTACGTGGTGAAAGTTGACGCGAGCCAAATAGCAGCATGATCAGTGTCGACCGTTACACGGCTCTCTTCCAGCGGCCTTCCATTACGGAGTTCGAGGATCTCATTGGCTACCAGACCGGCCATGGCGTGGAGGGCGGCAGCAACGACAGGGGATTTGATCGGCCCTGGAATCATTGGGTCTGGTCGACCTTCGAAGTGGACGGTGTTCCAAGCAGATCTGCTCTTTGTGAAGCATGGGGTCCGTGAGGCGAGGATCTCGAAGACGCGGCGGGCATCTTCCGGTACTGGGAGAACGTTCTTGTCCATGAATGTCCCGGGGCCATATACATCGCAGCTGGGAATAGTTTCATGGGAATAGGCCATATTAATAGCTTGTATCTGCGCTTGTAAACTATGTCCGTTTACTTCGAAGTTATTCGCAATGGTAATATCAATCAGAAGGGACAGAATAAAACATCTAAATACCAAACAGAACACAGACCTATTCGACCGCAAAAGTGAAGTGATACCATTAAAAGGTAGGCCCCGTCTTCTTATGTCCACGGCGCCTCGGGATAATTTCCCCGCGGCGAAACGATACGATCAAAAGGCAGGTCTCTTCTTGTTATTCCCACGGCGCCTCCGGGTGCTTTCCCCGCGGTCAAACAATATCATCAAAATGTAGACGTCGTTTCATTATGTCCACGGCGTCTCGGGATGCTTTCCCCACGGCCCACGGCCCACGGCCAAATGTATCGAATTCCGCGTCGTTCACCGAGCCGAGGCGCCATAAATCCACCATATATACTGTAGCACATCGACTCCCTAATATCTCACTCAATAATTCTTAGTTGAATTCAAAAGAAGTAACAATCTATAAATTGTAATTGACGAAAATGCCACGCAATATCGGAACACATCCGTTGAGAGTGGCAAACTGTTCTGGTTATCATGGTCAGTTTGAGCAGCGCATGTCCTATACTATAGGCTCTAACTAGGTGATACTAGGCGACCCAGCTTATGAAATGCATCGTCAAGCGACCCTAGGAGACGTCGACTTTATCACAGGCGATTACCTAGCAGGTATTTCCACTAGCTTAATCCTTCCTAATGGATTTTTATAAATCCATATTCCCGAAGCTAAGAAGAAACAGAGGTCAACCTAGCCAACAATGCGCAGTCCTGGAGAGCTGGGAAGCATCCCGGGTATGAAGAAACTGCCTGGGAGGGCCTGCAACTGACAATAGATGTGATTGCCAAGAAAGGAATCCGAGTGGTGATTAACGGCGGAGCGTTGGATCCCAAGGCACTCGCTATGAAAACGCAGGCTCTGGTATGTTAACTACCTCCTCACAACCCCCCCTTACGAAAGAAACTTGATGATTAAACACAGATTTTTCAAATTGATTAGGTCGCTGAGAAGCATCTTAATCTTAGTGTCGCGTATTTGTCAGGCGATGACTTATATCCCCGTGTTGGACCCAATATGCCCACCACCAAGGACGAACTACAGCACCTAGATTCGGGCAATCCCTTAGCAGCTCCCTCGGATCTGACGTTTGCTTTTCTCAACAACGCTAAAAATGCAGGCCCAACTCCGATGGTCTCTGCACACGCATATCTAGGCGCGCGCGGGATTGTAGATGGCCTAAGACGAGGCGCAGATATCATAATCTGCGGGCGTGTTTCGGATGCCAGCCCCGTCATCGCCGCAGCGTGGTTCTGGTATGACTGGGCCGAAACCGACTATACTCGACTTGCTGGTGCGCTGATTGCAGGGCATCTCATTGAATGCTCGGCGTATGTCACGGGAGGCAATTTTGCGGGTTTCGACAGGTACCCGTTGGATAGTCTTGTTGCGCCTGGATTTCCCATTGCGGAGATCTCGGATGATGGAACTTGCGTTATCACTAAGCACCTGGATACGGGGGGGATGGTTAATGTTGATACCGTTCGCTGCCAGCTTCTGTATGAGTTGCAGGGAAATGTCTATCTCAATAGCGACGTTAGTGCCTATATCGGTGACATAGTCGTCGAAGATGCTGGCACAGACCGGTATGTAATTGCAACCCCTAGACTCTATTAGTACTGACGGTGCTGTAGGGTGCGTGTGTCCAGAGTTCAAGGATCCCCACCACCCCCGACTACAAAGCTTGCAGTCTTCTACCAAGGGGGTTATGAGGCTGAAATCCTTCTTAATGCGACCGGCTATTCCACAGCCAAGAAGTGGGATCTGCTCGAAAAGCAGATGCGCCATTTTATTCCCAAGGCTATCGCAGCGGATCTCGAAACTCTCGAGTTCCAAAGGTAACAGATGTCATAACCCGATTCATCGATGCCTATTACTGATCACAATTTTCACCTCAGAATCGGAGTACCGAGTCCAAATCCCTCCTGTCAAACAGAGAGTACGTCCTATCTCCGCATTTTCATCGCATCTCGCTCCGAGAAATCCGTGGCAGCTGTAGCGATGGCCATAAAAGATATATCCCTAAAGCACTTTTCCGGTATGTCTGATTCCGCCCCATCTTACGAAATAATAGCTGACCAATGTCAACCTTACAGGCTTTCACGCCTCTCTAGATACCCGTACTGCGGTCCCAAGACCTTTCCTCGCCTTCTATCCCGCGGTGACTAAACAGTCCGACCTCAACGAGACAATCAACCTCATCGACGACCAAAACACGATCCGCTCCTTCAACACCGGCAACCCGCCGCAATACGAGGCGCTCAAGCCTCGAGATAGCTACGACCCTCCAGACACGGAACTATTCAATGGCCCCACCAAAGATATCCGTCTAGGGGACGTCGCGCTCGCCCGCTCCGGCGACAAAGGGGGAAACCTCAATTTCGGGATCTTCGTCACGGACGAAGCATACTGGCCATGGCTGCGGTCCTACATGACCATCGACCGCATGCGCGCACTGATGGGTACAGACTGGCAGGACTCGTTCTGCATAGAGCGTGTGGAGTTTGCGAATATGCAGGCGGTGCATTTTGTGATATATGGGATCTTGGGGAGGGGGGTGAGCAGCTCGAGTCGGCTGGATGGGTTTGGGAAGGGGTTTGCGGATTATATTCGGGATAAGGTGATTCAATTTCCTGTTGATATATAGCAGTGTTCCCCAAAATAGTAAGAGTATTTGTGGTTTTCGAATAGTATTCGGCGATGAGCAGTATTCAGGCCATATTTGGAGTATTCGGCGAGTATTTGCCTAGATCTCGAATAGTATTCAGGCCCTCGAGTCCTTAGCGCTAAGATGCCAAGCTACGAAGATTTTACCCCGCCCTTATAGATAGATCTATAGAAATAGATCTATAGATACTATATTACTTAATATTTCTACTAAAATGAGCAACTCTAAGCTATTAGCGATTCTAAGTAACGAAGATGAGGATATATAGCGCCTACTACCCCTTTTTCTAGAGTCTTCGCTGTTAATAGCTCTACTATTAGTATAAATACAACTACAACTCCTAAATACTTAGTTACTGTTGTTCTTAAAGAATGTATTTAGTAGAACATTGTTAAGCACTAGCCCTACAACAATAAAGATTGTCTACATATAAGATAGCTGTAATTATAGGCTAAAGCTAAAGCTTTTAACATAGAATATTACAAGTAATTTATAGAGGCATGTTAAGAGCATGCACCCTTTATTATATAAAGCTATAAAACTAGGATCTTATAAGGCAGTCCTTACGTAATGGCACGTAAGGTGCTATGCTAAAGGCAGCCCTATAGTAGAGCTGTTATTTAGGTATAGCCTAGTTATTAGGGTTTATAGGATAGGAAGATATATTAGGGGCTAGAGCCTTAGTAGAGGACTCTAGTTAATAGTTGCTATATCTACATAGACCTATTATGCTTACTAAATACAATACCCTTCCTGCCTCCTAACCTAGTTCCCTAGACTCCTATAAGACACTAGGCTTACGCTTTACAATTCTATTAACTTAACCTATATTTAGCCTACTAGATTAGGATAGCAAGCTAGGAAAAGAGGGTTACCTACACGACCTCTAGAGGGGCTACGCTAGCAGCAGAAGTTATCGAAACCAGCCCTATAGCCTAGGGTCCTACTATAAGCAACGTAGCTATAAATAAAGCAGGTAGTATAGCTTCTAAGCTAGCTGCCCTTAGGAAGAGGATTAACAAGGAAAGGGCCTACTTCGCTACTATAGAAGAAGCTCTTTAGATATTCTGCTAATTGCATAGCAAGGACTACACTGCCTACCTAGAAGACATAAGAGCCTTTATAGAAAGGCGAGCCTATATCTAGGCTAAGAGCTGCTAGAAAAGGCAATACTAAGACAGCAACAAAGAAGGTTAAAGCCCTTAAAGAGAGGTAGACTAGGTAACGACTCCTATAGTATTAGAGGAAGTAGCCCCTATCCTACCTATACAATCGTTTAAGAAGGTTAAGGACCTAAAGGTCTATAAGGGCAATTTAGCTAAGGAGCTTAGCGAGTTCATAGCCTTAATCTACACCTCCTTCTAATACTAACCTAGGATGTTTCTAAGGTTAGTATTAGAAGGAGGTGTAGGGTTTTATAATAGGAGGTAAGCTAGAATAAGCCTTAGAAAAGTATCTAAAGAAGGCTAAGAACCTAGAAGGTTAGGCGCTTAGTATAAGGTTATATAAGGAAAGTAGAAGGAAGCATAGAAGGTAAAGTTAGGCGTAACGTGCTATAATAATAGGGGGTGGCTATAGCAACCTACAACTTAAGGGGGTTATAAGACCTAACCCCTAACTGTGATTATAACAACTACTACCTATATAGGAATTAAGGGGGCGCTAGCCCTACCCTATATAGCACCTAAGAATTAGGGCTTAATGGCCGTTACATAGGGTAAGGGTTAGGTGGCAGAAGCGTAAGTCTTGTTGCTTAATTAGGTAGGCAGTAGCAGTAGCAGTAGCACGTGTACTACTACTAAACCTAATTAGGATTATTTCTACATTTAAGCGAGGCGTAATACCTAATTAGGATTGTTATGATGTACTAACCCTAATTTAGATTATTACAACGTGCTAATACTAATTTAGATTATTACAACTATACATACTTCTAGTGCTAACACTAGTGCCACCGCTAGTGCCACTGTGTAACGCTAGGTCTTAAACTATAAGACTCATAGAGGTTTCGTTGCGTTGGTTTACTTAACAGAGGAGGCAGGGGATCAGACACAAGGCTTTCGTAAAACACGTTACAGTATATAACAAATACTATATTGAGTTGAGCACGAGGCTCCTATCTAAGAACTAACTATCTACTTATATAGTGGCGTCGTGCTAAAGGGAATAGTTGGAATAGCAAACTCCTTTGCTATTCTTGCTATTCCTGCTATTCCATCACGTGGGCTATTCTCTTTCCGGTACCTGTGATTCTTCTGGTACCTGTCCATCCGGTACCTCCTAATCCTTAGGTGCCTGACTGTCTTCCGGTACCTGTAAACCCTGGTGCCGGACACTCCTTAGGTGCCTGATAACTGACCCTGCCCTAAGGGCGGTCAAATCGCTAACATCCTTATTACTACTATACTCGGGGTGTCGGCGATAGTGCTGCCGAAAACCCTAGCCGTAACACTAGGTCCCTCCCTAAGAGGCCTAGTCCCTAGGACTCGCTGACTAAGAAAGTTGCTAACTACTTAAGTGGGGTGATGCCCACTACTATCCATGGGGCAGGTCAGGCTGCGACCATGTCTTCCTCCAAACATACTAAAATCAAAGAACGTAAACTTCTTGCTGACCGAATAACCCGCGAAGGGGTCGAAATGCCTTCCTGTTCCCGTTGCGAGAAGCGAGGTCTCTGCTGCCTTGCTTCTGCTGCATCCAAACGATGTAACGAATGTGTTCGCTCGAATTCCTGGAACTGCGACGTTTCTAGGCCCTCCGCTAGTGACTAGCAGTCGCTGCAGAAGGAAGAGGATCGTCTTCGTCTAGAAACCCGCATGACTCGCGAAGCTGTGGCAACAGCCATGGCTCGTCTCAACCGCCTCGAACAGCAACAGGATCTCCTTAAGACCCGTGGTGCTAAGATGCTCCGCCGCGGTCTAAAGACCCTCGACGAGCTAGAGGAGGTAGAGGAACGCGAGCGGCACGAGGCCGAAGCCCATGCTCACCTCGCTAGTCCCTCTGTAACTAACCCTAGGAGCGCCGTCCCTAAGCACGACTACTTGTCGGCCCTTTCTCCTGGTTTCTTCGAACGTTAGGGTGTCGACGGTGGAACTCCGCTAGCAACTCTAAGCAGCTGAGGTTCCCCCTCAACTCCCACGAGTTATCCGTAGGTTCGTAACCTTTCCATTTAATCAAAAACTCTTCTCGGCGTCCTACTAACCTTCTGTCTAGGATCGCCTTAACCTCATATTCGATGATCTCATTCTCAGGTTGGAGTTCGGTGTTGGTTGCAATCGGGGCGTTCCCTCTTGCTGGTTCTAATAATGAGACATGAAACACTAGGTGGAGTCTAGAGTTCTTGGGTAGCTGTAGCTTGTAATTAACTAAGCTGACTTTTTCTAACATCTTGAATGGTCCCAATTTCTTAAAGTCCAACTTCGTGCTTAGTCGTTTCGTTTTGATGTGTTTTCGGAGTAGGTATACTTTATCCCCCTCCTCGAAGGCAGGTTCCATACTGCGCTTCCTGTTTGCATATGCGGCGGATCGTTCATTTAAGAATTGGATGTCCGTCGCAAGTTGTTCGTAGAACGATTTCAGTTGTTCCACCACGATTAGGGCTTGTTCGGCTTGTGCTTCGTCCGGTCTTAGTTGTCTATATGCTTCTAGCTAGTAGCCGTAATTAGCAAAGAACGGTGAAACTTTCGTTGCTTCCGCCATCGCGCTGTTATATGCGAACTGTGCGATGGGTAAAATCTAAACCTAATTATCCTGTTGATGATTGACATAACTTCGTAGGTACTGTTCAAGGGTTTGATTTAATCTTTCTGTTTAGCCGTCTGTCTAGGGGTGGAAAGCTGTTGATAGCTTGTGATTTGTTCCTAGCAGGGCTATTAACGATTTCTAGAATTTCGAAGTGAAGAGCTTGTCTCTGTCCGAGATAATTTCTTCTAGCATCCCGTGATCGGCTAATATGACTCGAATGAAGGTATACGCGAGCGCCTCAGCGTCGCTGGCTTCTAGATATGGTACGAATTTCCCATACTTCGTAAGTCTTTCCGTTATAACGAGGATAGAGTCGTATTCTACTCCTGTTAACGGGTCTTTAGAGGGTGGTAGCTTGACGATGAAGTCTAAAGCTATTGATTTCCACGCTCCTTTTGGTACTAGTGTTAACTTGAGTTGTCCGTAAGGTAAGTGCCTATTAGATTTTGACTTGCTGTAAATGTCGCACTCTCTTACCACTGTTTCTACCTGCTTCCTCATACCTAGGAAGTAGTAGTGTCTAGTGATTCGTTCGAAGGTTCGTGTTACTCCCTAATGACCGTGTGCTGGCAACGAGTGTTGTTCTTGCACTAGCGGGCGTCTCATTTAACTTAGGACATACACTAATCCTTTGTAACGGATCAATCCTTGTTCGTCGATGGCGAAGTCGCCTTCGACTTTGGTCAAGACTCTCTTTACGCATTCGTCTGTCGCATAAGATTTCTTAAGTCTTGCCTCGAGTTCTGTGTCTTCGACGATGGAGATCGTCGCTAGTAACTCGTTGTACTGTATTCCTGCGTCTGTTTTCTTTAATATTGCTCTAGGTCTTTCTTCCTTCGGGCCGATGTAGTCGGTCCGCCTACTAAGAGCGTCTGCTCTTGCATTCTCAGAGCCCTTGCGATAGGTTATCGTGAAGTTGTAGGCTGCGAGGGTTTCTGCCTAGCGGACTTGTCTACAGTTTAAAACCTTGGTCGTGGTGAAGTATATGAGGTTCTTGTGATCCGTCTACACTTACACAGTGTGGGTGGATCCCTCAAGATATACGCGCTACTGCTTAAAGGCAACGACAATAGCCAGTAGCTCCTTGTCGTAGATGTCATAGTTGAGCTCCGCGGGTGACAGTTTCCTAGAGTAGTACGCGATAGGTTTAAACTTACCGTTCTCGTCTGGCTGATTCAGACATGCTCTAATCGCGAAATCAGAAGCGTCTGTCTTAAGGACGATCTTCTTTGCAGGGTCAAATGTCGCAAGGATGGGTGCCTCCGTGAACTTCGTCTTAAGTTCCTAGAAGGCAGTTTCTGCCTTGTCTGTCCATTTGAACGCGAGGTCCTTCCTAGTGAGCTCCGTGAGCGGTTGGGCTACCTTGGAATATCCCGCAATGAACCGACGGTAGAAGTTAGCGAAGCCCAAAAAGGCTTGCACTTCCTTGACCGTGGTTGGTGTTGGCCATTCCAACACTGCTGTGACCTTTGCCTAGTCCATCTTGATGCCGTGCGTTCCGATAATGTAGCCTAAGAATTCAACTTTGCTTTTATGGAACTCACATTTCTCTAGCTTTAACAGTAGGTTGTATTCCTTCAGCTTCTAGAGGACAAGTTAGACATGCCTAGTGTGTTCGTCCTTGTTTGCTAAGTATACTAGTATATTGTCTAAGTAAACAATGGTAAATATGTCTAGATACTTATGTAAAGCATTATTTATTAAGTGTTGTATAGATATAGGGGCGTTAGTTAGCCTAAAGGGCATAACTTAATATTTAAATAAGCTATAGTAAGTGTAGAATGCTGTTTTCTACTCCTTACCGTTAGCTATCTAGATTAGGTTATACGCTCTGTGTAGATCTAGCTTAGTAAAGATCTTAGCTCCTTAAAACCTTACATGTCTACTACTTTCTTTGTTATAAAGTTGCCTATTGCTCCTAAGTCAATCATTGCTTAAAGGTGTTGTTGTTGTATCTTAGTAACTATATATAGCTATATGCTGCCTTCTATAGCACATAGTTGTTTTATACTAGGCCTATTCTTATTGCTTGTTAGTAGCCTACTGTTAAGGACTCCTAGTTTTTTAACTTATTATTGCTTAATAACCCTAGTGAGGATAACCCTTCCTATTTAGGTCTCCCGTTTAGTAGGTGTAGGTAGTTTTCCCACATCTACATTACTTTAGTAGATGTTCCTCCTCCCTACTCTGCTGCTTTATCTAGTAGGTGTAAGTAATCTATATATAATTGTTCTTTCTTTAAAGGTAATTCCCCTTTAGACTAGCTTTGTCTAAGGGCGTAAACTTATTCTATGTCTTTAAAGTAGACCTAAGGTAAGTGTTAGGGAAATAGTTAATACTAGGTTTTCTTCTATAGGTGGCTTTTATAGTTATTAACACTATAGTGTTCCTAATATATATATAGGTGCTAGGGGTAATTAGTCCTTGTTATGTCTATTGTTGTTCATTTCTATTCCTATGTTTCTTCCTTTGTCTTATCTATAAGCTTAGAGTCTTTTATAGCCTTACATAGTCTTTCTATGTCCCTATCTATAAGTTTGTAGTCTATAACAGCTTAGTCTGCTCACAGCTCCTAGGGTTTAGGTCCCTTAGCGTTCTTCTACTACTTGTCTTGCGCATTATATTCTATAAGCTTATATTTTAACTACATAGTGGCTTTACTTAAGGTGTAGTTTACTCCTTATAGCTCCTACCTCTATAGATACCTAGGGCAACACCTCATTGCGTAGACTGTAATTTCCTAGTCTTATAGGGTGCCCTGCTATCTAATTAGGGGTGGCAGCATAGGAATTGCTTAAGGGGTCCCTCCTTAGAGCATACTTTGTCTATAGATGTCTACTACTCCTAGTAGGTTCTCCCTAAATGCAATCTTCTTTGCATCTTCTTTAAACTCTTTTAACCTAAGCTTCTAGTCCTTAGTAAGTTCTCTTTCGTAGGGTTTATATTCCTCTTCGCTAGAATTCTTGCCTTCTAGGGTACTATTGCTATTAATTCCCTAATTAGGTTTGTTTATAAACGTAGTGTTTAACTGTCCCTTCTAGGTGGCGTTAAGTTGTTTACTAGGCTAACGTCTACCATTTCCCTTCTTAGGTTGCTTGTAGTCCCTAGCTATATAGCCTAGTTTGTTATAATTAAAACAAAGTTGTTCCTTAAACTGTCTATCCTTTTTTAGGTTATAGGGCTGTCTAGGCTTAAACGTAGCATTAAGTTCCATTAGGTCTAACTAACAGTTGTCTTATAAGTGTTAATCCTGTCGTCTACCTTTGTTCCCTTAGTAGGGGTAGCTTTTCTTAGGTTTGTTATAGGTCTGTTGTTCCTTCTAGAACTTATAAAGTCGATTGTTGATTTAAACTATGTGTTTAATTAGCGCTACTATGTCTATTGGTTGTTGTTCTAAACAGGCAAGTTCCATTTGTATCTAGCTCTTTAGTCTACGTTAGTAGTAGCTAATAAGTGTAGTAGCGTCCTAACCTATCTAATTGCTATATCTCTAGAATTCTATAGAGTACGTAAGGGCGCTACTAGTCTGTTTAAGCGCAAACAGGTGGTCTTCTATAGTTTTGATCTCATTAATGTCTCTAAACATACGTTAGATCTCCTTATAGAATCCTTTCTAGCTACTAAACATAGTTTAGGTAGCTGCTATGCTTCCGTTAGTACTTTTGTATTAGAAGTAGTCCTTAAGGAAGGGTTTAATCTATTAAAGGGCCTCTCCTTAAAGGTAGGACAAAGTCTATAGGGCATAGCTTTCTTATGTAGGAAACTTGTTATTATTAAAGTGCTAGTATAGTTCAACCTATAGTAGGAACACTTTAAGTTCCTTTTAATTGCTAGAATAGGTGTTAGGGAGCTTAACATACAAGGCCTCCCTAAGTTCTAATATTGTAAGTGCATTAGGCATCTCCTTATTCTTAGGTTTAAACCTCTAAGACAAAGTTAGCGTAGTGGGGGTCTTCCCCTTTAAACTAATAATAGACATGTTGTTTTGTGTATAAGCTAGTACCTTATAGAAGTGGTGCTTAAAGTGTAACGCTAGGTCTTAAACTATAAGACTTATAGAGGTTTTGTTACGTTGGTTTACTTAACAGAGGAGGTAGAGGATTAGACACAAAGACTTTTATAAAACACATTATAGTATATAACAAATACTATATTAAGTTGAGCACGAAGCTCCTATCTAAGAACTAACTATCTACTTATATAGTAGCGTTGTACTAAAGGATATCTAGGATATTATAGATAACAAATATCTAACATATCGTTGTTATCTATTACATAGGTCTTATAATGTAATTAGGTCTAAGGACTAGAGGTCTCTAGAGCTAGCTAATCCTATAACGTCCCCTACTCTTAAGACTATAGGGCATAGGAGCTACTTAGCTCCTACATTCCTAGGTTATGCACCTAGCTTATCCCTAGGCCTAATTGGGTCTAGCGCCCCTAATGCTCTAGCGCTCAGCTTAGTTGTTTAACCTAACAAGGTTAGACGCTGTCTAGTTTCCAACACTAGATACTATGTTCTAATATTAGAACCCTACATAGTCTATAGTTTCCCTAAGGGCTATAACACAAGAGTCTTATAAGTAGTATATCTTTATTTTTTAGCTTATATATACATTTAATATATAATGACTAATATAAGCCTATTAGTTTTATAGTGCTTAATAGGTACTATAGACCTAGTAATAGCCCTATTTATTATCTTGCTATTATATACAAAACCTTCTAATTTAAATCTCTACTTTATAATAGGTATACTTTCTTTATCTTACTATTATAGACTCTACCTAGTTATGTTAATACCTTTATACATATAGGGATAGGTAGGAAATCTTCTCTATTTTAGTTTAAAGACATACTTCTACATTAGATTAGCATTATATAATTTAAGTTTATAAAGTATAAGTTACTAGTTGTCTTTTATTTTATAATCTTAGGGCTTTCTTATTATATAGATAACATAATAGAATATTAAGTAGGTTAATTAGCTAGTTAGGAGTTATTTCTAAAACTAACTATTAATTAGTCTCTATAAATTAAATTCTAAGTCTAGTAGGGTATTATAACGCTAGGTCTTAAACTATAAGACTTATAGAGGTTTTATTATGTTAGTTTACTTAATAGAGGAGGTAGGGGATTAGATACAAAGGCTTTTATATAACAAATACTATATTAAGTTAAGCATAGAGCTCCTATCTAAGAACTAACTATCTACTTATATAGAGGTGTTATGCTAAAGGGAATAGTTAGAATAGCAAACTCTATTACTATTCTTACTATTCCTACTATTCTATTATGTAGGGTTCTTATAAGGAGGTGCCCTTAAATAGTCTAGTACCTACTCTATCTAGTACCTAGTAATAGTTAGGTACTTAGAAAGAGTCCTAGTGCCTACTCTGTCTAGTACCTAGTAATTCTTAGGTGCCTAGGAATTCTCTAGTACCTATAGAAGTAGGTGCTTAAGAAAACTCTATTACCTAATGTTAACCCTGCCTTAAGGGCAGCTAAACTGCTAACATGTTCATTACTACTATAACTAGTGTGTTAGTAAAAGTGCAGCTGTAAGTGCTAGCTGTAACAAGGTACTTATGCTAAAACTTTATAATAGATTACAAGAAGCGTACTATAAGAGTATAACACAGCTTTTTAAGCCCCTAGATAGAGTTGAAACCCTTCTTAAACACTCTATAGGTCCTAGACTAGACATCTTAGGGAAGTAGACGAATGTTACTAGATAATAGCAAGAGAGTTAAATCTAGATAGGAAAATATAAATATATTCGTAATACTCCTAGAAAATAGTGCTTAATTTTGCGATAATCGAACTCTCTTCTAGGGAGAAGAAAGCTTCGTGGACTAGACTTATCTAAGATGCACCTAGAGGACCTCGGTGCTGCAGATGATCTCAAATTGGCTGCTTAGGTAGAGACGGATCAATCTACATACTAGACGGCAGCCGTCATTCGGACACCAAAACCATGCACCTTAACTCACTCACGGGACCATTTGGATTGTGTTTGCTGAAGTGAAAGAAGTAAGCTATGTGACATAAATCGTGGGATTTTCTCTGTAGTTCTCCGTCGTACTAATACGCCTTATTCATTCATTCATCCGTGGATTAAAGATCAAATAGATAAGGTACATCCGCAGCCCCTATCAGTCTACGGTTGTGCACTTGGAATACTCACAATAGCGTAATGATTGGTTGCTCAGAGGAACCAAGAACACCATTCCCAAGGCTCTTCTCATCCAAATCAATGAAGCCTAGCCGCCTCATTTCTGGACTTCCACCCTCGACAGCAGACACAATCAAGCAGCGATAATCGAAAGCATTATTTCCCTCCCATTTACTGACTTTCGCAAGAACAAGGGCGAAAAGCTTTGTATCCTTCAAGCTAGCCACCAATGCCAGACTATCATTAGGTGTTGCTTTCCCAAAGTGAAAATAGTCAAGCCGCGAGTACTCTCCTCTTGCATCTCCACTCTCCGTATGCAATCTCGGGTTCCTCTCATATGGCACACCTGCGAACTCACTCGCATCTTGCTCAACGATAAAGAGACGGACAAGGGGCGCTTGGAGTCTGATATAACCACTCGTCACTTCCCCATATGGATTCAATCCTTTTAACTGAATATGGCAGTCCAGTATCTTCGCCATGGACTCTAATTTAACAGAGGTGTCCATAATACCCACAGATCCACCAAAAGACGCCCAAGACCACGAGGGCGCGCGATATTTATCGTTGAGGAGTGGGGAATAGTGAAGACTTTCCCACAACAGGCCTTCAACGAGATGATTACGCCACAGGCCAGCCACATAGCTATCCTGGAGTCGCTCTCCAATAATCCGAGCAAGACCAGACAGCGCGGGGAGCTTATCGGAGGGGTTTGTCAGTTTGCGTTCTCCGTAAGCCTGGACAAGATTATTCCACTGGCCTAGTGCTGATTTAACTTTGTGGCTCTGGGAAATAGTTTCCGGATGCTCTTCTGTGGTGCCACTAAGGGCGTTGAATCGATACGGTAATTGGAGGCCGTTCTCGCCAAGAAAGCCGCGATTGCATTCAAAGTACATCTGGTGTGTTCCATAGTGAAGTATTCGACGAGATAAGACGCGTTCTTGCAATGCCCACGCTCGCTCTGTCAAGGGTTCGTTTTCCAGGCTCAGATAACCACCAAATCCCTCTTCTCGTAAGGGAAGTAGAAAAGCTAGGAGCTCTCCACTTTCCCCCTTCGGTGAGGTGTAATCGATACTGACATGCCGTCTAGGTGGCCGGACAGCAAAGCAGCCCCCAGTGCTGTCCTTCGCAAATGTGGCTGCAATGTTGAGATACGAATTAGAGTAGACAGACGCCATTTTTGCGGATTCTCTCTGCCAGTCTTCGCCGTCATCTTGACAGATACAAAGGCTATCAATCCAGATGTATCTCACCCGGTGAGCTCGAGCTATCGTGACTGCATCTTGAAAGGTCTTCGGTAGTGCGTTGAAGTTGATATTTAATAGATGTGTAGCCATTGCCGCGCGAGTGGTCATGAATTGCTTTGACTTGCCCCAACAATGGCTGAGCGTGATGTAGTGGCCTGACTCACCATCAGTCTCGCGAAGCTTTATGGCTTCATTGTGGTCTCCTAGTTCGAGTATACGAAATGGAAGTGGTGTCGTTCTAATGCTACACTCAGGATGTTCATCGCACTGCTTCGCCCATTTTACGGCTCTGTCTAAGCTTCTGCTACTCCCGGAGTCTCTCTCTACGGGGCGGCCAATAAATATGCACCTGAGAGGATCGTCTGACCACATTAGTGAGAGGTCCTAGTTGTGAATATAATTCGGCGTACCGTCTCGAACGCAAACCCCGATAGCAGCCACAAGATAGATTATTTGTGAGTCTTCACTCTTTGAGAACACCCAGAATCCATCACCGCCGTCTCGTCTCCTTGTAAGGGACAACTCAAATGTCAGACGACCCGGTCGGCTGTTGTGTCGGACCATTTTCTCTTCCGTGCCGCCATGGAGTTCCGTAATTACTTTGCCCACTGCACGCAGAATCAAATTGCAGAGATCGCATTGTTCCGCAGAGTTTCGTATATTTTCTACACTGGAATGATATGGCCTTCCGACAGGGTCTATTGGTTCGTTGTTCTGTTTGCCAGAATAGAAGGCATGGATATACTTCCACGACCCGTTCCCGCTCCAGTAGGAAGAAGGGAGCGCAGGGAGACGCTCCAAAGAAATTGATCTGCAGAGCTCGCAGAGTGGCATTTCGAATATCACACAAGCTGTAGAGTGTTGATTCTGCTAGGCCGTCGACAAGACTAATAAGGAATGGCAAACTGTCGGCTGGATTACAATGCAACGAGTTCCAGAGCCGAGGACATTTCGCGCGTCAGGTGCCAACATGACTAAGTATTACCTCTTTAAGTTACCTGTTTCAGAAAGGTTAAGGATATATCGACACCACCAACGTATGGGCTTAGGATATATTCACACCAGGTGTGAAGCTTACTAACCAACTAGGGGGTGTTAATCTTACTAATATTGCCGAGTCGGGTAATGCGCCTTAATCAGTCCCCCATTTTCTGCTCGCTTACGACTCCCTCTAAATTCGCATTCGGAGCCGACGATTACTGTCACGGGTGCAAAAGAGGCCACGTGACCGCTACGGCTAGGGTAGGCCACGGATCACCACCATCATGAGACTAGTAGTCAGACCAATTAGAGAGGATCGCCGCCGACTCATAGCCGAGTCGGACTGGTAACTATATTATAGGCAGCTGCGCCCTACTTAAGGGGGAGAGTTTAGTCTGGGGAATACAAGCCTGATTAACGCCTATCCCTAGGTCTAGGGATGCACCCTGTCACGCGACGAATCTATGCTTTAGGGGTCTCAATTTTTTTTTTCAAGTCTATGAAGTTGCTATAATATATCACTATACTTTAACCGTTTCTCCTCAAGGAGATCAGTCAGCAGCAAGAAAAAGATTGTGGCTGATAATGCTGTCGATCGTTTCAATCACGCCACTGATCGCCGCTTCGACTGTTCCCCCCTGCTTAATCGCGACTATTAGAGTCTCTTCAAATCTCGGAGCACTTGGGGAAAGGTTCCATGAAGAAAGAATATGGCTCTAAGTTTTGAAGACACTTAGAGGAGAACATAATGCAGCCGTCCGAGGAGTACTGCCCGGACACGACAATTATGGATAGGATAGGATAGGAGTGGTAGCTGTGGCGTAGTTGGAAGAGACGGCGGTCGTTATGCTATGGGGCTAGCTTTTAAGGTTCTCGACACCCGAGGTCAAAGTCGACCTTCTATAAGCTGCATTATTTTTTTAAATATTGAGGTTGCATTTCTTTTGTTGTATTGCCAAGGTTATTAGCAAAAGTTCCAATTCCACAATTACGCCACATTTAACTCCTCCCACCGTTTCAAAACCTCCCGCTTCTCCTCCTCGGTCGCTCGTTGAAATGCCGCCAGTCCCTGCTTCAACCTTTCTCTCAGGATCTCCGCCTTCAGATCTTTATCAGAGTGTTTCTCGATTTGCTTCTCGGCGCCTTTGAGAGTGTATGCCGGGAGTCCAAAAACAGCGGCCATGGTTTTGAAGACGAGACCGCCGACACCTCTGCCAACCCCTTTGCCAAAGCCTACAACAGCGTCCTTTTTGGCATCCCGGTATGGATGTGTTACGATGCCCGTGAAACCATCGTACAAGTTGAACACAAACCCCTATGGCAGTCAGTATCGGTCAAATATTGTGAGAATTGGATGAGGTAGTGCTACCTTTGCAGCAACTTTGACTCCGCTTCCAAAACCGGTGATGTTGTCCCTTCTCCTTACAGTATGGTCATTGAGAACGAAATTTGGCACGTTATGAAACCCGTTCGCCAGGTTATATAAGAGCACAACGGGGGCTGTCGATCTGTCAGCACATATAATAAAGCCCCGGTGTGACCTTGGCATCTAATTACCGTGTAGGCTGATACGGAGGATAGAGTATGCAAAATGACTAGTCTCAGAGGTCGCCTCATACACCCTGCCATGCTCCTTATAACCTTTCTTGCTCGAACGTGTGGCTTCTGATGCTACTGTTGTCATCTGCATGCATGGACTCCAAGCATGTATCTTCTTATGATTTGATCCATTCTGTGTTTCAGGTAATGTTCCAGACGCCATCTTGTAAGACACGCGTTCAAGATACTCTGGTGGAAACGATAGCGCTGCTTGGACCGGGAACGCTGGAGGCGTTCCACTTAGGATTCCCATATCTGCTGTAACCTGTCGTTCTGGGGATGGAGAACGGGTACGTTTAAGAGCAGACCTTTTTCGTAGGATGTTGGAGAGGTCATGGAAGTAGGTGTGCGTACTGTCCCAAGTCTTCATTGCTGTGTCGGAGACGGCGGCCAAGATTCCTGGAATTGGGCCGACGGCTCCTTCATCAATGTACCAGTTTCGATGCCGAATTCTGCCACGGTCAGTATACGAACAGAGAGTAGGAGGATAGTAAATACAATTTTAAGTCACGCAACGTCAACATCCCGTTATCAGCCAAGGTTGCAGCGGCGAGACAACTGAGTTTCAAATTCGTCTTTCGGACACGCCATACCGCGACCAGGTCTGGACAAAGGTGACAGCGCATATTGTCATAGTCAAGAGACCCATGGAAAGATGCCGCTGCAGCTGCAGACCCATTTTCGCCAGATATCTTTTCGCTCATTTCGTGGACAGAGGATCGAATACCAGGTTGGAGTGCCTTCGTAATGCTGTCGGCAAGATTCTCCTCCGACAGATTCTTATACGGCACAGGTTCTGGGCCTGCGCCGGCTCGAAATATCATGGTTCCCCAGAACGGCTGATCTCCAAAGAATGGAACTACAATAGTGGGCTTACCCATCGCAATTCCGATGGCGCTAGTGCCGGCGCCGCCATGATGTACGACGCAGGAGACGTACTGGAAGAGCCAGTCGTGTGGACAGTTCCCTAGAAGGAAGATATCTTTAGGAGCTTCACCCTGTCCGAGTCCACCCCAGCCTTTTGATACTAGAGCACGAACACCTGCTCGTTTTACTGCTCTGAATATCAATCCCGTAAGCTCGTCCGGCTTCTCGACAACGATTGATCCGAATCCGATATATACGGGAGGTGGTCCAGCCTCTAGGAACTTAACCAGGTCTTCTGGCGGTTGGTAATTTGATTTTGTCTTCAGGAATGAAAATCCGCAGATGCCGATATAAGATCCCCAGTCCGGCGGTTTGGGTATTAGGGACGATGACCTGCACCGTCTTAGTATATGAGAGAGAACATTGCTTAAGATATATACCAGGTATAGGTGAAGGGGACTTTCATCCTCGAAAGCAGCATGTGGCCCCATAGAGGACTTATGGCGTCTAAATGCAGTGTCTTCATCCGGAATCGGTTGATAACATCACCAAGTCTATCAATTAGTTAGACTCTTAACCTTTAGAGTTGAGAGGTCCTTTACCCCTGCCACGCCAGCAGTTCCATTATAGTATACGACATATAGTTCGCAAATTTGGGATCGGCATTAGTTCCTTGGAGCGACGCAAGTGGATGAGGAAAGAACTGCGTTGGTGACCATGGCATTCTGGTCTCAATGTCAGCTTCTCTTCAAGGTAGAGGTGGTCCAAGCGTACGTGAACATCATATGCAGCGGAATTCCTAGCTTCTCTGCGCAATGGATATGCCCATAGCTAGGCGGATTTGCGATGATAGCATCAGCAACGAAGGAACGGGCCTCTTCTTCCACTTGCGGACCGCTGTTCGTAGCAGCACCTGTCCTCTCGTCATCCATTCCATTGCCTGTTTCGATACAACTTCTCCAGCACTTTTCTAGAATAAGAGCGAACTCAGCTCGACGTTTGCCCACGTCACCTGCCTTCCAACTTTCTTTTCCCGGGAGTAGTCCGGGATTTTTTACCATATAGGCCATGAGGGAGTTCGGATCACCTCCAATTGAGAAGAACTCCAAGTCATTTCCCTCTACAAAGTCCTTGAAAACAGGATGCGTGCAGATCCTCACTCGATGTCCATATGGAGGCTTACTGAGAATTTGTCCAATGGGTATGAATGGCTGGACATCTCCTCGGGATCCAACGATATGGATCGCAATGTTGAGACGCGGAACTCCAGAATAGTTCCCCAGCAAGCCCTGAAAGCTTGTCTCATAATTCCGATCGGAGCTCAAATCCTCACCTCTCTGCGGGAGAGCCCATGGCGCTCTCCTTTGAAGGTGCTTCGTCCTCCCACTGAAATTAATACTGACTCGGCCATCGCGAGTGACTTGGGCTTCAAGATTCGAACCCTCGCTGGAGATGTACATCTTCCGCACATCTTCTGTGATGGAATTGCGATCTTGCTCGGTTGTCAATCGACTGTGGCCGACTGGTAGTTCTCCTCTAGTGGTCATCGTCAAGCCCGGTCTAGATGGAGGTATTAAAGATGCGACAGAGTAGAGTCCATCTCAGCACGATGAGATTGCCATACTCTAAAACTAAAGTAGGGAGAGACGCAGCAGAGAGATACCGTGCCATCACGTGCATGATGTAATAATTCTGCCGTGTTGTAAACCGGACCCCTTAGTTCCGGGCCACCATAGTCACGGGGCCATCACGTCAGTGGCCTTCTGATTATCACCAGTATGTTGTCCTTCTAATTCTCTCAAAGCTAGAACTGACTGTCGGAGGTCTCCATTATCCGCAAAGTAGTGACTACTTATACCGAGAAGCGCTTAAAAGTTGGTAGAGGCCCATAGATCAACTGTGAAATGAATCTTAGACAGCGTAGATGGAAGACCTTGTTGTATACGTTGCCTCTCTGATTCGTAGGCTGTGAGGGTCTAATTTTTGATAGTGTGGTGGTCTGTACGCAACCAGGAATTAATGCTGGGATTAAGAAAGAAGAGAAGGTCTCTATACCATTCGAAATGGAACTAAACAACGGGAGATCCATCGTACAAATAGCTGTTCGAGTGTTGCTGGGTTGATAGTAGTAGTAGAAGAATCCAGACGTTAACGCTTTTTCTAGTTCTCTTCTCTATGGCTAAAGGCAGATGCAATACTTAGTTGTTAAGAGATGGCACGTTGGTCTTTCTCCTCATCTATGATGTTATGCTCTGTTTGTAGATGTCGTGTAATAAATGCTATACCTCTAGATTCTTTATACTCTCTTAGGCAGTATTAATTTACTAGACTAGACATATGCTTCTAAACAAATGAGGTACAAGGCCGTTTCTTACATCTAATTAACTCTGTCGACTAGGTAGATTGTTAAGTTATAGAGGCAGGTATTAAGACGTGAGATTCAACAAACATATTAAGATCTAACATTAAGGGAATAGTTAATTCTAGTCCTAGTAAGGCCATATTACGTTGTTAATAAGTAAGGAGATTAATGATAGAGATGGTAGGAGTAGATCTAACACTAAAAAATCAAAAGCAAATATCTAGAAATTAAAGTGAAAAAGCAATATTAACACTGTGATATTATGCTATATATATCATGATATTTAGCTCTAATATTATACAGTGTTTAGCACAGATACTAGAATACCTATGGGATCTAGGTATATACCTAGGTATATACCTACCTAGACGATTTTAAAAAGTATCTAAGTATCTAGGTATTTTTAGGTATATACCTAGGTATTCTAGTGGTTCGTGCATCCTATATAGAAAAAATACGTATTTAGAATATATGAGATTTAAAGCTTAACACGTGATTTTTAAAGACTAGAGCACGTGATATTTCACGTGTTTTTAGTATCTAGCTGAGTATCTGTAAATACCTACCTTACCTAGCTAATCTAGCTTAGATACTTACCTTACCTAGCAAGTTGACAGATACCACCTAGGTAGTATCTGCCGAACACTAATATTATATCACATGATATTTACATACCTTATATTATACTAGCAATATATCATAATATTGAACATTATGATATTATCATGATAATATCGTGGTATTCCGAATATTATTCCCCACACTACTAGCACCTCCCCCCCTAAACCTCCTCCTACCAACCTACATCCTCTTTCTGCATCTATTCCTTATATATGGCTTCTAGAGCCCCACACTGCGTACAACACCCAAACTTCTCAAATAACCTCTTCTTTCTCATCTCCTTTTGCATCCCTTAGCTAACCCTATAAACCTCTGCCGCTTCCTTACACCTACAATCCTAGATCCGGTGCTTTCGATTCCATGCAAACGGCCCTGCTAATGACACCATAGGCAAACTCCCTACCACTCATCTAATACTTCACCTAACTCCCGTACCCCTCGCCCTTCTCCCCTCCTCCTTTTGGCTACCTAAACCCCAGCCCACCTCCGTTCTTGCTCTTGCGACTTAAATTCTAATTCCTCTAACACATTTATCCCCACTCGCTCGTGTTCAAACCCCTGATCCATGCTAACCTCACTAATACTGTCATCTACTTGGTCTATGACAACCCCACTATCATCAACCTCCTCGCTCGATCGACTGATGACACCCTCTCGGATGGCTCGCCACCTTTCTTTGTCATTAATACGCTGACACACATCACACAGCTACTCACCCTCCTCACACCTCTCTCGATCTAACCTTCCATCCATTACCTCGTCTAATATGGCCCGCCGGCATACGGACCCACCGACAAATTCCTAGATGTTAATCCAACCATTCACATTCTTGCGGGCAACCTCGCTGGGCTGCCCACTTCGCTTAGGCATGATGATGATGGCCTCGCTGCTCTGGCCATCACGGCCAGCTTGTCCGCTCTCTTGCCCGTAATCCTTTAACCTCCATACGACCTCGACGTGAATAACAACTCGGATGTCGGGAACGTCAATGCCTAAACCTAATGCATTCGTTGCGACAATGACCTGGTCTCTAATCTCGAAATTAGGGTCACTAACCATTTCAATCGTCGGGCTTTTCCATCCTCTGTATCGATATCACGGTGATACATCTCACAACCTATCGCCTTAGCCAACTTCTCGCCGTCCACCTTGTTGTTGCAATAAACCACCATCTTAGCTGGTGCTGCATACTAGTCACATTTGCCCTCGATGGCTTGGATGACCGCTGCGACTACTATTGGATTATAACCCTCCTCTCCGCGTCCCCAACCTAGCGGCACCTCTTCCTCACCAATCTCAACCGTCTGGACCTGATATCGGACATTCGGCTAGGTCGTCCGACCACGGATCGGCTTATGCTCCCGCGCTATGTGCGTCAATTAGTAAAACTCGTCTTCGTCCCGCGGTGGCAACGTCGCTGTCAAATACACCACCTAGGTCCCTCGTAACGTCAACTCCCCCAACTGCCTCAACTTAGGCCGGAACTAGGGCGTCCCATCTAATATGGTATGGCATTCGTCGAAAACAATCCGATCCAACTAATGCATCTCTTGTTTCCGGGTTATAAAATCTGCAAACCCCTTGGTCATAGCCGACTCGGGCGTCACAAAAACAATGGATGCGGTTTCATGCGGGTTCTAGCTCTTCCACATCACGCTGCTAATCCGCGCCTTCTCACACCTCTCTTGCATGTTGCCTTGCAACGACACCAACGGCGTCACTACAATCGTGACTCCACTAGGCGCCACTATTACGGGCAACATGAGCAACACGCTCTTCCTACAACCCGTCCCCATGATGGCGACGACGGGGCTCTGCCCGCTCATGATGGCCTTAACGGTGACCTCTGCTTCCCGCGGAACTCTTTGTCGGGCCCCAACAATGCTGCCAACCCACGGTAAATGTTAGCCGTCCTTAACTGCTTCCACCGCTCCAATTGAAACTCGCGGTCGGCCTTCTCCCATGGCGATCTCTTCCGCTTCCTCCCAACCCGGGCCACTAATGTGTCTTGTTTCTCTCGAAACCCCAACCATTAGTGCCATTTCTCACTGATCGTCCGGAACTGCTCACGCTTGCTCATGGTTTCAAACTTGCCTTCGGTGACTAACCGGGTATATATGTTACCTGCGACGTGGGTGCCATGCCCGGACTGTAAATCCCATGGCTTGTCTCCTTCCTCGTTGTCCTCGTCAAACCCCTCTACGTCACAATCTTCTGGCGTGCTGCCATCATTGAATATATCGCGCAAAAACTTCCGGCCAATAGCAATCACCGCGTCCCTCTACACGCTTATATTAACTTTCACCTCTATCCACTCGACGGACTCACGTTGGATAATCTTCCGCATCCTCTTAGATGTCCATGCTTTCCGGCGTCGTCTCAACCTCCCGCCATTGTCTGACGCTTAGCTCTCGTAGTCGGAACCACTCTCGGGCTGGCCCCTAGGCTCCTTGTCGTCCTTGCCATCCCCGTCTTCTATTGGGCCCGACCCCCACATAAACGGGCTTAAATCAATGGAACGGTGGTCCATTATCTCGACACACTCCCAAAATGGCTGGATCAGCCATAAATAATACACCAACAATTCCCCTACTTCTCGCGGCAAAAATCGCTAGATTACCTTCAACTTCTCGCTAGACTCATACCCCTTGTGATACGATGTCACGAAACAAACCAACCCGTCCTCGATGAATATATTTCGAACACCTCCATTCCGGCTGTTCTGATACCGAGTTCCCATAACCTCAGGCGCTCTTGCGGGTTGGCCCCCTGTATAATGCATCAAAATCAACAGCTCTTGTTCAAATGCCTCCATCTCGTGCTGGTTTGTTCAAATGGCCTTCTTTCGCCACTTCATGGGCTAGTCGGGATCTGTCTGGTGCTGTGTCATGTCCTTCCTCAACGCCTCTTCATCGATAACCCGCTTGGCTAACCACTTGGAACCCTCAACCCCATCAACGGTAAACCTGTTACGGATATCTTTCAAAAATGACCGCCCGGTGGCTTGCTCGGCTGGATTGTCCCACAACCGCTCCCACTCGATTGAGGGCAACGGCGTCCCTTGGATCTGATCGTACCCATCCAACTGTAACTTCAACAATTGTGATTAATCGTCGACGTGCACAGATGACCAACCCGCTAATCATACCCCAGATCTGTTCCATGTCGCAATTTATATTCCCTATCGACACGTTATTCCCTTTCCATCAAATGTTCCCATCCACGGTGATGCTATATCGGATGTGCAATCGTACGGTCGGGCTTCAATCATCCAATCCATTGGCGTGGGTTTCCCATTCTCATCCATCAGCATCATGAAGTTCCGGCACATGCTCTGGACCAACTCCACATGTCCTGGGCATTCTTCTTCGGCTCGTTCATGACTCCAACCCTGCCCCTACTCTCTCTGCAATGGTGTCTTGCCGGGTCTGGTATGCCATGATAATTTAATGACGGCTGACAACTTAGGGGTATAATCCTCGGGGTTATCCCAGCCTTTGTCTTCTCGTACGCCCAAAACTGCTAAACCACTAATGATTGCACTTTGGTATTCGTTGTCGACCAAATTATGATCTAATAATGCAATGCAAAACCGAAATAATGCCCGCTGCACATTTGCCTGTGCCTCCTCGCACACCTCATCATCGTCACTCTTCCCTTCCTCTTCATGTTCTCATATAATCTAACGCACCAAGTTGTAGTGTGTCATATTTGCCATTCTTGTGTCCTTCCAGGGCCTAAGTGCCAGGAGAGACACCTCCGGGCTGAACCACACCGACTCTTAGGACGTGAGCTAAAGGCTACTGTCCAGTTGCCGAGCAGCTATAAACTAAGAACAATTGAAGAGCTTCGATCACATAAGCCTCGGCCGGAAGATAAGTGCGAGCAGATACAGCAACTCACCAGTTACAGGGGGTCCCGCTGTCTGGAACTAGGGTGACTATGCCACCCGTCACCCCCGGAAAAGGAGAGAGCACTGTGCTTCTGCTCATAATAAAAAGGGGATAGACCATAGCGATAATAGTCCGCTGTGGGAAGAGTGTATCCTGCAGGCATATTTAACAAGCTATGGGCTAATTGATTATTTTGTTGGGTTGATAATAAAAATGGGAAAAATTGAAATACGTCGGAATTATCAACACCATTGAAAGAAGAGAAAAACTTCTTATTAAGCTAGAAAACGATTATCAGGACGTCCAAAGCGACATTATAAAGCAGGCGGGTATCGTTCAGGATTTCGGAGATTCACGATCAGCCCGGGTCCCATGGCCTGAGCGGTTAGGGTTTCCAAACCATTCAGCGGGGCTCAAGGACGAAGAGATCAAGAGCTCTCGTCAGCTACCAAAACCGAAGGAAGGAGACAATGCTGAGCTCGTCCGAATTATACAGGCCGCAGAGAGCGCCTTTAGGGATGCATATGCATTATGTAGCGACACATCGCCCAAGCGAAAAATGGCACAGCAGCGGGCCAACATTCCCAATGAATTCTATGTGGGGCGTTGGGCCGATGCGCTCTATAGCCCCCGTTGAGGGAGAACTTTGGGAGTGGGAACCTCGCTGCTCGAGTTGCGGACCTTGGGAAATCATAATATCGACTTTGGTTTTCATCATTTCGCGAAAAGAAACAGATGTTCATATAGAAAGTATAGATAACTAGGCATATAGTCTACCAAATCTAAGATCTTAGACAGATAATTTTTATTCCTTTCGCCCCTCCGTAGTAGCCCTCTCAGCCTCGAATGGATCCGGCAGCTGTAGGTCTTCGCTATCAACGGCGGACTCTTTGCATAGTGCATGCTGGTCGTCCATGACTTAGTCGTCTGGTTCCGAGTCTAAGATAACCAACACCTCGATACCGTGAGTAGAGGGGCCTTGGTAATGCCTTATATGTGGCGAGGCACCATGTCTTTGCGGTCCACAACTTACCCTCTTCCGCAACAAATCCATCCACTTAACTGTCGATATCCCACTTCCCGAATGCTTGTATTCGATAACCTTAACAGAGTAATCGGTTTTGAGTATTCGGAGTGGTATTCACCTTGCATTCTCATCCAGTCAACCCATCGATGCTAGGCACCACCTACTCTCTAGGTAACGAGGAAGGCCATTCTCGTTCTTCTTCTTAGCGCAAGGCTGTCACAGAATTGTCCGAAAAGAGCTTTGAACTCCCGTCGGGAGATAGTGATATAGATGAGACTATTCCAGAATCCTTGTAGGGGAATAACAAAAGCCGCTGCATAGTTTAAACCGAATGATACATAATTGGGATTAATAGTTGTGGATAGGCGATTGATCGAAGAGGGGACCTGCGATACATCGTTAGTCATGAGGGGAGAGCCCGTGCAGAGATAAAATAACAAACCCATGTGACAAGCAACGCGAGAAAAAAAAGAAAAGCGTATCTCGTATACGCCCAAGCCGCCATGGTTGAATGAGAGCTTGCTCTAGCAGACCCACTAGCACCCGAATGACTATTGATCGAATGTGCAGAGACAGCCTGTTGTGTAAGGGTTCCGCTTTGATCTGCCTGGCTGTGCTGCTGGGATACCGTAGGTTCCATCGCCTGTAACTCGGTGACAGAAGGATCAGCTATGCGGTTTACATGCTCTGCCCAATCACCACTCATCTCCACCGCTCGGAGCTGTTTGAGCTGGAAATAAATATACAGACCCAGGCGAAGATAGATGGTAAATGTGACGATGATGGTAAGCCAGACTGGACCATAAATAATTGCAATCCGCAGCGTTTTCCAAGGCACAGAAATCGAACAGTAAAGCTAACGAGGCCAACAAATAAGCGGATATCCATTGTTGAATATTAGCGAACTTACAACCGCAGAGCCATAAACCTTCCCTCTGTCTAGGGTTTGGATGAAAAGGAGGGTAAAGGCTGGGATAAAGGGCAGAAAGTAGCAGAGGAGCACGTATCTCCACTCCAGCTGTCGCAGCTGTTCGGAGTTGTACCCGTAGAAGAATCTCAAGTAGACGTTGCTTGCTATGCAGAGGGCCCATAATGCATCCGCTGGGAAGAACCTTAACGTACATCTACGGTCAGTTTTATACCGTTAATCGATGTGTCTGTGATACACACCACTGGAGTAGAAATGCCTGGAATTGACACAAGGGACTCCCTGTCCCATGTTGTAGTCCCGATCGCGACATGAGAGTCGCTATGTTAAGCAGCATATTCCCCCACAATGCGTAGAAGATCAGACGATTCACGGGATTTCGAAAGGCGCTCCGTGATAGAAAGGTCAGCACGGCAATACTAGCACTGATCAGCGACACAGACGAGCAAACGCGCTCGGTGATTGAGATGGCCAACAGTTGTTGTTCATTCAGCGACATTTCATCGTGGCTGGAGGTGTATACCTGGACCACTTTGTCTACATTAATAGGACTGGTTGATTCAAGACGAAGTTAGTATATCAAAAGGATTCTTAACGGATAATAATCGGACCTTCATTAACTTACAGCATCCATGAGATTCGCATAAGAATAGGATTTATGCGCCCTTCCATGCCAAGTTTCTCGCGTGCGCTATGACGTAACGTAGGTCATGGCGTAACCGACATAATGGCGTAACGGGACGGATGGCGTGACGGGATGCTTCGCGACAACCCACCCCACTAAACTTACCAACAACTCTGAATAACTCAACCATGACACGACAAAGAAGCCAAAAAGCTGCAGAGCGAGAGGTTCTAATATTAGAAGCAGTCTTAGGAGTCCAACTTAGAACTTATAAGACTGCATATGAAGCAGCAAAAGCATTAGGAGTTACTAGTCGTAACCAACTGTTCGCTTCGCCAGTGTAGGGAATAATATGATACCATGACAGGGTTAGCAAGAAAACTCATGTAACTTAAGCCTGACTTAAGCAACTCATGAGTCAGTTGAGTCAGAATCACGTGATGTAAAAATCATGTGGATATCACGTGACTTAAAGGTAAGTGAATATCATGTGCCTTATAAGGTAAAGGGAGGGTATAAGTAAGCAATTAGGTAATGTCGTAGGATGAGAAGTGTAGAAGTGTAGTGCCGTCAAAGTGCACGACTGCTGTAGAGCTTAGGAAGCTGTTTAATAAAAGGAATGCTAAGAAGGCTGTATGATAAAATAATGACTCTACACGGAGGTAATAGCAGTCTAAGAAGTGAAGATAATCTGAAGTCCGTAGCTGCTAAGTGTGTCCTCTTCCGTTGTCTCTCCTTATCCCTTCTCTTGGTCCCCCCTTTAATCCTAGCTTGCTACGGAGTCGGAATGAAACTACCCCTTTTAAGTCACCTGACTCCATAGTATCACCTAACTCCGCAGTATCTTTCGTGTATCACTAGATTTCCCCACCACAGTAATAGTAAATTTTAAGGTCCTATGGCGTAGTTAGATAAGTGGCTGACCTAAGATAAAGGTGCCCAGTTTAAGCCCTAAAAGGGAGTGCTTGCCTAAGTATAGAATTTTTAGTAGAATTAAGGCTCTATAGGTAACACTATAGAGAGTAGGGTTGTCATGCATACTACGCATATAATGCTCTTGCTACTTATTGCATGTAGTAGTTTAAGACTCTCTATAACTAGATTGAACTTGCAAAGCATGTGATAAGTAGGAAGGTTTAAGTTCACTGCTCATTCAGCTTGCGACTGGCAGCACCACGCTGAGAGGCACGTTCGGTGACTTTCCGAACCCGGTTGCCGTCGAGGTCGTAAACGTACCAAGTGGTCTCGGAGTTGCCAACCGCAAGCAATTGACGTGACGAGCTGCGCAGTCGGTTAAAACAGTCCCACGTCATTTGAGACAGATTAGAAAAAGACGTTGAGACCATGTTGCCATGGTTGTCAAACCTATAGTTCTCGCTCCTGTTCCCGACGGTCGAAGAACTAAGTCTGTTACCTTTGGCGGTAGACCTTCCATCTCTGAGGGCACTTGGATTGTTGTACTGACACGTCCGCTTCCAACCTGGATAGTGAGGGTCGCCAATTTGATGTCGAACAGATATCAAGTTGTCACACGTGTCATAAGAATAGCTCTCTGTATATTTTGCTAAAGCGTTATCGTCTGTGTTGGCGTCAGGCCCAAGATTTGGCGAAGAAGGAGGACCAGGAGGATTGCCTCTAGTCTGGCCCACGTGCTCTCGTCCTGTCGACTCAGTAAGTCGATACAACGCATCGTAGGTGAATTCCAGGTGAGCGTCAACAGGGCCAGAGCGGAGAAATGTAGGTGGATGGGCTGCATCCGCAACGTAGGTGGTATTCCCAACGGGATCGTACGTGTACGCATTGTCCTGATAGACCTCTACCCCTGCTGCCAAACTTCGTACCTGTGATCTCGTCACATTCTGGGTTTGAGGATCATAAGTGTCGGTGATTTGCACTGGGTTGCCATTCAGTCGAACGATTCTTCGACTGTATGCGTCGTATTCATCACTCGTGACGAAATTTGTCCATACTGTGTTCGTCCCTTGTTGTTCACCAATGAGATTGACGTCAATGGCACCTAGCAGACCACTGCCCGGAAGAAAAGTGGTTCTGAGAGTGCTAAGATCTGGAGTCGTGGTCGTAACAATACGATTCAGCGCGTCGTACGTGGTCGAATTCAGATAAATATCGGGTTCTGATTCAATGTTTGTGTCATCAGACCAGTCGAGATTGGATTTGTAGTCCTTGGCAAATTGACGCTGTTCCCGGAGTAGGTTGCCCTTGAAATAGAATTCAAGGTTGGTCACCGTACCAGCTTGATCAAACACTTGATATTCTTTCTTACGAAAATTGCGAAATTCTGGATCTGGCTGCTGGCTTTCTTCTCTGTAAACAACCTTGGCGTCGAGATACTCAGACACTCTTTCGTCAGAATTTAGGATGTACCGTTTCGTGACACGCCGAAGAATATCATAACCGAAACGAACACGGTAGCCTATGTCGTCTCATTGCATCAGCGGTTCTCCCAAGGCCGTAAATATTCTCCAACGGGGGCCGAAGTCCATGGATTTGGAATTGAGTTCAAGCCCACTCATCTCAAAGATGCTCTCACTAACAATCCGGCCCTGAGCGTCAACTAACCTGAAAACCTTGCCTTCAATGTCGTATAAACTCCGTGTCGACGTAGTTTCGCCACCCTCGTTCATCCTCACTTCCAGGAAGGCATTGTCCATCGAGTCCATATGAGACACTGTCGGAGTGTTATTGCACAATGCCGCCTTCTTAGCGGCAGCCTGTTCCTCAGCGCCGAGAAGTCTAGTGTCTCTCTGTTCGTACCACGTTGGCAAATAGCGGGAGGTCGGGAGGGACTTGATCAAAGGTGCAATATCTGGGTCTTCATCAGGGCTCGAGAGAACGGTGTCGTTCGCATCCCAACTTTCACTTTTCCATGCCCCCAGACCACTTTATTGTAAGATTCGTTTGGCAATAGAGTGACTACTTTGCGATCCAACGCATCGTACACCTCAATTGTGCTGTTTCCCGCAATAGCGTTCAGTTCCAGAGCAGCAGAGGAGGTGTAAAAGGGCTCAAACACCTGCACAGGTAAAGCCTTGTTGTTGAGGGCGACCCAGCCTGAGCATCGCCACCTGTGCGACGCATTACCTGGATTTGCTGGATCCGGTTCTGCCGATGCCTTTTCTTGGATGCTTTGACCGTTGCCGTCCATAAATTGAATTGAGACTTGGATTCTGATGGCTTTACCAGCAGGGTCGTGTAAATGGGCCTCACGAACGACGTGTGATGACCGCATACCGACACTTGGTCCACGTCTGTAAAATGAATTGACGTCGTAGATGACGCGGGAAGTTGCTCCAGCTAACAAAGTCTTGCCTGTTGCAGTTGGGTCGGCAAAGTATTGATCAAGTTCATCGTTGGTCAGATTGGGACGAAAGCCGTCAAGGGTATCGCCTCTATTCTCTCCTTGTTTACCCATAACTGCCACACCTGGAAGTAGTAGAGTAAGTTAATTAATAATCTTCGCATTCAATAAACTGAACCAAATTTGCTTACCGACTGCTCCTCCAAGAGCGTCAAAGGCTACCTGGGAGATATTGCCATTCTCGTCTGTGATTTTTTGAAGTCTCAGCGTTCGATAGTCCAGGTTGCCGGTTAGGGTATTTCCCAGAGGGTCTTGCGTAGATGAAGTTTCAAGGTAGTAGTAGTCGTAGCGGATGATAAAACTGGCTCCGAATGCATTCTGTATGCTCTGAGGAGAAAAAAAAGATTCTTGAGCAGAAGCAAGTTCTACTGCAGGTGAAGCATTTGCGGTTGGATCATAAAATACCAAAGCCGAAGGCGACCATAAATTACCATCGTTCTTGTAATCTAGAAAACCACCTGTTTCAGAAAATACCACTTCTGCATCTGGCAATAACTTTGTGCCATTTCGATTGAGAACATTCAGAATTGATGGTGTAAGACATAGGTCGTAGCTTTGTCCCGGTAAACCAAGAGACTCGAGTTGTCCTACCGGAAGGAGTGAGGTCATCCTTTCGATAACGGACTTCACCTACTTTGAGTATTCTCTTCGCAAGTTGTGAGCCTTGAACCGGCTGGTCATACGGTATTTCCGGTAGAGATGGCACTACTTGGAAATCATGCAGAGTAAATCTCCCTGCGGGTCCCGTCGGTTTAAATCCAGTGATCTCGTATGATGTTGATGTCGAGATCATCGGCAAACGATACCCATTGTCAGTATCATCCACTGCATTGGTAAATGTTTCAACAACATAGTGATTCTTGGTCGTTGCCTGTATGATCTAGTCATCCTGGGAGAGTGCAGGGTCTCCTTTCAACCTTCCATACCAGACAGTTGCAGAAGTCAATGTATTGCCAAATTCATCCTTTTCCAGGGCGATTTCGTGTTCAATCCGCGGGTCTGTAAGGTCACACTCGTAAATATGTACCAGATTTTCTCTCTGGTAAGGGTAGAAGACAGCAGGACTCGATCTATCAACACCCTTTTGGAGCGTGTTACCCACATCGACCACCTCGTAAGGCAGGTGAGCATTCGCGCTGCCATCGTCAGCGTAAGTCTCCTTACGCAGCATTGCTCCTTAAAGTGCTCGTGATGCCAGTCGAAGTTCATCAGGTGTAAGGTCGTGGACATCTGGTAGGATTACATCGTGCAACAGGCTCGCAAAGAATACTTCAAATTGGGATTCGTCGAGACCATTGGAGCCGAAGTACTCACTTCGCGCATAAAGACGAGCTAACCCTTCGTAGTCTGTGTAGGCACCTGTGTGGAACCAGCTTTTTGTGTGCAGCGGCGGCGTGTCCATCAGCGTTTCAGTGTTTGAAAATCTCGCCGTCCCAGCCAATACGTTAAACTTATCAGTGTCCCATTGTTCTACCATGCCGTAACCCCAAAATTCTTGCTCAATGCCGTAGTAGTATCCGTGGTGGTAACGGAAGCGTTTCGTATATACACGATTAGTGATGAGATCTACAGCGATTGTGCGGTCAATGCATTGCTGAGGAAATGGCAAGCGAGTGGCCCACAGGATTCCGGCCTGTTCGTCCTGAAGGTAGTACATCGTGGAAGGGGCATATAGCAGCTGAGTCTCTCGTCCCATGTTGTTCACCATCTTGGTCAGGAGATAAGGCTTCATTCTGGGAGTAAGATCGACATATTTGAAGGCCTGAGGGCCTGCATCAGTTGGGAGGGAAGATGACCATACCAGACACGTCGTTGCAGCGCCAAGCATGTCGACGGCTGTGATAGTGGTGAGTCTGTCAAAGGCAGGAACTAAGGATTCCAGTGACACGGGAGCGCCGAAGGCATTACCTGAAAAGTTCAGGTATACCTGCGCGATTGAGCCGCGAAAATATATTATCTGCGACAGAAATCAGCAAGTCTGCATGCATCGGGCATCATTTTCCTTCGGTCTTACATCAGTGGTACCAGAACCATCTATATCAGCAAGGATAATACGAAGGGAGTAAAGCTGACATCTTCATCAAAGATAGGAGAGCTGCTCATGGTAACCATTGGGCCAAACCTTCCGTATCCTATATTCGGCCAATAGCAAACGCTTCCATTTCTGATCCAATATCAACCAAGCCATCGCCACTCATATCTGCCAGGTAAATTGAGTTGGTTGGGTCGGAAAACAGGACACGAGGTCCTTGGCTCTCGTTGACGGCAGTCTGGAAACCAAGCTCTCCAAGAGATTCGTAGTAAACAAACACATCATCATGAGTTACTAGAACATCAGCAGTGCCGTTGCCTGACAGGTCGACCAGTCGTACGTTGGGTTCGTCCAGACTGATTGTCGGCGAAGATTCAAAAGGCCGAAAAGGCGTCCAACCTGCCGTCGAGGTGTTCACTGGTCCGATGGTGGATGATACGAGACTTCGATAGAAACCATTCACTTCTCCTCGCATGCGGACTAGGTCGAGGCAACTGTCCCTCGCGACAGACATAAAATTGAGACCTGATTGGCCTTCTGAGGTCAAAACTGGCTGATTTTCCACCGTCTCCAAGGGACTGAATTCAACATCTTCCACACGGAGAGACGCCAGGCCCTGGATGATCGACTCATACGTCCTCTTCGCAGGGAAATTGATGGCGCTCATATTTCGCGTATAAGACCAATTACCACCCTGATGAGCGAAGATCCCCTCCAAGCCCTCCCCGAGTAGGTCCACCCATTGGAAGGGACCCTGAACCCCAGCAGGAACGTTTTCCAATCCTGGAGCCTCTCTGACGTCTTCCACGGATAAATCTTTCATTTCATCAGCGGTTAATGGCAAACTGTACTCAAGTTCCAAAGGCGGAAGCCGCATAGTATGATAAGGTCCTTCGTCTCCGGGGGAAGGTGGTGGGTCTAGAGGTCCGCGCAAGACATGACCTGCACCGCGCACAGTAGTAAGTAGCGAAACGGCGGGGTTTTCAGCATAAGTCAGCTCGACTGAGCTTACTAGATAGTCTTGCTATTTTAACTCGTTAAGAAAATGGTGAAACATCAACACGCGCTGGCAAAGCCTGTAAGTACGCACCTCGAATGCGGCTTTGTAGGATGAATACGGGTCCTTGCGGCAATGCCAGAGAAGACCTGGGTCTTCCTCGTAGCCCCCACACATTGTCACTTTGTATGAGAGCTGCTTCTTCAACTCATGGCTCCCTCTATAGAACCTGCACATGTGCTTACGCAATTGATCTAGATGCTCCAGCTCGTGCTCTACATCCCATACTAGGAAGCCTTCATCACACCTCTAACGCCCATGGACTTTTGACAAAGAACCGTTTCCGCCAAGACCGCCTGATTTTGTATGGGAAAACAGCCGACCTCATCAAAACTGCACCCAGCTTCAAACGCTCATAACTTTGTGACCCCTAATACAGGTCAATCGCCTGTCGCTCTGCATGATACGCAAGTCTCCCATGCATGACTCCTTCCATATAAAGTATGTGGTGCGAGTGACGGCTGCCACGTCTTGACCAAGAACCATTTGTAGCGATTTTCGTGTGGCCCTACGCACGGACCACATTTTGGGTTCTAAGTAAGAGCCACGTCTGGCGGTCCGACATAATACGGGGTAGGGTTGGAAGCTGTAGTGGGGGAAAATGCACGGTACCCCATATGCATGGTTACCCCGTACGTTACGTTATATAATACAATTATACGCGGAGTCTGAAAACTCCACTTAAAGTCCCGCCAGGGAAATATCCGGTGACCAGCTATAAAACTAAAGGGCTGCACCCCCGTAGTCTTCTTTAATTTAATCCTTCTGACTAATGTGAGATGGATTCCACAAAGAGAAGCTCTATTGTAGTCAGTCCAAGCCGGAAGGAACCGGTCGACTAAGCTGCTGAGTAAAGTTAAGTAGGGCGAGCTAGCAACAGCGCCGATGGAGCCATTAACACATTGTTGGTGCCGTTCTCTGTCTTGATTGGCTTTATCGCTAGTGCATTGATCCTGGCCAATTATGGCTAGGTTGCCCCCTTAGGGGCCAGGATGAGTTCAGTAGCGCCGACAGGACCCCACTTGGAATTAGTGTATGAGTTGTTAGCATCATAGATGGCGTACGGAACTCGACGGCTTATTTCAAATAGGGTGCTAGTGGCAACAAAATCTAAAGGCCAATAATATCTTGCATGCGAACCCAAGCGAGGAAAACTTAAAATTGACCCACTTTGCTGGTTTGATAGCTGAAGACGAATTAGGTCTAGTTTCCACATCATCCGTTAGATTGGCGTTCTGAAGACGAATTAGGTCTAGTTTCCACATCATCCGTTAGATTGGCGTTCCGGGGTCTCCGCTCGACACAGTAGTGCTTGCCTAGGGTTAGGTAAGCTGGCTACAGAGAAATAACATGGTTACATCACCGTTACCCGTGTAGCTCACGACCTTTTACGATGAAGACTGCGATGAGACCGGCCTGTCTAGGTTCTTACCATGGTTCCTCGAAAAGTTCCACCGACACGACAAATCTGGTAGCCTACTGGAGACGTTCCCTAAGTCTTTTGATAAAAAATAGATATTTTGTGTCGTGCCTCCGCCATGTATTAGCCTTGTTGATATCCGCTTGAGACCCGCTATTGCCGAGAGTCGGACTCAGCGGGCAGGTAGCAGTTAGGTGCTATATATCTAACCGTTCGTCCTCAGATGTGCGCATTCAAGAATTGTGTATACAGTCATTTTCCAGCACTTCATCTCGGTATGGCTCCTGTAGTAGACCCCAATTCGAAAGGCCCGTCAAAAGGTTGGATCTCAACATTTCGGAGGATTGTCCGCAACTTCACTCCTTCGTAAGCCTCATCACTATAACTAAACTACTTTAGATCTAATTCCTTCTAACAGATGGTTTGCCATTACCATGGGGACCGGTATGATCTCGATTCTTCTCTTCAAACTGCCGTATAATGGGGCATGGCTATACTGGATATCGGTGGCAATCTTTGCTCTGGACGTCTTTTTGTTTACTCTTTTCTTCTCCGTCTCCACCGTGCGATATATTTGTTATCCGGAAATCTGGCAAGCAATGATAAAACATCCGACAGAATCGCTGTTCCTAGGGACATGTCCAATGGGCCTCGGCATTATCATTGAGATGATTATAAACATATGCGTCCCAGCCTGGGGCCCTTGGGCAGCGACTCTTGCTTGGACGCTGTGGTGGATTGAGGTGGTGACCTCAATCGCGATTTGTCTCTACCTCCCTTTCATTATGTATGTCCCCGCTTGCATAGTCGATTTTATATCGTTAGCTAACAATTGAATGTAGTATGTCTGTCCATAAAACCGAGATCTCTTCCCTAACAACCTTATGGCTGCTGCCTATCGTCTCAACAATTGTGTGTGCGGCAACTGGAGCCATGGTCGCAGAGACTTTGACCAACTCCGCACATGCTTTGTGGACTTTGGTTGTCAGCTATATCCTATGGGGAATTGGTGTACCTCTCGCGATGTTCACGCTGGTGCTGTATTACCACCGTCTCACAATGCACAAAATTCCTCCACGGGAAGTTATCTCCTCGGTGTTCCTCCCTTTGGGACCGCTTGGCGAAGGGGGATTCGGGATCATGAAGATAGGCCAAGTCTCACTGGCAATCTTCCCTGCGACAAATACCCTCATACCTGTGGCTGGCCAGATTTTGTATGTGTTTGGCTTCGTAACTGCTCTTTTAATGTGGAGCTTTGGGCTTGCCTGGCTGGTCTGGGCTTTAGCTTCTTTTGGAAGAGCTAAGTCTCCGTTTAATATGGGTTGGTGGAGCATCGTATTTGCTACTGGTGTCTTCACCGGATCAACCATAACAATAGGACAAGAGATGACGTCAAGGTTTTTCAATGTTCTCGGAACGGTGAGTCGCGTCTATTTGTCTGTGTGATAAAAGCTAATCTAATGTAGGTTTTTACTGTCATAATTATTCTGTTCTGGATTGTCGCATCTGCATACACACTCCGTGGAACTATCTCTGGGGACATATTCTTTTCCCCATCCGTCGCACAGCTTGAGGATACAGAGTAGCTGATATATTCTGGGCTTGAAGTGCCAAAATGGACATGGATCTTGATGACCTCTTTACTCGCTCGTCTGACGAGTTTCACTATTGCCCATATGTCTGAATAGGTATGATGTTACGGACAGCTGGTATCGACAAAGCAAACATAATTGAATAATACTTGCTACGCATTTAAATTTTTGAAGTGTCTCCTTCATCAGGCAGAATTGTCAGCATCGCAGATAGTCCATAGTGATCCGTAATCCATTCCAGCCCGCCCGTCAGACTACTTAATTCGTTCCGCCTCGACTCGTCAACTCTGATCTCGCCGCAAAACAGCACCTTATCCATTCGGCTTGGTCCAAACCTCTGCATCAATACCTTTGCACACTGATATCCCCATGTATGCCCCTCGACACTATCCTCTAACCCACCAAGAGCAAGGAAGGCATCGTTAAGCTTGTTTTCATTGTGCAAAGTCCGGTCGAAATCTTGTATAGCGTTAAAATCCCCTGCCAGTATTCCTGCGCAGATCCAAGGTGCTCTGAGATTGCGCGTCGAGGTTGCAAACTGAGCCGGACGGAGAGGGGGATTAGACACAAGGGATTCTAGATGTGTGTTCCCTATTCGAAGGGTTTTTGGGATGCTCGACGTTTTGACATCGCGACCAAATTTCGAATCATAATAAAGGCGAAAGACTTTCTCATTCGACAATCTCTTATATATCAGTGTGGTGGTTCCGTAACGCTTGTCGGCCCAGTACCTGTCGGAGATGTCTGCCATATGGAAACTGTCCTGTATCCACCTAGAGGCCTTGATCTGCCGCAAGCCTGAGAGACTGATCTCTTGAAGCATAAAGACTATAGGCAAACTCTTCGGGGTATTGTCAAACTCCTGCTTCAGGAGGTTGAGCGCTGCGTGCACCCGAATCTCGCATCCACTGTGAAATGCGTCGAGATTCCAGGTCAGAAGCCTCATTACGGATGAGAGTACCCTGGAATCCTTTGTAGGCTGACGTGCTGTGACTTCGCTCCACACGCCGCTGTTGTATCCGTAGAATGGTTGAATTTGCGGTTTGTGGTGAGAGTGAAAAGTCCACGATTGGACTGGTAAGCCCGACTAAAGGGAGGTGGTGATGCCATACTGAGATTTAGTCTCATGACTGGGGAGGTCAAATACTTTATCAGCGATACGGTCTCTTATTTACAGAGCGACTGATGGAACACTCCCTCGCTGTGGCATCATGCGTGTTTCGGTCAGCAAGGTGCTGACTAATAAATGCCGATGCTCAGTGCGAAGCTTGTCAAGCCAAGTCTAGCCTAGCGAGAATTATGTCACAAAGCCAAGTGGCAATATCAGATTTGCCCGATACCCCCACCCAGACTCCCCGCTTACCATTCGCAAATGAATTAAAAACCATTACATTACTCAACATGTTAGCACCATCAATGGAAAGCGAGAATGAACCTTCTACAGCTGAGCTGGCAATCCACCGGCACCAGACTATCCCTACGAGAGTTCTCGATACAAACTCGCACCTAAATAGCAGTGTTTCGTCAGAACCAGAATCAACCCATAGGATCCGCAGGATCGGTAGAGCGTGCGATGAATGCCGGGGGAGGAAAATCAAATGCGATGGAAGACACCCGTGCCAACATTGCAGCTTGCTCGAACTAGGTAAGTAATGGGACCAACTAGACTGATCTATTATCTGAATCCAAAACAGACTGCACCTACGATCAACCGAACAAGCGGTCGTCACGTCTCTCCCGAAAAGAGATTGACGAACTAGAATCCAAGCTGGAACGAGCCCAGAGTCTCTTGAAAGCACTTTTGCCGAATCTAGACGTCGACAACCCGAATCTAGATGCTAACACATTGAGCAAATTGCGACTACCTAGCACTGAATCCCAGACTGTAATACAGACTGGCGTTGGCACTTCGGATACAGCCACACGGAGTTTGCCACACGATGGCACCGAGAAGGATGTCGCATTAGAAACTGTTCTCGAAGCGACTGGGCAACTGGATCTTGATGACCTAGGCAACTGGAGCTATCACGGCCATGGATCATCATCTGCCTTTATACGCCGCCTGGGAGAACAATTCGGTAACATTTCAGACTCAGGTGTTGGAAAGAATACGGTGCTCAGGCTCCGGTCAATGCCCCAGATCCGCGAGTCGCCAGGAAGCTCAGATGACCAATCATGCAAAAGCGCAATGCAGGACTCCGTCCCACTACCTCCACGAGACGTTGCGCTGGATTTAACATCGAGTGCATTGAATGAGGCATGTGCTATACTCAGATTCATCCATCAGCCAAGCTTTTATTCCATGTTTGACCGGTTGTACCTTGTCGACCCTGAGCAGTATGGCTACGAAGAGAATATGTTTCTGCCGCTACTTTACGCTGTTATTGCTGTAGGCTACCTATTTTCGAACAGTGAGCGGGCTTATTTCGGCTCTGCACATGCTGTATCTGAAGGGTCCGTCAAGTTTCTCGCATCTAATCTCCTAACTAGTTTTTCTAACTTATAAAGGGAAAAATACTTCGTCGCGTCTCGACAAATGCTTGATCTCACGGAATGTCGCGACCTGTGGTCACTCCAAGCGGTCGTGTTCATGATCATCTTCTTACACTCATCGGCGAAAATGTCCACTTGCCACTCGTACCTTTGCGCAGCGATGGCTGCCTCTCTGCAGATGGGCCTTCACCGCCGTGAACCTGAAGCTATGAACCCGATCGAGCGAGAAAGTCGAAAGAGAATCTTCTGGACGATCCGCACTATGGAGACTTACATTGTTGCCATCCTAGGGTTACCGAGGACGATAGGAGACGATGATATTGATCAGGAGATGCCCTTGGAGATTGATGATCAGTATATAACTAAGGAGGGCATACTACCAATGCCAGATGGGCAAGTATCGATGGTCACAGGGTTTAACGCTCACACAAGGCTTGTTCAAATCTTAGGGAAGGTCATAACGAAAGTTTATCCCACGAAATGCATGCAAAAGGAGGTCGCGCAGAGACCAAGAGCATATGTAGTCATCGATGCGAAGGTTCGTGAGGTAGAGGGAGACTTACAGCTCTGGGCCACGAATCTCCCGATGCACCTCCGGCCAGGTGCAGACTCGCCAAGAGAGCTTCTGAGGTAGTTTAATTAATAATCCATCATGCCAGACCGAATTATCTAATACAATAAGCAGGGTACAACATCACCTCCGGCTAGCCTTTACGCATGTGCAAATGGTTCTCTATCGGCCATTCCTTCACTATATCTCGCACTCCAAAACGGATTCACCAACAAGCGGACAGTGTTATGCTTATGCTGCGGCATGTGTGGATGTCGGCCGAAATATCATTCACAATGCACGACAAATGGAGAAGCAGGATACGCTCAATGGGCCATATTGGTTTTCCATTTATACGACATTCTGCGCAACACTTGCCCTAGTGTTTTACGTCTGGGAGAATGTGGAAGTGGAGGGAACCTTGCAGACATTGAAAGACGCTGAATATGGCCGGGACGTGCTTGCAAAACTTGCTTATAAGAGTATGGCTGCAGCCAGGCACTCTGAGATATTAGCGGTCAGCATAGCATATACAAATCCATAAGTGACATTATTGACGCCTCTAGATCATATTCACGCGGCTTCCGGGAAGATTAGGGAAAGCCCAGGTGACGGCGCAATCGAAAACTCGGAGAAAGCGCCACACATCGTTGTCGAAAAAAAATAAAGCTCGAGAAGCCCACAGCGATCAAGAAGGGACTGACCACAGCTCATACGAGTACCAGCCGCAAACTAGCACATCCGTTAACCCACAAACCTCCACTCAGGCAATTGATTCGGTGGAATTAGGTAGCTCTGCATCTGTGGAGACCCCACAGGAGCCCTGGCCTGTTCCTGAGACATTTTTTCTGTGTGGCGATTTCTCTCGGTTTCTGGGTCCTGATTCGATTGAAGATATGTTTGGGCGCCAACCCCTGTATCTTAAAGGCGGCTTGTCCCCAGATTTTGGTTCGACAGTTATGAATCCCCCCCAAAACGTTGACTCCCTAGATCAGTATGTGAGCACGTTGGATATGCAGAGAGGGCAGATACACCCTCACGATTTCACAGGAAGATTGGACAATGCTGTCATCGATAACATTGGCGAGCCATTTGTTCCTTTATCTCCATACCTTTCACAAATGCATGCACCTAGTGGTAATTCTTTCGTGTCTCGTGAGTCTAACAGACTCTACACAGGAGATTACTATGTGGTGGATCAGAATGATAATCTACGAGAGATATAGCTCCAAAGTATGACGGATGGTGTGGCTTTTGCCGCATCTCATCTGCAGATTCGCTATTACGATAATTGGGACGGAATACTACACGCCACGACGGTTTTGTCGCCGACATTACTTTTATATCTACATGTTCAAGGTTGAATTCGACGGGAGAGGCCTGGGAAGTTTATGTAAAAATAATGATTAGAACTGCAACCGTGAGGCCATTTGCATAGACACGAGCTTGAGCGAGCTTCTGCCTCGTTGCAAAATTCGAATATTGCTCCCCACAACGACAAAGGATGTAACTATGCTCACAGTCCGTGACGAGTAGATACTGCTATACTTATTTTCTCTACTCCATCTCCTTGCCTGTTGCGAGATCGAATGCTATTTCGCAAATTCAGCGAGGTCTCGTTGAGCATCATCAATATACCTCCCACAGCGGGCAATCCAAAATCACTCGAACTCTGTCTGCACTGACGATAGCACCAAAGATTCCAGCGGACTTAGAAGGGTATAATTTCACAGGTAACGTCAACCTCTGAATGATGGCGGTATTCGACAACTATACAGCCAAGTCCTATCGCCACTCCAACAACACCGCCGGTTACGCCGCCAACGAGCAGGGTAAAGAAGTGAGAAATAAATTCTTCCTTTTTGAGGGCTGTCATGTCGATTTATGGTGACTACTGTGAGAACGCCAGATAAGCTAAATAGTATAGCCATAGAATGAGCGTAATGTACTATCTACCCGTCTCGGCATGATAATCAACTTTGACCTAAGAAGTCGCAGATAATTTAGAGACCGAAACCAAATCAGATTTAGTTTCCGCATATCATCCGTCGGAAAACACCCAGCCCACAACCGGAGAGGCCCGGCGGCTAGCAACGGCTCACCTACCCGCTTGATCCGCCTATCCGGACTGAGGGTCGGGCGGATATCCGTAAAGTGGTCTGCGTGACGGTCCTAACCTGGAACTATGGGAACGTGAGTACGATTGCAAGCGTTGCGGGCCATTGCTTATTTTGACCTTAACTCGACGATACCACGAGATATCAGACTATCTCGTGTACGCTAGCCTAGCCTAGCACCAGCACAGATTCAACTCTCGAGCTGGGATAGTACATATATGGGGAGTTAGGGGCAGAAGGAGAGCCTATGGCTATAGTACTCCTTAAGACTATAGTTACCTTTGAACTTGGAACAAGGGCTAATACCAGCAGAATTTGGATAGCTTATAGCTTAGTGCAAGAAGCTTATAAATAAAACAACAATAACAATAACTAGGATAGGATAGGACTAGGACAGCAGTAGTTCTTGTCAAGCCAGTCGTGAGGTTAATGTAAATGCCAGCAAATTGAAGGGGATGGTAGTATGAATAATTTCTCAATAGTAGGGTTTTTAAAAAAGGTGGATAAGGTTTTATTGCTTAGACTGTACTAAATAGGGATATGGACATGGTTGTACCAGTTTGAAAGATTGTTATAGTTAAGCAGCTTCATCTCACTATTATCGTTCTACTACTCTCACCATTCGTGCCTTTGTAGCACCTCTACACGCTATCTCGCCTATCGTATCTGCCACTGTTGTCGCCGGCCCGCCTCCTTTTCAAGCCTAGTATCATGGCCTCACGCGTAGCATTCGTTCACGGTGCACACTCAACGCTTTATACAGTAAGGGGACAAAGGAGCATGTATTTCTACGAGGCTGGTATTATCTTACACTCTACATCTTGCTCATCAACTCACCACAAACCCCTCTTCACTCCCCTTTACACCTCCGATCTAATAATAGTACGTCTCATCCACCGTCCTGCCGCGCATAAAGTCCGGCTCGCTGCCCCTAACATAAATATCCTCGAACAAGTTCTTTGGATTGGCCTTAGGGGCCTCCATCTTCTCCGCCTCCGCGACCTCGATATCGACATCCTTTCGCGCCTGCGTATCAATGCCCTTCAGCTCCTCCTCGCTCACGACCTCCCAGTCCAGCAGCTGCGACTTGAGGTTAGCGATAGGATCGTCTGTCGAGCGCATGCGCTTGATCTCCTCGCGCGTGCGATACGTGGTGCCGGGGTCGGACATCGAGTGGCCGCCGTAGCGGTAGGTTGAGTACTCGATGATGACGGGACCGTGGCCGGCGACGGCGTGGGCCTTGGCGTGCGCGACAGCGGCCTTGATGGCGAGCACGTCCATGCCGTTGACTTTAAGGCCAGGGATATATTGGCCGCGCTTGTAGTAGTCGGTAATGGCAGAGGAGCGGTTCATGGAGGTACCCATGCCGTACTTGTTGTCTGAAATTCACATATTAGCTTCTAGTTCGACCCAGAATAAACAGGAACGGGTAAATTATGACGAAAGCGGAAAAACATACTCTCGCAGCCAAATAGAACAGGCAATTTCCACAGCTTCGCCATGTTAAACGCCTCAAACACCTGTCCCTGGTTCGACGCTCCATCACCATACAGCGCCACTGTGACATTCTTATCCCCGTTATACTTATGCGCGAACGCCAACCCAGCACCGACAGGCACTTGCGCGCCAACAATACCGTTGCCGCCGTAGAAGCCTTTAGTGAACATGTGCATAGAGCCTCCCTTACCGTAAGCGATGCCCTCGCGGCGGCCTAGGAGCTCGCCGATGATCTGCTTGACTGAGGCGCCACGCATCAGCGCGTAACCGTGGCAGCGGTAGGCCGTGATGACATCGTCGGATTTGGCGATGGCGTGCTCGATGCCTGTGGCGACGGCTTCTTGGCCGGTCGACAAGTGGCAGAAGCCGCGGATCTTCTTCTCTTTGTACAGTCTGTCGGCGGCCATTTCCATGCGGCTGATGTGTGTGAGTACGGCGTCGTCAGGGGAGAGGAGGTTGGAAGCAAGGGGGTGTCCAATGTGCTTACCGTGTGGCTACCATGTCGTAGTACATCTGCTTCAGCTCCTTCTTCGTGGTGTTGAGAGTGTATGACGGCGGGTCGAACTCGTAAGTCTCGAAGCTCTCGTCAGAGAGACGCACTTCAAAAGGCTTATCATCCTCCTACAACCCAGTCAGTACACCCTATCATAAAATGCACTCCGACCTCGTCCTCTCCATCCTAATTGATCGACATACGTCAGGGACACACTCTCTCTCCGGGTGAGCCGACGCAGCTCCAGTAGTGACCGAACGGCTCGCAATCGCCGTCCTCGAGAGCGCAGATCTCGGCAGCCGCGCCGCCCGGCTCGTCCTCAGTGCCCGTGAGAACATCGTTGTGTGGTGGTGGCTGCTGAGGAAAATGAACGCTCTCTGCTCTATCGAATGGTTGAAGTAGGTGCGATGTATAAGGTGGTAATATGGGAAGTAAAATTCGATTTTAGAGGCAGTGAGCTATAAAGCTTCGACTAATATGGCTATCATGGGCGTTACAAATGAGGAGATGATGTGGGTCATTTGCTTTTGCTTAGGTTGAAGACACAGAGAATAGTGACACTTCTCTCCCCGAGCATGACGGCCAAACGGTACGTTATGATAAGCCTCGAATCTAGTCAGGGTGACGATCCATTCAACTCAATCAATCAATGCCCCCAGTGGAGTGGATATAAAAATTAGTCAGCAGCTGCATCCAGTGGAATGGATCCACCACTAATCGAAATTAATTTAATTTATTGGTGGAAACTATCTCGCGGTTCTCGGCGTTCTCGGAACAGCGAGACTAATTTGTTTAGCCTCTGCAGAAACCTTGGAATCAGTAGAGCCTAACTACAAATTGTTTAATGGCGGCCGCCAGATACAGAATAGCACTAGCATAATCAGGAGAGACTGAATACCGAGTTTACCCGTGACCTCTTGATCCCCATTCCCTAGCAGTAGATACTCAGGCTCTTATTAACTCGCAACACCGGGAACACTTGCAACAAATATAATCCCATTTTTGTCTCTATTACGCTATTGAGTTGTTTCCTACGAGGCGGACTCATTCTTACCGAGTCACAGATCCGCCCTTGCGTCCTCTCCAGACCACGTCCGCCTCAGCAACTCCCTGATAAGCTGCTTCTCTATAGTCCTTGGATTCCAGTACGAGTTCCCGACCGTAATCTCCGCAGCCTTGTCTATATCTTCGTCTTTAAATCCAAAGTCCTTCAATGATCTCTTTACCTTTGGCCTCTGAAGCAGCATACTCAGCCCGTTGGTTGCATCGCCATCACTAACCTCTTCATAGTATCGGGTATAACGGGAGGGAGCATTATAAGCCAACACATGAGGTAGGATGATGGTGTGTGTTTCGGCGTGCGGCATGTTAAAGGACCCTCCGAGGGTATGGCATAACTTGTGGTGGAGAGACATTCCGACTGCACCTAAGTAGGTGCCATAGAGCCAGGCGCCATAGACGACGGATTCACGAGCTGCGAGGTCCGCCAGTGATTCGACGATCCTGGGTACTGCGTGTGCATGGAACTACGACTGGGAGGATTAGCTAGAGAATTATAGGAGGTGGCGCAGACGATATACCCAACTGAACGGTCGCACGACCTTCCTCAAACCAGGCACACCAAGACACTGTCATGGGGACATTTGAACTGGAGAATGACGATTGTGGTTTCGTCAGAGCTCCCTTCCAGCTGTCCAGCATTTTGATAATATATGCTTGATTCGAGCAGCCATTACGAGCTGGACAGCATTTTATACTGAAGAAGGTTAGGCAGGTGCGAGATAATGGGATACAACATGTCGCTCTAAATCTCCATTCGACACCGCTGTTGGAGGCTGCTGTAAATGGTAATTGAGGTGATACACTCTACTAGAACGTGGCAGCGCAGAATCCACCCAATGTCCAGCAACACTTGTTCATTTGTCCGTCTGATTCGCAGTTCCCGCTCCCTCCACTGCCCTGTCTCCTTTATTCGGGAAAAGTTAATTGAGACTGACCAGCAGAAGGATAAAGGATATTATTGAGTTAAAGCGGCTGCAGCTGTCATCTTCCCTCCCCCCTTTTTCCTCTCAAACCCTTTCCCAGCTCATCAGATGCAAATCTCGTGTCAGACTTTTTCCATCATCATTCCACGCCTTCCACGTTAGGCACTGTAAGTTCTAATTCAAATTACATAACACTTTACCTAAAGTTCCAATTAGGATCTTTGTGTCATATCCCTTAGGTTGTGATATTCGGGTACTTGGCCGTCTCTGTGGTCGGCGATGAATGGTGGTTTCTCGTACCCATTTAATCTATGTAGGTCCGCAACCTCCTTGTTGATCTTCTCATTTGAAACCCCTTCTGCAATTCCAACTCGGACTTTCTGCGCTGCTCTAAAACGGACAGCAATTGTCCTCAACTGTTCACAATTATGACCATTTGCGAAATAATAGTCATTATGACCACCGCAAGGATTCGAATTGGAAAGTCAGAGCATATCAGCTTTTCCCAAGGACTCTGGCTGCTTGACATCTTTGTTTAATGCATGTGCTAGTAAAGGCTCGAGTATATCAATGCAAAATGATCGAAGCCTTGTTCACTAAAAACGTGTCGAATCGTTATATATGAGGTTGATATATGTTCCGGCTCAACCACCAACTTTGCTGGTTGGCCAACTGGCCGGCCCAACCACCAACCTGCCAAGGAGCGGGGTATATAGAATCGTAGAAGCTTCATATTGTAGACCTATTCTACAACTATAGCTATAATGGCTACTATTGCTTCAATCAACCCGTTTCCAAACGACGTGCGCACTGCTTTTGAAGCATATAGAAGTAGTACAACTTACTACAACCGTGAGCAATTCTCATATGAGAAATGGGATCAAATATGCACTATACTACGCAACCCAAAAGCCTTCAAACCTACAGACAAAGAGTCTAAGAACCTTAAGCACCGTGCACAATTTGATTTTGAGCTTATTAATAATAAGCTTTATCGACAGAGCAATACACGATATACAAGCTCACGATATATGGTACTACAAGCAGAGGTGTTTGGTGTTATTGCAGAAGAGCATCTAAAGCTCTTACATGCAGGCCGTAATAAGGTGTAGCCAACTATCAAGCAACAATACTATAGAATAAAGCGAGAGGATGTTGAGTTTATACTCAAATAGTGTAAGAATTACACACTAAATCGACCAAATACAACTAAGGCTCCCTTAGTTCCTATTATAAGTAGAAGAGCGTGGGAAAGGGTTTAAATTAACCTAATTAATATGCGACACGAGCCGTCAGGACAATATAAGTAGATTCTACATATAAAGGATCACTTCTCAAAATATACATAGCTATGTCCATTAAAGAGCAAGCATGTAGAGCCTATTGCAGACGCCTTTGCTCTCTTCATTGCAGCCTTCTTACCTCCTAAGATTATGCAAGCTGATAATAGGAAGGAATTTAAGGGAGCTCTACTCATTCTACTACAGAAGTATGGAATTCAAGTAGTAAATGGAGCACCACGGTCGCCTTAAACGCAAGGCCTTGTTGAGCAAGCAAATGGGGTTGTTGAGAATAAGCTACGGGCATGGAAAATGGATCATAGGTCTACAGAGTGGAAAGATGGGCTACTTGAAGTCACGCTTGCAATGAACACCCAACCCCACTCTACAATTGGGTGCGCACCAGCTGAGCTACTGTTCTGAGAGAGGAACTCTCATATTGACTGGCTTAATAGCCAGGCTCGGAAGGATCTCTCAATTGGGGTTGAGCAGGAAGACCCAACTATGGCACCGATTTTTGAGAGTGATTTTGAGCCTGAAGCTCTAATTGACCCACAGCTCCGCCAAGCGCCAGATCTTGGAATTGAGCTTAGAATTGAGAGCTCCTACTCTGAGCCAGAGCTCGGAATTGAGCTTAGAATTGAGAGCTCACACTCTGAGCCAGAGCTTACAATTGAGCTCCGGCGTGGGAGTAGGACTCGATTGCCAGCTCAATCTAGGACTACGGTAGTAGCTACACCTGACCCTGTAATTGAGAGAGCTATAGCAGCTACTCAAAGAGCAAGGGTTTCTATGATACGCAAGTATACTAAGAAGCACGATATCCAACACTTTGATGTTGGAGCTATAGTCTCTAGAAAGGTTCCTCGAGAGGATAGAACCTCAACTGATAATAAGTGGCTATTTGCACGCATTCTAGAAGAGCCTTACCCTCATAGGTATCGCATTCTTACACCTCCAGGTGTTATACAACGCCTTATACCTACAAAATCACTCGGAGTTGTAGAGCAAGCTCTATGGTCTGATATCATTATTCCTACTTCTACAAAGCAAGTAACACTAGGGCTTGCAGCTAGAGAGGCTTCTACAAGCGCACAGGTTGGAATATCATGTTAGTGTAAAGGGCAGTGTAGTACAAAGCGGTGCCGTTGCTATAACGAAGCTAAGGAGTGTAGTGTACACTGCCACAACGATGACCATGACTGTGGCTATTTATCAGGTCTAGCTACTCGTACAGAAATTGCATTAGTTGAGAGGCCTCGTCGGAAACGGGCACGGGCAGACACAGTAGGAAATAGTATATTGATTATTTGATTACTTTACTACTATTTACTACTATGTAGGTTGGTGGTTGGGCCGGCCAGTTGGCCAACTGACCGGCCAGTTGGCCAACCAGCAAAGTTGGTGGTTGGGCCGCAACATACATAAGCTGCCAGTAGCAGTCAATCTGAAATCTCTGACATCTTTCTAAATAGCGCACCATCTATTGGAACTTAGTAGCAGTGATAAGGAGACGATATCACCACTCCTCTCCAAACAACCGAACCTCTTCGAACCTCTCATCTCTCTCCTCACCTGCCATGCTTGCCGCCTCGCTGCTGTGCCTTCTAGCCGCGGCCACGCTGGGCGCGGCCTCCCCCACACGCCGCTACATCGACCACGTCGTCCACGAGAGCCTCGAGCACACGCCAGTGCAGTGGACGAAGCGGGAGGACTTCGCTCTGAATCCTGGTGCGCGGCTGCCCCTACGGTTTGGCCTGCGGCAGCAGAATCTCCATCGCATGTACAAGTTCATCGACGGCGTGTCCAACCCGCAGAGCAAGAGCTACGGGCAGCACTGGACGCACGAGCAGGTGACTAGCACGTTCGCGCCTAGGTAAGTTGCGGCGGTGCGCCCCGCAACTTCCTGGACTTGTACATCTCGCTGACAGCCCATGCAGCGACGAGAGCATTGCAGCCGTGACGGAGTGGCTGCTGGAGAACGGCATCGCGGACCACCGAATTGAGGTGGGGTCGTCACGGCTCTGGATCTCAGTCAACTCGACCGTGGAGGAGGCCGAAATGCTGCTGCACACCAAGTACCACGCGTACGACCATGACACCACGGGCCAAGGGTACGTGGCTTGCGAGGGATTGTACAGCATTCCACAGGTGCTGAGCGAGCACCACGTCGACCTGATCGTGCCAACGCTGCACTTTGACGTGCCTCTGCGTGCGCCGACAGACGGCGAGCGACGCCGCCGGGGCGAACGTGATGACAAGAGGAGCCTCGACCTCAGCCTCGCCCACCCTCTTGCTATCTACAGCCCGCAGCCACCGGCTGGTGGCGAAGACCTGGACAGTTGCAACATCACCATGACCCCGACCTGCCTGCGCACGCTGTACTCGTTCCCGCCGGCCAAGCGGGCCGCTAAAAGCAACTCGTACGGCATCGCTGAGTTCTCACCCGCGTCGTACTTGGGCTCTGACCTGGATTTGTATTTTAGCGAGTACTCGCCCAAGCTGGTTGGCCAGCGGCCCATCCAGGTCGGCATCGACGGCGGCGCTGAGCAGAATGCTACGTACGGCTTCAACTTCCAGGGCAGGATCAACCTCAACCTCCAGATAGCCATGACGCTCGTCGCGCCGCAGAAGGTGACCCTTCTGCAGGCTGGTGACGACATCGTAGGCGCCTCCTTCAACACCGTGCTCGATGCCTTGGATGCTTCCTATTGCACCTACGAGGGCGGCGAAGACCCGACCCTGGACCCCACCTACCCGGACCAGCAGCCCAGCGGCTACGATGGGCCCAAGTCTTGCGGTATCCCGAAGCCCCCGGGCGTGCTGACGACACCGGTTAGCTTGAGCGAGGCCCAGCTAACCCCGTTCTACGAGGACCGACAGTGCCACGACTACGCCAAGCTTGGATTGATGGGCACAACCGTGCTGTACTCGGCGAGCGACTACGGTGTGTTGAGCCCTTCTCGTCACTCGTGAAGTCTACTTAGGTCCAACTGACATAAACGTCCTAGGTGTCGCTGGCGTTGGAAACCGCTGCCTATCTGATGACGGCAGCGAAGTCGTCGGCAGCGGCCGCTACAATCCGACTTTCCCAGGCGGGTGCCCATACGTAACCAGCGTGGGCGTGACGCAGGTGATACTGGGCATCAACATCACGGCCGCCCTGGCCAAGGGCGAGCAGGTCGAGAAGGCCATGTCGCTGGGCCACATCTTCCCCGGCTTTGGCTACAGCGGCGGTGGCTTCAGCAACGTGTTTGCGATGCCGGCGTATCAAGAGCACGCCGTGCACCGCTACTTGGCCTCGCCAAACCTCTCCTCAATCAGCCAGTACTTCAACAGCACGGGCCGGGCGCGCGCGTTCCCGGACGTCTCCGCCAACGGCGTCGACGGCCAGGTCCTCCGCAGCTCCAGCGCCAGCTGCTCGGCGACAACATTCGGCAGTTTGATCACGCAGATCAACGGCGAGCGTTTGGCTCCTGGCAAGAGCACCGTCGGCTTCATCAACCCAGCCCTGTACGCGTTCCACGAGGTGCTTAAGGACGTGGCTATAGGCAGCAGTCCTGGTTGCGGCACGGACGGTTTCCCCGCCGTCGAGGGCTGGGACCTCGTCACAGGCCTTGGCACGCCCATCTACCCCAGGATGCTGGAGCTGTTCATGTCGCTGCCGTGAGCCGAGTGCAAATGCCCGCATGACACGACGTACAAGTGAATCTCTGCGGGTATATGGTACAATCTCACCCCCGGAAATGGGTCCCGTTTATCCCGCAGATATGTACGCTAAGCTAGAACTCTAGACAAAAAAATCAATCACACAGGCACTTTCTCTGAGCCTGTTTTGGATTAGCTGACTTCACGAACTCTCATGTTGTTACTGTGACTCGCGCATCTCTTCCAGGAATCAAAATCCATCTTTCCAAGCGTAGCAGCGACTTCCTCCATTTGCTTAGTATATCATGAAATGAATTTGCGTTTTCAACTGCTATATGCCTGCTCTAAGTCGCTCTTTGGAGGGGGTGGGGTGGAGCTGTTATCGTCGCTGCCTCTCGCTGATCGCTGGGGGTGCTGGGCTGAGCTTTTTCTTGGCAGGGCTCACGGCGAGGCCTTTAGGCGGTGTGGCCGAGTTTTAGCTGCAAACAATAGTGCAGCAATTTAGTGACTTGGCGAGGCGATCCCTCAGGACGACAGCTCTTTAGACTGACGGTGCACTGGGATGAGACACGCATCTCTCACATGAAGATAATTATCGGCAGATGGGGCAAATGCCCCGTATAAAGCCTTATGGGGCAAAATAAGACGAACGAAGGTAGAGTGCACAGTGTATGGTATGTGGTGCATCGGGGACAGCTTCACTGGATGACGGCGTTCCTGGACCGAGCTGACATGTGCCAATAGTAGACCCATCTCAGGATTTCATCAAAAAGTCTAAAGTAGATACAGCTGGAGAGTATGAATATAGCGAAAGAGAAGAAGAAGAAAAATTAGTATGAAGGCTATTGGCACAGTACACCAGCTAATACGGCTTCACATCCGCCGACCGTGTCCCCCGATTCAGCTGAGCATTGATGGCTGCGCCCGCGAGTGCCACGAACTGCTCTTCTGTCAAGTACAGATACTTATCATTCTGCCAATGCCTCCTTTCCATCTCGGATTCCGATTCGCGCGCATCGTTCTGCGCCCCATGCGCCACTTTCCACTCATCCTCGGGCGTGCCGTGTGCCGTGAAGTAGGGCAGCTTGCGCATCTTCGCCAGGTTGCGGAAGCCGGTGTAGTGCGCTCCGGGCGCCATGATCTCAACGACGGTAGACTGTTTGGGGAGGAAGAACATGTGCGTCATTCTCGCGCCCATAGCGCCTATGAGCACATCCGTCTGGCTTATGATCTCGAACTGCTCGCGCAGGGAAATGGTTGAGAAGTCGACGATCTGGAATTTGGTGTCGCGGAAGGTGATTTTGAGCTTCGCTATGTGGCTGTCGATGTTGAAGATCTGGCGCGTTGTGGTACGATTGATGATTGTGACGACTGTGTTCTCCGTCGTGCGCTCTTTGTAGGTCATCCCAAGGTGAGTGTAGATGTCGCGGATGAAGGGGTCAATTAAGTAAGCCGACTTGCAATCCATGTCGTCCCAGACACCGATCCAAAAGGGACTGCTAGTCCCTACGAGAGGGAGTATGACATCGCCGAGGCACGTATCGCTAAGGGTGCTGAGGCGTACTGGCTCGCTGCCAGTTACTATACTCCAGAGACTGTCGACTGGTCCCTCAGCATCATCTTCGAATACAACTTGCACTTCTTTTCGCGCAGCGGCTGTTAGATACGGTTGTCCTAAGGATGATCCATAGTCTGTCATCTGGAGAGCGTCTAGAGTAAGTTTGGTTTGCCACATCTCCAACAATTTATGCCAAATGTTGTTGTTTCCTTCCCGTCTCACAAACATCGTATATTTCTTGTCGTTTTTCTTCGTGTTACAACTTTTACCGTTGTCGTTTGCTTCTCGTGAAATATTCCACCGCTTTAGCTGCGTGCCTACACCGGTTTCATAGAAGTACTTCTTGAACTTATCGACATTTCGAAACAGCTTCAAGTTGGCAGCTTTCGACGGATCAAGAGCGATCTCAGTCGTGAGGTTCCGCAGTTGACAGTTCATGGACCAGGACATCTTGTCTTTGAGTCTTCTGATAACTAACACCCCGAGCAACGCAGGCCACGTCACTGTTAGTAGTTGTGAAGAACTCCAACGACGAGCGAGATCCATCTTCACAATAGAAGATGTGATTATCAGCGATGTGCTGTAGGTATTGAGGGCCGTATAATTTGTTGCAACTCTCATAGTCATCAACAGGCTGGGTGCGGTATTGGTCCAGAGGCTCTAGTTTAGAATTTTGCGAGCCTATGTAGCCCGAGGTAGAAGAAGGCGTAAACTGGCGCCATTCAAATGAATCGCCATGCGTGATAATTATGTACTTCCCCACGATGAAAATGAGGCCGAGGACAACGATGCAGATAATCGATCTCCGTTTGGACAACAGACATCTGAGAACCGACATTCCGGCAACAACTCTGCGACGACACAAGAGGGAATAGAAGTCATGACAGACAACTATGTGTGCAAGAGAGCAGTACTCGTATCGATGACTTTGCGTGACAGTTCCAGCCGCAAGGGGGGACCCAGCAAACGGGGAGTAGCGTTCCCACCTTCTTCTCAGCTTCAATGCCAAGAACTGCGCGACGCGATGAGGACCAACATGCAGGGGGCAAGAGCTGACTGTATCTGGGCTCAGGGCCCCACAGTGTGGATTTTCCCACAGTATTGATGAGTTTGAAAGTGCCACAGACACAATCTCGCCAAGAGCGTCCACAGTCCTATTTTAGTATAGCATTAATTGGTCTGGAACAGAAGATCACGTAATGCAAGTTGCAATTTTTCCCTCGAATGAATATGTGTTTGTAGAACACGAAGTTTCTGGACACTATGCGCTGCAGGCAGCAAGACTTGTAACATACCTAGTGTAAGACAGCTTTGTTAGATTTAGCTGCATGACGCACCACATACATGTGGTGGGAACAGCGCTAACAGACCCTAAAATGGCGCTAATGTAAGACAACTTTGTTAAATTTAGCTGCATGACCCACCACACACATGTGGTGGGAACAGTGCTACTGTAACAGACCCTAAAATGGCGCTAATGTAAGACAACTTTGCTGGATTTAGCTGCATGACCCACCACATGTGTGTGGTGGGGACAGTGTTAGCAGACCTTAAAATGGCGCTAATGTAAGACAGCCCTGTCAGATCTATCCTAAGACGGCGTTAATGTGCAAGTGGGTTAAGAACAAACGCTCTTATGTACAGCTTTCTTGCCCACTGCCCTTACTTTTACAATTCAATTAACGTAATTAAGGAGGGCGACGATCTTATTACTCCACCTCAACAACAGTAATTAACTCGTGATGAACGGCTTGATGTTTTAAGGGGTTTTTTTTCATGTAAAAAGGACTAGCCTCTTTTAGGAGAAGGACTAGAGGTTGACAAACAATGAGTTATACTACGTACGCACACACTATGTCACAGGCGGGTCCCAACCGGTTCGACCCCAGTGCGCGCACTAAGAAGTTGGGCACACCTGCCTCACGCATTCCTAGGACCACGTACGGGTTGCCTACGGGTTTGTTGGGCAGCCCGTAAAAGGGGTGCGTGACGGCCCCCTATTAGATCGCCTACGAACCAGACTAGCATTGCACCATAACTAGAGGTCAAGCCCCTGTATATAGTGAAGACGGACCCTGAGGGAATAGGGGGCAGAGTTTAGTTTATAGAATACAGTATTCCGGCTCGCCGGGAATACGCGTAACACGCTATATATACTGTAACGGTCGGTCGGCACCACCCCGTTACAGATCCCCTGCCTCCTCCGATAAGTTAAACTATACGCAAGAAACCCTTGTGCATCCTATCGTTTAGGATGCAGCCTTACACTATCTTGCTCTATCAAGTGGTAATTCATAGTCCACTCGTCAGCATTTTTCAAACTGCATCTATGCTATAATCCAAGGCGTTGCAGATTTGCTCGATCCTGATGATAGTCAGTGTTTACTCCTGAACAGGAGAAGTATATATACGTTAATACATCACCAAGAAGCTGCTTAATAATAACAGGTATTGAGAAAGGAATCCAACTTGGATCATCGATAGGGACATTAACGTTACAACTAATATGGGCAAGTTGTTTGCTCAGATATGGGAAGGAGTGAGTGCATGCCTCCCACAGCAGACCGTATTGCGAAACTGGCCGTCCAGCTGCAGAATATTGGTCAGTCATTGATTGCTTCAGCTAGTACGGAAGGGATTCCTACAGAGGAAGAAAAACTCGGTAGATCCACGGCCCCATCCCATTTTCTTCATCATAGTACCTGAAATTACACGATTGATCCAAAGTGCGCCACGCCTCAAACGATATAAATTTGCCGATCCAGAGCTCGATATACAGATTCGCATTAGGCTATCGATGGTATCAATTGGAAGACCTTGATGCTCCATTACCACACACAAGGACGCGAAGACCAATTCGCGGAAGATGTGCACCTGTACAACAAGGCCCTCACTTGTTTGGGAGGCTTTACTGTCTATAGCATACTTCCGAGCCGACATTATCAAAGCGTCAGTCGCATAGAAAGAGTCTCGGGATGTAGATGGTGGAGACTCGTCTCGTGGAGGAAATAGGTCTTTTTTTAAGCCTAGAATGGCTGTTAGAGCATACTTGTTCCGTTCGACCGAGTCAAGTCCAATAACCACTCTCTTATCTTCCCAGCTACTGGCTTTGTCCCACCCCGTGGTTAATTGGTTGATGATTTGCTTCCAGCGGGGATTGCCTCCGAATATGTTTTTAGGCGGCTGCGTAGTTGTGAGCGACAAGGCTGGGGAAGACTGCGTGGCTTGGACGATTCGGCTCTCATCGTTGACAACAACAATGTCAGGCGGAAGATATGGCAAGTTTGCATCGGCCAAAGGGGGTCCATCTACCCCTGTATCGCAGTGTTCATGGTGGCGTTGGAGATACGAGACTTTCGCCTCGAGAAAGCCGATATAACTGATCAATTCACTGATCTGAGCTGTTTGGGTCTGCCATGGAACGTGGGTACGTCCCGGAGTTGTCATCGTTTTGTTGTAACACAGCAAGAAAGATCTTATGAGATGTGTCTTTGTATCACGCTACTTAGCCTGTTGCATAGACCGAGTGATTATAAATAGGACGTATCTCCCTAGCTTAGCAAACGCTGTTCGGCTGATGACAAACAGATCAGAAAGAGATCTGCGCGCTAAAATCTTACACGAACCTAGCAAAGGTGCCACCACACATGTGTGGTCTTGGATGTTGGGTGACGGCGCTAGTGCTATCTTTACCTGAAAAAGCTTGTTTAGTAATCTGGTTGGCTTATGACCTGCTTTCAGATGGAACTAACGCTTCTATCATCGACCAATTATAATCCATCTGTAAATGGCCTTCAACTGGCTAGCAGTAAACCGCGGGAAACCCATAAAGGTCAAGTATAAATACCTTGCTATTATTCACATCAAACATATCAAGCAATTGGCCATTACGCTTTCGTGCTCCAGATTACCCTACAATTTTATTACGGTAAGACCAGTTTTACCTTGATAACAAACCTTTCAATTAGACAAGACTAACAGCATTAGGGTATCAATGACGATGAAGTTCAACATCGGACTTCTCCTGGCTCTTGGAGGCGCTATCGCTGGGGTGGGAGCAGAGGGCATAAACTGCAAGGGTAATGCCCGTTGTGCTCAGCTGTCACTCTACACACAAGTCAAAAACTACGTTGCTATAATCGATGGAGTTGATCCAAATCGCTGGTACAACAACGGTGAGCACATCGCCTGCATAAAAGCTGATGTGCCAACTGGACTCTACTTCTCGGACCATATTTCTTCATGTGTATTTTTGCAGAATTCTGGCGGGGCGCCCGGCCATTCTCTACCGCCACTCATCAAGCTTTTACGCGAACACGGATGCAAAGGTTGTGGGAGCGTACCCTTGTTTGCACCACAGGGCAACAATAATGTGGCAGATGGCGAGTTGACGGTTAACTATGTTTCGGATACATATGGTTGCGATTACGGACTCTGCTAGTGTATCCTTTTACAGTCGGTGTTTGGGGGCTATCTTTTTAGTTAAAACTCCACTATTCATTTAAATAACGGCAAATGAAAATTATACCCTGCAGTGACTAGCCAGCTCTCCGGAAGAGGCGATATGCACCGTCTGCCAACCCTTCCAGTTCCCACGGTGACCGAGGCACTCGGTGGGTGGTGACATCATCAACAAGATGTACGCATGTCAACCGCGGATCTGAAGAATCTAGACCGCCTACCAAGGGCCTCAATCTTTTCCAAAGTTTGACAACTGAAAAAACCGAACTAATAATCCGCAGTCAAGGTAGTGGGGATTATAGGCTCTCCTCTGCCTATCTAGAATATGAGGTCATCCTCTTCTGTTGTATTAGAGTTGGTTAGAGGCTGCTGCACCTACAGGAACCCCTCTACAGACGCTAACCCTTGGGTTTCTCAAACACCTTGCAACCAATAAATGCTCTCTTATAGACTACTCTAGTCAAAAATTGCATTACATAAAGGAACCGCTATTTTTGCAACTGTTACTGTCACGAGTGTTGACAGGTGCTACGTGGCTGCTGCCGGTCTTTGGGGCCTACAGATCCTTACTGTAGTAGGGCTGGTAATTGGATCAATAATGCGAGAAGCTCAAGTCCGTACGGAGGTAGCAAGTGAGAGTAGTCGGCAGGTGGGCTCTACGGGCCGGCCAACGGCGCTGTGGCCGATGTGAGAAGATAGGTCATAATGCCCGTACGTGCGAGAGGCGCCAGGGTGAAATACGTTATCACTTGATTTGAAGGGCAGTTATAGATGCAATTTTATTCTTACTTTCTGTTCTCTACCGTAAGTACGATTATTCCGGGATGAGTACTGTAAGGATCTTGGGTTGAATAGGGCGGCGGGAAGTCACGTTTGGGCCTATTACGTAGAATCTTCGTGTATTACGAAGACTGAACGCTGACCCTCACGAGTAGCATCTCACTGAGGTCCCATTCCCTGACTTATCCGTAGTTCCAGTCTCCCACTTGCACCCATCTAGTCAAAGATGCTCTCGAAATACACTATCATAACGCCCTCGTGCACGGCCATAGCCACTTTCTTGATACCCGCATGCCCTGTGCACTCAGTGTCGTAGAACAACATATCCTCCTTGTTCTTGAAGACTGTAGAGACGGCCAGGGTGAAGTCCTGGGCGCGCTGGTCGGGGAATGCCTTGCCGGCTTGGATGTCGAGGAGGTATGGCGCGCCGTCCTGAGGATCTCGTTAGCTCTGGGGTGAGGTGTAGGTGGGATAGGGAGGTGGGTGGAAATACCTTAAGAGCCTCTTGAGGCAGGGTGCGGTATTTCGCAAGGAGCTGTTCTTGACCCTCTTCCGTTGGGATCTTGAAGAGGGTGACGCGGCGGATGGGCTTGGTAGACATTGTGATATGAGTTGATTTTTGCTGTTTAATGCCAAAGGGGTATAATACGGAGTAGAAGTAATAATTTTGAGTGAAGATAATCGATCCAAGTGAATGAGTATCCGGGTGGCTAGAAGAGGGGCTTTGGAGATATTCGGATCGCTCTGGCTCTGAATCTCGAATGTAATTACCAGAATAAGCTCAAATCCTGAGATCTCTGCGGGATGATTAACACTGTATTACTAGCTTGAACTTGCAAGAACATTTCTCTCCTATTCAACGCAAGGCATCGAACGTAGTTTCCCATTAATAATCCGCGGCATCTTTGTAAACACAGAAATTTTTGAGTGGTTGAGTTTGCAAAGACCGAGCCATCCGCTGGTCGCTTAGTTCCGAGTTTAAAGATTAGTGATTAAATGGCTCATTCTAATCAGCAAATACCCCCCAGTGCAGAGCCTACCAAGTCACTCCTGGAGCCTTGCTGTCGCCTGTATATATCTACTACTAGCACCGTAGTGCAATATATGTGTTCCGGCCCAACCGTCAGATTTCCAGCTCGCGAATGGGCCGGCCCGCTCGCGAGCCAGCATATCTTACGGTTGGGCCGGAACATATGTAATGCATTTACATGACATGGTACCCAATGAGCGAAGGAGTGGATTAGTCACGGTCCACCTTACCTAATGCGGAAGTGCGACGTATTTTCTGACAAATGGGAATTTTCTTCAGGATCAGTCCCGTCATTACAAAGCAGTGATGACATGCAAGTTAAGTTGTAACAAAGGTGCTGCGAGCAAGCCACTGCAATGATTTTCGTGCAGAGCTCGACAAATAAATAGATGTGGAATGGTCCCTCACGATGAAGTTCAGAAAAGGACATCAGATCAATTGAGTCAACCATCACTTACAGTGCCCTCGAACAAGCCAACGATCAATCAGCCTCGGTTTTTTCATCTTCACGACTCGTTTCACCTTTAGTACGTAATTATTACACGATGGCGCCTCAAGTTCAGGGACGCAAGATCGCGATTGTCGGTGCCAGTGGCCAACTCGGCAAGCCCACGCTCAAAGCGCTCCTGGCCAAGGGTGTCCACACTATCACCGTGATTCAGCGGCCCGAGGCTACCAGCACGTTCCCTACCGAGGTCGCTGTTAAGAAAGGTGACCTCGAGGATGAGGCCTTTCTTGCCGATGTGTTTAAAGGCCAGGATGCCGTCGTTCTTATGCCTCCTCTGTCTCATATCATCAGCATCCAGAAGCCCGCCGTGCGTGCGGCTGCCAAGGTCGGCGTCCGCTGGATCCTGCCCTCTGAGTTCGGCCCTGATCCTTTCGCGAGCAAGCTGATTGAGGAGAATATCCTTCTTATAAATAAGAAGGAGATTCGCGACCTGATCGATGAGCTGGGAGTCAGCAGCTGGGTCTCCATTGCAGTTGGCCCTTGGCTGGACAGCAGCCTCCCTGTCGGCCTCTGGGGCATTGACCCGAAGGCTCGCAAGGCCACCATCTGGCGCGGCGCTGACGCCAAAACAAGCACGGCGACGGTCGCGCACACTGGCGAGGTTACTGCCGCTGTGCTGAGTCTGCTAGAGGCTGACCTAGCCAAGTACAAGAACAAGGCTGTTTACGCGCCGTCGTTCCGCCTGTCGCAGCAGGAGATGCTGGAGGCGGTGCAGCGTGCCACAGGCACCACGAATGCAAACTGGGACGTCACGACGCGGGAATACAAGGATGTCGCCAGCGAGTACGAGGAAAATATCAAAAAGGGTGATGGTATGGCGCCCTTTATTAAGTTCTTTGTCACGCACTTCGTAGAGGGCCTCGGTGGCGACTTCGACCACAAGGTTGACGCAGCGGAGCTAGAGAAGCTGGAGAAGCTTGGAGTGCCAAAGGATAATCTTGAGGAGGTCATTAAGGTCGCACTGCAGTGATCAAACTGATGTATTAACCATTTGTCGTCGTCTAGTATAAATTGATTACTCACTGATTTATTAAGGCGTTTGTTTATTCCACGTGTCAGTGAGTTGAACTAATTGACCTAGATACCTAAGTACACATATTTCCCAATAAACTTTTTAGGAAACTTCTATGCCCCTTGTCATATATTTTAGGAAAACCGTCCCGTCACGGAATATGGGCCAAATTACTCACATCTACTTCCCACCGCAAGCATCGATTTTCTGCTATGTAAAACGCCCTTTACAAAAACCGGCGATGAGCTCTACCTGTACGTGGTGCGGACCTTCTATCTACAGGAAAGCCAAATGAGTCTCATGATGGAGCACTATAGTGGTGGGGTTGCCGCGATCGAGGCTACAAAGGACAGAAGTTAAGGTTAGAGCTACTGTTTGTAGCAGGCCCAGTAGATATATTATATAGTCAATTGATTTATCTTATAACTACTGTTCTATATATCTATATTATACGTTAGGTACTTTCTCAAACATCCTTGTTGCATAATTGATGCTGAGGCCGAAAGTTGGCTTCTGAGTTTACGTGAGTTTTGCATACCGCTCATAGAATAGGTAGTTACGTCAGGTCGTAGTGGTGGTCAATCAAGTTTATACGCTCTGTTACAACAAATCCTAGCGTCGCGGATGTCCACCAAAACTAGGTGGATATCCCAACAGGCGAATAGAAATATCACTGTGGGACATACCAAATGAAGCAGCCAGAATAGTGCCACAACCGTAGGATACAGTACGTACAGTATCTATGATATATACTGAGTCTATATACTATTTATAGGCCTGCTTTTCGTGCCAACTCGTGCCTTAAGTTGGGCCGTTTGGCTGGCTGATCTGAGTGTACTGCTCAGCTCAAACCCCCAGCTAAGGCGAAACTGGTCGTGGTCCAGAACTCGTCGTGACGTCCCGTCTCACCTCAACCACGAGGGCTTGGCGCTCGGCTCCGGCGGTCTCGCCATTTACAAAGGCTTCCAGCGCCACCGACGTGGGCCCATGACTAACGTGCCCCAGGACTGCGGGGGCTGGCTTACAACATCAACGAGTACATAAAGTTTGCCTATTCCCCCGCAACGAAAAAGGGAGAGGCCTGATAACTGTACAGTCACTTGCTAGTACCTGCATATAACCTTCTTGCACACTATCTACTACTCAATCTGCCTAATTTCTTCATTTCTCTTTTCGAGCTGGTCCTTGACAGCATCTATCAAAGCCATGGCAAAGACGCTGCCCGATGGGATTTATGCCCCTCTGCCTGTTTTCTTTAACGAGAGCGATGAACTAGGCAAGTCGCTGTCTATGCCATCAAATTACCTTTCTTGTCTATCGCAGAAGAGGACTTTACTAATGCTTCAATAGACTTCGAGGCATATGCAAGGCATGCTAAATGTAAGAATTCAATGCCCAAGAGCTAAAGAGTTGATTAAGATTAAGTACTAACTGATTCGTAACAGTTGTCACTGCTCCAAGAATTTTCCCTGTCGTCTCGGCCAGTATAGGAGAAGCGGCCCATTTGGTTTGTGATTCATCTTGTTGTGATGCAATTGCTAATCGGCATTGTAGGATAGCCAAGAGCGTATAAAATTAATCCAGACTTTACGACTTGCCCTTGATGATATCGGCTTATATAAGACGCCAATTGTTGCTGGCGTTGGCGCTCACAGCACTCGGCAAACTACGCAACTGGCGCATGATGCGGCTGCTGCTGGAGCAGACTTTGTCCTCGTAGTTCCACCAGGCTACTATGCAGGTGTCCTGAAGACAAATCCGACAGCGATAAGGAAGTTTTTTATTGATGTGGCCGCTGCATCACCAGTACCAGTGTGTGTCTTCCCTTCCTATAACATTTACCTTATCATGTTTGCTCTGTTTGGGAGATATTTACGCTAGCGAAAAAACAGTCCAACGAATCAGCAAGAACATGAGTGCTAACTTATGTCTGCAGAATCATTTATAACTTTCCAGCAGTTTCTGCAGGAATTGATCTAAGTAGCGATGATGTTGTGGAAATTGCAAAAGCAGCACCAAACATATGCGGAATCATGCTGTCGTACGTAGCTCCTTCAATTTGAATCTTCTCAAGGTGGTCATTAATATTATAATAGTTGCGGCAATGTCGGAAAATTGGCAAGAATTACTGCCCTCGTTGATGACTCGTCGTTCAAAACTCTCGCTGGGTTCATCGACTTCCTCCTTCCATCTGTTGCTGTTGGATCTGCAGGTGCTATCAGCCCGTTGCCCAACATCGCGCCGGTTAGTATTACCTGTAACAATTTGATAACAGGATATTAACAGGTTACTAGAATTTTAGTTCAAAGCTGTGGCAGGTGGCCCAAAGCCTAGGAAGCGGTGTTGATTTCCAGGAAGCCAAGGAACTCCAAGGCAAGGCTTCGTTAGGAGAAACAGCTTTACTAAAAGAAGGGGTAAGCACAGCTGATATTTCGTTGCTTTGGACTCAAAGTGGTATGTAATGGGCTAATGTTTAATAAAGCTTCCGGGCTTGAAGGGCTTGCTCAACCAACAGTTTGGATATCCTGCAGCGCCTAGGTTGCCACTGATGGTGGTAAGCAATGATGCAGTTACAAAGATGTCTGCAAATAAGCACCTGCAAGACGTAATGGCTCAAGAGAAAATATTAGAAACAATGAATGAAAGATAGCATGGGGATTGCAGTGATGAGATAGCCACGGCGGCGCAAACATGGTCTTTGCTATAGAGCTATGGTATGCCAAGGTGTGGCGATTCTGGTTACTTCCCAAGAAAGAAGTGAAGTTTTTATTGCAGGAATGTTATGTCGGATTAAATTGCCCAACCGCTTGCTACTATGTATTGCTTGAACTCTGGTATACCGGCAACGGTGTTAGAAAACCGATAACCTCCCTTGTAGTCACCTCTGTAATTAACCTAAGACTCTCCACTGGTCCTAAAACCATAATGTATGTAAGTATAGGTAGAAACGGGGCTACACAAACATACATAGGGAGTTAAATGTAAATAAGTAGATAATAAATACGTAGGCTGCGTAGATATTGTAGTAATCCAATTGATCTGCTTATACTATATACTGTATATTTACTGAGGCCTCCTGTGCGTTGCCCCAAAAGTCAGAAGTTCCGGCCACGGTCCCCGTATTCTGGTACACCCTTCAAAATATCGAACATCGAACATCGAACACGTGACATGAACACGACAGCTTCAGCCCCAACTGAGAGATTTGATCGGCCGAGCACCCGGAATCAAAGTTGGTTTTTGCAGACATCGAGGATAAGCCATCATTATGTACTTGGATCAGGTAGTCATGCAGAGCCTTCCTTGGCGACGGCTTCGTAGAAGGCCTTACCTTGAGCCTCGGCAATTGTAAGCTCTAGGTTGGTAGGTTGGCGACTACCATCGGCACCCTAAAAAAGAATACGAAGGTTATTAACGGATCTTCAAAGTTTATGAAGTGACATACAGCATATGTACCAGCACCCCATGGGCTGCCCCCGTGAACCTCGGACAAATCCGTCAACTGCGCAAAGACAGTCTTGTATCCTAGGGGCACGTAGATGAATCCGTGATGAGCTAAGGTGCTCATGGCGCTTACAGCAGTAGTCTCTTGACCACCGCCAGGAGTACCAGTGCTGACGAAGATGCCGGCATACTTACCCCAGTATCCCCCTGACTGCCACACACCACCAGACTTGTCCCAGAATGCCTTCCATTGAGCGGGAAAATTTCCGTAACGAGTGGGTATACCGAGGAGGACACCGTCGTATTGGGTCAACTGCTCAGGCTCGATGACTGGGTAGGATGACTTTTCGGGTGCGTACATCGCCTTTAAAGCTTCCTCAGGAAGAGTTTCAGCAATTCTAATATAACGTCAGTTATATTTCATCTTCACATATTGAAAGACTTACTGGAAGATCTCGGCAGATCCGCCAGCGGCTTCAATGCCGTTTTTCTCAGCCTCAGCCAGCTTCTGTACGTGGCCGTACATGGAATACTATATTGCAGGCCCTATTAGATTCGCCAAAACACGAAAAGACACAGCAAATATCATCAAGATGACGGATGTACGAACAAACACAATAGCAATCTTTGGAGCCATTTTTTCACTTGACTGATGTATCCTTCTTCTGTGACAGATATCTCTGAATATCTAAATGAGCAGATAACGAGCAAGAGAGCAGAGAAAAGAGCTTATATTTATATGGCTCTCCGTCCAAACCTGACTATCCTGAAAGATCGTGCGATGGTGGTACAGCAGATGGTAGCACAGCTGGCTCCATGACATAGCATTTTTCAGCATTTGTAATACTGACCTGTTTTCTCATCAGCCGCTTGTGAGAGCGTTATTCCCACTTTTGGCTCAGGGGTTATGAGGGATGTGCCGAAAATGGATAGGCATCCAGTGCCAATTTGTAATGATGCGTGTTTGATTAATAAACATAGCTCAGCTCAGGAGTTTTGGGCGATGTGCCGAAAATTGATAGCCACTTACTGCCAATTGCTAATAATGCGTATTTGATTAATAAACATAGCTAAAAACTCGTAGTTGCAAGGGCGGTCGCTGAGTTCAATCTTAGGTAGCGAAGGCGTGGCGATCAAAAGAGTCCGTCTGTCAGATTTTGGCGCCATCTCCTTCTCCACGCGTTACAACTTATTGCATCAATATCATTTGAATAGACCGGCGGTGGGGGCTTTTGCCATCAGATTTTGTAAGTTCTAGTCATCATCCCTGAAAAGACTGAATATTAGGTCTTAAAATATATTGACTAAAATAGGACACTTATTAGGACATAGAAATGCACGAATCGTATATTGGATCGTAAAGATGCTCGTCTTCAAATTTCATCATACCTGGTGTAGGAGCTACTGTGTTCCCTAATCAGGAAACCACGACTTGGCATGCTTCGGCCGGCCGAGTTCAACAAATTGAAAGTAACCCGCACCTATTCATAATATTGCTAAGGCTTGGTAAGTGGGAGCAGCTAACAATTTTAGGAATACGGTTGAGGTAAATCTGTACATAGAGCTCTAATAGAAACGAATACCAGGCGGTTTCCCTCATCAGTTTCGCTTGTCTCTCTGTGCTGTTACTTCCATCAACTAAACCTCGTATTTAGTCGCGGATTGACCTCTAGGTTAGGGTTAGGGCCAGAAAATGTGCTTCTAAGCGCTTCCGAGCCAAGATAATTTAAATAGATGTTAGAAATAGTGCACAGTCAAATCTTCCTAAACCTCAATTGCCTTACTTGCAGGTGGTTGACAGAGCAATATTATGATGCAATTGTCAAGTTTGGACGAGCCGGTGATCTCGGGTCCTTTTCACCTCTACGACAGCTCTTTCATTCTCGAGTTTCTAAGGCCCCATCCTTCGAGAAATGCATCGTCAGTCCCGGAAGCACAAAATAAAATGCTCAACTAACTTGGTAACTAGGGTTCTGATAAGAGCAACATATAAGCACGATCATCCACTCTGCCAAAGAGGTACTTCTCATCCTCAGGTAAGTTTTCTGTCTTGTTACATGCAGTGTACTTACTAAGAGCCAGTCACCTCCTCTACACCTCCATTTCAGCCAGTCCGAAAATTTCCAGGTTCTCCAGGGAAAAATTGGTACAATAGAGACATATTCTCTAATCAAGCATATCTCAACTCCAGAGGATGGTCCACATGAAATAGAGCCATACGTCCCTCACACATTCTATCCAGTTGCAGACTCCGACGAAGACTGTGTGATGCTGATGTGGGCAAATCCAGACAATGTGCATGATGTTATGGATCGAGTTTTTTTCACAAATCTCCTACTATATATCAGCGATGTGCATGAGAAGAAAGCGACTTTAAATCCATTTCAAATAATGTTGATGCAGTAAGTTGAGGTAGAAAATGTTTATTTGGTAGTGGGCTAATGCAGATTTATTAGACATGTATCATCTACTGCACTGGTTTGGTTTCCTACTGCAACATGGTTAGGCCCGCTACGCTGGTGGATGCCATGGAAGATCCAGGCGTTGTTTGCAGCGGTGGGGAGATTGGGAAGACTAACCCCTGCGATGGAGAAATATACGTCGAAGGAAGACTGGGGGGTAATTCAACGCACAGAGTGAACGTGACTTGCCAAGCGGAGGAAGTGGGTGCAATACTGTTCCAAGTCGTACGAGTGGTTTTTGGGGCACTCAGTCGCGACCTCAGTGTAAGATTCATAGTATAGCTTGATACAGTAATCGATACAGCGACTGAAAACTTGCGAGTGTCAACAATCCCTGTACAGTGATTCAAAAACACCACTCACAGTTGACTAGTGCCATCAGTACAAGCAGCAATACCTAGTAAATTCTTAAGGCCCCTGAACTACTCAGGAAAATACCCTCAACCAACCCCAGATATACTATTACATCCAAGTCCCTTAACTCCCGCCTTCTTCGCCGATGGAAGAATTTGCAAAATGCTCTCTTCCCTCGATATCGAGCCTGCTAGGGATTGCAGACAACGCTCCATCTCAGCAACGGGAACAAACCCACCCCAGTAAGCACATCCTCTTGCTTCCTATTTCCTCAGGGTCGCTACATATGCCCGATATGCACTAAAGTGTTCCCTCGATCTTTGAGTTTGAAAATCCACACTCGCAGCTATACGGGGGAGATGCCATTCCGTTGCCCAGTCAAAGGTTGTGGGAAAAAGTTCGGTGTGGTGAGTAATATGAAGAAGCATGAGAAGAGCTGCCATAGCGGAGGAATCTGTCGAGAAGGGCACTACTAAATATCGCTGACATGGTTTTGGCGTTTGGAAAGTGAGGAAAATTGGAACTGGGACGGTTTCAAAATTGGTTTATTTATATGATGGTGGAATAAGGTGTAGTCCATGCAAGCCCCCAGCTTGATCATATGAGGTCGAATCACCAAGTTCCCTGCTCAACACGCGGTCGCCTACTGCAAAGACCAGCTCTTTCTGCAAGTGCTTCAGAATATGGCCAGCAATTTAATTTAGAGAACAAGGATCGATACTGATGAGAACGGCTTATACAGAGCATAATGGGATCAAGATTGTCCAGTAGAAGGAATTTCCATGTCTCTGAGAAGTTCAAATGTCGTTGGTTTTGTAGATTTGGTTCCTTCCCCAGATCACATGAACTTCACAATGTAGTCGCCTACTTTACCTACTTATGGTCTTGATGTGGCACCTCTGCACTTTTGGGGGGGCTCAGGTTACATGGCTCACAAATGGTGGATCATAGAAAATAAGAGCAAGGCACCCGAACAAGGTACATAAGATAAAACGGCCACACTTTAGTACTATTACAAAGTTGACGCGAGACTGACACAAAACTGACACGAAAACGTTACGTCGCCTCACCCCGCTCACCCCGCTCACCCTGCTCACCCCGCTCACCCTGCTCACCCTGCTCACCCTGCTCACCCTGCTCACCCTGCTCACCCTCGCTTCACCCCCTAAAGCGGCAAGGGGCTCAGATTTTACGCTATGACTATTGGCATGATTGAGAGCATCAAGTCACTGAATTACAAGCTTGAAGTGGATTAATACTCAGGACGGTGCCATTCGGACTAGCGGGTGAGCGTCGCCGCCCTCAAGTTTTTGATGCCTCACGATAATCCGGTTGTCCCCCTCAGCTACCTGATGGCCGCCACTTCGTACGCATGAACGCGATGCACCGCGACTTTGGATGGCCATTGATAATCCGGTACCTGGGTGAGCGAAGGTGAGCGAGGGTGAGCGAGGGTGAGTTTGAAAATGGTATAAAAGGCACGCTCCCGCTGTCACGGTCAGGGGCTCCGGCCAAGGATAGCCAAGGCCTTGGCTCAACGAGAACACGCACAAGAGTATAAGTAGGAAGGGGCTGGCTTCAATAGGAAGCCAGCGGCTAGTTTTGAAGACCACTTACAAATGGAGTACGATTCCCTGCGGGCCCTCATGCTGCTTACCTGTCTTGAATCACTGAGTGAGATGACTCTCACATTCTAGCCGCTCAACCCTTTAGGAGGACAGCCCGGCAGTATGGCAGGCACTCGCAGCGCCACAGAGGGCGCCACAGAGGGATAACTCACCGTCGATGGACCTCGAGAGCGAGGCAGTTAAGAGAGGAGAACCCCATCTAGAGGACGATGAGCAAGACCCATTAGAAGCCCTGCTCCAACGAGGAAAAGCAATTTTAATGCTAGATAAGTTTAGACTATTGGTATCCGTAATACTACGTTAGGGATGTTGTAGTGTACTAGAAAAAGTTGAACCTTGATTGTATTATTTTTCAAACCCGCTAAGCTAGTTGTATTACATGTTTTATGGCGTTTGCATTAGTGGAGTGACGCCTAGAGCCAGGTCTGAGTGCGCAACGAACTCGCTGAACCACCAGGAATTTTGCAGATCATACCCATTTAAGGGACCGCCATGGCTATCCCGTAATGGAAAATCCACCGACGGGTACATGCTTAGCATATCTGAATGTTTCTTTATATCAGCTTCTCTTCGCTTTTGATGCAGCTGGAGCAGGGTACATGCCGCAGTGGCTGCTTCCCGCGTCGCTTCTGTCTGGTACGCATCGTTGACAGCAATAACGCAAGCCAGGGACTCATTCAGGAGTGCGAACGACTGCACAGTGTCTATAACAAGCAGCGTGCATATCGCCTGAAAAGGGATATTAGCCACATGATGCCATGGAAGGCCCGCGGCAACGCTCGAGCGAACTGCCTGGATACTGTTTTTAATCAGACCGAGAACCTTGTTCATGACATCGTCCGGGACCTCTAGTTTTGAAGAATGAAGCCTGCGATGAATGCACAGCATCAAGTTGCATTGTGCTAGAACAGACGGCGGCTCTGTATGGGTTCGATCCAAAACCTCCACAAGTGCTGCAACAAGGCTGCCCATGCTTAGTCCGTTGGCCGGGTCCAGGTCCTGTGAGTATGGCAGAAGATCTAACAGCTCCGTCGTGTATTCGCCTGGCTGCGCAGATGGCGGAACAGTGTCAGCATTCGGTACCAACACACGATTCCGACCGAGGTCATACGACATCCATGTGTTTAGATGCTGCGCTACACCAAACACCCTCCTCCGAAGATGGACATCTCGAGGGTCTTGAGGTAGGGAGAAGGCGCTGCCATGGTCGGCGCGGCTCATTAATCCCGCTGCATCGATGATATGGAGGGTAGTGCAACTTGCTAACCAAGCCTCTTCTGGCTTCGCGGTGAGCCGTAGATACACAGTGCGCAGTAACCAGGCAGTAGCGCTATGTAGTGATGGAGGATCCGCAGTTGACGGGTCTAGTAGGCGCTTAGCAAGTGCAACAAGACTCAGCTCAGCCGCCAGATCCTGAGTGCTGGAAAAGAGACAAGCGAGAGCGACGACGCCACACAAAAGTGCGTCTTCCGCGCTGGAACTGCCCTGCCCATCCCATGTGCTTGATATGCTTCGGAGCAGCATGTCTTTGCCAATGAAACCATAACATGGGTGGACCTTTTCGAAGTAGACCGTGGCCAGATGCCGCATCTCTAGTTCCGACAGAACGGCTGGTAGCGTCTCCTGGTGCACAGGGCCCGCTGTTTGCCTTTCTCCGAGAAACAAATTCCATGCCAGCATTCGCATCGGAGAAACACTCCGATCGGACGATTCGAGCGTAATCGTAAGCAGGCGTGCAAAAGCTGCACCAGAGTTGCTCTCAGCAGATCGCAAGTATCCGTCTGGGTCTTGGTGCTCTTGGGCTTGTTGTTCTTGGCCTTGTTGGGGATGCTGATGCTGGCGCTGGCACCGCCCCGATGGCAGATTGTATTGCTGCTGGCGCTCCAGCCGCTGTGGCAGTATTCCTGCGGGAACCGACGGACTCGCTTCTCGCGTGATTACGGTCTGCGATCGACCTGCGCCTCTTTGAGGTTGCCGATTACGAGGCGTTGAGCGATAGGAGCAATCGTATCCGTATCCGAGGCAAATGTTGCACGGGCGACCTCCGTCACATTTCCTTTTGCGCTCTCGGCACGGATCGCATGCAATGCGCAGTCGCTGGCGGTGTGTCTGTCTACCTTCAACGTTCATCGTGCTTCGCTGCAGTTGCAGCAGCGACTTTCCCGTAGCTAACGTGTTTTATCGGCCCGTGCACGGCCTCGGCTTGTGCGCGATAATCGTCACCACAGTACCGATCATGGAACGTCTCGGCCACCGCATTCTGACACTCAGCGTTATATTCCTCTTCCTCGCCGCGTATTCCTTTGGTATTATTCCTCTCCGAAGTCCTCTCCTACAACATCCGTGCCACAGGCCTTGCACTTCAGGGTATCGCCATCAAGTCGTGCAGCGTACTCGTCACTATTGCGTTACCGTACATGACGCGAGACACTGGCTGGAAGGCTTACATTTGCGGACGCATCTTGGAGCATCTGTTTTGGCTGTACATATATTTCTAATGGGTGGAGACTAAGGACAAGATACTAGAGGAGATTGATTCCCAAGCTGTCGACAATGGAAGAGCGTCTTGGCATTGTTGGAAAGTAACAGCCGCACAGTTGGGAAACGATCTGTCGTGGTGCCGAACTGTACGTGTGCAATGTATGATATTCATAGGCCCGTTGGCGGGCTTGTTATGGGGAGAACAAAATCCCATAGTTGCGTATGCTCGTGTGTTGGAGACGGGAATCAAAGTACTTAATGTTTAGTATATATTTTTCCGAACAAAACGATGAGGGAAGGCCACTCTTTGCTTTTATTTGAAGGGACAAAATCCTAATCTTGTTATGACGCAATTGAGACACTCCAGCAAGACTATGACCCTGGCAGGCGCCTGATAACATCACAGGCCTCTGTTTGCAAACGGTTCACAAGCACGCTCGACGATTCCACGCTATGCACGAGCCCAATTGCAGCACCAGCGTACGTAGCCAACCTTCCATCTGGGCCCCAGCCGCTATCCCCAGCTTGAACAGCATCATCGTGAAGGCGCTTGAGCTCGTCGAATGGCACGCCCGCTTGATGGTCATGCCAGCTTTTGTTGACGATACCGCGTGGACTGTATCGTTCTGGCCATCCTTTCGTGCCTCGGAGTTGGTTGTACAGGGTGGTACGGATTGTGTGACTGGCTCCGTCGGTAGCCCGAACAATCTCCTGTTGATAACCCTTGCTGATGCGGGCCTCAGTCGAGGCCAGGAAGCGAGTTCCTAAGGCTACGCCTGTGGCACCAAGAGCAAGGGCGGCAGCCACCCCTCTGCCATCCGCTATTCCTCCAGCTGCGAATAGAGGCATGTTGGAGCGATGTACGGCATCTGCAACTTCAAGAAATAACGTCATGAGTCCCATCGCACCCTCAGCTGTGCCATGGCCACCTGCCTCCGCGCCTTGGACAACGAGCACATCCGGGCGAGAGCGGCTGTTTGCGGCTTCGAGAGATTCCTGGAGGGTCCCGACCTGTATCCAGACCTGTATGCCCGGGGAAGCCTTCCGCAGAGCATCGGTCCACTCATCCAGCTCTGGCTGCCCGTTACGAGGCGCGAACAACCACGCTGCGCATGGCCGGTGCTCTCGCACAGCCCGGGTTGCAGAGTCAATATCACCGTTCCACAGCTGGAATCCCACTCCGACTGGTAGAACAGTGTCGAACATTGATGAGTTGAATGTGGCGGTTGTTGCGGCATTCATTAACCTCCGCGCCATGGCTAGATCGGTGATAGTATCGTCTGGCTTCGCGCCTGGGCCAATAAACCCTAGCCCGCCTGCCCGGGAGACGGCGAGGGCAAGCTCTGGGCCAGACATGACACGCATAGGTGCAGCAACAATGAACGGCGCAGTCATCCATGGGAAGCTGTTTAGCACACGTCTTGCCGTGTTGGTCTTCAGTGGTGCTAGGAGGGGACTCATCTGTGCATGATTGTCAGCTGGTTTTGCCCGGATCTGGGCCGTGACAGGTCACAAGGTAAAAGTTGGCCGTACCTTGTTAGTTCAGAACGCAGAAGGAATAAAAAGGCTGGAGTCGATTGAAGTCGAATTGTCAGTTGAGCTCGGGGTTATATCTTCTTGGTCCAGAAGACAGGCGGCTTGGGCGACAGTGCACATGCGGTGACCGTTGCTCGCCAACGGTCGGCCGTCTACCGCTCTGTTTTCGCCCCCCGCATGATCCGCAAGATCCGCCGCATGCCGCCCGCAGCCTCCGATGAAAGGAGTCGCACATCGAGGATGTTTCTTCTCGTGTGCAAAGGACTCTTGAACCGTGATTGCCAACACAACATCACAGTTCATCATAATACTTTTGTATTCTGTGCTACACTACTTCTTGACAGAAGTGTTATGATTGAACTGTGATGTTGTGTTGGCAATCACGGTTCAAGAGTCCTTTCGAAACGAGATGGCACAATCTGTACAAATATTCTGGCTTCAAATCAGCTGGCAGCTTGCGACCGAGCCTCCAACAAAAGTTGATGATTTTTCGCTTAAATAATCTCTATACATATATAATCGGACCTTGTACAGCACGCTTGCCGCTTCGCAGCGCGATACGCGGGCCGATAATTTTTCTACAATTTCCCATTCAAAATTTGTGCTTCTCCCAGCCCAAAACTCCAATCTTCAGACTTGTTCTCAACACATGAGATCACTAGATCAGTCTTCTCTAGCCCACATTCGGTCGATAGATGGTCAGCGAGAGCTGCAAACATGTTCTGTTTGTCCTCGGTAGTTCGGCCCTGCTGGAAGACCTGAACAACAACTAAGTCATCAGTCCTTTCAAAACCTAGATTCGTGTCGTCGCATATGATCACGTCTTTCTCATGTTGCGTAATAATCTAGGACCTTGGCCTCCTGAAAAATTCCGGTTCGACGTGCACGATGAATTACCTGATATCGGTCCCTAGGAGGAGCCTTAACCTTCTGTAACATCACAGTCTGGACTGTGTCTGCTAGGGTGCGCAACTGAGCGGGTGACCGCCTCCCTTTGATCACGTCGATTTTTACCAAAGGCATTGCTGATGGGATATTTCACTCTAAATCAGATGTCAGACGAGCCGATCGAAGACCACAGTTGGGGCTTCTGCCAACGGGCACCTTGCACGCTTGTGGGATGAAAGGTGAGGCCGGATTGCAGACGCACCTTAAAGAGTCCACGACTGGACAGTAAGGATTTCTCTCCGTTTCGTGTAAGGACAGTGGATGAGTTGCGGATCCGATGGCTTCCAATGTTTCGTATAGTTGAAATTTCTGGATCTGAGAGCCCTGTATGTAAGTGTCAAAGTTCTTGACGTATGCAGCTTCGCACGGTTGAGGCACGGATGTTGCGGACCAAGGCGGAAATCGCGGATATAGATCACATATTCCAAATCAAGCATCAACAATTGCTGACGGTGCTGCCGTACCTTCAATAGAGACAAGTTGCTCCTTGAAATTGGCGGTGATCTTGTTGATACCTAGGTACTGTCAGACGAATGACGTGCATAGGGGGGTCGACCACAGCGCTCGTACCACTCAACTGCTTGAAGGACCCTTCGATGTCTTTATGCAGGCCTCGCAGGTCATGGGCAGTGCAAATGTGGTTTCGAACGCGGGTAATGTCATGTTGTAGAGCGTGCGAACGTCTTATTAATTTTGTGCGAATAGTAGTGTTGATTGCGATTAATATGTATCTCGTCTCGTTCGCTTTGAAATCTGTCTTCGGCCCACCGCAAAACGGAATGCTAACTAGCGCATCACCAGACTCATGAATAACCCCAGCAAGCGGCCCCGCCCGCACTCAGAAGCTTTCAAAGGATTGAGTCGCCAACCAACAAAGAATGGGTTCATAGGAGCCATGGTGACGCCATCGATCTAGTGGAAGGCTCAAGAGTCTCGGAGCTACGGGAAAAGATGCTAACGGATATTGCGGAGTAGCGGCAATGCAAACGCAGCTCGCGAACTACTGTTTGTTGCTCCGTGGCGCTTCTTGCTTGCCCCAAAGCAATGTTTTTCCTCGTGCAGGTGGTCGCAACATGCCGCCATCTCCGCACACTCTCAGATGTTGTGGGAACACTTGGGGTTGGGGATTTTATAAGTTACCGAAGCTTTCGATAGACAATAATCGAGCAGACATGACTGACAAAAATCCCACGATTGCACAGGGGAGTAGTACCTGCAATAAGTGTGACACAAAGGCTTACTTAAAGACTATGTGTCTAATCCCCTGCCTCCTCTGTTAAGTTAAACCATTACGTAAGAAACCTCTGTGTCTTTTATCGTTTAGAAGTCAGCGTTACAATGTCTTCCATTTCTACGTCTCATTTGCAGCTTATAGTTGATTGTTTTCATTTGTTAGAAGTACGTAGAGCCATCTATCATCCTTTAACTAGTGGTTTAAAGCATAGGGAATAAAAATTCGCCCAACCACTCTGTGCGTCCTACCAAGGCAAAGTCTCACTATTCCAACCAACATAATTCTCCTTCGTAGCAACAGAGTATTTACTGATAACATCGACGCTGCATTAAGAGATTTGACTATCAGCACTTAAAAATATCGAAATAAACAATGTCGATACTCACATTCCGATCACACTTTCTTTAAGGCCGATGTTCCCAAACGGGTTCATATCAGTCTTGACCAACCCTGGGTGTAATAACAAAACTGGAACGCCTTGAGGTCGAAGCAATTGGTCGAGTTCTTTCCCTAGTCGATTGAGTGTGGTCTATAGCCAACAGGTTAACCCAAATCTAAAGAGAACACGAAAGAAGTGGTTTTTGTCTACCTTCGATATGTTGTACATAGCCGTAGGTTCAAAATCTGTCCCAAATGCAGCTGTTTTAAGCTGAAACAGCGTGTCCGCGAGCACTATAGAGCCAAAGTTGCTAGACATTAAGACAAGCGACTTCCTTTCGAATTTCGAATTGAGCAGAAAAGGAGTAAACTCGACAGCTGAATAGTAAGCTCCAAAAACATTAGTCTCCAGATTCTCCTTCAGTGGTTCTATTCCAATCTCGAGGATATTTTTGCCAACACCTCTCAAGATACCAGCATTATAAATGACATGGTCAAGGGAATCAGTTCGTTGCGATATTTCTGCAGCCGCAGCCTTGATGGAGTTTGGATCCATAACATCGGCAGTAATGAGATGTAATTTCCCTCTGTTAAGAGCTGCGAGGCTTTGCAAATCAGAAGCCTTTGCAACATCTCTAGCAGTAGCATACACATTTGCGGATGGGTAACAGGTCAACTGTTTTTGTAGGTTAGGCATATATGTCTTTACTTTGCGAACCATCAAAGAATGCGAGGTAGAGACGCTCACTATTTGCTGCACCAATGCAAGTCCAATGCCGCGACTAGCTCCAATAACTAAAACGGTACTAGGACCCGACATATCTCCTGGCAACGTTCTGTGTCTGATGTGCGATTGATAGCGCCAGGTAACTTTTGTACATCAAAATAATGGCTGTTGAAAAAAGCCCTCGACTAGAAAAGGTAGCTGTCGAGTCTATATAGCCCCAATGCCGTCACTGATGCGTAACCATAAATGAGTAACTACTAATGAATAAGCAACAATGATTAATCATCTTATTCATACGAGAGGAAGTCTGGTAGTGTAAGCAGAGTGAATTGTACTATTGAAGGCTGAATCCTGAAGCTCTTGACCTGAGATCTGGCTTTAGGCCTTTGATAGCTTGCCTGATACCTTGGGGAAAATATTGTGGAGGTGTGGAGGTGTAGAGGTGCTTGAGTAACTATTAATGAATAATCATTAGTGAGTAATCACTGATAAGTAATTATGACGGAGTAATTATCAATCAGTAATATTCGTAGATGAAAGACGCAGATTGACATTCGAAAAGGATTAGAGAGAAGGCGAAAGAAACGTCCAGCGAGAGGTAATCCTGAGAAGTACGCCGTCGTTGCACCAATGGGCGGCTGTGGGCTTACCCCTTCCCGCCGACCACTTACTTACTAATAAAAACACGTAACTTAGTTGACGTCAGGCTGCTTAGTCTGATGAATAATAATACACATAATCCGCCACATATGAATTTATTGATGAGAACGTGGGCGGCCCAACATTGCGTTCTGTAGCACTTGTCTAGACTAAAGGAGGCGTGATGAGTAATCTTAGAGTGGCCGTCAATCAAAGGCAATAGTGGTTCTTCAGGCACCTTTAGACTAATATGCATGGCAGCAAGGATTATTTTATTTCCTCCCTGCAAGTACTGGGTACACATTAGCTTCTTTACACTTGTCGCCTCGTCAATGACGTCATCACGAAGTGACACGCATGCTTTGGTAGCACACTCGCATATGAAGAGCGTTCTTTTAGTTTTCCCGTGACTGGCCATCCCTGCGTGTACAATCGCAACCTCCGTACTCAAAATCCAAGTAGCATTAGTCAAATTCTTTTTCCTCTACGTATAAAAGGCTGCACTTGAGACTAAACCACGTTCTCAATCCTGCTTCTCCTGCACACCTTTACCCAGTATACTTGTCTGTAGAAACACAAACTCATTAGACATACCTAGTCCTCTATACGTACATTCTTCAAAACTTTCGAAATGGCTCTCCCTGCAAGCAATGGGAAAACTATCCTAATAACAGGAATCAATGGCTACATTGCAAGCGTTCTTGGACAGCTCCTCCTTAGCAAAGGGTACTCTATCCGAGGCACAACTCGTCGCACCGTAGCTTCAGATCCGCTTCTAAAAGGCCCATATGCTCTTTACAAAGACCGAATCCAGATCTATGAGGTTCTAGATATGACTTCCACGGGAGCCTTTGATGAAGCTGCTAAAGGTGTGTATTTGGTACCGTGTAAGAGAGAAAGCCCTGTTTGACAATAATTAGGTGTCCATGGAATTTTCCACGTTGCATCTCCAGTCAGCTTTTTCCTTAACAGCTATGAGGCCACTGTCGTTCCTGCTATGAGAGGCACTGAGACTGTTCTTAAGGCTGCCTCGAAAGCTGGCCCTTAATTATCGTCTGTTGTTGTCACGTCTTCAGTTGCTGCAGTTACGAACTATCCAGTAAAGGCTAGATATATTTTCACTGAAAAAGACTTTGCTCATGTTGCCTTAGATATAGCTACCGAGAATAAGGCTGAAGGGATAAAGACCCTAGCAGGAATTTTGTACTCGGCAAGCAAAACTGCTGCCGAGAGAACCGTGTGGAAGTACAGGGAAGAGCATAAGGTGAGTCCCTATATTTACTAAAAATTGAGGTTGAGTTTTGCTACGACTTCCTAACAACCCTTTAGCCACCGTTTGCAATCTCAACAGTAAACCCAAGCGTGGTGATAGGCCTACCAATAATCATGCCAGATAGTGGATCAAAGCTGAACGAGACTCTCCTACTGATATATAACATTCTCTCCGGATCCGTGTCTGAGATGCCTGCACAGATTAGAGGCGGCGCGTATGTAGATGTCAGAGACGTCGCAAAGGTGCACCTTTGGGCTTTTGAGAATTCAGAAAAGGCAAATGGAGAGAGGTATATTGCCGCCACCTCCTATAGACCGCCGCAGGGGGTTGCGGATATCCTGCGTTACAAGTATAGGGGGACTAAGATCGCAGAAAAGATTATTGTAGGCAATCCTGGAGAGGGTTACATTGGCTATAACAAAGAGACTGGAGAGGTTTCTCAGCCCGATTATCTCCCAGAATCTCCGCGACCCTCCGCGAAGAAGGCCCAGGAGTCAATTGGGCTCACGTGGATTCCATTCAAACAGAGTGTCATAGAAACCGCAGGGGTATTAGAGGCTCTGTTGTGAGAAACCTATCTGAGGTCTCTGGATTTCGGTGGCGGTTTGATCACAACTACATTTCTAGATTGCGATGTAGGATGTTTATTAATTAATTGATGGTGTTATATCTTAAATTTAATAAGAAGAGTATAAGAATTATATATATTTTGCGTAGACATGTCATATTTAATAATAAGTTATTTAGATATAAAGTCAAATGTACAGATTGCTTATGAACTGCGTTACGCTAAATCATTTGGAGATACAATTACGGTGGTAGCAACCTACAGCCTTGAATATGCCCTATCTAAAGCCACCTTACAGCCTTCCCTCAGCACTTGAACAATATCTCCAGCCGCCTTCACCTCTTTTAGCAGGCCAACTCCAGAACCTGCCCATATAGCCGCTCGCCGCTCGCCTCCAAAGCCCTTATCCGGACCCGTGACAGCATCTGCGTGCCTCCTCCTCAGCTCTTCCACTCCCACGCCACCTTGATAATCTTTATAACTTGTGTTGACAAGAGCTCGGCCATCGTAGCCAGCAGGCCAGATACTCTCACCTGGCAACTGGTCGAAAATAGTGGCACGAACTGTGCTTATTCCGCCATCCACAGCCTCCAGAATTGCCTCCTGATACTCGTTGGCTGAAAGATCCACTTCTCGACTAGCCAGAAATACCGTTCCCAGCAACACGCCCTCGGCGCCACATGCTAGCGCTGCGGCCACACCTCTTCCATCGCTGATGCCTCCTGCACCAATGATGGGAATGTCTGGGAATCCAGCCGTATCCAACGCGCTACGCGCTTCGGGGACGAGGCTGACCAGCCCTGCGCCAGGTAAGCCACCGTGCCCACCTGCATCCGCGGCTTGCAAGACCAAGGCGTCGGGGGAACAGAGCTGAGCTACTTCGACCGCTGCAGCAACACCCGCAATCTGAATCCAGATATGTGATTTCGGGGACGCGACATGCATTGCTTTTGTCCAGAGGGCGAAGTCCTGCGGCGCGGGAGGGCACGAGAGCAAAATGATGGCGGGGCGGTGGTGCGCCACGACAGCTGCTGCATCCTCAACCTTAGCTGCGAAAACCAGGAACCCGACGCCAATTGGTAGGGTCGGTCTCGTGGTGCTCAAATGCGAGGTAGCTAGGACGGATGTGGCTTCCTCAAGTTGCATAGATAATAGCTCCATATCGACTGCGGCGCCAATAAAGCCTACTCCTCCTGCTATTGTCACGGCTGTGGCGAGACGAGATCCGGCAAAGTCAGCCATTGGGGCATTTGCCATCAGAGGCCGACAGGTCCATGGGTAATGAGTGTGGATTGAAGGTAGCATTCTAGACAATAGTAGGCGGTGAAAGGCCTGTGAGGCCGAGGGGCTATCAAGATGATTGAGCAAGCGGTAGACTTTGTCGGCATCTGTAAGAAAATCCTAGTATGAGGTGCAAAACGACAATTCGAATTATTTGCTCGATAGATGAAGTAAATAAAGTGAGCACGTAAGGACAATGATGATTGGCACCTACTCTTATGAAGAGTGGGATCTTGGCAAGATTGGTAAGCATCAGTAGTTACGTCAACTTGGCCGACATAATCGTTGTAGATAGCTGACAACTTTGGAACATGTGTGAAACCGTGCACTTCGCTTCCTCCAACGTAGAGCAAAGCGAAAAGGTCGGTTACGACGTTGAGCTATTCTAAAACTGTATTCTACATCCCTGTGGGAAGTGGATGGGAGTGCGGCTGAGCATATGAGATCAGTTACTGAGTAGTCGACCAAGGCTGTATCCGCATTGCTCTGCTCTGGCTCGCAATTAATAATCTTGAAACCTAATATCTACGCGGGATGCTGCTCTGGCTCCTGATTAATAATCTTGAAACTTGAGATCTTCGCGGGATGCTCCTCTGGCTCCTGATTAATAATCTTGGAACCTGAGATCTCCGCGGGATGGTTAACGATGTATTCTGCCAGAACATTCTTCTCCACGCTGTAAGCCTGTGTCCCTGAGCTAGTCTCAACTGGGAGTGATAAATTCCTCGTCCTAACCGGGGCGTGGCGACTGGTGGTGTGGTGGCTGCTACGGCTCCACGACTCTTGTAACCGACATGACACGAGGTGAGAACACAACAGTATTTACCTCTAATTTTCATGTAAGATTGAGAAATTGTGCAGCTTAATGGATACTCGGAAATTTCCGTTTAATGACAGTGGGTCTAAAATACGACAAATGTTAATATTACCTTAGTTATGGTGACATAAGCGTTCATACCGTTGCGCTTACGTCTAAATACGGGGAATAGGTTATAAATGCGACAATCACCACCTCCGAACGGATAGCAATTCTAAATCTCCAATCTCTGTGATGGCCTTCGAAATACAGCCACTAAATGCTATTGCGGACTTGGAAGAGGTTACAAAGCTTCTGTCTGTAACCTCAAACATCCAGGAGCCGATGAAAACAATTTTAGGGGACGCTTCTCCCGAAGATAAACAGAGTCTAATTTTTCATTCCTGTCGCGATTGGTTAATGAAACCAGGAGCAATTGGCTTTAAGATGGTTAAGACCTCTACCAAGTATGATCCTATTGTTATCGGGCCAAGTGCATATGCTTACCAAACTTAGCAAGATAGTATCATTCTTCATCGTCCAACGCCCTCATGCCATAACGGAAAATAAGAAAACAACTGTGCCTCCACCAATAGAATATCCGCTAGGAATGAATAAGGAGCTATTCAGAGAATTTCATGGTATCAGCGTGGGACTCAGGGGAAGAAATGGATTTGACCCAGCAAGAGATTATAGTAAGATAACATCCCATTTCTCTCGTGTCTTGGTCAATCTAAAAAAAAATTCTAATGAAACGCTGTGATATTATTAGGTGGCAGCATGATTGCAACTCTCCCAGATTATCAAGGACAAGGACATGGGAGACGTTTAGTCGAAACAGGACTGAAAATGGCCGACACAGAGGGTAAAACATGGTATGCTGGGTGTTGGCCAGCGTCCGTGCCGCTGTATGAAAAAATAGGAGGGTTCGAATATATAACTGAGGAGTCGATAAATATGAGCAGCCATGGCGGTGAAGGAGTACTCTCCATGAAGCTCTTTGTGCGCAAGCCTAGTGGAACTACCGATTAGCTGAGTGAGGTAAGTTGGCAATAGCTCAGTTGAGTGACGCCTCGCTCTGTTGATTACCTGTTAGTTGGCTGCCAATTTGACTAGAATGCTATATAGCTCGCAGAACAGCTCGGCCCAATCATTAGATAGATATTAGTATAGGTTATTCACATCTCGCTATCGCTACGTCGCTGTCGCTATGCTCTCGTTTCTTACTACTAAGAGAAGACTGAAAGAAGTATGCCCTAATGGAAGTTTCACACTGCCCGATCAAATTAATCAAGCAATGTCTTGTTTATGTGACCTGTTCCTTCCTCTTAATGATGCTGGGTACATTCTTTTTGTTCTAAAGGCAAAATATCTCGTATGAGGCATGTACCATAGTACGTACCAGTACCCTCTCTGCCACGTTCACCCTTATCGCTTCTGATGTATCTCTTTTGCTCCCGCTGTACACACTCTGAAGGGGTAGGAGGGGGGAACGAGGAGCAAGAAAGAGGAGGGTGGATAATGGAGGGGTAGATTTATATTACATTACCTAATGCAAGGTGCTCTTGACATGCGCTCCCGCATAACAGACAATTACCCCTCCCATGCAATCCATCGCTGTCTTCAAATTCCAGTAGCGCCCAAAAAGGGGCAAAAAACATAACAACAACAACAACAACCTCCGCCTGTCTCCAGAATTCCAATGAGCGCCAAAGATATATCGCCGCCACAAACCCAATTCAAGCAAATTTCCATATTTATTGTCCCTCATCGTATATCGCGGTCGCCGGCCGCTCCTGTCTGAATGATGACGCGTTTCACTGCATCGTAGTGTCAAAGTTAAAGGACGCAGAGCACATCCTCAGCGAAGATGATACTATACTTCTCCGCCGTACAGGCATCAGAGCTTAGGAATGAGTCGTGCCTCGGAGATTCATGCTCAGGCTCAGACTCAGGCTCAGACTCAGGCTCAGGTTCAGACTCAGGCTCAGACTCAGGCTGCGCCTGTAACCTATCCTCCGCATTGAGCATCTCTAGCTGCTGCTTCGCGAGCACGTACTCCGTCTGCAGCGACTCGTACGACCGCGAAAGGTCCTGGTACTTACCCTCGAGCTCCTGCAGCCGCGCTTCCACCTCGTTTACGTGCTTCTCCTTGCGGTTGCGAAAGGCAATTACTGCTCTTAGCCCATTTAACTAGTTTCCAGAGGCCACCCTCCGAAGCCGATGCCTCCTCGACTCTTTGTCGACGAGTATTGCGGAGTGTCTTCTGGATATGTCGACCCTTTCTGTTGCGTGCCGCTCGGTATGCTTCGTAGTCGTCCTCAATCCTCGTTCGCTGCCACCTTCGTCGTAGTTGTTGTACTTCAGCACATATGTCCTTGCATTCCTGGTCAAACCCTGGAATGGAGTGCGGGGACGGGTTTGACCATGGCGTTGACGCATCAATGCCAGTATTGAGGGCGTTAATGATTATGCGCACATACTCATCGACGCTCTCCTTGTCCCTGAGGTCTGTGGCGAGAGGCACCTGGGGGAGTCGGTTATTGACTGTTTGCTGGAGTAATGGTACGCTCGTCTTTGACCACAGCCGTTTTCTTAACGGGGTGGCAATTTGCCAGTTCCAATCGATAACAACCGCAATCGGAAGGTGGTCGGAGTTGTGATCTAGCCTTGTATCAACCTTGCAGTGGATCAAGCAGGACGCTACCTCCCCTGAGGCAAACGCTAGGTCGATGGTTGACTCTCCCGACTTCCACCTGTGAGTTGTGGTGCCTGGTGCTGTGAGCAGGTCGAGGTGGAAATCCTCGATAATAGTGAGCAGAGGTTGTGCTGCTGATATTCCACGGTTACCATTGCGGTGTATTTTCGACCAGAGGGGATGGTGTAGATTAAAGTCTCCAAGCACAAGGAATCCGTCGTGGGGATCTAGCTTGCTGATAGCGTCCCCTAGGTCATAGAGAGTATTAGTTGCCACCTCATTATATACGTTAATGATGCGGAGCTTGTTGTCCAGGGCAGGGCTTGTGAGTTCTAGAACGATGATGTCCTTGGTGGTGTACGATACGCTCCAAGTGCTGGGGTCAATCCGTTTGTTGATGTAAAAGCATACCCTCGTGGCAGCATCGTCAAGGTAGGTTAGTTGGAAATGTGCTTTGAGGGGGTTGTAAGATGTCGCAATGAATGGGTTACGCCAGGGTTCTTGAATTGCAAGGACGTCATATTCTCGGATCCTCGGGTCCTGGAATAAGCTGGCTAGGACGACGTCTCTTGATTTCTGGACATTGTACTGTAAAATGCGTAGCTCCTGGTGTCCTACCATAGGCGTGGTGGTCCATTGGCACTGTTTGTGACGGATTGGCTCCGGGTTGTACGGGCATCTGGCGGACGGACTAATGGCTCAGAGTCCGATCGATGGGTTAGGATAGAGGTCCAGGCTGGGGTAGTAGAGCTATGTTTTCCCTGTGTCTCCTGGTATATGCTCAGATTTCTTTGAGCATATCTTATTTGCTTCATGTGCTTGCATAGTTCTGCTGCGTTTGTACAGTCTTTGCCGCAGTAGACGCATGTTCTCATGCACTGAGCAATTGTCAACTCGGCGTTGTGTGTTGGCCAGTTGCTGTAGATTTCCTGGTGTGTTAGGCATTTGCACCCTCTATAAATTGCCCCTAGAGCTGTGCGGGTATCTGTCGCCATGGAGGTAGGTGGGGATGGTGCAACCTCTATGGTATTGCGCATCCACTCGCTACCGCTGTTGTTGATCATGTTGTCGAGCCAAGTGTCCGCGTCCTGCACCGCCAGTGTTCCGTCTATCCCATCTAATGGGTATACCGATGGCTGTGGTTGACTGTCCTCTAATGCTTGAGTGAAGGAGAAGGAGTCCTCCGTGGCCAAGATCTGTGGATCAATCGCTGACTGTAGCTGCTGTGTAGGCTCTTGTTCCATTGCTGGAGTTGCCCAGTTCTCTTCAACTGATGGAGCAACAGATTCTCGTGTTGAAATTGCTTCAGAAGGTGCCTGGCCTCCCATAGATGTTTGTGTTCGCGGGGCTGGCTGCCTTATCTCAGTCGATCGAGTGGTAGATGTTGGTAGCTGGGGTCCAGTGTCTGCAGGGGCACTGGTTCTTCGTACTGTAGGCTCCTCCGGCCTCTGGGTTGTCGTTTGGGTCGGAATATTGGCTGCTGGTATTCGGATTTCCTGGGTGCCATTGATATTGCGTATGGTCCTTGGTCGTGCGCTGTTCTCCTTATAGGGGACATGCCAGTAGATACTCCGGGCCTGCTTGGCTTGTTCTACTCGTTCCAGTTCCTTCTTTCTTGCTGGGCAGGCATTGCTCCATGCAGTATGAGCACCTTTGCACACTGCGCATCGGGGAATAAACCCTTCCATGCCCTTCTACCTGCAGTGTTTCGTCTCGTGTTGCTCTGTACAATAGCCGCATACTTGGGATGCGCTACATTGAGTGCCGATGTGACCATAATTCTAGCAGCGGAAGCATTGTTTTACCCTGCAGGCACAATCATAGAGTTGGCATTGGTGTATATGGCCATCCCATACCATTCCGGCGTAAATGATGGCATTGGCCATTTCTGGGTCTGTAAATTCAAGTGATATTCGCCTGTTCTTGACGAGATTGAGCATGAAATTCCACAGCTTAACACAAGCGGCGATTGATGGCAACTATCACTGGACTGAGGGCGATTTTTTCGCGGGTTCCAGCGAAGGTTCGTCCACATGCCTGCGAGCAGACATTCATCGCCTTAATGGGGAGTTTTCGACATATATGAGAGACAAAGGGCACCTGAGGAAGCTCTTTAGTGATTCCGAACCTGACGTCGGTTCCGAATCTGACGTCGATTCCGAAGAGGAGGGAGAAATGTTGCGCGTCGCTAAACACGAAGTTGAAACCTGGGTAAAACGGGTATGAACAAACTCCGAGAGAAATATCTGGAATGTATGCTAACAAATGTAAAGGTATATTTGAAAACCAGGGGGCGTGAACTACCCGGAAATTACAATTACGTATTGCTATCTGAGTTGTATCATGAGCAATCGAGTCGGTGGACCATGATTGGAAACGATCATTTAACATCGGTCCTTGCTACCACCGCTAATTTTGTAGACATGGTTTTAAATTGCATCATCGAAGAAGAAGATGTTGAGAGCAGAGTTCGGGAAATCATCCAGTCTAAGTTTGAGATCAAAAAGGCCGGTGCTGCCAAAGAACTGGAGACGCTCATAAAGGATGAGAAACGTCAGCCAATAACGTACAATCATTACTATACCGACAACGTTCAGAACGCAAGGCATGATGCGATGAAGGGCAACATACAAAAGGCGATGCAAAGCGTTGTTGAGCATGACCAGAATGGGAAACTTCAAGCGCTGCATACACTGCCTCCTCCTGCTTGTTCGACCGAAACTTCGGCTCCTCCTGATTCAGCACTTTCTTCAACCCCTCGTATATTTCTTCTTCCGAATACGTCGGCACTGTCGCCAGTTGCAGAACCCCAGTCCTTGCCGCTTCGGGCCGCGGTCGACTGGGGAGCACCATTGGCCCAAACCCGCTTTCTGTCTCATTTCCAGCCCAGCTCGGGCTTGCTGGCGTCAAGAATCCGCCCTGAGATGGGCTGGTTAGCAGCGGTGTAAATATCAGTGGCACTGGTCTTCCTAATAGCGACCTCGACCTCTTCGGATTAAGACTGGGCGCTGGCGTCCCATAAGACAATCCTCGTTCACGCTTACCTAATGGCGCTGGCTTCCTACTATCCAGATCCAACAGCTAATGCCACTGGGTTCCAATGGCTCCAAAGATCCGAATACTCTCATCACTCAAGTTTCGGATGATATCCCCACGGACCCCATACCGCTCCGCAATCTCCTTCCCATGAGCAGCTGCAAGATCCACCGCACTCACCACGACGTCCATGTCTTCGTGCGGCATCTCTTCTGTTGTGGGAATTTCCCTCATGAACTCTGCTCTGATGTATTCACGGCCGATGTTAATCGCCACGTTCCGGTAATCCTGCGTTGTCAGCCGTATCCCCATTTGTGCAGCGGTCTCCTGCGTCAAAATCTTAGTTTGTTACACAGTCGTCTACGATCCATTTTTGTCATGCTAGAGATGGTCACTTCGCGGGAGTCCATTCGTTTTCTAGTCGAGAGTTTCTGAGAATGGTTGCACATACGCCAGATACACTGCGAATAGTTGCCCGACCCGCCACGGAAGAAATCGTAGTATCACCTTAGCTTCCCTGAACAATGCCAGTGACTTGTGATACCTCGTTGCATAACACATCCGTCTATTGATGATATAGATATTCCGTTCCTACAGAATCCCATTCTGAAACCTAATTGGGGTAATCTCCTCCCTACGGGCTAGCGGGCCTGGAGTCGTATAGCCTAGTGCCAGCCCTAGTTCCTTAAATCGCCTTTGCAGCTACTAATACCCACGGACTCTACTCATTCGCCATGTTTTTCTCTCCTAATCCCACAGTTGCTAGTCCTTAGGAGCCTTCAACATCTGATCTATCATCTACTGCGTCTTGTCCTTTATGCCATTAGCTTCGTTAGTCACCTATAAAGCACCACGTGCAGCCAGTGACAGATCGTCCTACATTAAATCCAGATCAATCTTAAACCGGTCCTTCTTCTGTCTAACCCACATTAGATCCTGCCACAGTATGTCCTCAGCCTCCTAGATCATGTCATGGATGGCATCCTTAAACCATCTAATTAGTAGCGGCTTTCCATGAAGTTCTAATATGTCGCCGTCTAGACGGTTCGTTTCCAACCGGCTCTAAGTAATGCTGGGCTGATTGATTTTTTGCATGCTCATTGTCTTTCTATAACCTAGCATCTTAATTAGAAAGCTGCACAGGCTATAGCTTCTGACTACAAGATATCCCCTGCGGAGTTCAAGAAACCGGTTAATGTCATCTCTAGTCTGCTCTCCTCTTGTGGCTGCTAGCAGCGCATGCTCTACAAACAAAACTCTAATGCAGTACATGAACCCCGTAAGCATGTATGAATACTCATCGCCACGTTGTAAGTAGTTCTCCTCCTCAACTATCCCTAAAACAGCTGCAAAATGAATCATGGGACTATTAAACCTATCTAACCCTTTTAAGCTCTACAAGATCATAGACATCATTAGCGCGCTCATTTTCTGGACCTGGGTTTCATCGTCTTCTCCTGACACTAATGATTGCAGCATATCCTCTAGTAGCTGCCTCTACTCTAGGTTAAATTTGGTTAGTTCACAGTAATCCTTCATCCTATCACTCTGTTCACTGTTAGCAGTCTCATGTGTCCCACCTCTTTCCCTAACTATGTCTAAAAGAAACTCTTCATTGTTGTCTACTAACTCTTCATCGCTCCTATCAACATCGCATTCCTGAGCCTCCCTCTCCTTCTGAGCCACATATACTCGCAATAAATAGTAAGCAAATCGTTTCAAATAAGCAATATATCAGTCCAAACTATCCTCGTTCTGCAGCCGCACCATAGGTTGGTTTTCAACCTTCTCAGTCAAGTTAGCAGTTCGCAGCCAATACGGGGTGTCGTCATTTAAGCTGCTTAGCCTATCCATAGCGCCCTTAACCATGGAATTGACGATTTCTCCAGCACGTTGGAGCTGCTTGTCCTTTCGGTTAGGCAACCTACTTGCATGAGCGATACGTCTGATATTGCGACTGCCAAAGTGTGGCCGCCACTGCATAAAGTTCCACCAACCAGTATTGTCGCTCTTCTCGGTCTTAGAATCCGCAATCTCAAGCCGCCCCTTGTCCTGCTTGTCTGTCGCTGCGAAATCCTGTAATAATTAGTCTTAGAGTAAAGCATCTTCGTTGTCCTCAATATCAGAATTATTCTCCCGTTCCTCGCTAGCCACAATAAAATATTTCTAGAATCCTGTCCTAAAGAATGTCTGCACCTTAACTAGTTTCTAATGCGCTAGATCCTCTTTGGAATAAAACCACCCATGAATTTTGCAATGCTTTTGGATTGCGTCCTTTGATACTACAATCGTATCACAGTCGTCGCACTAGAATCCTGTCATCAGTTCTCCTAGCGCTTTGAATAGTGGTCCTCCTAATTTAGGCAATGGAATATTTTTTGGGTTGTGTAATATAAATTCCCTGTACTTTTTAAGTAGTGGTCTTTGTCTTTCTATACCTAAATTATGTACCTTACGTAGATGATAGTCAAAACCTCAGATAGCTATATAATGCAGTTTACATAGAAAAACCCTGTACTCTGCATTATATTCAAATGTGTTGTCGTCTTAGACGTTGATGTTGTTGACCCTACTATCCCATTTAATGGTCGCTTATTGAGTAACCCTAAGTTAGCTGATATAACCCCAACTTCAACCCTAGACCCCCTCCAACTTACTTATATTTGTCTAATTAGACGTTTGGCAGCAAGATCTATGTTTGGTTGGTATTGTCTCTTAGCAGTTAAGCAAAATCTGTCGTTGATTTAAAGTTAAGACACTTCACGCATGGCTGATTTGACTCCTGATCTGACTGCTACGCTAAACCTAATCTAATCGCGCTTACCGCATTCAGACGCCTATTTGAGTCAAATCGCCTTCCTCCTCATGTAGAGCTTAGGACCAACCATCACGATGAAACACGTCTAATACCGTGAACACCGCCAAACCAAATTTTCCAACTTTTTATGCCACTGTCTTCCTTTTCGACTGTTGTTTCCGTACTCCCAAAGGCCGCAGAATTTCGCTTACAATGGCACAAACAGGCACTCATGCCAGCTTGAGCAGCATTTTTGAGTCTGCGATGCGACCTTACGACCCGCTGAGCAATTGTGTGTCCTCTGTCTAAGTTCTTCGCGGCGGCGTGTGATAGGGAATTTATGGCAAGTAGTGTAGCTCTATAAATGCAGTCGAGACTAACCGATGCTAGGAGTCCATTACTAAAGAGGTCTTTTAGAGGAAGATGACCCCGATACGGTTAGACCATATGATAGAATACATATACACATCTGAGTGCTGTGATGGAAATCGATCGGGACAAGCTGCAGCTATTATACCTCCAGGGAGCGTCCTGGATGATGTCGTTGGGGATGAAAAACTGTCTATTTCGAAGTCACAAGAAAGCATAGACCAGGATGATACAACAGCCTAAGTCGGCGGCGTCGGTCAATGGTTGCTTAATAACGTTCTTGTTTACGCTATTGCAGAGAGATACTTTCTGGAGGGATTGAAAGAAATGGCGAGAGTAAAGTTTCGAAGTCAGGCTGAAAACCACTTGTCTGTGAAGGAGTTTCCTGAAATTATTCGGGAATTATATCGATCTACGCCGTCGCGACAGTGGGCTCCGCGATATTGTGTCTCATATTTGTGCACAACAAGGAAGAACAGTTGTTGACCGTCCAGATTTGAATGCCAGTATCGTGGAAAAGGGGGAGTTTGGCCCTGACATACGGAGACGACAGAGTAGAGAAGACAACCACGACGAATGCTGACAAGGGTAGTGAGTAATATCAAAGCAGACAAAACTTCTGAAACTAGGATGTTTTGGTGATGTTTGATTACTGGTCAATTTATTCTTCGCCAAAACCGTAATGTAGAAGATGGGAAATTATTGCTTGTAGTGATTGATAGTATTAACAATAAAATCGAACATAGCGCCGGATTTGTTGATCGAAGAAGTTACATCGAATTCGATTGAGGTCGTGCGGTGTGTTGACAGAACGTGTGGATTGAGGGGTGGAAAGATTATCGTTATCCTCGATGCCCTAAGGCCCACCAGACAATGCGGATCAACCCCCTGGTATAGTTTATGACTACGGGAACTGAACGCTGGCCCTTCCTTGTACGAAGGTATATCGGATTATATTTGTTTGTTTCTCCAGAATCGCTATTTACGCTCTATCTACTATATATTCATCCGAGGAGCCATCTATGGGCTCATCTGGTGGCCGCCATCAAATTAGAATACCGATTACTTTGCCCATGACATTACCATTTCTATCTCCTAGTGACGATCAAGGGGTTAGCAGGGATCATTGGGTGAGGGATGATTACGAACTTAGTCAATGGGTGGATCCGATGATACCCCTCAATTTGTCGCTCCGCTTTGAATCGCTAGTGGTCCTTCCGTTTCGAAGTCGGCAACACAAGGATAATGAGGACACATATTGTGCTGACAAGAATTACGTGTGTGCTGCTAGTTCGCTCTTTCTGAGTTCAAGGGTTTTGAGAAGAAATTTTCAAGTCCGATACAGAGTATCATTGCCGCCCGCTTACAGCCTCCTCAAACCGCGAGATTGTTCGTCTCTCATTACGGCGTGAGCAGCGCCTAAGTGGACTGAGTTAACCATCAACCCACCTCCTACCCCAGTACCCTCTCTATCTCTTTCAAGCACAGAGCCGCCGCCACGTACCTAAAACTGACTAACTCCACGCCAGTCTTCGAATACGTTGTCTCTTCCAATGCCACATTCAAACAAGCGATACTTTTTGCCAAGCTTTCCTCGCTCATCGCAGTACCATCTTTGACAATGCAGTTTACGATATAGGTAAGATCGTCATTGAAGCGCTCTTTCATGCTGATGGAGAGCTCATGTTGTCGTTTGTTCTGAGCACCGAATTTGCCGAGTATATTGCCGACGAAGACCTCACGCTCGCTGATGGCGCGCGAGGGTTGCGAACTGTACTCGTAGGAGATGTTTGTGACGCAGTCTTCGTATCTAGATACTAGGTATTAGTAAGTAGTTCAATGGGTGTTTCATAATGAGGTGCGAGTGAAACTGGTGACCCATACTCATCGCGGATCCCTCGAGCCCGATCAAGGTGGTGTTTCCACGGTATTGCCTGACACCGATACTGAACGTAATTCCAAATGCCTTCAAGTACAGTGCTGACGGAGATTGTTTTTTTATCCACCTCGTTCAAATATGCCAGTAGCCCTTCTTTCTGCACGCTTCCAAAGACTTCACGCTCATCGATGGCACGGTATAGCTTCCCCAGGATTTTTTCACTCCTATAGTATTTATATCCTGCGACATCATCATCGTCTTGAAACAATTCAGGCTCAGGCGGAGCATCGAATTCTAGTGGCTTGTTATTCTGTACAAGGACATGCGGACCTGGCGCCATGAAGTCTGGACGATACTTGTTGTAACGTGGCATCTTGACACTAACCTATATAATTGTTCAGTGGCAATTGCTTCTATATTTGGAGTTAAAATCTTACCGGGATGCCACTTTTCGAAAAATCAACCGCTGTGGAGTGCATTTCAGCCAACAACAAGCAATCAGGGTCTAAAACGCCATGTTCCTTTTGATCCGCAAGAACTTTATGTAGTACAGCAATTCGGCCTAGTTGATCAGTAGCCATGAACTGAACAAAGAAGTCCGTCATATCCTTTCGTTCAACGGGCCGATCTAACTCGATCGGAGTGGGTGAGTGATAGTCTGCTGGGGGAAATACCCATTCCGGTCGCGCGTTGGGGTCGAATATGATTTGGTAGAGATCTCTATCAAGATCTCCACCACTCAATTTGCTGGGCAGGTCTCGTTTACCCTTCTGGCTGAAACATATGCAATTGCAAAGGTTCATCAATGGAGAATTGTCGGGCACGGTCACGCCTGTCACTGTCTGAATGTCGCCCTTGTGAAGTGCTGGAGAACGGGTGATGATCAATTTCTTTCTAGTGATAACTTTCGGTGTTCCGTTAACTTCGACGATACAAAAGATCTCGCCTTCCTCAAGGATTCCGGTTTCATCCATAATGCCATGTAGCGTGTAACCCCTCGGGACGGGGATTCTAGCTTTGTGTTTCAGTGCACGAAGCTCGATTAAAACAGTAATCTCGAGAATATCTCAAAGGAAACTGTCTGCTTTAAATGATAGATTTAAGCTATCTAGCTTTTTAATGAACCACGGGAGTTGTATTAAGTCGCCAACACTTTGCGTTCTGAGAAATATCGAGGCATTTACCGAACTGGTTGTAACCATTCGAAGCCGTTCAACCTCTTTTGCTTGAAGGTCGAGGAAAAACTCATCCTTGACGCCCATGTCTTCGAGTATTTTGATACTCTGCTGGTTGAGATATAGTGGGAGTGGTTTGTACGCAGCACCGCATATCTCGATATCGGTTGAGTCAGACCCAGGGAACTTTATCATCGACTTACGCAAATAAATGGAGTGGCCTTGAAGACGACTATCTAAAGCAATCATGCCTTTTGCGCCTACTTCAACGTCAGCACTAGCCAGTATTTAAAACGAAGACTTATTTTATTCTGTCTTTTGAAGCAATGAGCGGTAAATAAAATTGATGACGAGGAAAGGATGATGATTATACAGGTAGCTTACCGGAGTATCGGATCTGAAAGAGAGTTGTTTGCTTTTGTCTTGCTCTCGGTAGACTATCCCATATCTGCTCTATGACAGACATCGACACTGTTCCAACGCCATCACTAAATACACGCCCATTCCGTTCCACGTCGTTCATGACCTTAGCAACTCCGGGTTCTAGAGTGACCGCCGTCGGAGTCTCTGAAAATGCTTGTCCTATTCTAGCAGCACATTTTGCTGGACATCGGATGTTCGAGAAATCACCCAGACCTGCAATGAGGTTTCGGTCAAGGAGAAGATGCCCATTATGGAAGAATGGGGCCATAAACCAGCAAGATTGTGCTCGAAGAGACGAATGGGAGAATCCCAGGAATGAAAATTGTCTCCCGGTTATTAGAATACCTTCATCCAACACCTTCTTAAATCTTTCGTAGAATATTGGATCATTGGACGCCCCAGGATTGTATTGGACCTGTTCGCCACTTTCATCACAGAATTGAACGCGGAGGAAAAAATTGTGATGCTTGGGATACTTTCGAAGAACGCGGTTATTCTGTTCAGGGTCCGGGCCATACATATAGATCCCAGTAGGCGTAACACTGATCCTATGTATGATAGCTACATTGTCAGATTCCATTGGTTCATCAACATAGAGGCCTCCGCTCTTCAATTTCTTTTCGTTGTCCTTTAGTAACGATATTAACGTATCGACCTGAAATGTCATGGCATCGGTATCGGGACCGCGGAAGGGAATCTCGTTGAACAGACGACGAACTGCACGGGTACAAACACGGTGATCAGATCGCTTCCACAAGCATACTATCTCTGGTAACAATTCTAGGACTGTACTTGGTGACAGATAACTATTTTGTGCCAATTTTTGTACCTGGAAGGCGATCTCGAACGGAAGTGTGGAGTAGGAGGTTGCCAGTGTTTGGAGGAGCCTATTAATCTCTGTTACATATCGGTCTTTCGATCTGCGCATGCTGACATGGCGCTGAACAGTTGGTGGTATCCCACGCGCGTAGCTCAGAGCTTTCATTTGCTCCGAAAGCGAATCACTGACAAGCCCAATCCTGTATACCAGACAGCTTCCCGAAATCTTCTCATGTTCACTGTCCAATCCAGGGACTCTCAGTCTACTTTGACCTTGAGTGGGTTTTGTAATCAAAGACTCCATCAATCTGACCAAGTGCTCCGTATTCATTGCAAGTGTTGTGCTCGTCGAATCGCCGCTATTGGCAGATTTGAAGAAGTGTGGAGCCTCACTCAACGTGACAGTGATTGCAGGCTGCGGGAGGCCCTCGGTCGTGATTTGTTGCACTATTGAGTACAGTATATCAATGCGCTGATTGGTGTCCAAGGTTATAACAGCAACCTTTGAGCCGAACTTTACTTTTCCGTGTACTTTCAAATCCAGGTATGACGTGAAGACGAGGTCTGAACCAATGTAATCCCAAATCCCACATGATACAGATGAGCACTCGAGAGTACTGTGGCCCTGGCCAGGTACTGAATGTGGTGTCTTCTTGGTCGTAGACCCTGACTTCCTCGCGTTCGCATCCATCTCCAGACTCTTCAGGGCAAACGGTTCGGGCGGCTTGTTGCTCAGACTACAGAGAAGCAGAGCACCTTGGAATATAAGGGGAGAAGAGCCGCGGGTTTGACTGTTCCTTGTCTGTCCATGTTTGTTTAAGAATTTGTTCCCTTCTTCCTTTCTGAGGAAGGTTAATGTCGCAAAACGTTTCTGCTTCCACTTCTGGCAGTGCCAGCTTTCGATTGAAAGCCCACTCATGGTCGGTTGGAAGAAATTCGTCATTTGAGCCTCTGTTGCCCGCTCAGACGCACCTCGAACAAACACCTCCATTGTAAGTGATTAGCTGTGATGAAGGTTTGAGCGATTTTGAACAAAGACTTATGAATAGCGAAACTTTCGGGAGAAGGCTGAGAGTTGGATGCAATGAGGTATTTAAATAATAAGCACGTATGCTGAATCAAGATTCTGGAGCTGCATCCAACTCAAGGCGCGTGTGGTGTAACCCTTGCGGTTGTGGCTGGCCTGATGGTGATATCTGATTGGTAACTTATCGCATTTATGCACTCCAACGATTTTCAGCGCATGGTTGTTGCTGTAGCTGCTCGCGGCATCTAAATGCAAGGTGCGTTGGCCCAAACAGTCAACTGAATTGAATGGTTGGAGTAATTTCTCAGAATATTCGATTTTAAGACCAATAAAAAACATTGCCCATTTAATTGGGGGACCTTTGCTGCCTCTTTACTTCGACTACCCACTGTCCTTATTCAGAATCGCCAACTAATATGGGCGTATTGCGCACGTTTGAAGGATGTCTCTACTGGATCGTCCAAATGAGTTGCTCCTGTCTATAGCAGGCAATTTGAGATGCGAAAGTGGCACCAATGCACTTGTTTGTACGAATCATCGGCTCTACTGTGTGCTCGGCGCGTACTTATACCAATATTACATCCAGACAAGCAACCATTCCGCACTCCCTTGGGATGCATATAATGGGCTCACCAATAGCTTTCTCAAATTCATCGAATTAGGAGCAAACGTCCAGGCAACTTTACATGATGGGAAGCGGGTAACGTCGCTCCACCTGGCCTCACAAAATGGGCATCTCTTAATCGTGGAGGCGTTGATACAATGTGGAGCTGAAGTCAATGCGCAGACAACCCTATAATTACACCTCTTCACAGAGCTGTCCGAAGTGGACATGAGCACATTACACGGATTTTCCTTGGAAATGGGGCAGACTTCATGAAACCCCTCCTAACACAGTCTCGGCCAACCATGCTTCACATCGCAAGTTACTCTGGACATACCGACCTCGCTCTTTGGCCCGTCCCTGCACTGCCCACCCCTCTTCTGTGGGTTCTTCCAATGGTGGACGTCCCGACAATGCTCTCGCATGTTCTGCTCCCGCCGGTGTACAAACTGACACTCCTCTCCATCCTTCTTGAATAGGCAACCTAATCCATCTGTTCTCGAGTTGGCTAATCCTGGAATCGCTGTTGTGGCAAATAAAAGCCAGCTCAGTTCAAGTTAGTTATACATAAAGATAACCAGTAAATAATGGCGCACTCGTTGTGTGCGCTACCTTCGTTCAACTGGGAGTCGCGATTTTGGTAGGTGCAAGCTCCCACGAGTAAAGTGCAGGGTCACGCATAACTCGAATAAAGCTCCGACCCCGCACCAAGCTGCCATGCATAACACGCCGTAGACCCATCCACAACATTCCTCAAGGTTACAACTTCCAAGCCTCCACCTCCACGTTCAACTTTCTACTATAAAGCAACCTACCCAACCCACACCCTGAACCATCTCACGATGTATTGCCAAAAATGCCGTGCTCCCCTCAAGCTCGACAGCTCCCTCGAGAGCCTCAACCCTGCCGCTTCAACGTTCTCGTCGGTTCGCCCTCATCCCTCCCCTCACTACCACGCACATTACTAACACCCGCCAGGCTCAACCCCCTCCGGCCCCCCCATATCCCTCCCGAGCGCAAACCCTCTACGAAACCGCCTCCCGCACCACCTCCCCAGCAACCTACAAACGCACCACAGGCGCCCCCGACCCCCGAAACCCCGCAATGTCCTTCGTGCTGGTCTCCTCCTCCAAAGCCGCCCCCCCTGCACTTTTCCCGCACACTCGCCCTTCCTCTTCCTCGCCCTCCACCCCGACACCTCCCACGAAACCGAGCGCATAAACCGGCTCTTCGCCCTCCTCTCCGCGCGCTCCGATATCAACCACCCAGTCTGCACCGAATGCACAACCCTGCTGTTCTCCTCCCTCTCCTCGCGCCTCTCCGCGTCCCTCTGCGACGCGTTTGCCAGGCAGTTATCCGAAAGGGGAAAATAGAATGGTTTGGGTGCCGGAACACTAGTTGTGGCATGGCATATCCCGATTGAGATAGCGCTAGAGAAACACGGCTAAAAGGCAGGAGATACGGCTAGCGTGTGGTGCCCAGGCGCCGGGAGATTTCCTGAAATGGTTTAGTGCTGCCTAAGGGGGAGATTGGGTGGGGAGCATGGATAAATAGGCGTAGGGCGGTACCATCAAACTCCCCAACTGCATTGATGACTCTTCCACCCTCAAGTAGCAGCTTCACAATCGACTCATGGCCCTAAGAGCCGCTTGCCTGCATTGCGGTGCGGAGCAAGGCCCTCCACGAGCATTAATGTCTGCGCCGTCCCCACACTCGACTGACATTCTGGCTCCTTTCACCTACTTACTCGGCTGACCAAATGCACACTATAGAAATATCACTAGTTTCATGTCACAGTATCCACCTGTGGCTTGTCCAACTGGAGTAGGTTTAGCATTCATCTGTACATACATATATCTATTCTTTTTTTCGGCGAAAAACTAGCTACTTTTGTGCCTACTGGCTTTCGGACGACAGCCTTTCGTCGGCTAACCCTGACCGTGAAGCAGCCCTTCAGAATAGGCCCTTGGTAACTGGGGAGGGAGGTTGGGCCGAGAGAACCCGTTGGTAAATCCAGCAATGAGGCACGTTATTAGTGTTTTCGTGTTGACATGGCAGCGTGAAGGTTGCATTTGGGTGTCAGGGAGAGCTTATGGATAACATTAAAGGTGGGGGTTTGGTGTAGAAGGGAACATAGCGTAGTTGAGCCCACCCCGGTGAAACTCGACGACGGCCACCCCCGGAGGGTAGGGTTCACGGAATAGGGGAGGAGGCATAGCAGGATAAGAGTTATAGAAGGAAGGGGTAAGCACATTACAGGGCTTGTAAATATGTCTGCAGGATACGCTCTTCCCATAATGGAGTATCACGATACTGTCGGCTTTCTATTATGAGCGGAAGTCCAATGCTCTCCCATTTTCCGGCTCCTGCATCTCGTCTAGTGTTTCCGCAGGGTGCTCGCATTCCGGCCGCTGTTGAGGCGATGGCTTGCCGTAGCACAAGCAGCTGCGCCATAATGACCAGAGCCGAGAGATGGGTTCTATAACACGCCGCCTCGCGGAAGCCATTCTTTACGTCAATGCCCCAAATTGCAAGGAAGCCAAGTGCCTAGTGCTGCTCCTCCACGAATTCCCGAATCGATAAAGGCCAGCGTGGTATCAGCCCGGCCGCCTAGACAGCGGGGCTTCAATCCCATCACCCAGTCCGTGATCCGGCCTGCGATCCCACCACCACAGCCTTCCCCTCCGAAAGTACAACGCCCATACTGCCATCTACCCTCGCCCACCCCAGCACCTTCGCCTGCGCCACCCTAAATCGCTTCGTGAAACCCTTCTGCCCCGGCAGCGGCCCATACGGTGCATCCATCTGAATGGCATACCACCTCGCCAGCGCGCTGTAATACGCCACGTCGACACCATACGTCTTCCTCGCTTGCAGCAGCAGCTCGTGCATCAGCCCGTTGAAAAAATCCAGCAGCTGCCGCGGTCCGGGGGCGCCTGGCCCGCTCCACCCTCCCGACGCGTTCGCCGCGACCACAACAGGGTTGAGGAGCAGGATGAAGTCACGGAGATAGGCCACCCAGTGAGGCCCCAAGCGGCGGGTGTTGGCGAGGCAGCCTTTGGTGGCATGGATGGCGGCTTGGGAGTAGAGGTTGGAGGAATTCCACAGTTTGGCTAGGATGAGGTGCATGGCTGGCATGGGCCATGCGGCGTCTGGCCAGTCGCGGGTGGGGAAGATGGGGGTGGTGAGTTGGGATAGTTTGATGATGACTTGCTCGGGGTCGAGTTCGGAGGCGTTGCTGCTATCAACTTTGTTCAGGTAGTCGACAAGCAGTTTCTCCGTGTCGGCAAAGGTCTGGATAGAGAAGCCCTCCGTTGATGATAGGGTTTGGAGTTCGAGTAATTCGTCATCGCATCTGCGGCCTACAAGGCATAAGTTGACGATTCATCGGACGAAGAGACATGAAGTCTTAAACTTACATTCGCAGGTAAAGAAGTACTGAGACCGGAGCATCTCCCCGCGGATCATCATGCCCGCCTTGTCGTCTACGTATGTCTGAGTAATTTCGTCACCGGGCTGGATTGGCTTCAGCGACCTTACTCGAAGCTGGCTGTTCTCGAAGAAAACAAAGGCGTTGGGGTCACAGGAGTGATTCATGAAGGCTCCGACGAGATCGAGTGCTGTTCCGGCATTTTCTTCCAGAGGGCGTTGAATGCTTATGCAATTCGTAAGGATCTTCCCGACGTTAGGCCCCCCTTTAAGTTGCCGGAGTGCATACATACCCTACAATAAAGGTCCTGTATTGCTCCAAGGCTATGCTCTGACTGTATCAGGGTTTTGGAATTCATAGAAACACCAAGAATTATCTCAACGCCACTTTTTGAGTAATGCTGTAGCCGGTGCGGCTGGAGATGGTTGACAGCCCGCCACCCTTGTTCCGCCAAGGTGCCTTGCTTCTGCATCGCAAGCACCCGATATAGAGCGCGAGTTGACACAAACGCCGTTGGAATCTTCTTTAACGCCAAACACTCTGATTTATGATATTTCTTCCAAGCCTTCTTCTGGCAATCCTTGTGGAGGTTAGTTTAGCTAGATTACTCGACACCGCAAGGAAACAAGTTTCATAGCCTCACCTTAGAACAATACCCACAGACTTGGCACTCCGCACAAAGGTTTATTTTCGGCATAATATCGCCCTTGGCGCGAAAATGACCGGTGACGGGGTTGATCTTGCCCGCGCTGCTGGTAAAGCAGAAGTCGCATATGACACCGTACAGCCCGTTGTCGACGCAGCTGACTAGCGGCGTCGACCGGAAGACCTCTGCTCCCTCAGCAATGGCTTCCTTGGCAAAGAGGCCGGTGCCATTGAGGTGGATCTTTGAGGGCAAGATTTCCAGCGAGGCTGGGGCGTCGAGGCTGCGCAGCAGGTATTGGCAGAGTTCTTGGTCGTCATAGATCGGTCGAGCAGCTTCTTCGAGATACGTAGGGGGAGTTTGGCTCGCCATTTTGCTAGTTTTCAAAGCATATGCAAATCTTCGAGCAACGTATTGCGGGTTGAATTGGTAGCAGGGCAAGGCGCCGTACTTTGTGCTGTGAAGCGCCTTGGCAGTTCTGAGACGCTGTTGTCTTGGATCACAGTTGGTCGGCTGCACTGCAAGTCGGTTTGTTACTGTATGACTCCTGGTACGCAACAGTCTATTGCTGCATTACTATACTGTAATTCCTGACCACATTTCCACGGTACCCAGCCGCAAACCAGTGTGGCTCCGTCCGTTGAAGGGCAACTATTGATCGCCACGTGAACAGACGAGGCTCGCCCCGGTCCGTCCCCGAAGTAGTTCCGACGTCCCGCTTTTATACGGCACTATTTGTCTCCGGATGGATCTTCCATCCAGCTGTTTACTCACGAATAAACCTCCTAAAACACGTTCAGGCTTAATTCGACGAGTATTTATAACGTTTATATACAGTAGGAATCGGAACTTGCTTCGCACTTGACACTCTCTGGTTTCAATTCTGTGGAAAGGAGTATATATTGGGTTTATTGGTGAGCACCCATCCCATACCACATAACTACGAACACTTCTTGCGGTCCAGCTCCTAAGTCAGCGGCAGCTCAACAGCGAGATCATACACAGATGGAGCGCACAAGTTTGCAAAGAAACTGCTGGAGAAAAGCGATCGATTCTGCCACGAAAATAAGCCTCCAGGGATGGGTTGGAAAATGCCAACTTTCAAATACCCAATTCCTATACGGCAAATACCCAGGAGTAACGCTCACGGGAAACCTCAAAGGCCAAGCTTGCGCAATCGCTTCATAAGCTTGTCTGAGGCGACATCGCTGTACATAACCGTGGGCTCCTCCTCGACCTTCTGTTTGTTGGCACGGGTAGGCATCTGGACGTTGATGTTCACATTGACCTATATCCCTCAATAAGGCGATGTCTCACGATCTCTACCTCATGATGCGTGTGTACGGCTCTTGAAGGAACTATTGGCTGAGTGGGAATTAGGCCATAATACATATAAACTAGTGGCGGACGCAAGCGAGTGATGCACTTTCTACCACAACAAAAACAATTAACGGTTAACGTAACTAAGTTTTGGCCGCTACAATTACATCATAACTACATCAATCAGACAGCCCTATAGCCTCATAGCAGGATATGTACATTATAGCCATAAAATACAAGAGGAAGGTAGATGAAGATATCAATGGCGATTTTACGATGACTTTGAGAAGGGAGATTAATGATGATGATTTTATAATGATTCTAAAGAAGGGACGTGTTCCGGCTAGTGTTGGTGCAGCAATAATCGTATTGTAGGACCGCGTCCTACGCGGCACTCATTTGAAGCTTGGACTTTTCTTGCGTATTCTCTCATAATCCGGACCAGCATTAAGGTCTTTAGGATTATTTACATTGGCCGGCCATATGAGTTGGTCACTTTGGGCAGACGCACAACAAGATATATCACATAGCTTGCACAGCTTAAAACCTTCAAAGAAGTCAATCAATTCAGGATGGTTTCATGCCCCGTTTAGCGGCCCTTCTCGGACAACAAGAAGTTTGATAACATGATCTATAACATGATGTGTAACATGCAGAAGTGTATGAAGTGGAAATTTAAGGGTCTGAACAACTTGGATCGCTGCACAAGCATCTTCCGCAGTCAACCCCAACAGCATTGAATGTTAACATGCCAAAGGTGCTAACGTCATTTGGGTTGGGGTAGTAGAAAGGGGAGCTTCCACAGACAGTACACCGGTGATTGACAACTAGAATTATCTGTTAGCTCCACCTTCATATAGCTTAGTTACTTTGTGCTGTCTAGGCATGCTAAATGCATGATGCTTGAGAGAAAGAAACTGGTATATAAATCCCAAACTCACTGTCAGCAGCTAATCTCTGTGCATCGCCTCCCGAACCTCCATTAGTTCCCTGAAAGAATGCACAAATGCCATTACTGCAGGCGATTTGCTCTCCATTGTTGAACCAAGTATCAGAGTTTGCTGTTAGATAAAATTAGTATAGAATTGGCGCTGGGATAGCTTGAACATACCAGTGTTAATGTACTTTTGGAGTTGTTTAGCGATGCCAGAACCTGCGAACGAACAGCCAGCTGCGCCTTTGCAGTTAATTCCCTCTGCAGAGACAGATCTGATGCTAGCGATAGAGACCAGGATGGTGAGAGCAGTGTGGAAATGCATGATGGTGGCTAATTATGCTGATGACTGAGAGGGATGTCAAGGTGAAATGAGAGGAAATCTATGCTTTTATATGGCAACGCAGAGAGCATTACGGATCATGTATAACTATACTGCAAAGGGTATATTTTGCGACCCATTTCACCGTGCATGGTCAAGCTTCCAAATGAGGCACAAAGTTCGTATCAGTAAGACCTATCATCATCCCTTGCAAAATCAGAATTAGTAAGACCAATCATTATCCCTTGTAGTTTATAGAACCCCCCACTCAAGATCCACTAACGCACTTGCATAACGAGCGACGCACCATAACGAGCGACGCACCATAACGAGCGACGCACATAACGAGCGACGCACCATAACGAGCGACGCACCAGAACGAGCGACGCACCATATACCTTTTACCCCACCACTTTGTAATGGATGTTGTACGAAGCAACTACCCCATTAAATTAACGCATATTATGACCAGTGTTGCCACAAATGCCACAAATGCCGCGCACGTGGTTCTGTATCCTTCGTACGACTACTCCTATAAGCTATCCCAATTGTTCAAAGTGTTGGCCGTCGCTTCCGAGCTTCAAAACTCCTCAGTCGCAACTGATCGAGCCTGAGATTTCCAGCATTGCTGCCTTCTTCTCCACGCCTTCTCGTCCACCCTCATCCCGAACTTCCCCTCTGTCCTCCTTCGCCTTCCATCTCAATTCCTTGCTGTGGTTGAAGTCTTCCGGTCGCTTTCACAAACTGTATAACAGCTTTGGTCGCTATAATTTCTGGCTTCCATCGATACCGGTTGCCGTCAACATGCCTTCCAGTTCGTCTCTCGATGCGTCCACTCCAGCCTCCTAATGCATACGACAGGTCGATCGCCAAGCACTTGTTGCAATTCTTGTCTAGGGCCACCCCACAACGGGCAGTGGAATAGAAAGCCTCAGCTCCACATGAACATGCGGGTGAGTCAGCCCTATGAATCCGGGCCATATATCAGAATACGATCTCGAGCTACACGATAAGGCGTGTGATTTGAGACGTGGGGCCTGTTCATCGATCATCTCACATCCCTTTTTGGTAGCTAGTCACGCCCATTTGTGTGCAAGCTCGTTGCCGTGAATCCCTTCATGGGCTGGCACCCATTGTAGGGTGATTTTCGTACCCTGCGATCGAAGTTCGGCAGTAATCTCTAGTATCTTGGAACGGGGCGTTGATTACGTGAACGAAGACTAACCACACAAGGCCACCCGGAAATTGTGGGCATGCTGCTGCGTGGGCCGCCTCGAAGGTTGGCGAGGGTCGGGAGCTCATCGGAGATGCAGATGGTCTGGTCATATACGCACAATTATATCCAACCACCAACACCTCCGCTTCGATTCTGCAGTCAATCCCATTATCATCCCACGTCAGCAACTCACCACTCGTTAGCAGTTATTTGGGGTGAGGGTTTGGTGGCGGAATGGTGGGTATGGCGGCGTTATGTGTAATACAATTATACTAGATTAGGATTAGATACCAGCGATGGCAACCAGAGACCATGCGCTTTAGGTGATGAGAGCCGTGAGGGCGGGGTGAAGGCAGAGTGAAGATGGTGATGGTGGTGAGGAAAGTGGGGGTGCGGGTGTTGGTGGGTAGGGTGGGGTGAGGGGAGGTGAGGCGGGGAGATTGGAGAAATGGTGGTGGATGAAATGGTAGGATGGGGCCGGGGCGCGGGTGAGATGATAAGGAGAGGGTGTGGGGTAGGATGAGGCGACGGCGAGTGAGCACGGTGAAGGTGGATAGTGGTGTTGAGTATGGGGAAGGGATGAGTCAAGCTCAGCCCCATTCCCACCACCTTCCTCATCCTCAACCGACACCACCCCGTTCTCACCCCGCCTCGCCTCTTCACCCTTTCCTACCCATACCCTCACCCCATCTCCACCGCATTCGTTTGGAGTGAAGGTGGGGTGAGGGTCGTAATGTGCTGTGGTGGTGAGGTCCGGATGTGGGCAGGGTGAAGGTGGTGAGGGTGGTGGGATTGGTTGAGGGTAGGGAACAGACGAGGGCGTGGGCGGGGATGGTGGCGAGGATGGGATGTGGGCGGCTGAGTGTGGGGATGGGGTGTGGGTGCGAAAACAACAATATTCAATAAGAGCAAAAGCATTCATTATCAGAGTAATTGTAGCACGGCGGACCCGTACGCGTACCCTTGGAAAAAATTTCCCTCTCCCCTCCCAACTGGGGTAAGACCGGCAGATCTGGTTCCAGTATGCCTAATCAAGACACCGCTCGCCTAATTAGGTAGGGCGGTGTGAAACCTAGAGTCAGAGCTGAGTTCGTTGAACCATATTGTTTAGGGAGTCTGCCCTGACTCCGAAGCCTTAACTAGGATATAGTCCTGGGTTGTGGGGGTCCGCTGGGAGAGACCCCCCCTTTTCCGAAAAGCACTTCTACTGTTCTTCCCCCCGCAGGTAGGAGCAGTAACGGCAGGCCCTGCTGGTTTCTCGTGTTAACCCTTGCCTTTACTGTAAACACCACAGCTGGCTCCTAGAAAGCGGCCGAGGCTGAGGTTGAGAAAACAGGGGTGTGAACGTGACTCTGATTGTGAGTGAATGCAAAGCCGAGCCAAGTAAGATTAAAACGAGTTGACGAGGTACCGGAGCGTAATGTTCTCCGGTTGTGAAGACAGTTTGCAGAAGGGGGAACTTGTCAAGAAACAGCTGTTTCTGGAGATTATGCGAGAGGACGGAGATTTGCAATTGACTTTTATTTCACTGATGGCGAGGTGCAAGACTAGCTGCTAGATTTACATTCGATACTACTAGGACACCATAGGCCACTCTACTCCTTCAGTAAGAGTGCAGAAATTCACAACCCTGATTGGCTCGTGACAGCCCTGCTTAGCGCCAGTTCTGGTAAGAGTGCAACAGTAAGAGTGCAATTGGACAAGCATAGTAAATATACTCCCTTAGATCAATTTATCGAAGGCTATTCGACAAAAAAACCCTTCATGTTCTCATATACTGTAATTCAAGGCACTAAGCGAGTGTGTCATACTTGTCATTCTTGTATACTCCCTGGGCCGACGTGTCAAGAGCGACACCTCCGAGCTGAACTACACCGGGAAATGCGCTGAAAACCGCCATCCAGCTTGTTAGCAGTTATGACCTGAGAACAATCAAAGAGCGCATAAGCCTCAGCCGGAGGACAAGTGCGAGCAAATCCAGCAACTCACCAGCTATAGCGGGTCCCGCTGTCTAGAGCCAGGGTGTGACTATGCCACTCGTCACCCTTGGAAAAGGAGAGAGCATTGCGCTTCCGCTCATAAGAAGCGATAGAGCATAGTGAAGATAGCCCGCTGTACTATGTGGAAGTTCCTTGCCCCGCTCCCTCGTTCCCCTGACCCTCTACCTTCTCTTCCTTTCACGCCTGAAAGTCCTCAATTTGATATCGTACGGCGTACATGGCTGTCTACTCCCGTGTCATAACGTACGGGGGCAGAAGCTCGAGGTCGCCCTCTTTGGTTCGGAACACGAACAATTGCTTCCCCACCTCGACATACCGCTTGACGATCGCAAAATCCATGCAGCTATAGTTCCCTTGGTTGTATTTAGTGTTGCTCGCCCAACGCAACGCCCTTCGCTTTGCTGGCCTTGAACTAGACTGAAGGCAAACACGCGTGCCAGCGATCGCACCTTTGATAACGTCACCGTGACGCTCAAAAACTGGCACCTGCCGTACGCAAAAAAAGCATCACTACATGATGCATTTCGATCTCAAGCATCGCACGTTCCGAGTGGCCACAGCGGCCACGATCGGGTGCATCACGCGCCATCCAGAAAACCTTATCCTCTCCATACACCACGATCCAGCTCGACGACTGGCATTGACAAGGAGCTTGCCGGATGGAACGATTATAAATCGATCATTGCTGAATGAAAAGGTGTTTGTGTCTAGCTGTATCGTCTCATCAAAAGCGAAACGCCGGACAATAGGGCAGGGCGAGAGCTCCAGGACTTAGTTATCATAATTACAGTTAAGTTACTGTAAATCCATCGTTTTGTCAGGTGAAGCATGAGAGAGAAAAGTCATGTGAATTGAGGCAGGCAAAATATTTCGCAACACGATAGAATAAAATATCACGGCTAGCCCTCTGTAGCGTGGAGAGGAAATCGAATCTAGCCATCAAATTAGTCCCGTTTCAGAGTGAACAATCCTCGCAAATCAGGATCCTTGAGCTTGCAATTAGCCTTGTGGCCTTTCTCATCCCAGCCAGCTACTTGGCAGGCCTTATCACACCCATATTAGCATCAAAGTCAACATAAAAGGAGGAATTCTATGGCAGTCTTACCCTCTCGCAATACCAGAAAGACGAGCACTTGCCGCACCGCTGCAGAGATGCTGCCTTCTGATCGCACCCGAGAAACTTCTCAAAGGCCAGAAAATCTCATTGTGCCGAAGCTTCTTGCCCGTACTTGCAGTCACCCACAGTCGCCGCTATTATTCAATAAATACGTCGTCCGAATTCAGTATCGCCAGAAAGTTGAGTATCCCAGAAAGCGGCGCGGAACCATAACGCAGGTATTGAGGTCCAGTGGAAACAGAGACAGCAGCACGGTCAGCCGACTGCCTCGCTGCTGGTAAGGTCGTCGCGGGCTGTGTCGCAGACCGGTTCACTGCCTACTTCGCCGTCTGTTGTCTCGTTAATGACATCATGGGCGGGCTCAGCCTGGCCTACAGCAGTGCTGGACCTCTCAGCATTAGCCTCTTTAGAGCTGATGTTGGTCCTGCAAAGTGGGCAGGAATCAGAGTGTTCTAACAACCACTCATTAAGACACGAGTGGAAAAGGTGAGGGCAATTCGCTTTAGTAACCGTCAGCGACTGTATACAGATAGCACAATCATCAGTGCCAATGTGACCCAATTTTCTTTCTAGCCTTTGGACTGCATCTGCAGAAGCTGCTTTCCATTTATTTGCAGCGGTGTCCTGTACATCAAGCACTCGTCCGTGTAGAGTTCCAATAGTTGTGAACACCCCATGTAGGAGCCAGAGTCTGTTTCGAATAATTGTAAATATATCTGAAGTTTATTGTTAAGGCAGGTCGAAATAGAATTATGAATTCAATTGCTTACGCGTGCTTGGACAAAAAACCTTCTTGTACACTCCATATTCAGATGGCGTGAATGTCACTCCTAGTCTGGTCGCAAATTGCTGAAGCAGTTCTATAGGCATCTGTGCAATAACTAGCACTGCTTCGTTTTTGACCTCCAGATTGTGCAGCTCCACAGCCTCCCTAGATGACAAAACGACCATCATATCTCCACTCTCTACTTTTGTGTCTTGTAATATGTTTCCCGACATCTGGTCTAAGTCAGTGGGATCGCCGCGGAGTCCTGGTTTCCACATTGACAGCGCTAGAAGAACTTGCTGTTCCTTTAGGGAGCCTATGAACTGAAAAGCCCCCTCTTCCGCGACTACGTTTTGTATGTCGAATCCATCCTCGGTAGATAACCAAAAAGTTACCGAATCGGCACAAAGGAAGCCGTTGCGAAGAATATTTGGAGACTGTTTTCTTTAGTATAAAGTATTTACCAGCTTAACATGCGTGATATGCGTATAACTTACCATGGCTTCTTCAACCGCGTAATAACCGCTGCGTTGGTTCTGTGAGCGATTCGAGGCCAGGGTTGCTGCGTGGGCTGCTACAGAGCCTCGCCACGATTGGAATCTTCAGTGACGGGTGTTACAATTGGGAAGGTCGAGAAAGCACGGGCGAATTTTGCTGTGTAGCTGGAGAACTTCATCGCTGGCACTGTGTTTGCCGCGAAGCTGCTCCGCTGTTGCGCTTTCGCGGATTTTGGTGCCTAAGGCCACAACTTGGTTACCATCAGCTGGCGGTCGTTGATCTGGCTGCACTTGTAGCAACTCTCGAGAGTAAGAGAGAACTTTCTGGGACAACTGATCAGGTTGAAACTTTGACTGTAGTGAGTGCATAAACTCCCTGTCTCTTCCCGGAAACGCAATGCCATGTCTGATATCACCAATCGTTGCGCTAGCTCAAAGCCCTCGACCAACGGGAACACCAAGGCCAAACGTCTACGCCTACAACAGCATGGTTGCCTCTACTGCGAAGGCGTGGATGCTCTACCATTTCTGCGTATATGGGATGAGCAAGAGCACGGCCAGGGTGGGAGAGCAAAGCCATATAGCGTGATCCTCCAGATACATCAACGAAGACTAGCCACAGACAAGGGCTTACGCGGCGGACGATGTGGTTCTCGACGATGTATGCCATTCCGGAATTTGTAGAGATGCCGCTGCGGGGGCCGTTGTCGACGATGGCGAGTCTGGTGTGGAGGGCAGGACGACGGACGTTTGGGGAGGGCAGGGAGCATGAAGTGTTTGGGACGTCACAGCTATTGGCGGCGTTCAGGGCACAGGGGTAGAAGAGTGTGGGCAGGAAGAGTACTGGGTGGCAGGGAAGGCGAGCGTAGGGCTGAAGGGGCTTGTGGGATTATGGGAGCGAGGGCGGCTCCCACCAAGACTGAAAATGCTGGAGGACATGCGTAAGAAGACGCTAGACGAGCTGCTGATGGCTGGATTAAGCCAGGAATGGGCCGGACGGGATGAAGAGGATGACGGGGAGGAAGAAGAGGCTGACGGTGCAGCGTTTGTAGCAAGGAAGAATGTCATGGCGGCGTTTGTCCAACGGAGTAGCGATGATGGGCAAGATGAGATCAGCAATGACAGCAGTGCCGTCGGTGGAGTGACAAGGACATGTAGTGTGCATAAACACTGTGGTTCTACGCCCAAGTAAATATTAACGGTTGCATTCTCATTTTCAGCCTAGAACAACCTAGCTTGTAAACAAATAAGCACGCTAAACGATCCGAAAATATAGCGAAAATATTGAAGCGGCTGCAGATGGCATTAATCTACGATAGTACACTTGCCACAGTTCCAGCGCGTCCCTCGTGAGTGCACGTGGTTCTGGTGAAACCCTCATTCAAGCACAGACCAGTTTCGTCCGGTTATGTCGTAACTTATGACTGTATGTATGTAGGAGCTTCTCAGTCCCGCGCAAAATCTTCAGACACCCGCAGAACCCGCTCTCGAGTCCAGGATTGCGTCTCATCATTAACAGCATTGAGGTAATTTTCCAGCCTTGAAATATGAAAGGGGGGAAAGCCAAGCCTATTACACAAATTGAGCCGATCGGAGAAATCGCCGCCTAGCTCATCTATCAGTGTCAGTCCAATGATGGATGACTTCACAGCGTCCTGGAGTAAATGTGGTCCACTCCGCAACGGTTTACGTCGTATTGAAATAACGATTCACTCCTTCGACATAAAGACTGAGCTTTACGGAAGCATGCTCGATATTAACGATGTAAAGGAATTAAATCTGCGTATCTGGACCGGCGACACACGCGTTGATTTTGAGAATGATATAAGGGCTGCGATTGACCTCATTAGACGAACCAGGATACCTTTGGTTAGAATTGTCGTCATTGTAACTGATCCATCGGACCGCGCATTGTTAATTGCTAAAGAAACGATTTTAAAATTCCTGGTGGGCACTCCGACCAAACTTCTCTCTTACAAAGCTAAGGCATATTCCATAGAATTATTAATATAACCACAATAGTCTGTGTGTTAGCGTATATACAGCTGTAATATAAGCCTACTAAGTGTTAAATCTAAAATGTCTAGCTAGAGCATTAGATGCATTTTCAAAACCATATAGAGAAATTTCATAGAACTGTCTTGTAGTGCTGCAACTAGATGGAATATCTTAGAAGTGTATAGTAGGGTTTACCTTGATTAAGTAGGTAAGTTAGTAATTTAATATCAATGCCAGCTTCTACAAACTACTAGAAAGTAAATAGAAATATATAACAAGAGGCTGAACTTAGGTGGGTGGGAAAAATAGCGCCAAAGGGCCATAACCTATATATCTTCTATCAACAAAGATCCTCGCTTAAGTAATAGTTATTCAACCACCTTATGCCCGCTCTCTGCTGCCTGCGAAAGCGGCGTCTGGCTAAGGTCATCTTTTGTATCCACTTAAGCGCCACTGTCGATCAGCAGCTGGACGACAGCCTCATGCCCGCTCTCCCCAAGACCATTTAAATTTAACAAGGGAAGAATACCCTAGGCTGCTTCGGATAAGCTTTGGCGGCGAAGTCCTTGTCCATCGCAGAAAGCTTATCGTTCCAGCCAACCGAGAAGCCATCATTAGTAAAATCCGATGGGATAGCATAAAGCATGATCGAGAGCCTATCGAATCTCGAAGACTGGCTCATATCATGGTCATACTGCTTGAACACATTCTCCTCCACATCGGTATCTTTCCACCCTATCTTGCGGTAGTAAGCGAGCACCGCTGGCCTATTCCATTTGATGCCCATCACGGGACTCTGGTGCTCGTGTAGAAAGCCAAGGACGTGCCCAAACTCATGCAGAACCGTCCGCTTGAAAACACGCCCCGGGGTCCAATCGTTCAAGTGCAGGTTCATTGTTGGCTGTTGGTGGCCTCGCTCGTTGTGGCAATCAGTGCCGACAAGCGACCAATGCCCTTGGCCTGGCGTGAAGGCGATGCGGACATCAGCTTCATGGATATTAACGAGGACTAGGTGCAGGTTGGCGTGTTCGAACCACTCGGATGCATATTGTATCACTTTTTCTCTCATAGCCACGCTGCCGCTCAAGAACCCTACCCGAATTATGGTGCCGTTGGCCCACATTCGAGGTCGGGAGGTGCATAGGCGAAGGATGAGGCCGTTAGGTGGTGGAGGTGGTGGTGCTAGCAGAGTTCTGTTAGTGAGTGTCGCTGTTGTAGACTAGGAGAGTTTCAAACCGGAGATCTCAGCCATTTTTGAACAGCAGAGCAAGGTGCCGATCATGGTTGGAATCTTAGAAATCGTATAGTAGAGCGGTGAGCGAGTGTCAGCGAATAGAGTTGTGCAGTGCTTTTCCGAGACTACATTTGAGCTCAGGTGGGAGGATCACTATCGTCTTAAAGTACACTGCCGTTGTAAAGTCCTAAATTCGACATTCTCTGATTATGACACATTAAGTCCCATTTGTTATATTTTCTAAGGCATCGTTTCTTGCAAGTCCCGTTCTTGCGAGAGTACCTGCAGCTGTCACTTGGATCCGAGACTTTGTGCAAGCATACCGTCCCCGCTGTCACTCCAGTCACTCCAGTCCATTAAGTCCCGTTTGCTGTGTTAGGGTCACGTTTTTCCGATCAGCTCTCTTCTGAGATGAGATCATGCCGCTGCTCTAATTTAGTGGGTTGAAATCGGGAGTTTGTGTGGTGTACGATACGGTTTCACCATTCAGCAACAAAATATCCATCCACTCACAGAAGGGGGGATAAGTCCTGATTGTGGCTGGTGCACAGGGGCGACCCACTCCGCCAGGCTATGACCCTTGCCACCCAATGAGTGACACGTTAGTGCCTCCGGCACGTGACTAGACTTAAGTCCAGATTTTCTTCTTTCATCCCGTCGCAAGCCGATGATGCATCGCCTAAAGTCCTGATTTCGCCTCCCGATAACAGGCTGCAAATCACATGCATATATACGCGATGTCCTCTGCGACTGACATGGAAGATCTGTTCCTCTTTGTCTCAACTTCTACTCTTGTCAACATTCTGCAAGGCTGGGGACTGGAACTACAGACGTAACGCAACCCTCACATATCTTTCAGCATCTACAAACATTTCTTTTGCCTTACCATACCCACGCCTTTCAACCTGCGATAGATATATGCTCTACAGTCACAACCTTGAGGGTCCTGCAACATGACAATTACTTGGGGCTCCGCAGCGATGGATCTGCCAGGTGATATTCCGGGTAAGTTATTCATCCCCTTCGGTTGATTGGTTTATATTTGTTCCGGCCCAACCACGAATAAGTGGTATTCGCGAATACGCTGGCCCATTCGCGAATGGGCCGGCCCAACCACGAATATGTTCCTTCGCGAATGGGCCGGCCCATTCGCGAATAGGCTGGCCCAACCACGAATAGCTGCCCAACCACGAATAGCTGCCTAATACGCGGGGTAGTATTATAGGATATTGTAGATAGAATCATAACATTAACCTTCAACTATTAAAATGGATCCTACTATTGCCCATATTAATCCATTCCCTCAAGATGTTCGCACGGCCTTTCAGACCTATATTCATAGCTTTAGCTATGTTAATAGAGAGCGGCTAGACTACATAAAATATCAACAATTACTACTCTATCTTCAGAACCCACTACTAAAGCCTGCAACTCAAGTAGAGTCACGACTAAAGCATAGAGCTCAAACAGAGTTTATGCTTATACATAATAAGCTCTACCGGAAGCCTGACTCTAAGTTCCAGAGCCCACGATCTGTCGTTCTAGAGAGTGATGCATTTGACACTATTGTTAATGAACATCTACAGCTCTTACATGCAGGCCGGACAAAAACATGGACTATTCTACAACAGAAATACTATGGGCTAAAGCGAGAAGAAGCAGAGTTTATAGTAAAGCGATGTAAAAATTGCACACTAAATCGACCTGCTACTACAAAAGCTCCTCTAGTTCCTATTACTACAGGCCGAGCATGGGAAAGGGTTCAAATTGACTTAATTGATATGCGCCACGAGCCGTCAGGACGATATAAGTGGATTCTACATATAAAGGATCACTTCTCAAAATATACACAGCTATATCCATTAAAGAGCAAGCATGCAAAGCCGATTGCAGACTGCTTTGCTACCTTTATTGCAGCTTTCTTACCTCCTAAGATTATGCAAGCTGATAATGGGAAGGAATTTAAGGGGGCTCTACTTATCCTACTACGAAAGTATGGAATTCAAGTAGTAAATGGAGCACCACGGTCACCTCAAACGCAAGGCCTAGTTGAGCAGGCAAATGGAATTGTAGAAGCAAAGCTCCGAGCATGGAAAATGGACCATGGGTCTACAGAGTGGAATGATGGGCTACTTGAGGTCACGCTTGCAATGAACACCCAAATCCACTCTACAATTGGGTGCGCACCAGCCGAGCTACTATTCCGAGACAGGAACTCTCATATTGACTGGCTTAATAGCCAGGCCCGGAAGGATCTCTCAATTGGAGTTGAGCAGGAGGACCCTAATATGGGACCAATTTTTGAGAGCCAGCTTGAGCCTGAAGCTCAAATTGACCCACAGCTTCAGCAAGAGCGAGAGCTCTCAATCAATTCTGAGCTGGCGCCCTCGATCAATTCTGAGCTGCTGCTCTCGCTCAATTCTGAGCTAGCAGAATCGATCAATTCTGAGCGAGCGCAAGAGCAGCTTCATTCTGAGCTCCGTCGTGGGACCCGGGCTCGGGTGCCAGCTCAGCCTAGGACTGAGCTTCGAGCTACACCTGACCCTATAATTGAGCAGGCTATAGCAGCTACTCAAAGAGCACGGGTTTCTATGGTACGCAAGTACACTAAGAAGCATGACATACAGCACTTTAAAGTAGGGGATATAGTCTCTATAAAGGTTCCACGGGAGGATAGAACCTCAACTGATAATAAGAGGCTCTTTGCACGCATTTTAAAAGAGCCTTACCCACACCGGTATCAGGTTATAACAGCCTCTGGTATTATACAACGCCTTATACCTACAAAATCACTTGGTGTTGTAGAGCAGGCTCTATGGTCTGATATTCAAATTCCTAATTCTACAAAGCAGGTAGGATTAGGGCTTGCAGCTAGAGAGGCTTCTACAAGTGTACGGGTAAGAATATCATGTCAATGCAAAGGGCAGTGTAGTACAAAGAGGTGCCGCTGTTATAAGGAGGTTAAGCAGTGTAGTGTTCACTGTCATAATGATGATCATAACTGTGGCAACTTATCAGGCCTAGCTACTCGTACGGAATTAGCTTTAGTAGAAAAGCCAAAGCGGAAGCGGGCAAGAGCAGACACTATTGGCAATAGTGTTTAGATTATTAATTTATTCAATTTGCTATACTCTTCTACTATTTGTAGTTGGCCTATTCGTGGTTGGGCCAGCCTATTCGCGAATGGGCCAGCGTATTCGCGAATACCACTTATTCGTGGTTGGGCCGGAACATATTTATAAGTAGAATCGGGAATGCCTAAGTCGGAGCCTAATGCTGCGAAGCTCCAGGCCGAAGTCGACGGCCTATTCGCGGGCATCAACTTGCTCAACAAAATGGAACCGGACGAAAGCGATGGCGATTCGTCCGACTCAGACTCTGATGGAGACGACACCGATATGGAGGATGTGGATGATTTTGGTGGTGAAGACGCCTACATCTCTCACGCCGATAGCCAACAGCCAATCCCCAAATACAAACACCACCCTGGTCTATCCCTAGAGTCGCTCTGGGTTGATCTGGTGAAGGATATCAAGCACCACTATCCTTGGGTCAATTTGAAGATTCCCATGAACTTCCGTCGCTACATCAAACTACTGCAACCGAGCTCCACAGGCCAACTTATATGCCGCTCCTGCCGCCCCTATAAGGATGATTCGGTTTTCTGCAGCAGCGTGTATATCAAAGATCATTTCTTATACAGGCACTGCGGTATTGGTTTCAGACACTACGCTCTAAAGCGAACCGTGGAGATCGTGCAAGGACTGATGGAACAGCCTTATATCAAGTCAAGAATCACAGAACTGCGCGCACGTTGCTGGCAAGCAACCCCCGAGCCCCCGCCCCCGCATTCTTTCCTAAGACAGCCTCGGCGATTGCTTAATCGACAAGCGCCGAATTTATTCAGAGATGAGACAAAGGCTCGCCAATGGAAAATTCTTCGAAAAGTGCGGACGAACTTCAAATCATTCCACCAGCGGTTTCTCAAGTTATGCAGAAGCTCCGATCAACTGGACGCCAGACGATTTGCAAAGAAGAAATGTCGACGCTGGAAGGATGTCTTCAACACGTCGATCCTTACTTTGAGAAAAATATTGCGGGATCGTCCTCCAGCTTCCCTCGCAGAGATCGTTGCATTCATCGCCCTTTCATGCGCTCTGAAGAAAAATAAGTCCGTCGAGTTCAATGAGCCACCTTGTCTGAAGGATCTTATGGCCTGGAAAACTGGGATCTCAAAGTCTCAAGACCGTTGCCTGTTCGATAAGTTGGTACACCTGCTTTGGCCTAACATTGACCTAGAATGGAGTCTGCACGCTTGCCAAGAAGCGAATAACATACATTCCAATATTCAGGGAATAAAGCACCTGCAATCGAGTACGCGCGATTCGAGCGTGTGGATTGATAACTTAAACTCTCAGTGTTACGGAGCAAAGTCAGGTCCTTCTGCTTTGCGCGTCTTCGCAGAGAATCTCGTGGAGGAGTCGGCGTCTGAATCAAAATTTCACGAATTACTCGATCTGAGATATCGAACATATGCTGAGCAACAAGAAGATCCTCACTGCAGTCGTCATTCGCCATCCCAACTTACCAACTGGCCCAGCCCAGTGCGACCTTTTCCCACTGATGTGAGTTCTTCCAAAAGAAGATCGTCAGATCAATTACGACTCGGACAAGAATCTCCTTCAACAACACCGGAAGATGCATCTTCTCCCCGTATCAACACCCCAGATGGTGGTAGCTCGACAGCCGATATCCAGCTCCTCCAGGTTCTCAGGGCTACGATTGTGTTCATAACAGTCTACAAATTCATACTATGTGAGTCATCAACGTATTGCCCTGCTCTCCCTCCGGTTCTTGTTTACTTTCACCTGATGAGTTTGAAGTGTCCTTAGCTAATATACTACTTGATAGGGCTCGCGGATCAAGGTGGTGTTCTCCTTCGGTTTGGCCTCAGCATTAAGTGGGCAACAAATCCGTGGGATCCAGCTTTACCACCCTTCGACATCAGTATACCGGCCGGCAACAATATAGGCTTACATGAATTCCGAACCAATCTGCTTCAATTAACCAGCCAACTCAGCCTCGATCATGGTGATGATCATAAGAGTCTGAATTTTAACGCCATTCAACTGTTGCCATTATTCAAATCCGCTATCCCGTTTGTCGATTTCGGTATCCTCCACACTGTCCTTGAAGTGGAGTATTACCTTCTTCATGCTGCTAATGTACGTATGAAAATACTCTTCAATCCCCTTCGTTTAACAGCCTGACTAATATATCCATAGTATCTTGCGCCAGAATGCTTAGACATGGTCCAGATGAAAGTGTCGGCCTGTAAGCCTACGGAATTAGGGTCATTTCAAGGCATGCCACAGATCCAAGACATATACTTAGGAGAATCACTTGCCCAGAACTGGACCCCAACAGGACCCATCGGCACGCCTCCTCCCCAAGAATCACACCCTTCTACAACGCCCAATACAGTAACCACCCAATCGCCAAGCAATTTCGAACCCTCCATCACAGGCCTGACGCCAGCGACACTGGATCAAGGTGCCTCACCTTTAGAGGCTCGTTGCCCCCATGCCACCTGCCACAACGTCGTTTTCTACGGCCCACATTGCCAAAACAGCCTCTTTCGCCATGAAAGAGAGGAACACCAAGGCCACAAGTTTAGATGTCCAATTGAAGGCTGCTCGAAAACACCATCGGGTCGTCGACACAATATCATCGACCATCTTGGCAAGAAACATAGCATAGGGAAGGAGAAAGCAGTCAATTTAGTGCCAAGGAATGGTACGCGGGCACCGAACCGCCAGCGAAGACAACTTGCGTTATCTAAGTAAGGCAACGGTGATGCAACTGTTTACTTGTAGCACAGTGCAGATGGAGGTATTATATCCATCCATCATCTATGCCAGCAGCAATTCCCCCTTTGCTAACGGGCTTGTGCGATTTATGTGTGGAATTTTTGAGCTTCCGGGCAAGAATCTGGCCTCTGTATTTATTTATTTCAAAAGCGATTCGTTGATCCAGGATGTTTACATACCATAGAATTGAAAACATGCTTCTTCGAACTTTACTTTGTTGCAGAGAGAGTTGATGTCGCTGATGTGAAAAAAGGTTCATCTACTCATCTCATGTATTTAATATATATCCAAATTTTTGACGTCGGCGATTATCCTTGCGCGTTACCCCTGTGCATTACCCCTGTACATTATCCTTGGACGTTACCCTTGGACGTTACCCTTGGACGTTACCCTTGGACGTTACCCTTGGACGTTACCCTTGGACGTTACCCTTAGACGTCACCTCTTCTTACATATAGACACTTGTGAAGCGCCATACCGTATCCTTCGATGAGCATCTCGTACATTGCAATTTTGGTAAACTATACTCTTGCTGCGAGGTGCCATCTCTAACTTTGCTATTTCGCTCTTTGCCATTTTCCTGTGATCTTGCTCTCTCTAGCCCCGCAGCGTTGAATATACAATTGCAAGTTTGCCAATGATCGTTCTTGCTTTTCCAATAACTTGCTAATTTCTGTGTCATGGACGTTTGTATTGTTGCCACCCACCTTGCCCATAGGCTTTCCTGTACCTAGAAGACTAATAACTCTCCTGCAATCCTTGATCGATTTCTTAATAACCCTTGGGGTTTTGTTCATCCAAAGATTTTCGCTTTCGAGATACGTCTGGACTGAGACCACTTTCTGTTGTTTACGACGGTAGACTGGACTGCTGCCCTCCCCATTACTATCCTCGATGATGATAGCTCTGTCTACTACCATTAGTGTTGGTCCTCAAAAACTCCTTTCAAGCAACAGAAAACATACCGGTATCTCCATCGTCTAATCGCTTTCTCTTATGTTGATTTAGTTCCAAGGACCTGCTGATTCTATTTGTCGGCGCTGTAGGTTGGCTATCATTGTCGATGATAATTCTGCCGTCACTATTCGAGCAGTCTCGGAGCTGGGGATTTTACGCGAACGGCCACGCCGAGGATGTAATACAGACAATTCACAGGTTCAATTATAAAGCGCTCTGCTACTGCTGTAGAGACTCAGTGCTCTCCGAGCGGTTGTGGGCTAGATTGTCGCAACTCTTGCTCCCGTTATATAAGAAAGCTCTGGACCAAGTGGCTTTCCTGATAGCTACTGAGCAGCATGGTAACCTAATGACCATGAACCATTACTTTGCCGACAACTTGCGCAAGGCCCGAGAAGATCGAATCAAGCAGCGGCTTCTCAGCTTGAACCCATGGACGACAGATGATGCGCAAAAAGAGCCGCTACTGCGCTTGACAGATACCATTGCAGCGCTTGTAAGCAATAACGAGCAGTCAACGCAAGATTTGCATGATACCCTAGAATCATATTACAAGGTAGCCCGGAAAATATTCGTGGATGCCGTTTGTCTTCAAGCTATAGACCACTTTCTCGTTAGCAGCAAAGAGGGTCCGCTCTGGCTGTTCTCGCCGCAATTCATAGGCGGAATTAGTTGTAATTGAATCCATGTCACGATCGATATTATCATATAGCACTCTCTCGTATATCACTATTTAGGCTTAGTTTACTCACTCAGTGCAACATCCTGGCGCTGGCTCAAGACGTTGCTCTCCAGACAATAAGGGATAGTCAGGCCCCGATGTTGTCGTCCAGTGATATTTTGAGGAGTACGATACGAGATGGAGCTTCGAACGGTTCCAAAAAATCCGGAATTCTCTTCCATTATATACCCCTGCCGCATGCCACATTTGGCATGCCATGTGTGGCATCCGGGTCCATCGAACCATCCGATCATCCCACCATCGGACGCCTGGCATCTCTAGTGTGGAACCTCGGGCCATCGCATCACCCTATCGCCCAACTCCTCTGTCGTGTAGCCTCCCTATCCCCCTCATATACCATCAGCCATATTCACAACACTACCCATCTCTCTACTTATCTTACAACAAAACCACCCATAAATCTTGCAGTGCTTTTGGATTGAGTTCTTTTAACACGACAAATTGATCACAGTCGACGAAGTCGAAGCCATCCGGCGGCTCTCCTAACGCTTTATAAGGTTGCCCACCCGGTTTGGGTGAAACATCTTTTAGAAACTCACGGGTAAATTCCCTATACTTTTTAAGCAATGGCTTTCGTCTTTCTATTCCCTAAATTATGTGATCTACATAAATGAGCATCTAACCTTCCAATAGCTGTATGATGCAATGTACAGGAAAAAACGTCATATTATATTCAAATGTGTCGTCGTCCTGGCTGTTATCATTATCTGTTATCCCAGTCAATGGTCGCTTGTTCAGCAACCCCAAGTCAGCCGACAACCCCAACATTAACCCTAGAACCCTTCCAACCTACTCATATTCGGCCAGTAGATGTTTGGCAGCAAGATCCATGCTTGATTAATATTATATGTTAGCGGTAAAGCAAAAGCTGGCGTCGTTTAAAAGTTATGGCACTTCACTACTCGCCGATTTGAGTCCCGATTTGAGTGCCACGCTTAACCTAATCTATCCGCGCTTACCGTATTAAAAGCCGATTTGGGTCAGATCGTAGGGAGCCTATATAATAGGACGCCACAAATGTCCAACTACAGGACTATGACTATGACTTTCTGAGGACGAAATAACACTGTGTACGGTCACAATGCTAGGGGTAGTGATGCAGTGGCAGCCAAGGAGGGTTGAAGACATCAAGGAAGTGTGCGTCAAGTCTCCTCACGATTATAGCATCGCCACCGCAATTGATGACAGCTGCACAACTCATGATAAGTATTCATATTCGTTGCTCAATATTTGGGCAGATTAATTGTGGGCAACCGGGTTTTGGGCTGACGATAAAAAAAAGCTTGAGAACAAACTCGCTAAAGCTTGAAGGAAACAAGTCTCCAAGAGGGCATAATTTGAGAATATTTAGATAGGGATTTCTTCATGGACCTTCATTCTAGAAAGCTGACTATGGGATATCATGGGTGACTCTTATCAAATTCTACCAGATAGATGACAGTCATCTATCTAGTTTGGCTGCCAACCAAATCAAGCTGACATTCAAGGAATTCATTGACATAGGTTTTGAATTACTGTACTGTAGTCGCGAGTGCACCGACGTCCGCGTTGAACACTGTTGAAATTTCCCGTCAGCCACAAATGACGCTGAGAATAGGGCTCTAAAGCGACATTTCTTCTAGCATCACGTCGATCTGCCCGGGTACCAATCTTGCATTCCTTCCTTCCAGTCTGCTCAATGGATGTAACACTCCAGGTATGGAAGAAGAAATTCACAACTTGGTACGCCAAAAGATCTGCGAAGTGCTAACACTTTGCGGATTAAAAAATGGCAACAATGAGCAGCTCAAGGAAGAAATTGTTAATATTTCCAGAATTGGTAAGTAATCAACCAGCTATACTTTACTTCGTCGCTAATACTGGTGCACTTAATAATATCCGACTTGATGTAGGAATAAAGGGAGACTTAGAATCAAATGATTTTGTATTGGTACGCGTCCACAGGTCCAATCGCGTCAAATCTTCTGTTCAAAAACGAAAATTCGATAATCTGAAGGGTTTAACAATTCCTTGCAAGAGGAAACGGAAGTCGTCCAAGTCTGCCACATCTGCCAAAAAGGATACGACTATCAAATCACCGGCTGCTATCATTGAGTTCAGCGCCGATGTGGACACGACGGTCGGCACACACTCTGCAGTCGATGAGCACGGCACAGATGCGGCTGTAGAGCACGCAGCGGTCGACACAGTAGCTGCTGTCGATGGGCGAGGCATTGATGTGGCTGTAGAGGACACAACGTTTGATACCCCCTCTGAACATGTTAAATCGGTCTCAAATGGGGTTATGACGGACTCTTTGCAATCGTCGAGGCAAACGGACAACCCAAGCCCCGAATCATCCTCTACGACAGCAAATACCCATATAGGAGCGCAGCCAAGCCTACTACTCTCGTGCAAACTACCTACTACGGCGGATCTTTTATACCCCGAGCATGCAATTTATGTTGTAACCTCGGTGCTTCTGGAGTTGGTAAATCGACATGATAGGATTGGGCAGTTCGGCAACCGCACCGAAAGGGAAATGGTGACGAGCACGACAAGTAGTACCAAGATACGTGCGTTTACAAAACAGCTTGCTAGTTTGGAATATGAAGCTGCAGTTCATGCTATCTCGAAGAGAAACGCGAGGCATGCAGCTAACGGCATACAAATTGATAGTGATGAAAACGCATATTGGGAAATAATCTTGAAAGGTGTCAAAATCCTTGATCCCGCGACCTTGCCTAAGGAATCATATAAGGGACCCCTTGGTTGTTTTAGCGCTGCTGAGAAGGTCGCGACAGAAAACTTTATGAAACGCGCTGGCTTTGGAACGAGCCCGGAAAACCAGCGGCAGTGTCGCTGCTTCTGGAAAGCCTTGTTCGATATTCGGAAAGCAAGTGTCGAGATGATCACTTGTTACCGAACTGCTGAGTTTACCCAATACTGCAAAACATACCCGAGAAGGTCAGACATTTCTCTTGTTGACACTATTGTGTCCTGGGAAAAGGTTTACGGACCTCAAATCGACCAGCTTGAGAGCCGAGTGTTTGAATATCGCAAAGGAGATTTTTCGGGCAGATCCCGTCTAATGCAAAAGCATGTCGCCGGAAGACTTCAAGTTGCGGATTCATTATGGAATGATGCTTCCAATGAGTGGTGCTCTAATGACGAAAAGGCTGCTTTCAAGCTTGCGACGACAGTCAAAGCAACTTCGTCAAAGAGTCTAGCAAGCCTTTTCAATGATCGTGCTAACACCCACCAGCATTGGAATAAAGCTATCTTTATATCTTTTTGGCCACACGGCGACAAGCGCCTCGCTGTCAGTCCTATAATTCCAGTACTTCCAGGGGATTTCTTAGGCATCTACTCTGGAATCGTCCGATTTTCAGACATCGCGAGTAACTCGCATGCTATCCCTGGGCCTGAACCAAAACTTTGGTTAGACTACTCGCAGAATACTGGGACCCTTAACCAGATGCAAGTTTCGAAGCATAATGCTGACGCAAATGTACATCTACGCTGGGAGGCTGTCAATGAGCAGGATGAAACAGGCTCTTGTGAATCGTGGCGGGTCTTAGTTATAGCTAGCAAGGCTATCATTATCCTCCCCTTCGCGGTTGAGTACTCATCTTCGCCTTATCCTTCATCTTCTATATCACCCCCAATATTCTCATCTCCATCTCAGGATCCAGGCCATCTGCCCTAAGAAAGATTAGCATCGCTCCATGCCCCATGCTCCCAGATAGCCCGCATCTGGCGTAGCTGCTCCTTTTTGAATCGGACGCCAGTTAGACGGTGGCGTACGTCGACGGACATTCGGGAAGCACGGAAGACAAAGGCAAGGAAGCGCTTTAATAGTTGGCGATACTTTTTTGCGCTCGACTGTAATGCAACCAAGGTGAACGGTTTTGGGTAGCACGTCTGCGGCTTAGTGCTCCTGAGCCAGCAGAGAATCGTACGGCCGGTATGTCGCATAGTGTCCTCCCAACGATCAACCATATGATCTATAGCTACCATCAAGAGAGCAATCCTGGCCTCGTAAATCTTGCGGACTCACGGGTTCTAGATCCGCAGGGTTTGACCTTTGCCCAAGAACGTGATCTGTTCGCGGAGAGCTGCAAGGCATCTCGGTCAAACTCCGTAAAATATCACGGCGGAAACCCTGATAAATGATTTCCCATCGCGTCCGCTCCATCCACGGACGTGTTCCGGCTAGCATTGGTGGGGTCATATTTGTACTATGCGTCGGCTCCTGTTCTTCTGTCCTTTGGATTTCTCGTTGCTGTAATTACTGCATATGTTCGCCTACGCTCCATCCAGCAACCGGCTGAGTTATGCTCCCATTCTTCTCAACGGTCTAGTATTTCCGAGAGGAACCATGAATCCAAGTTTGCAGGTAGACTTCATCATAGTAAGGGTCCACCCTCTTGCGTGAGGCATTCCGACCGTTGAGGTGTTCCTTTGACGCGTGCCGAGAGTATTCCGTGTAGTTTATGGTTCGGTAGGGGCATGCGCGGCAAGCAAAGCCGTGTCATAATCCCGAAGCATACGGTGGACCTGCGAACCATCATCGCGCGGAGCAACATCAGCAGGATTGCGGAAGGGATATGGATGTCCGTGCTTAAGATAGCGAGTAAGGCCGTCCCGGAGCTCTTTTGAGATGTTGTGTTTATCACGGAGGTGGGAAGGAGCCTGAGACCTAGAGACGGAGAGTGCAAATCCGCACTCACCATGGCAACAAATCAGAATGCGCTCTGTGTCGTCAGCAAATAGCTGAAGCGCAGACAAGTCAAAGGCGCCAATAGAAGCCATTTCTGGTCCTATAGCAGGATTCTGGACCATGTTCTGCAATACTAATAGGAAAAAAAAATCTACGATACAACACTTGCCACAGTTCCAGCGCGTCCCTCGTGAGTGCACGTGCCATAAATAGGGGTTACGACGTAACACACATGGTTCTGGTGAAACCCTCATTAAAGCACAGACCAGTTTCGTCGGGTTATGTCGTAACACCTTCAACCCTTATGACCGTATACCCCTATTATATTTTCCTCTTCCATCGAAACTCTCCCATCGGAAAGAGCGCTAGACAGGGGTAGCTCTAGCCAATCAACATGTCGCAATTTTACTCTTCCTTCAAAAGAGGAGCCTCACATAAGTGGTAGGTGCCAGCAAACTCGACGATCTCCATCTCCTGATGAATTGCCAAAAATTCAAGGCCCCGCTGAATCTCGAGAGCTCGCTCTAGCGACTCGGCCGTCAAGCGCTTTAGCATATCAATGGTCACACCATAACTTTCTGCTGTCTCGGCCTTTTTCACGCCCCTATCGCGGGCAAGCTTCTTGCTGATGGCAACCGGTATGTGCCGCCAATCTTGAAGCGTGTCCCCAGAATCCCTATCTACACAACCGAACTTTTTTTTTCATTGCCCATCCCATGTATGCCCCAGAATGCTCCTATATAATTTTTCGTATCATAAAAAACACATTTCGTCAAAAAACATTCCGTCATATAACAATCGTGGTTCCCTGCCCCCACACGAAACCGTATAAAGAAACCCCAATCGCACACTCCAACAACCCGTGTCGTAGTAAACAGGTTGCTGCAATTGCCTACCAGTGTCGCTTGTGGGTACTTTTATGAGGGAAATATTACCCAATGAGAAGAACGTGTGCAATGTGTGCAATGTCTGCAATGAGTGCAATGAGTGCAATGAGTGTCTGCAATGAGTGCAATGAGTGCAATTTTATGAATATAAACTCGGGAAATTTGGCCAAAAGCTAAGCGTGTATCCATCAATATTATATTACTTTCTTGGTTGCAACAAGCCACTATGGAACTTGGCAACAGCGACAAGCGCATTCACATACCAGCCGAAACACTGTCCTTGATATTCTCTTATCAAAGCCTAGAAGATGTCAGAATAGCGCGACTAGTATGTACGACATTCTATTCTCTCGCGAGTTCGTACTTCCTCGATACGGCTATTGCAGGATCCCAAACAGCAACGATACAAAGAATTGAAGCTATTGCCAAACACGCTGTTTTGAGGACAACTGTCACAACTGTGGTATACTCGGTATGTTCACTAAGCGGTGAATATTCCACAGTCAGTGACTACTACAAAGATATGCGTATGCGTCATCGATACTCGGGGAAACAACTTCCTACGATTGAGCAGTGTGAGAGACATTGGATCGAATATCAAAGGATATACAAAGACCAAGTAGAACTTCAGAAGGGTCAGGATAAATTTCGAATCCAGAATGCTTTGCGCCACATGCCGAATGTCAAACATTTAGTACTATCAGGTACTGCATGGAAACTGAGCTCTCATCCTTTAAATACGATGTGGTGTCAACCGGACTATACTATCATCGAACCTAATACCGACCCAGACAACGGGCCCCAGCAGTTCTCTCACGGATTCAACGTCATGTCTTCTGCATTGTTGTCCAGCAACATATGCCTATCATCACTTTCATGTACAAATCCGACATATACCAGCGACAGCTTCCGTTCATCATACTTCACTGAAAACTCACAAGGGCTGTTTCGCTCGTTGCGGAGGATTGTCTTATACCTCTCTGCGGATTTCGACCAAACCCCTCTGTCTGACAATAAAGTAGGACAGTGCATCTCCGTTGCAAGCAAGCTGGAAGCCCTAGAACTTGTATTCGAACCAGAGGGGCAGCGGCAGATTATGTTTCCTCGGATATTACTCGCTACATGGCCCGAACTCTATCACCTCAAGTTGGAAATCGATATTGACTACGGCGTATTTACTGATTTCTGCCAAAGACATGGGAATAGTTTACGCTCCTTGCACTTGGAGAATGTTCACTTGTTTGGAGGGACTTGGGAGATGCTATTGCAGGTAATGAAGGATTGTCTGCATCTCACCAAGGTCTGTCTTGGTACTCTTTCCGAAGATCCTCATCAAGATAGACTATGGGAACGACGAAATGGACTTGAAGAACAAGACTGGCAACGCCTTTCAGAAGCTGAAGAGTATCTGCTTTGTGGAGGCGAAAACCCTTTCAGAAATAACACGTTTCAACTGGTGTCCCTTTAAGTTGGGAGAAGAATTGGGAATGATTTCCGCGTATTCTGTTAGAATCCGGCCATTAGGATAGGGGCATTACACCTCTGGGATACATCGTCTTGCATATCATATCAATTTATTCTACTATTTATCCCAGCCGCGCTCTACATAGTTTAATTATCTATAACCCAGTCTTCTAACTCCTGCCCTTTTCCAAACGCCTCGAGCCAATGATCAAGCTGGTTAAATACTTGAACCAAAATACTTGCCCTAAGATAGCGCCAGCTAGCTCTTCGAGAAAACCATTCTAGCATCATCGCAGTCACTTGCTCGACATCTTCCTCACCGAATGCTGCGTTTCTCACCCATATACCTTTACTCTGCATCCATTTATACATCTTCTCAACAACGACATCAGGGCCCACCACCATTATAGCCGCCACAGCCTCATTAACAACCCCTTTGTCAGCCTCAACCCAAGCACTCTTGTCAGCACTCCTGTCCAGGAACCTATGTACCCCCTCAGTAATACCCTATTCAACTATCACCCAGCCTTCATCTCTACCCTCCCCATCTAACTCACTCCTGTCCTCCAAATCGCTCCCCACCCAACACATCTCCTCATAATTCCCCCAACAACACTCTTTCCCATAACCCACATTATCTTCTGACTTGGCCTCCACCTCCTCCATCTTCTCCACTAATTTCTCTTCCGCCCGCCTCCCCTTCTCCTCACTATCCTCCACCTCCCAATACTCCTCTTCTTCCCCGTCTAACCTACCACCCCACGACTGCATCCTAACTCTCTTCCATAGCCTCCCCTCCAGCAGTGCCCGTACCGAGCGGTGGATGAGAAAGCATAGTGGAGATGAGCATCAATGGAAGAGCAAAGAGAAAGGAGGCTGAACCAGCCAAGAAGGCCCATGGCGGAGGGAGCCCATTGCCAACAATTTTTAAAGCAGGGGCTTAAAGTCACGGTATTTCGAGGTCCAACCCGTCGAGACAGGGCCATGTCCCTGTCTTCACGTCCCACCCACTCTTCGTATGATTTGAACAGGGAATCAGAAGGAGACAGGGCCAGTGTGAGCGCTGATGAAGAGATGTTAGACTTGAACGAAGAATCAGAAACAGACTGGGCCAATGCGAGCCGATGAAGAGTTATCACTAAGTGAGCCCGGGATTGACTTTGACCACTACGAGTCCGATTGGTTTATTTTACGGACGAAGCTGTGGAAGGTTCTTGGCTACGCGGTCATCGATGATAAGATCGAAATATGTTGCACAAGAAGCTAGAAGTCGAGACAATTGGCTGGCCTGTAGTACCTTTAATGGTGTTTTCCGACCGAGACGCGCACTCCTCAACCGCTAAACGTCGCCAATAACTGGAGGCATAGTGGGGTTATAATGCTGGTAGAGACAGGAATCAGATTCACGAGCATTTATATATTATGCTATCTCCGTTGCTACATTTAAGTCCCTTTGTGCTTCCTAGAGAACCCATTTCATCCGAGAGTAGGCCTCTGTTAACTGCCACCAAGCAGTAAATGTTCCTGAAACTTTGGTTACAATCTGTTCCCAATCTGATCGTAATTATCTCACCTTCAATAGGCCCCAGCTCAGCAAACCCCAATGCCCCAAGTAGCCATATCATCAAAATAGCCAGAGAAGCCATGTGATTAAGTTTCAAGTAAGGACTTTGAAATGCTGCGGATAGTGCTTTCTCGGGTTTTGGGGGTCATATACCAAACGCCTGAATTGAACCGTAAGTTTGCGTGGTCTTATCATCACTAATCCAGCCCCTGACGTCATCTCTATCCTGATAACTCATGCCTTAAGACCAATTGTGCTTCAACCTTCAACACCCCCACCGAAGTAGATACACACTCAATTTTAGATAAAACTACCGCTCCCAGCTTGTCCAGCTTGCATAACTTAACGTGAGAGTATGTCGCAGCCCGAGAAAGTGAGTTTCTATTTCGAACTTTGCAAACTTAAAAAGCAAGTCTACTATCTGACGAAGCACTCATATCACAGCTATACGTTTGTGAGCACCGGCTCTGCCAAGATGATCAATATCTCCGCGGTCTCAATGAAGTAATTGAGCACCTCCGTAAGAAACATAAGCTATCATTTATAAGACGGCCACATAGGCCGGGGGATCCAGACAGTCACAGGCATGTTTGGTATTGCTTCGATTGCGGGACTAAGACGGGCAAAGACCACAAAAGTTTTCGATCTGGTGGAGATATGTGGAAACATCTCAATCGCTGTCACAACTACGATTATGAGCTCGATAAAATCAAACTTGAGCTATGAGAATGGTAGGGTAGATTTGATATCGGAGGTGTCATTCGACTCCCTGTGCAAGGGCCTTGGGATATCTTCTTCGGTGGACAGGTTGCAGGAAATTGGTGGTGAAGGTATGCATAGGGCTTCGGAACCCGACTTGCAAATTCTATCAACTTCTCGAATACTATACTTCGCGGTCTTCTGCTACTGAGTGTCTTCTCGCGCTGTTGGACATCACGTGGAGCGAGGCAATTGAATCTGCGACTGGGACACGACGACAATTATGGATAGGATAGGATAGGATTCTTTGCTATTTCAAACTATATTATGGAAATTTTGAATTTAATCGATATATTTGGGGCTAAAGTACATTAGATGAGTATTTCTTATTTTATTTGCAACTTCTGTTAGTTATAACGTATTTCACATGCGAGTGGCCACCCCAAGCGAGTGGCCACAGAAAACGCGAAAACGCGTAGACTAAGAATAAACATATTGTATTGCAACAATGCAAGCTCAAAGCGCTTCAAAAGAAGATAGAACACTTTCAGCTATCGAGGCTATTAAACAAGGCTACATTCAGAATGTTAAGAGTGCTGCAGAAACGTACGATATCCCTCGAACAACACTACGGCGACGAATTCAAGGAACGACTTCTCGACGCGACTGTACCCCTAACTCACGTAAGTTGACTCCGTACGAAGAGTCAGCTCTCGTTCGGTATATCCTAGACCTAGATTCGCGTGGATTCCCACCCCGGCCACAAGCTGTGCAAGAAATGGCAGACCTTCTACTCTCTGAACGAGGCAAGAGCTCTGTTGGGAAGAACTGGACTACCAACTTCATAAAGCGTCGTACGGAAATTAAAGCAAAGTTTAGTCGGAAATATAATTATAAACGAGCAAAATGTGAAGATCCTAAGATAATTCAAGAGTGGTTTTCTCTCGTACGAAACATAGTTGCGAAATATGGTATCTTAGAGCAGGACATCTACAACTTTGATGAAGCAGGCTTTACAATGGGAGTTATTGCTACTACGAAGGTAGTCACAAGCTCAGAAGTAAAGAGTCGTCCAAAGACTATACAGCCAGGAAATAGGGAATGGGTGTCAATTATCCAAGGTGTTAATTCGTACGGATGGGCGCTCCCACCGTTCATTATTTTCAAGGCGAAGAATCACCTCTCTGCTTGGTATAAGGACTCAGGATTACCAGACGATTGGGTGATTACACTAAGTGAGAATGGGTGGACTTCAAATTCAATTAGGTACGAGTGGATTCAACACTTCGATTAGCATACAAGCACTCGTATGATCGGAACCTATCGCCTTCTTATTCTTGACGGGCATAAGAGCCACCTCTCTGCTCAATTTCAACACTACTGTACAGAACGGAAGATAATCACCCTCTGCATGCCACCACACTCCTCGCATATTCTTCAGCCACTTGACGTTAGCTGCTTTGCTCTACTAAAGCTTTCGTACGGACGTTAGATTGAAACCTTCGTACGGAACCGACTAAATCATATTACAAAGCTTGAGTTTCTCTCTGCATTTAAAGAAGCATTCAAAGCTGCATTTACAGAGCAGAACATTAAGAGTGGGTTCCAAGCTACAGGACTAGTTCCGTACGAGCCGCAGAATGTTCTCTCTCACTTGAATCTACACTTGAGAACTCCGACTCCTCCTATAGTTGAGAGTAGCAATTGGACTTCAAAGACTCCCCAAACCATAAGGGAGCTTGATTTTCAAACAGAGCATATTAAGAACCGTGTCGTACGACATCAGAATAGCTCTCCTACCTCAATTAATGATGCTATTAGCTGCCTTGTTAAGGGGGCTCAAGTTATGATGCATTCTGCTATTCTACTTAAGGCAGAAGTTAAGGCTCTACAAGCAGCAAATGAACAGAAAAAGAGGAGGGAAAGGAAGCAGAAGAGGCGTATAATACAAGGGGGTAGTCTCTCTGTACGAGAGGGAGAGGATATCCTTCAGAGTGCTGAGGTTGAAGCTCAAGTCCGTACGGAGGTGGCAAGTGAGAGTAGTCGGCGGGTGGGTTCTACAGGCCGACAGAAGCGCTGTGGCCGATGTGAGAAAATAGGTCATAATACCCGTACGTGCGAGAGGCGCCAGGAATCAATTACGATCGAATAAGGGTCGTTATGTAGTGTGGTGGTGTAGTAGTAGGTGGTAATAGTCAATTTTAGTGTTTCTGTGTGGCCACTCGCTTGGGGTGGCCACTCGCATGTGAAATACGTTATTTATTTTAATCTTCAGAGATATGAATAATATTTGCAACTCTTAAGAGAAATCCTAGGAGTTTTATTAGAAACCTTCTGATTTGTAGTTGACCTTCAAATCATCTATGTTCTCTAGCCAATCCCAGGCAAAAATCTGACATTATCCATAATAATCAATACCAGAGCATTTCTTCGGTAATTTTGCAACACGGAGAATTGTGCCACGTGTATGTACACGTGACGGTGATCGGTGATCGGTGATCGGCTTTTAAATCAGTCTTCAACCTGCGTTGTTTGAACACAGAATAACCCGCCTGAGTCGCGCCCCGGCAACGTCTATCATTATTATTCTATATATAAATTTTGGATGAAACTGGAAATTGTGTGCTCCATCCGTTTCATTCCGCGTTTGCAAAGGCACTGTCGCTCCTCGTCGTGCGAGGCTGGGCCTCTCTGGATCCTTCCCAGTGCATGGCCCCTCTTGATGCTCCAGATCGTGTTTGCAGAACCGACCTCGACCTGTACTTGGAGAGGCCACTCGCCAATAGGTGGAGTGGCCTTGCTATAGGGCTGCGAGGGTGTAATAAATGCCTAGAATACAGCAGTGCGCTGGCAAGAGCTGCCGCATCTTAGTACATTGGAACGCATTGGTGGTGTGCGTATGCGTCGTACTTCAACTCGTCCCCCATTTGAGCAGGAGAGCTGCGACGTTTCCTCTCGCATTCCTGTATTAGGAAACATGCAGATGCAAACACAAGCACATCAAGACAGTTTGGCCGATCCCTTATAACTATTTGTATACATTGATAACAGCACGGACCATCTAATCCAAGAAAAAAAAATCACGAGGCAGGCAAGCGGTAGATCTACACCTAGGCTTCCGTACGATTTCTTACTCGGTAAAGATCTCTGCCAAGTTGCTTATAGGCATAGTTGGTATACTTGTATGCAGAGAGAAGTAACATCAATGTCGTATATAGAGCGGAGAACCCGCTACCTCGCAAGGTTACCCCGGTGAGACTAAACTATGCCCGGCCATCAAACGGAATGGGCCGTGAGCCACGCTCAGGACATGGATTAACGTCATTGATGTTTCTTATTGCCGTGTCCACGTATAGCCTTAAGCTAATTAAAGTATGACTGGAGTCGTCGCATTCATGTGCACGCTCGGTTCCTCCACGTGCCTCGAAGGGTGGACCTTTTGTCGGTGGAATTGCAACATCGCTGGGTTTTGCCAACACACATCCGGCAAATTGATCGACGAACGGTCGCCTCTCTTTTTGTGTCCTAACTCAAGCGCATCATTTAATTGTCTATCCAGCCTTTGACAGAGTCCTTGTCCCACGGAACGCATTCGGCCGCAGCAGCCACAGAGACATCTTGTGAAGGGGTGGTATACTTCTAGGTCAGCACACAACGCTGGTCAAGGCTCCCAATCGCTGCTAATGTTCGCGTCCGGTGGGTCTCTGGCGGCCTCTACATTTTTGTGTTCTTGGGTATGGTTTGAGTCGGGACAGCAGCATGAGCTCGTCGAGTTCGTCTAAGCATGCCAGCCTGGCCATTATTAATTGCCCGGGTCAATTCCTATCCCGATCCTGGGCTTGTCGGCTCAACCCCAATACACTGCGCGTTCTATCGAACGATGTGTTGGTGCAGGGATTGCGGAAACCAGCCTTACAACGATACGCAGGGCGTATGATAATAAGGGTAGTTGAATGGTAGTTGGCGGTAGATGACGTGATGCGGCCCATCAATGAAGCAAAGGGCGCTAAGGGGGGAGCTTATTGCAACGTCAAGGGCATGCATTGCAAGGCCAAGCCACGTAAACCTATCTAAATGCGCACAAAATGAGTGGCGAAAGTACACATTACTAGATCCAATTAATTGGGAACTTATTGGCGATGCTTAAACTCACTCGAGGGTGGCAAAGATGGGAAGAAACGTTTGTTGGGTTGGTAAGATTGTTTGAGCTTACTCGAAAGTGAACAAAAGTTAAATGAGGATCTATGAGGAGGTTGCTAGAGGGAAAGTACTGATCGTGCTACCCGATATATATATACCCTGACCCCTTACCAACATGAGCAAGGCTCTGGTGTTACGATATATTGAATTTCAAACGAGTTGGTCATATGATCTTGAAGGGTTGCTCTCCTTATTTGCTTCCTTGGCCGCATCAACGGCAACGCTAGGAAGGTTGGACAACGCTAATATAATACTGACCGGGCAACGCCCCCAAAGTAACTGCCAGCCTATCAACGGGACGCTACCGACTATCGCGGATGTTGATTGCATCATGACCATGGAAGTTTATCCTAATAAGGTGGAACGCCTTGCTTTGCTCCTATTTGATGCACACTTGGAGACGCACGGTGAGGTGCGTCTCCAAGCACCCGATGGATCCCCATCAAATGGTACGTAGTTCTAATAATAAATTACAAGATCCGGCTTACTGGAGTCGCTTCCGCACAGCTGGCCACGGGGCTCGACCATAAGTAAGAACCCGATCACATTAGCAGTATCTCGTACGCCGTGGCGGTCAACCTGAACTGCCTCGATGCTGACGGCCACAGAAGTCAGCGGTTTGCCAGGTTGCTGACCGCAATATAGTGTAGGGGGAGTGTGTGTCATCACGATCAACGTCGGGGATGACATCTTACCCGTTGGCCTCCAACTTGCGTATGGGAACCTGACGTCGCCAGGGCCACCCGGTTCTTCCAGGATCATGTCTTCGCGGTGATGAAGGACAACATGAGCTTCCAGAACGACGGGGCGGAGGTTCTGTCGTAAGACTACGCGTATAGCATTATTAAGCGGTCGATACGGTATCATCCCGTGGATCACCTGGTGACGCAGGGGATTGCCACGGCGGCGCTGACGCTGCCCGAGTCGGCAGCTAAGGGGTCCGCGCGCGTACGGGCAATACATCAACGTCTCCTCCGGCGAATGCAGGGCTCCGCCACGCCGGATGACCGGGACGTCAGCGCATCCACCACGTGGTGGAGGGGAGCGAGTTTGCCTTCCGCATGGAGCAGGTCATTAGCCTTGACGTGACGCGGCTGACAGCGTCTCGGCGCAACCTGCGAACAATCCTGCGACCAATCTTCCAACTGGTGCGGTGTTATCTGCAAGAAACATCACACTACTCGCATCTGCTGCGGTGGTTCCGGCCGACGGTGTTTCCGCAGATCTTGGGGTCGTTCGCGCGGGTATTCGAGCTGGGTCTGGACGAGATGCTCCGTCGATTCCAGACGCAGAGGTCCTAGGGGCTAGGCGTGGCACTGTTAGAGGGCGTTGCGGCTCTCGATCGGTTAGGTCACTATTGTTTCACGGGATCGTCGAAGGCGCTCGCGAGCTCGGTGCTGGGGCCTCTGAAGACGATGGAGAGCCTGATGAAGGGAGGGTGGCCTTACCTTGATCCGCAGCTGCTTGACCTCCGTTAGGGCGAGGGTCGTTTCGACAGCATACGATGGCCTCGGACGAAAAAAGGGCGACCTATCTTCCTGCGCGTGGCATCTCTCAGCTTCCACTACAGACCGGAGGTGGGGGCGAGCCGGCACAGCCTTATCTGGTTCCGAGACCTAGGGGCCAAATCAATCGGCGGCCCGGATGGGGCGGGAAAATTCCTGGAGGAGGTGTTCTGCGACCTGTGGCAGGCAGAGATGGTAGCGTTTGTCAGTCATCAGGTTCGACGGCAGTGGTCTGGAGCGACGGCAACGACAACAGACTCTGGTGGAGACGTGGAAGGAGTCGGAGCATCCGTTCTCGTGGAGCACCTTCGAGCTATCTGGCGACTGACGGCCCGTGACGCTATGACAACAGGGGCGTCGACGGTTATCCCTAAGTCGCGGCAAGACTTTGCGCGGGAGATGTACCAGGGGTGCGTGGGCAAGCACGGGCCGACTCGACAGGGGCTCTCATCGCTGCACTCGACGTGGTTCGCGGTTCTTCAAGCGGCGCTCACGTTCACACCAGTGGACAGGGTGTCTGAGGAGCAGTGGCGCAGCGAGATCGGGGCGGCGATGCTGTCGCAGCAGGTCGAATGCATGCCTGGGTCACATCGTGCGCGGATCACGCAACGCCCTGCCTGATAATTGACACTATGCGGAGCCAGATTTGGAGTCTCGAGCATTTTCACGTGATCCGGTCTCGTCTGAGACCTCCCTCTTAGTGATGTACACGACTGCGGCTCCATCTACTATCTGCAGAGCAGCAGCAAATATGTCCTTTGCCTTCGCCATCTTGTCGTCTCCAGTCCTGGGGGTAGAGAGTTACTGCACTGTTCTGCAATTTTAGAAGGGAAGCATATTTAGAAGTTATGAATCAATATATTCTTTAGCACATAATTGTAACTCTCCGTGATTGATCGGCATTTTATATATCATGTGATACCTTGAGGCTGCCTACGTGCTCGATATAACAGGATTTTCCTTTACTTTGGCTGAGCGAGATCCTAGCTTTACCTAACTGGTGCAGTCTCTCAAAACTCAGGCACTAGTCGATTTAGGTGGTGTTTAGGCCATGTATATGCCATGGGGTAAGGCGACGCGACTTTACGCGTCAAAATGCAATCTGAAGTATGATGTCTCAGGCACTCGCAGCCATATAGAATTTGAATCGGCGATGGCATAACTCAAATACCGCTCCTGTCTTAGATGTAAGAGTCAGTGTGGTGCCACGACTCTCAACTGAGTCTGTAGAGCGGCCTACTTATATACGCAGGCTCATTAGCGGGTTTACTCTATCAAGATAAATAGCGGTGTGCCTACTGAAGTTTGCGCTACACATATCACGCAACCTCCAATAACCTCAGAGCAAAGCCTTACAGAGTTACTCTACGAATCCCATAAACGACGCTAAAATCTATCAAATATGTCCGCCCAAAACGAAAGAGTCCAAGCCAGCTGCAAAATCATTTGGGGCGAGGCAGACTACGACTTCGATCTTGAGACAGACGATTGGGTGACATATGCTTATGTCGTCAGGAAGGACTTTGGATCACGCTTTGGACCACCATTGACAATGACTGGAATTTGCAACTCAGAGACGCATGCTTGGGAAGAGCTAGAAAGGATGCTAAGTGTATGGGCTAAGCAGGTGCAAAGTGGAAAGCCGATGACAAAGTCTCAGTCGATAGAGATATTCGGGGGACCAAATGGGCGGAACAGTTACATTTTGGGCAAGTTTATTGATGAGGCAGAGAGAAGAGGAATCAATCATTAAAACGGCATAAACATTGGTTTTTAATAGCACATGCCGCATTATCAATAGAATATTCTGTCACTAGGGCTTTTGTTGGTACAGTACTATGTGATCAATGGTATATATTATTTCAGCTTATAACTCGAAATGTGGGATGAGAGTTGTATTTATGAGAATCCCCATTGTATACTGAGAGTCAGTGCACCTGTAACAAGCACGACATATTTATAACCATCATAGCTGCCGGCGATACGATATCCTCTATCCCATTTACACACCCATACATTTACACATCCATATGCCGTTGGTGGCGAGCTGAACTGCTGTTGCATTCTATCACAAAGGATCTACCCAATATCGCCTACTTGATAATCGAGATACGAACGGCCCCGGGGGTAGCATAAAATTCACCAGGCTCCACGCCAGTGGCCCAAAATATTCTGATGAGAGGGTTGAAAGAGCCTCTGGCTGTAACGATGGCATGTTGTATGCCCCGAAATCCATCCCAATTAAAGAGTGGGACGACGCAGGTATAGAGGCGGCTAAACGCACCATTTTACAAGAAGCACAAGTTCTCGTCGCCGCTCGCCATGGCCACGTTGTGAAAGTTATCGAGAAATATTTCCCTAACGACGAGCATTATACTCTCTCGATATTCCCAACCCGATTGATATCCGTTGTCGTCCCGACGGCTCGCTGGCCCACCTATCTCGGCGTCGGTAGCTCTCCTCAAGTCCTCACCATCAACCGCGCCATGAAAGCAGCGAACATGCAGCTCCAGCGCTTCAATCTCGAGGACAGCTTGGTTATTTACGTACGAGAAGCAGATGGTAGATGGATCCCATAAGAATGTTTATGTGAGTGCGTTGATCAAAGGTAGCGGGCGTTTCGACTGGAAGGGTCCGTTGATTGTTCATGGTCAGCCGGGGACGGCGTTGGAGCCTTTTATACACCGAGATATTGTCCCAACGGATCTCCGCCTCGCGGTTGATTACTTGAGGTCATACGATGGATTACAAGTTCATCCTTTCGAACCAACTTCTGCATAACACTCAACAAGCAATTTGACCATAACGGAGTCAGTATCAAAGTGTGGAGCGTGCTTGGAGCAAATAATGGATGATGAGATACATCTCGGCCACAGCTCGGGAATGTGTTAGGAATGAGCACAAGAAGTTTGAAAAATTACCATTTTTATCTTAAATCGTAAGGCCAGAAAGACTCTCCAGACCTGTTTCATCAACGAGTGCTCGTATACTTGCTATAACAACCTCTTCGGATGATTCATTTATGAAACCCCAAAATAAAATGCCTGGCTTGAGCAATAGCTCGATCAATGGCGAAAGAAGATCTTCTTGTGGCCCAGCTAGAACCTTCCCAAACTCGACCATCCTCTGACAGATATCTTCTAGCTCAATAGGCTGTTGGTATTCCTGTATCCATTTACGATACACTCCAAGGGTGCGAGCCCTCACAAAGCACCGCTTTGAAAGGATATTTGCAGGCGACAGATATAGTTTATCCCACGCAACCCACCTCACCAATCCATCATCAGAAATTTTACCCACTGATACATACTCGTCGCAATTCCGCGCCCATTGTTGGAGACCTTGTTCAATGAGAGAGTCCTTACCTTCGCCTGCGAGAAACTTGAGAACATCCGAGACTCGGAAAATGATTGTGCCCGAATTCTGCTGCAGCTTCTTAACGTCGAATATAGCAAGGCCAACTTCATCCTGACCTCTATGTATCCATTTCTGCCCTGCTGTGTGAATTGTCCATTCGAGTATTGGACTCATTGACACGAAATATGTCTCACTCTTTGCTTTCCTTGTCTTGCCCAGATGTTCGGCCAAATCCTCTACGAATTTATCGATGGAGTGAGTGCGCCTGAACCCGAGGTCGAAAGGCACATCCAGGTCCGGGACAAATGTAGGCTGGCTCGTAGCCGCGTGCTTGTGTGCACGGAAGAGAAAATTAGGATCGGAGGGAGTTGTCCTAATAGTATCGAGAACTGCAAATTCATGTCAGCTCAGCCTTGGAAAGGCATAGTGTAGTAGACGAACACTTAGCCCATGTGAGCACATTCCTTATTCCTTCCACTGCAGTGCGAAGATCCGTCTCCTGCCCTCGCGAACTGATATCTGTCAGAACAGACTCACAAGCGCCAGTGAAGGTAGAGAGCGTCTCTATTGTGGTCTTCAAATCATTGAGGGTATTCGTGCGCGGCGCTTCCGAAAGTTGATCTTGGACTAGACGGTATAACTCATTTGATATTGATAGACGGTCGCGAAACACTGTTCGTGGTACTGCCATGCTTTGATGCAGAGTTAGGATAGATTCACGATATGATGCTGTTTTATGCTCAAGGCTGTGGCGGAGGCGGGGTCAGCAAGGAGATAGTGTGGGGGTGATTGCTACGCGTGACTTTCGATCATCAAATGTGTTGGACTCCGTGCTTGGTGCCCAGAGGCATTGTTGCGCCATGACTGCTGCCACAAGCGCCACACCACGGGGGTTGGCGAGCCTTCTTTCTAGTAAGCTCTACCTTACCACTTATGCGGGGCGGCCCTTCCGGAGAGAGGGCAGCGGCTGCGCGGCGCCCGTAATCCCTGCTAGCGTGGATTGCGGTCAAAGGGCAACGGTAAGAGGGCAGGGCAGCATCGTAAAACGGGCTCAATAACCATATAGCCATAGAATCAAATCATTAAAGGTCCTGTGGTAAAATTAGAGAGAGTGTGTTCTCATATAATCCGACTCATAGAGCTGTGGTGTGTCATACTTGTCACTCCTGTGTCATTCCTGGGCCTACGAGCCAGGAGCGACACCTCCGGGCTGAACCACACCGACTCTTGGGAAGTGTGCTGAAGACCACTGTGCAGCAGCTGAGCAGTTACGATTTGAGAACAGTCGAAAAGTTTAAAGCGCATAAACCTCGGCCGGAGGACAAGTGCGAGAAAATCCAGCAACTCACCAGCTATGGTGGGTCTCGCTGTCTGCACCCACAGTGCGACTATGCCACCCGTCGCCCTCGAAAAATGGGAGAGCATTGGGCTTCAGCTCATAATAGAAAGGCGACTGAAAATAGTGGTACTCCGTTATGGGAGAGTGTACACTGCAGACGTATTTACAAGTCCTGGGAGAATTGATTATTTTGTTGTGATTGATAATAAAAATGAGAAAAATTTAATCACATTGGAATTATCAGCACCATTGAAAAAAGAAGAGGAGGCTCTGTTCATGAAGTTAGAGGAGGACTACCAAGACGTCAAGGGGGATATTGAAGAGCAAGCCAATTGTCCATGACTATGCGGACTCTAGGTCCGAGAGAGTCCCTTAGCTTGAGCGAGTGGAATTCCCATCGCACACGGCCAAGTTAAAGGAGGAAGAGATCTGGTGCTCGTACAAGCTGCTATCAAATCAAGAGGTTGATGGGGGTGCTAAGGGTGCTACAGATCCTCACCTAGTTCGCATTCTGGCTGCCGCTGAGGCTATGTTGAGAGATGCCTACAGGCCATGTAGTGACACTTCGCCAGACCGGAAGATGACGCAGCAGCGGGCCAATATTCTGAACGAATTCCATGCTGGGGCGTCAGGGAAAGCAGATGGTTCCGGCATTTCAAGAACCCGTCGACCCTAGTCACGTATTTACTACTATGAAGCAGCTCCTAGTGTACTACTACCGCGTGGTGCATTGCGAGGGCGGCCATTTCACATGGGCTAAGCCAGACCAAGTGCCGCCTAGGGATATCATCCGGCCGACGAAAACACAGACTCAAGCTATAGACGAGATAATGGCAGCCTTGGCTGTTGAGGATGAAGCAGAGGCTGAGCTGGCTCTCAAGCATGCAATTCGGCGACTATATCTAGCCATGATTTGCCACACGGTTAGCAGCGTGCCGTTCAAATCACCCGTCTTAAGTTTCTGCGCTATGTTGGGCAGGAAAGTCCGTGGGAAAGGCCGGGAATTGTGGGAGGAGCCGGGGAATTTTAACAGCCATCTGTCCGCTCTAACTTAGGTTGCCTAGCTTGTGATCTTCGACTATGCTTGCTTCCACAAGCAGGATGATGAAGATCAAATCCCTGTCTTCCTTGCCAGAATGTGCAAGAAGTTCTTCCAGCAGCTGGCCGAGACACCATTTGGGCACATTTTGCAGTGGCGGCTCTATCTGTTTAAGGTTTAGAAGGCTGCAATTGCAAAGCACCAGGCTCGGTGGTCTCTGGACGGGCAGACCGTGGAATACCGTGGGGTAGAGCTATAGATGACGCAGATATTACATCTGGTTCTGTCCGAGTATCAGAAAGCCCACTCCCTGCTTTGGGATGAGCTATTATTTGGGGGCAAGGGCCTGATTCCCATGGAATCGTGGAGGCTAAAGGATGACCTAGATATGGAGGAGTTTGGGGGGTCATGGCTCTCTCATCCCAGCAACTCCGAATTCCTCGATGGCGCTAAGCTTGCTCTCTTCAGACGGATCCAGGGAAATCCCCAGTTGCGGGCTATGTTCTTGACCACGGCTGCAGACGGAAGTGTGGCCTTGTGTCCGAAGGCTATGAAGATCTACGAGGCACATGCTCAGGACTTCCTAGGGTCAGGGTTGATACTCTGCCACGTCCCACTAGGCCCGCCACTACGAGTATCCGAGTTGCTGTCAGTAATGTGGCGTAATACTGCCCAGCAGCGCCATATGTTAATGTAGGAGAAGCTAGTTATGATATATGTCCAGTATCACAAAGGCCAGCAGCAGTCGGGTGTTTATAAGGACAATATTCGGTTCCTCCCAAAGGCAATTGGGGATTTGTTGCTCATGTACATCGCATATGTCATTCCCCTACGGCAGATGTTTCTACGGCAGCAGACTCCAGGTGCTCTCATTTCCCCGTATCTCTGGTCAAAATTGGACGGGACGGTATGGGCTGATGACACGCTCGCGGCTTGCTTAGCTAAGGCCTGTACTCGTGCGCAGGTTCCGTGGTTCAAGACGGCACAATGGCGGCAGTTTGCAGCATCGATAATGTAGTGAAGCCTGATGCATCATCTGAATCATGAGATATCGCTTCAGATGATGCATCAGGCTTTGACTACCACGCTAAACCTAATCCAAATGCGCTTACCGCATTTGGACGCATTTTTGAGTCAAATCATCGTCCTCCTCATGTAGAGGGGTAGAATAAAACCACCTATGAATTTTGTAATGCTTTTAGATTATGTCCTTTAATACTATAATTGTATTACAGTCGTTACACTAGAATCCTATTATTAGTTCCCCTAGCGCTTTAAATGGTGGTCCTCCTGATTTAGGCAATGGAATATTTTTTAGGTTGTATAATATAAATTCCCCATACTTTTTAAGCAGTGGTCTTTGTCTTTCTATACCTAAATTATACACCTTACATAGATAATAATTAAAACCTTAGATAGCTATATAATGCAGTTTACATAGTAAAACCCTATACTCTTCATTATATTTAAATGTGTCGTTATCTTAGACGTTAATGTTGTTGACCCTACTATCCCATTTAATAGTTGCTTATTAAGTAACCCTAAGTTAGCTAATAACCACAACTTTAACCCTAGACCCCCTCTAACTTACCTATATTTAGCTAGTTAGACATTTAGTAGCAAGATCTATGTTTAATTAGCACTGTGCCTTAGCAGCAAAGCAAAATCTGTTGTTAATTTAAAGTTAAGACACTTCACGCATAGCTGATTTAACTCCTAATCTAACAGCTATGCTAAACCTAATCAAACTACACTAACTGCATTCAGACGCCTATTTAAGTCAAATCGCCTTCCTCCTTATATATAGGTGGTTTAATTAAAGATCTAAAGCTATAGAAGGAAGAAGAAGGGAAGTGGGCAAAGCCTAGAGGTCTGGCTTATAGCTATAGGCCTAAAACAGGTGCTGTTATAGGTGGTGTTTCACTACACCCCCTTACGTGTGGTCCGTTAGGACCTGTTATGGTCTGTGCAGAACTGTATTCACGTGGCATTAAGTGCATGCCCGTGACATAGCCTGCTTCTTAATGTCGCCCTTAACATCTTAGTAGTCGTTTTCCAGCTTTATAAAAAGATCCTTCTCTTCTTCCTTTAATGGTGTTGCTGAATCTAAGGTAATTAATTTTTTGTCATTTTTATTATCAACCACAACAAAATAATCAATTCTCCTAGGGCTTGTAAAATATGTCTGTAGCATACACTCTTCCTACAGCGGGTTATCTTCACTATGCCCTGTCGCTTTTTTATTATGAGCGGAAGCGCAATGCTCTCTCCTTTTCTAAGGGTGACAGGTGGCATAGTCACACCCTGGCTCTTGACAGCAGGACCCGCTATAGCTGGTGAGTTGCTAGACTAGCTCGCACTTGTCCTCTAGCTGAGGCTTATGCGCTCTAAGCTCTTTAATTGTTCTTAGGTTATAACTGCTAAGAAGCTAGATGGTGGTTTTTAGCGCATTTCCCAAGAGTTGGTGTGGTTCAGCTCGGAGGTGTCGCTCTTGACTCGTCAGCCTAGGGAGTATACAAGAATGACAAACATGACACACTACAACTTGGTGCGTTAGATTGTATGAGAACATGAAAGGGTTTATTAGCTAGGTAGCCTTCAATAAATTGATCTATATGGGAGTATATTTACTATTTTACTAAGTTTGTCTAATTACACTCTTACCGTTGCACTCTTACCAGAAATGGCGCTAAGCAGGGGTATCACGAGCCAATCACG